GATAACGCTAGAAATATACAAAAGGCATTCGAATTAACAAAACTCAAATATCCACATGTTGTTCCTCTCGGTTGCTGTGCACATATCCTTAACTTGTTGTGCCAAGATATTGTAAAGATACAAGAAGTAACTGTGTTTATTATGCAAGCCATAAATATAATAAAAACTGTTAAAAGGAGTCAACGATTAAGTTCCTTGTTGATAAAATCAAGGCAGGGTGAAGATTCTACACAAACACTAAAATTGCCTTGTGCTACAAGATGGGGAAGTCATGTTACTTCGTTAAAAAGTTTGAAAGCAAATAAGATAGCTTTGCAAATATTAACAGTTAGAGAAGATGTGGTAATTTCAAGAGATATTAAAGATTTAATTCTAAGTGATGATTTCTGGACGAAGACAGGGGAATGTATAAGTATTTTGGAACCAGTCACTGAAAGCATATTTTACTTAGAGAGCGACCAGAATCGTTTGCATCGCACATACATTACATTTAGAGATGTACAAGCTAAGATACGTTTTGCATTAAATGAGATTTCGACATTGAGCGAAGAAAGCAAACAGCAGATTCTAACATCAGTATCTTCAAGATGCAATATGGCAATGAGGCCAATACATTTTGCAGCATATATTCTAGACCCCAGGACTCTAGGAGTCGAACTTACTCAAGAGGAAGAACTTAAGGGTATGGAGTTTATCTACAATTTAAGCCAACACTTAAGTTTGTCAAATGTAATGGCAGATTTGGCGTGTTATAAAGCTAAAGAAAACTTTTGGGCCAGAGGATTTGTATGGAGCTCATTAGATAGCATTGAGCCCCTAATATGGTGGAAAGGTATTTGTGGTTCCACTGAGTTAAGCAAAGTAGCGATTCGTATTCTATCAGCTCCCTGTACTTCGGCAGCCACTGAGCGTTCCTTTAGTATCCAAGGCTACATACATAATAACAAAAGAAATCGACTTACAACTGAAAGAACTGAAAAAATTTCATTCATTTGTTATAACTGGAATCTTAAACATAAAGCTGAATGCGAGGACATTCAGTTTAATGAAGAAAATACCTTAGAAGCTTTCATTGAGCAAGTAAATGAACATAACAGTTTAGACGAAATAGAGCCTATCGAACCTATACAATTCATCGCTTGTAATAACTCTGAATCTGACAGTGATTGACTGTAGTTTTACATTTTACTTTCATCTCTTTCTTAATAAACTCAAAATCAAATTAAAAGTTTTTTATTCTGTAGGCTGCATAATAATATTGTCTATGTCCAGTATAGTGGACGTCTTGCGGCTGAGATGACGATGATGAAGTACAAAATCATAAACACCCAAAAATTTGGGTGTTTATGGGGTTTAAACCCAATAAACCCAAAACACCCGGTTTTTACCCACCAGACTTTAAACCCACCCAGGTGGATTGCCCATCTCTAGGCACCAGTAAAGGATTATAAGTGAGAATGAAACGGCAGATCAATTAGCCCATCATGCTGAATACAACTGGAAATCAGCAAGATGGTTTCCAGGGGGACCTCACGTAGGTCGACCTGACCCAGGACTGGTAGTCGACATTAGTAACAATCCCTCCCCTCCCCCCCAGTTCTTATAAGTTGTACAATTAATATGGTTTATACAACGGTTTTTTTTTTTCTTTAATGTCATTTGCCTTCTGTTGTGACGTAAAACAATGATCATTGTGTCTCATATATATATATATATTTTTTTTACAAATACCTGAAAGCATTGTTTGAAGAACTCGTTGATTGTCTTCAAGTAACTTACATAATAATGACACATTATATGATAGATTTTGAAATAACGAATAATTTTCCAATTGACAATAGTTTTTTATTGTTTATATCATCAACGTTAAACACATTGTCGTTTTTGTTTTATTTTACTATTTTATTAGTTTTATCCGAGGCAGCACGCATGACCGAGTTAAAAAATAGACATATTACAAATACTATGTGTATGCCAAATTGCATGACGACTAGTTGAGACATTAAGGCGCCAATAACTACAAACACAAATTTACTTTTACGTTTAAAAAGTCACTAAGGATTTTATGGTCTTGTAAACATAATGGACATCTTATAAACTTCACAAATGCAACACAATTTCTACGATGTTTCTAGCAAATAAATTTCATTTCATTTCATTAGATACCTATCACAGAAAATCCTTTATTTCCTAATGATGTTACTTTATTGGTCATTCTAAAATACTTAACACGTTGAGCGCCACGCGTACAGCAATCCCGTTCAGGCCACGCGCGCCGCTTCGAAGCGCTGGTACTGCAGCAGCTGGTGTTTCCTATCGTAGTAGAAGGTATATTCCTATAAATTTTAAATAAATATTCTGTAATTCCGTAAAATAGTGTAAAATTTTATAGTTCTCATGTTACACGCTGTCAGCCACCGATGGCTGACGCGGCCTAAACGGAAAGTCTAGTGTCAGCCACCGATGGCGGACATGGCGCTCTACGTGTTAATATATTTTCACGTAGCGTATTAAAATTGTTATTCTACAAGAGTAATATTTTCATTTAAATCAGTTTTTCTTATCCTTATAGATCTGCCTTCAACAGTTTTTGAGAACTGAACAGAATTCCAATCAATCTAGTTTTTCTTTTAGTAGGGATTATGAGATTAGGGATTAAGAGACTACCGACTAAACCGTCTTTCAAAAAAAGCGTTCACGCTCACTTTTTACCTTTATCCGAGCAGTAAGTGCTTTATATTATTCCCAAATTCGTGTATAATATAGTATATATCATATATGTGTAAGTATATTTGTTATTCATATATATTTATTCGTTTATATATGTAATTTTAGTATGTATGTATATCAATAATAATTAGTAGTACCGCATTCGTGTATTCTGACACTTGCCTATGGTTGACTGGGAGACAATGCTTTTAGCATTAAGTCCGCCATGTACACATATATGTATCTACTAATGAATAAATAAATAAATTATTAATAATGATTGAAATTTTGTAAAATTTAAACTACCAATCATAATAACTGCCATAAACAAAGTATTAGAATATATGAAACAAACTCATAAGCGTTAACTTATATAACAATTGTTATTGTTGCTTAGAATTCTATTGCTGCAGGAATCACGTTATGCCCTTAATCTCGTCATATATTCACGACCGCCTCCGCACGAGCCTTGTACATGAACGTAATCATTTGGAACATCGACCTTTTTGCTAACATTACCAATTACGTAATTCATAGGTTCATTGACACTAAGAATAATATATCATTAGGTGCTTTTGGTGACCCAATTACTTATTTGGTCCGCCTGTTTATTTTGACCACATCTGGCCGCCCTTTCACCATATGTGTGTATCAGTAAACATTTTTTTTATTCACTTTTCTAGTTCGGCGCGCATGGTACTTTTAGCAAGGAAGTTTAAAAATAGTATTTGTGTATTTTCAAAACGAGTTCAGTATAAAAGATGTTTTGAAAATACAAAGAGCCTACATGACATGTACAGTAATAGTCATAAAAAAGTACCGAAAGCATTTCCAAACCAATTTTTCGAAAAAAGAATATTAAAACTCGATCTTATTATAGCAAGTATTCGGTCGGTATTTGATAAATATTATAATATCCAACTCTATCCTTATTATTTATAGTATTGTTCTTATTTTTATGAGTTACTGTAATTAATTTAGCCGTGTGGTCCCCACATAGAATAGGCCACCCCTTCCTTTCCTGTGGATGTCATAAGAATCTACTAAGGAAGGGCGGGAGATTAGGATAGATAGGGAAGGTAACAGCGTCCCTCTTGAAACATCTCTAAAGCCTAACTGCGATTATCAATTCGCCTGCCAAGTCTAGCAACTCGTGGAAAAACGCCCCAAGGGGGAGGCTTATGTACAGCAGTGTACAGTTGAAGACTGATATGATGGTGACCATAAAATTAATGGGAACATAATTTCTACTTTGTAATTTTTAATCATATAATAATATATTTATTATTGTAATAATAATGTATATAAAAATGATACCCACGATAATTAGACTCATTATTTTATCTTCCGGAACAACTTGAATTAAAGTGGAGTGTCAAAGAAAACTTAGAGTTGAGGGTGGAAAAGGGTCATCGAGAAGTCGTCAAAGCGAGCTCGGAAACCGGGTCAAGAGACTTCAAATAATCACGTAAATTGTGTGTCTATCCATAGTTAGTAACGGGGTTTTCTAGTTTATTTTCTATTTATATTTCCAATGCCATAAAATGGACATGTTTAACCTTGTACACATTCAACGTAAACAAATATAGGAGTTTTATTTTCATCATTACATTTACGAGCGGCGTGTGTAATAATGTATTTTTATTCATCTCTCTGTCACGTTTTGGGGGAACTTGTTTACCATATGGTCCTGTCATGTCTATTTCGTGGTCTGTTCAAAAGCAAATAGCTAAATGTTCCTTGTGATTTTGATAAATCTTTTATAATTTTTTGCTTTGCACACTCATTTTAAATTGTTCCCACCAACTAGTCCATTCATAAAGTGTTTGTTGAATCTCTCTAGACACTCAATTATAAGAGCTTTTTATTTCGGATCTTCAAAATATAACCAAGGCGTTTCTTTATCATCGATGTCTGGCAATATGCCAATTTGAAAATAGGCACGTGGTAATAAATAAAAATTGGTATCACCTACAAGGGCCCTTCTGTTTTAATACACATTGTTTATTGGCGACCCATTTTATATTTGCAATCTAGAGCAAGAGCATAAAGATCATGTTCTAGAGCGTTTACTCTCGAAGTGGGACAGCGATCGGTTTACGGCGAAATTTTAGTACTGTTATGAAATATAGCCGTAGATTGTACATAGTTAGATTTGAATGATGATCAGGTGGACGGATATTTATAATTCTACTCACGGCGTTATCCAATACATCCACATTCACTTTGTATCGGCCTCCGGCGCAAGCGCAACTACCATTCATTTATTTTACAACATGTGTTAAATGTAGTTACAGTTTTTAGCATGAAACATATACGAAATATATAATTTATAAACAGTGGTACATATATAAAAATGAATTCGCGTGACTACTACAAAGTAACATATAGCACTATAGACTCTGAAAATTCTCAAACTTCCATCGACAATGTGCTCGACAATGACACTGAATTCAATGCGAATCAGTTCAAGTTGTATGACGATTTCACAACGGATCTACGTATCAACTTTAATCCGATAAGAAATAACTACCATGAACTGGCCAGAACAGATGTCGGTAGAAGGAGGGGCGACCCAAACGACTCCGGCGTTGATATGGAAAATGGCAACCCTCTAGACGACGTAGCAAGGTCTAATGACAGTGAATTGGTAAGTATTGTAGTTTTATAAACAAATCTTTTTTTTTTTTTTTTTTTACAACACAGGGGGCAAACGAGCATGCGGCTCACCTGATGGTAAGTGACTATCTATCCTGTATATAGTAATCTATCCTGTGTTGACGGATAAGTCAGATTTTGTGTGTTAGATTGCATTCTTCTTACGTTACAATGAAATGTTTCGTATAAATAATTTATTTATCCAATATTCTTATTGAAAATCTAAAAACCGTTTACTGACTAGGTATCAAAATCAAACGGTACTTCAAAATTAACATTTAATATTTTATATTAGCAATTATTTATTTGTTTGAAAGTAATATGTAACTTTAAAATATTAATTAATTAATTAATTTTATGCATTAAACAAATTAAACGACTCCTATTAAAATGTACTGTTGATATATTGAAATAATTGCGCCTAACTAATTAAACAACAGGCTTTAATGTTCTTGCAGACAGAATGCTATTGTCATATGTTATAATTGGCAAATCGAGAAGTAGGTCTATTAGTTTCATCTATTTGTAAATGCTATGAATGACAAATCGCACAAGTTGAAAGGACTACTGTAGTACAAAACTGTTTATTGTTGTCGTAGGTGGAAATATAGTTCATCTTATTGATAAACATTAAAATTCCCATACAAACATATTTTTTTTTATTATTAGAATGTTTAACTACTTATTTCTTTTTTTTTTAGATAATTAGACTCTCATTTTTTTAGGTTCCATAAAATCGAGCCAATTCGAATTATATGACAATCGTAGTTCATTCATAGATATAATGCATGTATTGTTAGAGAACAATACACGTATTATATCATATTTCACAGTTTAATACACTAAACTCCTAGGGGAACTTATTTGTGCCACATCTACTGACGTAATGGCGCGCGTAATTCATTATGGCAAATGACTCACACTACATATTGCTTGTAGGTAATTATATCATATATGCCTGTTTGTACTTATATCCATAACTAAAGCTTTTAATTGTATGTCCAATTGTTATATGTTATTTTTAATAATAAAGATATCTTTAGCCGTTATTTATTTTCCCTTGCGTAAATATACCATTTGTTTTGTTTTTGTACAATTAGTTTATATTTATATTTAATTATACTCACGTTCATGAACTACGCTATTTACATACCCATTGAATTGGTAATATCGTTTTACTTATTAAATACTTTAAGTATTTAGACATCGATATTCAATCATGTTGTAAATTGATCTTGCTAATTATATAGCCATTTTGCGTTTTTCTCCTCGCAGTTAAATGCCTATGCGTGTTCCCGCTTTCGTGCCAGTAACCGGTATTTTTATGCATCCACAAATATGTACAACCTTATGCGTTACGACCGACTGGCCTTGACCAACTGATTAACTTCATTTACTCTTTTCGGGCCGCATTCGTCTTAAGCTGATTACCTTACTGCACTTGCAGACCTTTACCTTGACTTATTTTTCTTAAACGGCCAATACACACTTTCTCTCGATTTGTTTCAGTTGGAGAACGAAGTGATGGTAGATCCTTGGAGCAGCATGGACTCCTCGAATTCACCGTTAACCGACTCCGGACCGTCAGCCAGCGAAGACTGCACCCCTTCAACATCAAGTGAACCCCTTCGAGAACCTCTCGGCGCGTCTTCTCCCCTCTCTCCCGATTCGCGTCGCTTACCGGTCCCAAAAGATGCCAAAACCCTTCCTGTTAGAAATGTTCCCTCGAAGACAGCAGACAAGGCGCGATCTCGGGACCTGACACTTCAATTGGAGACACTAGAGCCCGATCCACTCCCACGCCGACCCCATTTCCTTGATGAAGACTATCAACTGCCCACCAAATCGAACATCGAATGCCGAATTCTAAAACCACATTTTCTCGATCATTCGCCATCTCCCGACGAATTCGATGAACGCAGTGATATCACAAATCCTAATTTTTTGGATGACGAAGTCGATGGCGATGATAATTTAGCACAGAAAAAAGCCGGCGCTTTTCCAAAAAGACCACAGAAGACTCCACCTTCATATTTAGCTCAAGATGATCGGCCTCATACAACCAGTTATAGAAGTACTTTACATTATGGCCTTGAAAGTGTTGCAAGATCGAACGAACGTGATAAACGAGCATCCCAGCTCTACAGAGGGACCTGGCCAGGAGAACGTGACGTATGGACAGCTCATGATTCTTCCAGCGTTCGCAGCTTTTCTAGCAATGGATCAGCGGAAGGAGCAAGACCTTCTTCTAATTTAGAAAATAAAATGGAATGTGTTTACTCATTGATTTCATTGTTAAGTTTATCCCCAGAAAATAATGCAGATCTAAGTGGACCTCTATTAGAAATGAGCCGTTCGGCAGAAAGTTGTGTCGCTATGAGGCAGTCAGGGTGTATTCCTTTATTAGTACAGTTAATACATTCAAAAGTGCCGAGAGAAACTCGAGATCGTGCTGCTAAAGCGCTACGTAATATTATTCTCACGCAAACGGATGACAAATCTGGTAGACGAGAAGCAAGAGTATGGAGGTTATTAGAGCAGGTTAGAGAATATTGTTATGTATTAGAACAAGTTGTAGAAACAAGAAAAGAGGGAAAAGAAATTATAGAAGATGATGTCAGTAAACACCCGAGTCAGAGTGTCGCTGCTTTGATGAAGTTATCCTTCGACGAAGAGCATAGACATGTTGTATGTCAATTAGGAGGCTTGCAGGCACTTGCAGCTTTAGTTAGCGGGGATCAAGCTGCACATGGTAGTGGGACTGATGACAACACCTGTTTAACTATGAGAAAGTATGCAGGAATGACATTAACAAATCTTACATTTGGAGACGGAAACAACAAATCTCTTTTATGTTCATTCAAAGATTTTATGTTAGCTCTAGTTGAACAACTGGAATCGCCAAACGACGATATGCGTCAGGTAAGCATTTCTTATTCATCTTATATTTAGATTTTTTATTACTTGAACATTTTTAGAAAAATAGTATAAATGTTATAACTAATTTAGTTATTATAACATGTTCCTGTTTTATTATTACAGGTGACTGCCGCAGTACTCCGGAATCTATCTTGGCGAGCAGACCCCAATAGCAAACAAGTCTTAAGAGAAGTAGGTGCTGTTAAAGGCCTCACAAAGGCTGCCATGACTTGTCAAAAGGAAGCTACTCTAAAATCAGTCCTATCAGCCTTATGGAATTTAACTGCCCATTGTTCTATGAATAAAGTAGCGTTGTGCTCAGTAGATGGAGCCTTGGGTTTTCTTGTAGATATGCTCAGTTATAATTCACCAACGAAAACGTTAGCAATAGTGGAAAATGCAGGTGGAATTATGAGGAATGTGTCGAGTCACATTGCCGTTCGTGAAGATTACAGGCAAATTCTCCGCGAGAGAAATTGTTTGAGTGTCTTACTGCAGCACCTGAAGTCCCCGAGCTTAACGGTGGTAAGTAATTCTTGCGGTACTTTGTGGAATCTCTCTGCAAGGTGTCCTCAAGATCAAGAGTTCTTATGGGACCACGGGGCGGTACCGATGCTTAGGAGTCTCATTCATTCCAAACATAAAATGATAGCCATGGGCTCGAGTGCCGCTCTCAAAAATCTACTCAACTCTAAACCTGGAAAAAACCACATTATCTCGTTAGACGCCACAGCAAGAAGTATGAATCTTCCGGCACTACCTACCCTTGGCGTAAGAAAACAAAAAGCATTGGAACAAGAATTGGACCAAAATTTAGCTGAAACTTGCGACAACATCGAGCCAGTCACATCACCTACAACAAGTAATAGAGAAGAGAAGAACCTCTTCACAGCTACTGAGAGACAGATGGCTATGAATCTGGAAAGACACAGGATGTCATCCAGTTCTCCTTTGATGGGGACTCTAGCATCGCAAATATCGTTAAGCCATAGTGCACATCTAGCGAGCTACCTGAGTTGCAGTAACACTTTATTGAAAGGCGCGCTGGTTACGCGCTCCACGACTGGCGGAAGTTCTACTAATGTTAACAGATCTGAGAGCAAAGACTCTGTCACAAGCACACATTCAGACTCTATTTTTGAAAGAGTAATGCGCACTGGGAAGGTACCTGTACCGACACCGAGAAATAAAGACTTGATGAAAGGAGAAAGATTGAGCGACGCTTTTAAAGCAGGGTCGAAAGTGAATGCTAAAGACGGCAGTTTTCTCCGGTACCCCACTCAACCGCCTATACCACCTCCGAGGAGTTCAACGGATATGAGAACAAACTACACAGAATCTGGTTATGACGTCGACCAAGATTCTTGCGACCAACCAGTTGATTATAGCCGAAAGTACTCAGAAACCAAGACAAACGAATCTGAATCCATTGATAATAAATCAAAATCTTCAGAGGCGGGTAAAAAGTATTCTAAGAAGGAACCGAATACATTTGGGGACTACCAGGAGACTGACCTGGATCAGCCCACTGATTACTCATTACGTTACGCTGAACACCAATCGGAGACCGGTTCAGATTTATCAGAGCCTCCGGGCCCGTCCGACACTATCAAGCACTTTGCGACAGAAGGAACACCCTATGAAACTCCTGTTGTATTCTCAACAGCAACGTCAATGTCTGACCTTCGAGTGATCGGTAAAGACGGTAAACAGAAGACTACGCCGAACACGAAGGAACACCCAGAAGCTATGACTCATTCGGACGAGAAGGACACATGTTCGATAGAAGATCCACCTAGACATGACAATGACAGAGCAGCGACCACGCCCCAAGCCTCATCTGTTACTGAAACTAACCAGAAGAGGGAAGTCTTTGACACCAAGTTTAGTTCGGGGATGATAAGTCCCGAGAAACCAGTGAACTATTGCGACGAAGGCACGCCAGGGTGTTTCTCGAGAGTCAGTTCCCTTAGCAGTGTTGGAGAACCTACTGAGGAAGACAGTATAGCTAAAAAGAATGCAATGGCTACTATCAACGTGGAGCCGAGCCCTCAAGAACCTAGCTCTGGCAGTATTTCTAAAGACAAAGAAGGTTAGTATTAAACGCCAATCTATTATGAAATATTAATTATTATAGATAGACAAGTAAACAAACTAATCATCCACCTGATGCAAAGTGGTAATCGTTACCTATGGACAAACAGATCTTGATGAGGGATACCTCATGCGCTACTATTCCTGAAGTCTATGGTGTTAGGCCTAAATTATAATAGATAGATAGATAGATAGATACTCTTTATTGTTTCCTCCAAAAGATTACAATAGTAGACTTATTATAAATATAAATAATTACAAGAAATAATCACAATGAGAAAACAATGGGCGACCTTATCGCTAAGAGCGATCTCTTCCAGGCAACCTTTGGATGGAGAGGAGTAATTATAATGTTAAATTTTAATTTCCAATAAAATTAATATTGTTTTTATTTCTCATTAAACACTGAATATGAAGTACGAACACAGATTTAAAAAGTAGAGCTTACTGTGGCCCACTGACCCTTCACTTTTAATATTGTAACACACCCCGGACTCTTCATACAAAAACGCCACGATCTGTGCTTGTCACAACTATAGAAACAAATTAACATGTGTATATGTGACAATGTGTGCGTGTGTAGTTACAATTAGATCTGGAAAATGGAGTTTGGGTGCTGACGCGTACTTGAGAGGGGGTGAGGTCAGATCGCAACGGGTGTCAGGGAACGTCCACACTGTACTTTATACTGCAATTGTAAATTAAAATTCTTGTAGGTATATTTTTAATTTGAAGTTATATTGTCAGGTTCGAAGGCGGTGACGTTCGCGTCGGAGCCGACGTCGCTGGGCGCCGGCTCGCCGCGGTTCGTGGAGGACACGCCGCTCATGTTCTCGCGATCCAGCTCGCTGGGCTCGCTGCCCGACTGCGGCCCGCACGACGACCAGGGATCCGTTTTGTCGGAATTCAGGTATGCACCCGGATATGTACACTTCCAACTTTAAAGCTATAATCAGCTGTGGAGGTTTTTCCATGTGACTTCTGTATTCTTCAGAAAGGGGTAAAGAGGTTTCTTCAGGTTTGGTAATATGCGCGTAATGCTCCTTGTATTGCAGGCGTTCATAGGCTATGGTAACCGCTTACCTTCAGGCGGGTTGTTTGCTTGTTTGCCACCTTAGTGGTATAAAAAAAAAATAACAGGCATTAGACACATGTTGAGGTAACGCATTGCCATGTAGTCTGATACTCTGATATTCTGTCTGATAGTCTTCTGCTACAACCACTGAAACATTTTACATAGTAGTTCATTTTATTTCTTTTTTTTATGCAACATAGAATGACAAACAAGCTGACGGCCCACCTGATGGAAGATGGTAACCGTCGCATGGACATAACAAAGTATACTGTTTCGCCCATTATATCCTCCATGCCTTGCCATACCTGAGGACTCAGATGTTATTCCTCTGTACCCTGTAAATTTACTGCCATATCCCATTCTTCAAACCAAAACACAGCCATACAAACACAACTGCTTCACGATTGAAACACGAATGGGACAGAGGTAGCCAAGCAATCGACTTTTGTGCAAAGTCTCCCTCTGGTATAAAATCTACATAGGAACAAATTGGATTAAGGCTCTTTAACGTGCCAAAAATCACCAAAATATGCTCGAGTCAAATACGATGTGATTTCCCTATAGCATGCCTCTGGTTCTGACAGCTCAAGTTTATATTTATTAGTACTTTAGTTAATTTTTTTTGGTTTTCACCTTCTCGACTTATGTCGGCTTAAAAACATACCCCGTCCTGTAACCCACAGGAAAAAAGGTACGTATGCCCCAGTTTTATTTTTATGTCCGTCTTCTACCTCGCCTTCTCTTTAGAGTGTATACTGAATTTGTGAGTGATTGTGTGTTTGATGTATGAATTGTGTATTAGTACTTTATATAATTATATAATTAAATGTATTATTATATTAACATATATACTGAGTGAAAACGGAACAAGGCACGTTTAGATGGCTTAGTATGGGAACTAAAAATTTTTCCTTATTTCCGACTAGTGTTCGTTAAGGAAATATAAAAGACTCGCTTAAAAGTATACTAATTCTAATTTCATCCTCTGCAGAACCATGCTAGATATTGTAAACTGTTACTTATCGTTGAAAGTGTAATAAAGCGCTTCCTTGCATGTACAGTCGGCTGCCGTCCGGGTGCATCTCCCCGAGCGAGATTCCGGACTCGCCCGGCCACAGTGTGCCCGGATCCCCGCCCACCCTGGCCACGCACGAGCCCGGTATGTAACCTTTATTATATACATACATACATATATATATGTATATATATATATATATATATACATATATATATACATATATATATATATATGTGTGTGTGTGTCTGTGTGTATAGAAAATGCATCAGCAACCTAGTATTCATGAAACTTAACAAGTTTCTCAGAACACAGGTCGAAAACTTGGACTGTATGAGAAAACTACTGCAAATTATCATTAGAGGACAATGACTTCTAGTCAAAACGAATTAGTACCATTTTTAAGCAATTTTCCTTATTCTATACAGCTGTATTATGTTTAATCACCTCGTGAATCGTGACTCAGTGTGTTTAGAGGCATATTGTATATAATGGTAATAATTAATTCTATAGCTCAGCTAAAAATAAGTCCGGGGTAATGAAATCTAACAAAACAATTTGGCAGTGAGTGATCATCATTTATAGATAATGATGTATTCAGATCAGTTGGTCAATAGTCAACTGTTTTTTTTTTTTTTTGAGAGCCCTTCTGTCTTCTGAATTTTTAATTTTCACTATGCATTTTTAACCGACTTCAAAAAAGGTGGTTCTCAATTCAGTTTTTTGTGGACCACAATCTTAAATTATTGTAAATAAGGTGCAATACGCGTCACGCTTTTCTATCGCCATACAATAGAAACATTTGTATACTTCATGGATGTATTTGTTTCTTTTCTATGTGTAATATATACATATGTATTTAGAAAAAAAAAGTGTGTGTTTGGGTAAAGAGAAGAGAGAAGGACAAATCTATTTGTTCACGTTGACCTTGCGTGTAGGTCTCCTTTGTTGATTCGCTGCTTGGCATTCGCTGATTCACTGTATGGCATTGAGTAGTACGCGACTGCCGGAGATTTTTTTGTGATTTTAGCGGAGTTTTACGCACAGTTGGATTACAGACTGATTTAGTAGCCATCTACCCCCCAATATGATCCCAGATTTGATCGGGAATATGGGTAGGAAAGAAGGGTAGAAGGATATAGCGGCATTGCGTTCGGGAATGCTTAATAATTAGATTAAAATGATAAGATTATATTAACCAGTTTGTTATGTATTAATAGATACTAAGCGTTGGTTAATTTGTGATTTTTTTTTTAAATGGATGATAATGGAATGGTAACCCCACCTGCGCTATCGGTATACACCGGCGGGGCACCAGTGAAGAATGATAGGTGAGGATGAAGCAGGTCAGTTAGCCCATCGTGACGAATTTAACGAGAATTATTCACGATGATTTCCAGGGGGAACCACGTGGAGGTCGACCTAATAAGGTATATTGCTAGCAATGGGGCTGTCAAACTCCAGTGCTAACAATCCTTTTCCCCCTGTTAATTTGTGATTAGATGTAGCTATGTAATGTATAAGTGCAAAATTAAGAGATGTTGTACACTGTCCCCGCAGAAGCGCCGCCCGAGGCCCAGGAGGCGGCGCCGTCCGTGTTCGAGGAGCGCGTGTCTCGCTTCGTGCTGGAGCACACGCCCGCGCAGTTCTCCGCCGCCACCTCGCTCAGCAGCCTCACCATCGACGACGAGCCCCCGGTCAGTACTTTTTACTATATATATATATATATATATATATATATATATATATATATATATATATATATATATATATATATATATATATATATATATATATATATATATATATATATATATATATATATATATATATATTGGTAATTACCGCCGCCCATAATCAACCACAACACCAACGGTATTTTTTTAATGAGACAATGGGATGGTAACCCCACCTGCGCTATTCGGATACCCTCCGGGGCACCAGTGGGAGATGACAGGTGAGGATGAAAAGGCAAGTCAGTCCATCGTGAAGAGTTTCACTAGAATTAATCACGACGGTTTCCAGGGGGAAACCTGTGAGGCGTGAGCCCCACGTTGGGAAACACCGGTCTATAGTCAGACCACAGGATGCGATAATCGTGATGTACTAGTAATTAATATTGTCGTTACGTTTCCAGCAATCTATACAGCTGGCTGGCAGTATGACGCGGCGGGACAACAACGCGACCACCGCGGGTCAATTGGATATCAGTTCGCAAGGAGACAGGTATGTTATTTCTGAATGTAAGAGGAAACTAACTCTGACTGACAGACTGACATCTACGCGTGGCCAGTATTGGGTATACAAATAATAAATGTCACTGATTGTCAACGATTTGCTGAATTTTTAGTGGAAACAGACGATCGGTTTCCATCAGAGTGAAACCATAGGAATTAGGTTTTTTTTATACCACTGAGGTGGCAAGCAAGCATACGGCCCACCTGACGGTAAGCGGTTACCGTAGCCTATGAACGCCTGCAATACCAGAGGTATTACGCGCGCGTTGCCGACCCTGAAGAAACTTCTGTACCCCCCTTTTGAAGAACCCCATGCTGTAGGCTCTTGGGAAAACCTCGGCAGGGAGCTCATTCCATTACCTGAGTGTTCGTTGGAGAAAACATCTCTGAAACCGCGTTGTACGCGACCATTTAGGCTGTAAGGTTGTCATGTCAGGTCAGATAGATACTCTTTATTGTTTCCTCCAAAAGATTACAATAGTAAACTTATTATAAATATAAATAATTACAAGAAATAATCACAATGAGAAAACAGTGGGCGACCTTATCGCTAAGAGCGATCAAGGCAACCTTTGGATGGAGAGGAGTAGTCATACATCCTCATATCACGTGACTTTTAGTTCTTTCATTGTTTCTCCTTTTAAATACTAATTAAACTGCCTCTCCCGCAAGGAACTCAGTGTGAAGATAAATTAATAAATAAATTAATGAAAATAATATTTAAATTGATCAAGAAGTGCGTGACTTGGTTCCTCCCTCATCCTTTCAGCATCGGATGACCAGGTAAAGAGAGTCTGGAGACTTCCTTATGTCGTAGACTTACCAGTTATAAGTACGAAGCGCTTTGCGTTTTCCTTCATTATGCATATAGCGAAGCAGTGGAGCTCTCTCCCTACTTATCTTTTTCCACCCACATACAATTTATACCTAGAATAATCTATTCGTAAACCCACGAATTCCATCTTAGGCCACGTTATCACTTTCCATTACATGAGTTCGTGATCAAACGCGGAAACTCTTCAATAATATAAAATAAATATCGCCTTACTATTTATAAATTAAAAAATAAAAAAAAAATCTAGACACGCTGTAAGTATTTTTATCAAAAATATATAAATTAGGGTATAAATAAGCAGTCAAACTATTTATAATTATTTTTCTCCATCCAAAGGTTGCCTGGGAGAGATCGCTTTCAGTGATAAGGTCGCCAATTGTTTTCACAGTATGATCCTTTCTTGTAATTGTTTGTATCTATAATAAGCTTACTATTGTAATCTTTTAGAGGAAACTATAAAGAGTATCTATCTATAAACGGACTTGATGTCGTTTTGGTCATAGCGTATTCAAATGTTATGTGTTATTTCCATTTCAGAGTTGATACACAACCTCGACCAGTCGCCAACGACAGTTCTAATGCGATAAAAGGTACAATATATCTTTTTTAATATTTTGAATATTCATACGGTACGATTATCATGTCTATAGGCGACGGTTACCACTTTCCATCAGGTGGGCCGTCAGCTTGTTTGCCATTCTAAGTTGTAAAAAAAAAAAAATTAAAAATATTGTGTTAATTCTGTGTATGTTATTTTTAAATTACTGTTTTAATATTGTTTTTTTTTCTATTTATTTGTTCATGACGTTGCACCGTCAATTATATTTTCTGTTATTCCTGGTAGATAACGCCATATGGTGTTAAGTCCGCCATTTTCACTATTTAGATGTATTAAGTTTAATAAAAAAATAAATAAATAATTTAAAATATTATTTTTAAGAAAGATAAAATTGTAATCTTCTTAGTATATAAAAATCTCGTGTCACGATATTCGGTGACGCTAATTTCCGAAACCGCTCAATCGATTTAACAAAATATTGTTAATGTTTTTTTTTTTTTTTTAATCTATTGTATATTCGATAGGTGACAAAGACGTTTTTTAGGTCTGCTGTCATGCAATAAGATTCACGTTAAATTACTGAACGTATTTTGGAATATAGTGCTAAAATTATTTTTTTAATATAGTACTAAACAGTAACAATGCCTTACAAACATGAGCAGTAAGGTCTCTTTTAAAATACTACTGAAGCTTGACTGCGGTTGCCAACCCACCTGTCAAGTGTAGTTACTACAGGTAAAACCCCTACTTATAGGAGAAGCCTATATTCAGCAGTGGACAGTTAACGGCTTATGTAGATGATGGACCTTGCAGCATACAGAGACACTCAAGAAGACTAGTGCTCATTATCAGAGCTTTTTTTAAACTTACTTAGAATGTCAAAACAAGCTGACGGCCCACCTGATGAAAAGTGGTAAACGTCACCCATAGACATGAGCAGTACCATGGACATAACATGAAGATTAAGGTGTTATTCCTCTGTACCCTGTAAATTCACTACCATATCCCATCATTCACACCGAAACACAGCCATGTAAATACAACTGCTTCACGGTAGAAACACTAATGAGACAGAGGCATCCCAAGCAAACGACTTTTGTGCAAAGTCTCTCTCTGATATTCAAATCAATATGTGCATAACTCTAGAATTGTCCTGTCCTCTTCAGGCACGCAAACGCCCAGCGACGTTTGCAAGGTGTACTTCACGGAGGACACGCCGGCCGTGTTGTCGAAGGCGGGCAGCAACTCGAACCTGTCAGCGCTGTCCATCGAGTCGACCGCGCAGCCGCCCGCCAACGACTCGTCCGACAGCTCCAACCTGAGCGACGCGGGGGATCTACTCGAGGAGTGCATACAGAAGGGAATAGCCAAGGTAATGGGTTCTTTGGCTTGTTTTTTTTTAATTGATGAAAATGGAATGGTTAATATATGAGGATGAAAGCAGTTCAGTTAACACAACCTGAAGAATTTTACCAGAATTAACCACGATGGTTTCCAGAGGTAACCTCTAACAATCCCTTTCCCCCCACCTCCTTAGGTGGGGGGAAAGCGATTGTTAGTGATGGAGACTAAAAACCCATTGCTAGCAATATATCTAATCAGGTCGACCTCCTCGCGGTTCCCCCTGGAAACTATCATGGTCAATTCCTGATGAATTCGTCATGATGGGCTAACTGGCCTCCCTTTTGATTCTCACCTATCATCCTTCACTGGTGCCCCGCCAGCATATAACGTTAGTACGGACGGGGTTACCATTCCATTTTCATCCATAAAAAATAGCGGGCAAAAGCTAATGATTACAATATTCTTGCAGGTGGTGAAAAACAAGGGTCCGCCCTCAGATATCTCGCCTGTCAACTTGTACTCGAGGGACGATGTATATGTAAGTATATAATCGTATTTATTTATTTATTTATAACAGTAAAACTAAGACTTGCTTGCGACAAGTGTTTTTTTTTTATGCAACTTAGAACGGCAAACAAGCTGACGGCCCACCTGATGGAAAGTGGTAACTGTCGCCTATAGTCATGAGCAGTATCATAGACATAACAGAGTATACTGTTTCACCAATGATACCCCCCATGCGTTGCCATTCCTGAGGACTCGGGTGTTATTCCTCTGTACCTAGTAAATTCACTGCGATATGCCACCCTTCAAACCGAAACATAGCCCTGCAAACACAACTGCGTCACGGTAGAAACACGAATGGGACAGAGGTGGCTAAGCAAACGACTTTTGTACAAAGTCTCCCTCTGGTAAGTTAATAACAATAAAGCCACTTATCGGTTTTCACCTATTGTATTTATCTATGATTGTGTAATCTTTGCAGCCAACTTAAGAGTACTCTATGAAAAACGTAATGTTGGACATTTGTATTTGATTAAATATGATTTATATTTTTTTTTTTTTTTTTTTTGGTGAATGAAAAGGGAATGCTAACCCCGCCTGCGCTAACGGGATACGCTGGCGGAGCACCAGTGACGGGTGATTGATGAGAATGAAAACAAGCCAGTTAGACCATCATGATGAATTCATCAGGAATTAACCATGATAGTTTCCAGGGGGAACCACGTGGAGGTCGACCTGGTTGGGTATATTGCTAGCAATGGGATTTTTAGTCTTCATTACTAACAATCCCTTTCCCCCCATATGATTTATGTTATTAAATCTAATTATAACAAGAAGAGTATTTTACTTTATACTACATTTAATTTAGGAACACTAGTAAAAACTTATAATTGTTATTTTTTATTGCAGCGATCACTTCCACCGTATCTGCGCTCTTCCACTGAAACGGTCAAGTTGTCCCACGAACATACTAGGAGTGTTCGCGACAGGTAAGGATTTTAATGCTATCTATTTGAAATGGAAACAAAAATAAAAATAATAATAATAAAGATTTATTGCACATAAAAATATACAGTCATGGGCTTACAGAAATTTCAAAGTGAATTATATGTGTATAATTGTGCCCAGTGTAGCATTGTGCCCAGCACATTAGTGTCTAAACTAGGCCTAGCCTGTATCTTAGACACCAATGCCTTCAATTAGATACATATTTTCGTGCAGTTTCGCTATATTACAAATAGTACAAGATTCAGTAAACAACATGTTTTTTATTACTAAAATAGGGTATCTGTAAAATAAATTACAATGTTGTATCAAGAAATGTGCCATTATTAGTTAAATAGATGTCATGCTCTGCATTGTTGAATAAAAGATAGATAGGTAGATATATAATTTATTTGCATTACTTACAGCACATCATACAAATCACAGCAGACATAAACCAAAAGCGAGATATAAGAAACATATATTTATAATACTTATTTTGATTTTATATATATAATCATAAAGTTACAATTTCATTGACAAAAATTTTAATTAATTTGATTATGACAACAGGTCTTTTTAACCCCTCCAGGTAGAAGGGCTCAGATGGGGGCCTCAGAGTGAACCCTTTTATACCAGATATAACACCGAAATAACAACCCCCAGATCAATGGATCAATGTCTGCTGGTTTTGTTTTTTTTTTTTTAATGGATGATAATGGAATGGTAACCCCGCTTGCGCTAACGGTATACACTGGCGAGGCACCAGTGGGAGATGATAGGTGAGAATGAAAAACAGGTCAGCATGATGGTCCGGGAGGACCACGTGGAGGCTGACCTGACAGGGTATATTGCCAGCAGTGGAACAAGTAATCCGCATTATTAACAACCCCCCCCCCCCCCTTCCCAATGTCTGCTGGTTGGCTTCATGATGTTGACGGATAGGTGTAATATGATTGTTGACCAGGGTTCAATACCTTGGTTATATAGGTCGGTAGGAGCGGCAAAGTTTGAATACTAAGGACAATTGTGTAAATTCGCCACTCGCTAAAGACTAAAGCAGAGATAAAATTTTATATATATTATAACAGAACGTGACCACCATCAGAATTTTGACAGCAAGCGTCCGTATTTAAAGTTATTTTGCGTGTTGCAGCAGCAGCGCGAGTCCGCCGCCGCTGCCGCCCAAGATGGCGCCTGATGCGCCGCCGCCGCCTCCGCCAAGACCTCAGCCGCAGCCGCAGCATGGTATGGCGCCACTGAAACAACTAGACTAAATATTTACATCAATAAGTCCTTTTCTCATGCCCGTGATGTTGTAAGGGGCGACTAAGGGAATAATGCACGATATCTAGTGTACTGTGAGAAAATACAGTTGGATGTTAATGGATATCTTTCTATATGGTCTCCTTTAACCAAATGTTGTCTGTAAGAGATTGCCCTGGCGATAATACCGCCTTTTGTACTTTTATATGTATATTTTAATCTGTATTTCATGCTACTGTATTTTAGTTGAATTGTTTATATGCCATTGTTTATTTTTATGTTTTTGGTGCAATAAAGAGTAATTTTTTTTTTTTCACTTCAGGCCGAAAACATGAAAGTCGTCTGCCAGTTAAAACTCAAAGAAACTCACATGAGAAGCCCAAGTTGCCTGTTACAACTAATTTACTGAGGAACGATTCCCAGAGCTCCCTGAGCTTGGACTCCTTCGGCTCTACCGACAGGGAAATATTCGAAGAGACAGTGAAGGCCGGACTGTCAAGTGTCAACCCGCGAGCGACCTACGCCCTCGAGAGCAGCAAGGGCAAAGCGCACTCGGTCGAGAGGCCGGCCGAGGCGACGCGGCACAGCCGGCAGCACAAGTCTCTCGACAGGAGCGACAAAATTGCACAGCACCGGCCCAAGGTCAGGGACCCCGAGTTCGAGAGGAACCTCGCGGCCGGCGCGTACAGCCTGAAGCCGTCGAGCAAGCTGCGGCAGCTCGACGAGGCCGGCGCCGCGGGCCCGCCGGCCGCGCGCCGCGACCGCAGCAGCTCGCTGTCCTCGCTCAGCAACGACTCGTTCGGCTCCACCGACATGGAGGTGTTCGAGCGCAGCGTGCGCCTCGGCATGGCCCGGGCGCAGCCGCGGCGGCGCGACGCCGGCCGGCGGCGGCGCGGCGGCGGCGGCGGCGGCGGCGGCGGCGGCGGCGGCGGCGCGCTCGAGCGCATGCTGGGCGACGAGTACTCGCTGCTGCAGGAGACCATCGCGCGCGGCGCCGGCGAGCTGCGCGCCGCGCCCGCGCCGTCAAAAAACGAGCCGGCGCCGTCTGCGGCCCGCGCGCCCGCAGGCGGCCGCGCCGCCACCGCGCGCACTGGCTGTGACGCCTCCAACGAGGACCTGGCCGCCGACACCACCGCCGGCCACGACGACCTCGACGTCTCCAACGAGTCGTACGCGGACGTGCTCGACGGCTCGCTGTCGGACGCCGGCTCGGCGCCGCGGCCGCCCGCGCGCCGCCCCGACACCTGGGACGACAACACGTGCCCCGACGACGTCACCTTCCCGACCATCAGCGGCTCCGTGCACATGGTGTCGTCGATCCGGAGCGAGGTCGTCGACGCGGCCGTCGCGCTGCCGGACCTGCTCGAGAAGAGCGGAGGCACCGCCTCGTCGCGCCCCGACCTCACCGACAGGCTGGGCGAGGAACCCGGCGAGCCCCAACGTCTGCGGCCTGAACCCGAGAACGGCGTGCTGCTGGGCGACGTCCTCGAACCGAGCTTCGCGTCGTCGGTCGACGACGGGGAACAGAGGTTCGACTCTATAATGTCTTCCGCTATCGAGAAGGAGGCCGCCAGGCTAGCCGCCCAGCTGAAGAACTCGCAGTATGAAATGGAGAACAGTGTCACGTCGCTGACGTCGCTCGACTTGGACAACGTGAAGCCGCCTTCCAATCTGGGCAGCCTGTTGTCGCTGAGCGCTTCCGGACAGTGGGAGGAGTCGTCGGCTCAGGTATCCAAAAAGTCGCAGCGCAGTCGCAAGAAATCTTTACCTGTCGCTCTGATGGTGAAACGAGCACTGAGCAACTCCTTCAATCAAGGCAGCTCAGAACATTTGGACAGCAACCCTGTTAGTTTCTTAGATAACGTAAAACCTCCCTCGGAAATGGAAAACCTCGACATGGAAAGCAGCATGGTCTCGGTATCCAGTATAGTGTCAGAAATCGCGGAGGTTAAGGAAAAAACTCCTGTAGTCTTTGATTTCAAACAGCCAATACAAGACTTCCCTCTTTACCATAATTTCACAACAGTCTTCCAAGACCTAGATAAAGTTAATCCTCCATCTTTGTTCGACGAAATGGCAGAATCTACATTGGAGATAGATCAAACCACCGCACAGCAAGTTCTAGATGATTATGTCTCTAATACCCTAAATGTTGTAACTGATATACCTTCAGGATCCGAAAATTGCACCCCTATACCATCTGATATTAGTAGCGTGGAATCTACACCCAAAAAGCAAAGGAGTTCTAAATATTTAACACCAAAAGAAAAAAGAAATGCGTCCAAAGATAGATACCAAACATACACGATAACAGACAGTGTGACAGAGAACGAAATAGTTCCAGAAGTTGAGGAAGAATTCGTGACTTGGACCAAATCGGAGAGCGACGCGAGCGGCCCCTCTGACGAGTACTTAACTGCTACATCAGATTCGAAATCTAAACGGAAAATGAGTGCCAAACAAAGAAGATTAGAGGACAGGGCTAGATACCAAACCCAGACTGTGAACATTCATAATATTTTAGCCCAGGAATCATCTCAGATTAAAGCAGATTCCAATATAGAAAATCTGAAACAGCGTCTAGCAGCAAAAAAGACAATGAAACAGAAGCGTTTAGAAGATACTGAAAGATTCCGAACTCGAACACTGAGCGAAGACATCCCTCCATCGCCGACATTCGTCACGAAAGATGCCAACTTCGAAAATGTTGAGACAACCACTGGTTACGACAGTTTATCTTCCAATGAAATGAACCATCAGCAGATACTGGACGACAAGCACAGGGACGATGATGTATTCTCCAGAGACGCTGACAGCGGCCACAACGAGGACGACTTCGAATTGAATTCGACGCAAATGCAAACATACACGAAGAGTTTCAGGAATTACTTGCCCGTTATTGAGAGCCCGGCATCCGTCGACCTATGTGTCGTTAACAACCTCAAGAACATAGAGATGACCGCTTCTTATAGACGAACTTTACAAATGCAAAGTGACAAGAACCAGAACCCGAGTAGCAGTGACTTCGCTAGCTACGAAGGCGACAGCAACTCCGAGGACAGGGTTCAGTCCGAATCGGACCCGGAAACGCCCATGTCTCGACCAAAACCCAAAATAATTAAGCCATCACGTCGAGATGAAAGTTTAGATAGCAATGACTCGCTCGAAAAGGAGCAAGATCTAGCTCCTAAAGTCGTAAGGGGTAGGAAAAAGGCCATGTACGTCTCGCCTTATAGAAGAAACGTTTCTGCGACTAAGAAACCAACAACACCGCCCGTTAAAACTACAACAAAACCAACGCATCCCGTGAAAGGCACTACTTACACTGCCAAAGCGCATACCAGTGCCAAAACTCCGAATAAAACTCCGACATCTTCCAAACCACCCAGTGCTAATACATCTCCCAAAAAGTCTCTTGTAAACAAGTCGCCTTCCAAAACTGCTCAGCAAAAGACCGTGGCGATACCTCTCGTTGCTACTAAACCATTGCCACTGGAAAGACAAGGTACATTTACTAAAGAAGATAGTACTGTTCCACCTAAAGATCTTCCAGTGCCCGACAAGAAGAACGCTCCTAGATTTGCGAAAGCCACGTCTCCGACCAAAACCAATCCTAATACGTCCCCATCTAGATTACCGCAACTGAGTCGATATTCGCGACCGCAGGCGAACAGAACAAATCAAACTAAACAGCCAAATAAAGCGACCAACACGAAACGGCAGCCGGAACCGGCTATGAGAAATTCGCCTTCGAACCACAGTCTACAAAGCAACGAAAGTGGAAAAACGATAACGTTAGCATCCCGTGGATCAAGGCAGGGTAGCACGTCTAGTGTCAACTCCATTCAGTCATCGAAAACAAAGGACGTCGAGAGTAAAATAGCTAATCTGTGGAAGAAGGTCGAGCAGACCAAGAAACAGCCGGCGAAACCTGACAAGAGAGTGTGGATAGAGAGTGACAAGACTGAAACTCCAAAACTGATAAGGAGTTCGACATTCGAAGGACAACCGAAACAGAGCCAGGTGTCGTCGGCGCCCAAACAAAAATCCGCTATTGGCATAAGGGTGTCGCAGATACCGAGTTTACGGCCCAAGTCCACGCCGGCGAAGCCTACAGGCCAAGTGACTAATGTAAAGAAGCCAATTAATACGAGAATATTTACTAGAAAACCTGTCAATGGGCAGTCAACGTAAGCAAATGAATATTTCGGAATATATAAGCATGTATGACTGTGGACTCTATCGACAGTTTTTGAATTTTTGAGTTGTTTTATTTGATTAAAAAGATACAAACTTTTGTTATACTTTAAAAAGTAATCCTAACAACTGATTATTGATGTGTGGTCAATTAATGAATGTATTGGCTTTATATTTGGTGATTATAAAAGTAATACGAAACAGTATTGATTACTGTTAATCTATGATTAGGTAAATTAATTAGTTATTATATCTTTAAAACGCAATGGGTTGGTTGTTAATTATAGGTATATACGAAATTAGACTAATGGATGTATTGAATTGGTACTGAAATATTTATTTAGCTATTGACAACGTCTTTAAATGAAACCAAATTAGTTTAATTTAATTTCGTATAATTTTGTATATTTTTTTGCATTTACTCATATAGGGATTAATTTACTTTTACATGACCAACACATTTGTATTAATTATAACAAGCAAAGACAAATTCTTTTACTATATTGGCTGAATGTTCAATATATTATTATGTAATGTTAACATCACTTGATATATTTATGTGTGACGATATATTTATATACTGGAATAATAAATGCCATGCTTATAATGTCTGGTGTAATGTAAAAAAACTGATAAGAAATATCGATATTCGAAGCCATATCTAAATATTGTACATTATGTCATGGCCATATGTCCGATACGAACAACGTCACAGAAATAACTTGCATTTTATTAAATGTAAATTAAGAACAAGCTTACCAATAATTATAACTCATATTTTCTCATCACAGTTTGTGTTATATTGTACCAATTAATTTTTGGTCGGGAAAATTGTATTTTTCTTGCTGGAAATTATTGGGTAACTATGGTAAAATTTAACACAAATACTTGTTTGTAAATACTTTTCATGGAAAATTCTAGATGGTAAGTTTTACCCGTACAGTTTGTATATTTTTTCATGTTATTATTATAAAATGGGAACTGCTGCGACTCTACCGAGTGAAAATGCAGGCATTTGTATAATGTCGTAATTTTTTACGTCTAGTCAGTTAAACGAGTAAGCGAAGGGAATTAGTTTCGACTAAGGATCGTAGTTTTTACATAAACGGAACCGATGTCGGCCACACCATTGCATTGTACCGTAGATTTATATTAGCTGGCTTCCTGTAGTTAATGCTCTCTGCTTTTTTTTCTAATTTTTATTATCAGACATGCGATGGTGCCCAGGATGTGTCCAATGGTTGTTGAACATTCGATCAAACACCATTGGATGGGTCCAGGTGAATATTCATTAAATATCAACATATTTTAGCATAATATATTGATGTAGTCGCTTCATACCCAATGTGTATGTTGACAAAAGATACCCAGTTCCATATTTAGCAGTTGAGGGCATAATATTTAATTAAAATTATTGTTCTGTTTGCAATAATGCAATTTAAGGATTTTCCCACTGATGTAGTAAAACCGCCATTATTTCCATGTTAAAAGCCAGTTTATGTTAAATTAATACTTATTTAGTAATAAGATAAGTAACTAAATGGTAATAAATGATATTTACCGGGTCCGAATGTTTTAATTTAAATTCCTCATAACAGCGTATGACCTCAGACATAGTATATTATATCGTCATAGTTGTAGAATACTGATGGATCTAACAAAGATTACATATAAAGATTCGTCAGTATTCTACGACTATGACGATATGTGGCTCAGAACTCGTTACTATAGAAAGTTTTAGTGAAAAAGTATTTCAAAATTTCACAAGTAAAACTAAACTAGGTACAAAATTAGTACTAAATCTATTGTGTAACTCATAATTAAGGTTTCAGTTAGTATGTTACCTGATAGACATCACTTTTTATAGTTAATCAGAAATATTGAAAACTATTCAATTGTTTTTGAAAAAATTCAGTTTTTATTATAATCGCTACATATGCCACTGATTTTGCGGTTTCTGATTGTTTGGTTTCGGTATAGAATAGGCCATTTCTTTCTTTCCCGTAAGTGTCATAAGGAAACTTAATAGCCGAGCGATGAGCAGCAGCTTTTAAAGCATCACCAAAATCTAACTACGGTTGCTAACCCGGCTGTCAAGTGTGGTAACTACTGGCAAAACCTCCCTTATGGGGGAAGCCTATGTTCAACAGTGGACCATATCTTCATTGGTTGATATGAAGGTTCTATTATTTTAACTGTAGAAAAACTGGATTGACTTTTAGTTGATAATGCTCAACATGTTTCAGAACCACCCGGGACCCTTAATTATGATCAAGGCCGAAGAATTTCGAATGGTTTCATGTGTCTCACGAACTACTTGTTCTACCCTGATATAATAATCTAATCTGCAGCTCTATGTTTCCATTAGTAATTAAAAGTAAGTCCAATACCTACCTTTAATCCACTACCTCGTTAAAAATGGGGGGGAAGGGATTGTTAGTAATGAGATTTAACAGCCCCATTGCTAGTAATACACCCTACCAGCTCGACCTCCACGCGGTTCTCCTTGGAAACCATAGTGTTCAATTCTTGTTCAATCGGTCACTATGGGCCAACTGACCTGCCTTCATCCTCACCTGTCACCCTTCACTGGTACCACGCCAGCGTATACCGATAGTGCAGACGGGGTCACCGTTCCATCTTCACTCATTAATAAAAATCGTCAAAAAATGAAGACCTGTTGTCGAGTCTTTTCTTTTAGTAACAATTACTTTTACAATACGAAGTTACCTTTGTACAATATACAATACAATTAAAATACTGATTTATTTTCGGCAATATAAAATTATAAATAAGTAAATATATCATATGCGCTTTACATTTCACTCTCTCAAGCGACTTCAATACTTTCTCCCAGTAAATACTAAAATCATGCTCGCACAATCTCTCCTACTCCCAATACTTGACTATGCTGACGTCTGTTTTTTGGATGTGACTGAGAAGCTTCTAAACAAGCTGAAATGATTACAAAATCTGGCCATTAGGTTCATCTTTGGTCTTCGTAAATATGATCATGTTTCTGCCTTTCGCAACCAGTTAAAGTGGCTTCCTATCCGACTTCGACGTGATATGCACATCTTTTCTTTCCTTTATAACATACTTAATAACCCCAATTCTCCTTCGTACCTCCGCTCTCGGTTTAAATTATTACCACCACCAATCCGTCCTAAACGCTCCTGTCAAGTTCAGTCTAGGATTCTCGACCTACCTTTGTGTAGAACACATTTTATGGGCAACTCTTTCTCGTATCGAACTGCCCAATTATGGAACAAACTCCCTTCCCACATACAAGAGAGCCCTTCAATTACCTCTTTCAAGAAAAGGTTGAAGTTACATTTACTTTCGTTTGAGTCATAATCTTAATTTTTCATTTTTATAATTGAACTGTCAAATCTTAAAATCATTGAGCTAAATATCTATTATAGGTAGTATATTCATTTATTTTAACATCTATTGTATAAAGAGGGAAGGTATTATATTTATTTATAGTATATGTACTTATGTAATATTTTATTATGTATCTTAATATTTTATTTAACTGTATATTTGTTTATGTACTCTAAATATTAATAGTTGTAGCATTTCAGCTGCCGGCTAACGACATGCTTTCTAACTGCATTGGGTTGACTGGAAGAGATCTCTGTACAAGTCCACCCTTGCTCACAATATTTATAAATGCATTAACAATGTAATTTACAAGTGCAATAAAGAATATATATATATATATATATATATATATATATATATATATATATATATATATATATATCTTTATAAAAATTTATTATGTACGAAGTCCTTATGTAAAAAACATATCTTTAATTTTCAATAGCCAAATGAAAGAATAATACTGCGACGTCTTGTTTGTGACAATTATTAAAAAAAAAGTTGAACTGTCATTATTGATATGTTGTATGTTGTCATTTTTGTTTTGAATTTGTTTGAATCTAAGAACAAGTAATCTTTGGTTTTGAACTTACTTTTTTTCAGTTTAGTCGATTAAATGTATGAAATTATTTGTACCTCAATTTTAAAATTGTTACATAAATTATTTTTTTATTTTTTTTTTGTGACAAACGTCCTCATCTGTCTCAAATATGTCTACTTTTTTTAGGAAATAAAATGACTACGGTATGTTCTTAATAATATTGTTACATTTGTATTATAAAAATCGATGGTTACAAACAATCTTTTATTTGTGTAAATATTGTGAATGATACCTATCTATTGCAGTTTTTAGTCACAAAGCTTGTTGAGCACAGTTTATAATAAATATCTTGTAGTTTAATTTGTATCTTCTAGCCGCCGCTAAGGGTATCTAATGACCGTACTCTCACATTTAGGAATTATTTGTTAGATTCGTTCTTATGTTCACAAGTGCTATTTATACCGGTGATTTCCAATTCGACGTTAAATATTATCGTACTTTTTTTAAATATGAAATCATAAAAAAAACCTTTGTTGGATTTACACATTTAATATTTGCTTAATGAACAAGTAGTTCTATAATTAGTACAGAACTTACTAATAAAGATTATAAATTAGTATTTTTTTCTATTTTTTGTTTTATTACAATTTCATTATAAGTAACTTTGTAATATTGTCCTTTCTTTCAGACTAAAGGTTTAGCATTGACAAAAGAAGAGGTATCTTTACTTCTAGACCTCATACAGGCAAATAAGGTGGTAACCGTTAAGGCAACCAGTGCTTCCAGTCAACAGTTGAAAGATGCTGCCTGGGCTACTATAACTAGCAGTTTTAATGCTGCTATAACAAGTGTACCTCGAAAGCAGGAGCAGCTTAAACTCAAATGGGAGAATTTAAAGAAAACTGCACGCAAAAGATGTGCTAAAATTAAAATGGAACAGCTCAAGGTATTTATAAAGCACCATAACACTTTAGTCTGCAATTCCTCCAGTATTGCGGGTAGTTAAGGGCTGTAGTAATCACTTACCATCAAGTGAGCAGTACATTTGTATGCTCCCTATATTTAAAAAAATATTAGTTTTCCTTGCCCTCTAACTATGATCTTTGTTATTAGATACCATATATATGTATCTGATTGATACTGATAGCGCAGGTAGGGTTACTATTTCAATATCACCCATTAAAGGAAAGATCTGATTGAGTCAAGAGTTCTCCAAAACTATATGCAAGAGAAGAGTTACACAAATCATCATAGTCGTAGAATACTGATGGATCTGACAAATATTACATATATAAATCTGCCAGTATTCTTCGACTATGACGAAATGGTGAAGCAAGATTCTTGGTCTTGTTTTTCTTTAAAGAATTTTTTTTTTCTTCTAATCACGGTCCTTTTTCTTTTAGGTGGGTCACAGTTACATTTCTCCAGACAATGCTCTGGATAGAGTGGTATCAATGTTAGATGATACAAATGTACGTTCAGTGCCACTTGGTAAAAATGCTGAGAATGCACCTGTTAAACCAAAAGCTGATAGTGAAACAATAAGTTGTGTTCATGATGATGATAGTGCTAGCGGTAGTGGTGAAGATATCTTCGAGAATGTCATTTGTATGAGTCCAAGTGAGTTCCATCAAGAAATCAAATCAAATTCGAAACAGAAAACAGATTTTTACAACATTCCAAATGGAAAAGGTATGTGAGCAAATAGTTTTTTTTATGCAACTTAGAATGACAAACAAGCTGACGGCCCACTTGATGGAAAGTGGTAACTGTCATCTATAGACATGAGCAGTACCATGAACATAGCAGAGTATACTGTTTCCCCCATGTTACCCCTCATGTGTTGCCATTCTTGAGGACTCAGGTGTTATTCCTCTGTACCCAGTAAATTCGCGCCATATCCCACCCTTCAAACCGAAACACAGCCGTGCAAACACAACTGCTTCACGGTTGAAACACGAATGGGACAGAGGTACCCAAGCAATCGACTTTTGTACAAAGTCTCCCTGTGAGATGATGATGATGATGCCAAGATAAAAGAAGGCTGTATTTATTAATGAATTGGAGTGTAGTAGACATATATTATTGTTACACTGAATATCCTTGAGAAACTTGAGAATCAGGTGTAGTGTGACACTTCTTAGTATTGTTATTACAAAACTTCATAATGCAGAGGTTTAAACGCAGCAATTTTTTTCTTTCGTGTATACACAATGTTACAATCAATTTATAATGATTGTTATTATTGATGATTAATGTCCTTAACAATTTACCTCAATTCGGATAATTATGTATTTTGAATTCATTAGAAATAAGTCCCATATGACTTTTATCCTAATTCAAATCTTTTTTTTATAACTTTTATATATTTCTTTATTTAAATTTAAATGACAGATTATTATAAAAAAAAAAAACATTATTGCCTAAATATATTACGTAAGAAAAAATATTTTAGAAGCTTTATTACTCCTTTCAAAATTACATTCAAAACCATTCATTTTCAGAAATAAAAAAACAAAAGTTAATGACTGCAGATATCAAAGCTAGGATAGCAAGAAACAATGCAATAGCAGAATATTACAGACTAAAAACGCGCAAGATGGAGTTAGAAGTTGAAAGATTGGAATTGGAAAATTATAGATTAAGCCAAATTAAAACTGAATAATATATGTACAAATATTATATAATTTTAAAAGTGTTCAATGCATTATTGTTCTTCAAATTTTACAAAATAAAATGTTAAATTTCATTTAGGTTTATTTTATTTCGAAGTACCAAATTTTATTATTGGAATATAATGTATCAAATGGAAAGTAGGATTTATAACATAATGTTTTAAAAAAACTGGTACAAGTCCTTATTACTGACTGAAAAAAAAGTATTATTAAAATTGGTTTCCCACTAAGGAAGATTTCGCAAAATATAATAAATACTGGCCAACTAATTCAAGAGCATCAGTTCATAGTTTAACCTCGATTTTTATTTACAGATATTCACGTATGTTTTATACACACTTGTATCTGTCAATATCGGTCGATATCTGTAACCTATCTACAGATATCGACCTATATGGACTTTACGATAAAGTATTATCTACGCCTATGTGCTATTTCATTGTGTTAAAAAAAATAGTGCGATATGCGTATTGATAGTTATCAGCATAGTACGTGATACTCACGCAATTTTTCTTGTAGATAGAAGCATAATTATAGACAAAATTTATTATTACTTTCTTTACGGGATGGTAACCCAGCCTGCGATAACGGTATACGCTAGCGGGGCCAGTGAGGGATGATAGGTGAGAATGAAAAGGCAGCTCAGTTAGCCCATCGTGATTATTACACCTGGGATTTAGCACAATGGTATTCGAGGGGGACCACGTGGAGGTCGACCTGACAGGGTACATTGCTAGAAACGGGACTGGTAGTCCACATAACTAACAATACCTTTCCCCTCGAATAAGTATTCTTTTTTTTATGGATGAAAATAGTATGGTAACCCCGCCTGCGCTAACGGGATACGCTAGCGGAGCACCAGTGAAGGGTGATAGATGAGAATGAAAACAGGCCAGTTAGCCCATCATGATGAATTCATCAGGAATTAACCATGATAGTTTCCAGGGGGAACCGCGAGTAGGTCGACCTGGTTGGGTACATTGCTAGCAATGGGATTCTCAGCCTCCATTACTAACAATCCCTTCCCCCCTCGAATAAGTGTTAGGATATAGGTATAAAGGGCTTGTAAATGAAACGCTCGATATATGCAGATTGTTTATAATGTTTAAGAATCAATACAATCCCATTCAGATTGAGTGGCTTCTACATGAAATGGAAAATAACATGCATACAATTTCAAGTGAATAGCGTTATTATAGTATATGTAAAACCTATGTCCCTTATAATTACTCTGTTTCATATAACATACAAAATATAATAGGTAAATATCAAAGTGTAAAGTCAAAATGTAGTTACCTACATATAACAAAATCTATTTAACTGTTTGTTACCTACCGTAGAGGCATGCAGAGGTAGTTCGGTATGTTATTTAGTACTTACGTTTCATCAAAACAACGGATACTCCAAAGAACAATGCCGAAAGTTTCAGAATTTCTTATTCACTGTTGGGCTATTTCAGGCGTATCAAGTTCAAGAATAAAAATATAAAGTTTCCATAGGAGATACAATATTAATCAATGCCTGTTTAAATGGAAAACTCTGTATTTGTGGGTATATAACAATTAAATATATGATTAGTATGAACTATAAATATCCATAGACAACAAAATTCAAAACTATTATGTTCTATTATTATTAAAAGGAGGTAGTTTTATGAAACAAAAAAAATTAAGCTAAAAGTAAATTATTTTCTTTAAGGACTAAACGTCGGACCTAATTATAAATGTATAAGAAATTGTAGCTGAGTATAAGAGTTTCACATTATTTTGATGAAAAAAAAAATAGTAATAGTTAAATAAACCGTTCATTACATATGTAACCAAATTATGTAATTAAAAAGGAAATTGTAACAGTGACTCTATTTACATTTAGAAGCTTGACGCACGAAAACATACCTTGTTTAACACCAAGTGGGAAAAATTAAAGCAAAAGCCAAATTATCCTTTACACCAACAAACTTATACATTGGCATAGACAAAGTATTATGACTCTGCCGAACAGCGCCATCTAGTAACAAACTTAAGCATCAGAGCATGTAATATAAATGGAGGGAAATGACAAATATTGTAACATAGCAAATAATAATCTTCGTTATTGATTTAACAAAACTAACGTTTAAAGTAAAGCCAGTGGTTCAAATCTTGCCATGATACGTTACGAACGATAAATACGACTAACAACCAGTATGATACTAAACATTTTTTCAATCTATTATTTCAGATTTCTGAAAGCAAATTATGCTTTTAACAAAAATTGCAAATATAACCCGAGTATTAGAATTCAAGTACAAGGTCGGTTTTATATAAACTCTACCTAATTTTATTGTCTATGGCTTGATTAGTTTCTCACGACTGCTCAAAAAGGTAGGTCATTATTTTTACCACCGCTCCTTTTCATTACTAGGAAGTTGTACGAGACAGAATACAACAGTGTAAAAGAAAAAAAAATTGAAAGAAAGTCCTATAGCATACCGCGCGGCCATCCCATTGCCAGCTCTGTTAAGTTGTTTGTAACAGCAATCAAAGTGTAATCATCATGCAACCATTGTTAGTGTAAAGAATAAAAACATTTTATATACAAAAATAATTTCGCGATACCGAAATAATTATCGACAATAATATGCCTGAAAACAATTTCTTATACAGATTACATTATGCATATTTCAAAAGCACTAAAAAGAAATTAAAAAGAAAAATTTAGCTTACTACACGAAACATCGACCGGGTTAAATGTATATTGCATAACATCTATGTATTGTATTTATAATTAAATGCGTATAATTTACAAAAAAAAAAAAAAAAACCGATACCACGTTCTTAAAATGTTCAATTGTTCAAAAAACTTTCGCGCCATATAGAGAGATGCCATAAAATTATAAAGAAACAAAAAAAATCATAAAAAACACAAAAACAAGTTGATGCACCATAAAACGAATTGCAGTGCTATCGGTTCATCCAAACAAATGGCAGTATATGGTTACATATATGTTTGTTACCGTGCACGTGGGAAAGAGCAAGACACTGAATGTTGCTGTCCCATTCACACCTCATGCAGACGGCAACGATGACATATTTAACATTTATCGATAGCTTCGTATGCCATTTGTTTAGAGGGAGAAATTCAACAGAAATATTTATTTCTAGACAATAGAATGTACAGTTACTGGATCTCTTGAACAAGTCTGTATGTAACGGAAATTTCTATTTTATAGTAGTAATATATAAGAATATATCAAAACTCTTAGTCAAATGCTCCTTTGACTGATTATTAATTATGAAAGTAACATCTGTAAAAAAATATATATATATTTATTATATTATTAAGTCGTAGCACTTAACTGGATGATGTGGGATACGGATAAAGTTCCAAAAATAGCATAAATGTAACAAATTCAAACTAAGTGAATATTTTGACATGTACCTCGTCGAGCTACACTCTGTTCCTGCCAAACATTCCATACACACACACACACACACACATACACATATATCACTGGAAACAATGATGTAAACAAGATAATTTTAAAGTAAACAGCCCTATAATAATACGGTCCCATTTGGAATTGCTAGCAAGCCGAACAAAACAGCAGAGTACAGCTCAAAGATTGAAAACAAGAGAAAACTTTTAAACCCGGTCAAACGCTAACACATCCTTAAGACAGATTTATTCGGAAACTATTAGTACACAGTCGGGTATTGGGGTAGTATTAGACAACCATCTGATTTGTCGGATGATTTATATCTCTTACTAATCGAGCTATCAAATAACGCTTCCGATAAAATAGAACCACAATACCCTGTGCTCGAGTCTAACCTAACACCTAAAAGCTAGGGACAAATACGGTCGCAAAGGGGACAATTTAATAAATTGCCTAACTTATTTCTATAATATAAATGGCGCGAACCAACGATCGCAATACAGAAAATATTCTTTTTTTTTTATATGAATTACCTACATTTTCTTTTCAATTCTTAAACTATTACACTCATTTATTAAAAATATCCCATATCATAATTAAGAGATTTCCTCAAATATATATATATATATTATATTTATTAAGTTTCACAAACTTTTATAATATTCATATTGTTCCCTTTGCGACGAAAATTTTACATCGAAATGGTATTTTCCAATTATTATGATTACAGAAGTTTTCGAATAAGTACTATTTATTTATGAACTACGTGAGCCTCTGTTGAGGTAAACGATGCGTTTGTTGTATGACTCATTATGCCTATGTGAACTTCTTACTGTAAGCACGCACTGTGTTGACAGCACACCGGCCGACAGTACAGCCGGGCACCAGCCCAGCTGCACTTGGGGGAACCAAACGAGCGTGGTTGCTTCAGGTGGCGCTACACTGCCGAGCAGTGGGCACGCACCACGTATACGTTTATTGTAAACTCAAGCATGGTGTCAATTTTGACTTACACATGCGTTACACCAAATTTTAAATGGGTCTTGTCGTTAGTTTATAATTTTGCATACTGCCTACTACGAACCTTCGGTAGGTGGTTGAGGCGCCAATCTTGCATTTTGTCAATTTCGTGTCAAAGCCTATGATATTCGTTAGCTACACCGTTATCTATTACAATTTTGCTTCCGCGTATCTTTATTCCGCATTATATCCCTGACTTATAAGTCAAATTCAAGTTCAAAGAACTTATAATACCTAACAGTCTTTGGATACGTTTATCACTAAGACCCCTCTTCTCACACTTGTAAATACATATTTCTCTCCAAAATATATTTCGGAGTTCCAATTTATATTTTTTTATTTTTTTTTTTATTCAATATCTCTTTAAATATACTTCAACATTATTAGATGCAGTTCCGTGTCTGCTAATTTAAGTAACACTGTCTCGTATATATTTTTTTTACGGTGAAAAGACACCGATTGTGTTTCTGTTCGCATATGAAATATACGGAACCCCTGAACGGGCCGGTGCAGCCGACGCGTCGGTTGCACATGCGCGAGCGGTCGCGCCCGCCGGGGGCGGCGCCTGCGCGGGCGCCGCGCTCTTTGTTAATATTTAATCCATCATAAATAATGTTTGTACTCGCTCATTACGGTCAATACCCTTAACACTAAATATACATAAAAATATCACAGCACTATCGATTCACTTACACTAAAATCACGTCGCTTTGCGATGTAATTTTGAATATAATAATAAAAAAAGGAATCGAAATTGAAATGCACGGGCTTGCCGCCGGCCCAGCACAGCGCAGCACGGAACGACAGCGGCGTCGTGGCAGTCGGGGGCTCGGCGCGAGAGACCCCAATAAAAAAAAAAAAGTAAACGTTCGAATCATTTGAAATGTTTCCAAATTCAATTTTCAAATAGACACCATTTTATGGAGGTCCCATATCATCACCAGCCGGCAGCCTTGTAAAGCAAGCAACACAGAAATGCAATTACCAAGTGCCGCAAACAATACCAATATTTACAAAGCTGTGTTCACCGAAGTATCTTAAGCCTAAAACTTTGGATCGAATCAATCGAAATTATAAGACGAGCCGGTATACTATCACAAGCTCTACTGAATTAAATCGGATGCGGCAAACGTCCGCTCCAACGTGACACGTGTCATTTACAATTTACGAATAAAACACCAATCTGCATTGACTGCGCGAACGATCGCATGGCACAAATACATACACTACATTATATAGTAAGTTTTTTTTTTCTTTTTTTTATATGAAACGATGAATCCCAAAATATTCCTCTGTTGATATACTAAAGCACAAACTTAAAAAACTAAAATGAGGTAGCATTGTTATGAATATGATAAAAACATTATATGCACATAATGTTTTGGTGGGATATATGTTATATATTTATCTCGAGAGTTACATTAAAATAGTTCCTATGGATTACTGAGGTATATAATCGTTTCTGAATGAGGTAGCAGTGTGGCTCAGCAGAATGGCGATCGGCACTTTCGTTCGAATCGATTAAAACATCAAATGTATTTATTAACTTCATACAAATACAATGTATTAGAAACTGTTACTTTTTTTTTGGCAATATATTAAAATGATCGTATAAACTTACGGCCCCGTTCACACATTCGATCATCAATGATGATTCGCCGTTTAAATTACGAATCGTCAATGACGAATAGACGATTATATATAAAAATTGAGTTGTGCTATAATACGATTTGCCAATTTCGGTCATTGGCAACTTATACTAACAATATAAATGAAGAAATATATTACACAAAGACAAATTGGGACATTGGGACTCGATTTCGTGCCTCTAAAGCTGCCTCTAAAATTAAAAGTTTTAATTTGATATAAGAACCAAATCTTCATTCTAAGAACCAATATGAAATAAATTTCAAATGATTAAAATAAATATTTATGTATTTATTTTAAACTATAACAGTGATTCTCAAGCACTGTGCCGCGGCACTTTTGTGTGCCGCCAAATTTTGAAAGTGTGCCGCCAAATTTTGCAAATTTTTAAAATTTTTTGTCATAAACTATTTATGCAGTGTGTTGTAGTAAGTAAATAATTTTTATCTTTCTCTTTGTGTGCCGCCAAATTTTGAAATCGTTAAATATGTGCCGCGACAAAAAAAAAGGTTGAGAATCACTGAACTATAACATTTAAGTCGATTGGTACACATGTATGCCTGTCACTATGAATAAACTGCCAGTTTATCTCATATTGGGCTTGCTGGAACAAAATCTCTTTTCAGAGATGAGCTCGCCCCCTTGTGGACTTTTATATTTAATTACTATTCTGTCACAATACCTTTTTATGTACAATAAAGAATAATTTTAACTTGAAATCTATTTAGAAAATTACTTCATTAGAATGAAGATTTCGTTGTAAACCAAATTGATATTTTAATTTTAAACATAGGTTTAGAGAATGGTGTCACAAAATCGACCATGTTGTGTGTCAAAACTGAATCGTAAATTACGACGACTCACGATAACGGATCCGTTATTTTTCACGATTCGTAAACTGATAAAAGCTTGGCTCGTATTAATACACGACTCGTTGATGTGCGAACGAAACGTTAGGAAAGCCGAGACCGTTCCGCCGTATATATATATATATATATATATAACACTATTCGACTATTAGTTTCTAATGCAAGCCGTACACGTTACAGTCTACATACGAGGTAAACCTGTACAAGTCGATTACAGGACAGTTCAGTAAACTGAAGGACTTCTGTTTATTTCAGTGCTGTCAACATTTACAATATGATGTCCTTTAAAAAGTTGACTTCCAATTTTGCACAATTTAAAAAACTACACTTGTTTTTTAAGCAATTTAGAATGGCAAACAAGCTAACGGCCCACCTGATGGGAAATGGTAACCGTCAACTATATCGTCATAGTCGTAGAATACTGACGGATCTTTATATGTAATCTTCGTCAGATCCGTCAGTATTCTACGACTATGACGATATATGAGCAGTACCATGGACATAACAGAGTATACTGTTTCGCCCATGATACCGCCCATGCGTTGCCATTCCTGAGGACTCAGGTATTATTCGTGTGTACCCTGTAAATAGACTGTATAGATAGACCTGTGGAGTAGACCGCAGCGTAGACGGGCGCGGCGAGAGGGGCTGCGTGTTCAGTATATGTCCGTGTTCATGAGGGAGAGGTGCACGGTGTCGGCGATGTCTGCGTACGCGAGCGGGCAGTCTTGCAGCTTGGCCAGCACGGGCGGGTCCCAGGCGCGCGGCGGCCGCTGCGCCAGCCGCGGGTCGATGTGCGGCAGCGGCGGGTCCAGGTCGATGACCGCGCCGCCGCCGCCGCCGCCGCCGCCGTCCTGCGCCGACACGAAGTCCGGCCCGTACTCGCGCGGGAACCACACTGACGCCGACGTAGAACCTGACCCTGTGCATGCTGCAGAGAGACAAACAATTATTAGGGGTAAATAGTGTATCGGAGCAGCACCAGCGCCAGCACATTTACACTGTCTGGTCACACGAGATACACGTAAACGCTCACCATAATAGATAAGGGGGAAGGGATTATTAGTATTATTAAATAAATAAATAAGTATATAATAATATATATATATATATATATATATATATATATATATATATAATCCATGAATCCATCCATATGCATGGCTATGTTTCGGTTTGAAGGGTGGGACCCTTCAAACCTATGGCATGAATTTACTGGGTACAGAGGAATAACACCTGAGTGCTCAGGAATGGCAACGCATGGGGGGTATCATGGGCGAAACAGTATACTTTGTTATGTCCATGGTACTGCTCATGTCATATCATAGGCGACGACTACCACTTTCCATCAGGTAAGCCGTCAGCCTGTTTGCCATTCGAAATCGCATAAAAAAAAATAGTTAAGACTTACCATTTATAAGACTTACCATTTATAATAGCTTCTAAGTCATCGGATGAGGCGTTAGTGAGTTCAGTGAGGTCGCTCATGACGTCTAGCGTGTTTGCGGAGTCATACATCGTCGCGTCCTTCTCCATCACTGCTGGGCCGATGGTGTCAGACTCGATCGTACTCTCGTCAGACTCATACAGTTTGCAACTAAAGGCATCCATTGATATCTCTGAACTCATTGAATCGACTAAATCATCTATTTTATAACTGTCTGGAATAATATTGTTTGCCTTTGTCTTCTTTGCTTTCGGATCAGCTGCATTGAACACTTCATTGTTATTCTCGAGTGCAGGCTTCGCAAGGTTTTTGGAATGGATATTGTGTATTTTACGCATATGTTTGGACCAATTGGGGGCGCTTGCAAACGATTTCGGACACTCGACACATTTGTACGGCTTCAGACCAGTATGTATGTTGAGGTGTTGCTGTAACTGGTACGACTTCACGAAACTCTTTTCACAGTAGCTGCATTTGTGCACACGTTCCTTGGAATGTACCTTTGCGTGCTCCACTAGACGATTTCTGGCATTGTACATTCTTCCGCAATCTTTGCATATGTGTATAACGGCTGAGAAGTGCTGCGGCACATGTTTCATGATGAGGTATTTTTCACTGTAATTCTTCTTGCAGACCGGACACGAGTACTGCTTCTTGCAGTGCAGGGGGACATGCTTCTCGCAGGCACTCAGGGTGGTGAAGTGGAGACCGCATTGCTGGCATCTATGGTCATCAACTATTTTATGTTGACGTTTATGGAGGATCAATTCTTTTGGCGTTTGAAATCTGAAAAAAATATTAATAAAATATTTATTTATAAAACTTAGATTATATAGATAGAATGTTGGAGAGATTCTAATGTTTCGCCACAAAATCTCAATGTGTGCATGAATAGGATGGTTAATGTTAATTTATAACTCAGAATAAAAGGGAAAATATATTGCATGATTAAATTGAAAAACGGTACAAAAAATACTTATGAATATTTTTAGTGAATAAAAATATTTGGAATGATCTTTAGTGATTTTATTTTTATTTTAAATAAAATATTTGGCGCATATAACAGAAGTTTACAAAATAATACAAACTTAAATTATAACATGCAAGTACATTAATGTATTGATCGAGTAAACTTGTAATTGTAACAAATAAACTATTACTTTGACTTGTATACTTGTATATATATTTAATAATAATAATACACGATGCTCGGCGAACATCCTTGACGCGCTACAGAATCGTGGCAGCCCCATCAACACCCTGAACGCGTTATTATATTGGATACCGAGGTCGCTGTAGGATTTTTGAGTATATATAGCCCACAGGTTGCATGCATAGAAAGATGTGCAATATGATAATATTATATCTAAGACTTATTTGTTTTAAAATAATTGAAAGGGGTCATTTCAATTATTATTATTGTAATTAATACATGTATATTTTTTTTTTATTCTAATTTTTGTTAAGACTTCAGTAAACCTGGGTGGTATATTAATTTATAAGCAATATTTATAGATGTTATATCAAATCGGAAAAACTATCCCCAATTCAGTTTTAAAAAATAAACTTAATGTAGAAAATTTTTAATCCAACTTCTTGCAACATTTAAAAAAATGGCGCAATTTGTTTTTTGTTTATGTAACTTAGAATGGGACACAAGCTGACAACCCACCTGATGGAAAGTTGTAACCATCGGCTATAGACACGAGCAGTACCATGGATGCAAGAGAGTATACAGTTTCGCCCATGTTACCCCTCATATATTGCAATTCTTGAGGACTCAGGTTGTTTCGGTTTAAAAAATCTATAAAATAGTACATATATATATATATATATATATATATATATATGTACTATTATTTCATATGTAGATATCCTAGACATCCATTCAAAATTCGATTGAGATAGGTATTTTTTATTATTACTATCGTTTCACAGTTTTGTTTGACAAAATGCCGTAATATCGGATCATTGCCACTAACGAAAAAATCTGTCAAAAGTGACAAAAACAGGTCTAAATTGATTCAGCCAAATGTCACTTCAGCTGAATGAATTTAGACCTGTTTTTGTCACTCAGTGTTCTATCTTTATAATCTAAGATTTCATTATTTTCAAAAGATGTGTAGTAAAGAAAGGATGTATGGCTTCAATACTTACATTTCTTGACATCCTTCTACAGGACATTTAATATGCTGAATGGCGTGAACCTCTCGCAGGTGAACACGGAGGCGGGACTCCGACATAAAGCCATGGTCACATTGCATGCATGTGAATGGCTTGTCGGTCACTGTGTCGCTCGAGTGGAAAGCTTCTGTGTGAAACACTAGCAGAGAGAGGCGGGAGAATGTTTTTCCACACTCATCACACCTAAAATTAAAAAAAAAAACATGTCATGTCCTTATCTCTATTGTAAAGTTGTTCCTTGCAAAGTAAGTTAATATCAACAAACACTTTTCTAGATCAACCGAATTGAGCACTTGTAAACAACAAATCATGCATTACAATGTACTGCTTGATAACACAATCGGAAAGACAATGCCATTTTGCATTTTTTTTAATATTACTATGGTGGTAAACAAATTCACAGTCGTCTAGCGGTAAACATGGTTACCATAGCCTATGGACAGGATATGTTACAGGATAACACCAGGAATTTCATACATGCATAGCCTACTGATAAGAAACCTTATTATGCCCTTTTTGAAGAACCCCACGATACACTTTGTTGAGTTTCATTGTTTTGTGTTTCCAGCCTCCACAATTATTATTTTTAATAATTGCAACATAAGGCATAGACAACGAATAAGTAGTTACGGTAGAGTAGGCCAGAGGGCGCTGCATGATTGTCTTTGGTGTGTGTGAAAAATGTAAGATATATGGCTGAGGAAATTGTTGTAAAATATAAAAGAAATAAAAGTATAAGTGGATTTAAATACGTGTTTTTTATTGCTTGGTGCAAGTGCTCATGCTTCATTATATCAAATATTAATAAAAATATCAATACAGTTTCCAGAGAAAACCTCTTCATGAAGATTGTTTCACAAAATGAGTGTTCACAGGAGGAAGCTCTTTTGAAACCACAATGTGCATGACCATTTTTGTTTTAGGGTGTGGATGGATTTACAAATATTAGGAAAAGTAAGCAATACTTCATCTCAGTAAAAAAACATATTGACTATATGGCAGCCAAAAATAGGTAACCACTCAAAAAAATATTCATAAGGAGGATACTAGGTTACACAAGAAGAGATACAAAAAAAAGCTACAGAGCTAAGATCCACAACAGGATGGGAAGAGGTCACAAACAAAGTTGACTGAAATGGAAGATAGATAGGACATATGTTAATAGGTAAGTAAATAGACCAATATTGTAACATAAAGAATTCTTCAGTACAAAACTAAAAGGAAAAGAGGCTGCCAATATGAAAGATGATCAGATAAGATCTAACTCAGGACAGCAAGAGATAGAAGAAGATGGAAGATGCTAAGAGAGGCATTTGCATCAACATGTACACCCAGTGACTGTTTTACTGCATAAGTATTATATTTATGGTCAATTAATAAAGGCTTTTAAATTGAAATTTTTATATAGCTGTAAATTTTTAATTACCTTAATGTATGTACAATGACAGCAATAGAAACTTACTCATATCTATCCTTAGCGAAATGATCATAGCAGTGACTCCCAAACAAGAAGTATTTCTCATATGCTTTCCCACAGATGTTACATGAGTATACTTTATTTTTATCACTATGTTCCATAGAAAAATGTGTATCAAACTCAAGCCTGTTCTTAAAAATATTTTTGCAGTAACAGCACCAAATGCCACCAATAATGTCTATGGAGCTATCTTTGGGTATAATGGGCAATTCTGTATATTCATTCCCTGATGGGTAATCATTGTTAAGTACTGTGCCAAAATGCTTAATCAGATGTTCGGAAGCAGACAATAAGTTTGGTATATTCTCATTGCATATAGGGCATGAGTAGAATATCTCGCAATGTTCTTCAATATGTTGCTCACAGCTGTCTATGTCGTTAACTTGCTGACCACAACTGTGGCAGTCGTATGGGGGGCTCTTATCATTTTTGTGAATAATTTGGTGTAGCTGTAATTGCTTGGCTGATGAAAATCTGCAAAGTAAGGAATGGTTTGTATATAACATCAATTTTAAAATTTTGCTAAGAAATACCCTGATTGAAGCTTATATGTGTATGACATAGTAGGCTATGTTAGATTATAAGGAAATTGCAATAGGAAGCCTCTTTAAGGCAATTTTTTTCTAAATGTTATATTTTGCATGCATTGTTCTTATTAGAACAATAATCAAAATAATAATTTCACCACTCCCTATGATTTTCCATACATATAATAATCACATTATGAAACAATAGATAATAGAACAAGTGAATTATTAAGTTTCAGTTTAAGCATGTTAATAATATTTTAGTAATTCACATTTTAATATAGTTATTATTTAATAAATATACACACTGTTGCTTGCATGATGGACAAAAAAAATTGTGTTTGGTGTCCATATGTTGTTTGAGAACGCTAAATTTTGAAAACACTTTGGAGCAAGTCTCGCATCTGTGAACAAATAATGAAACAAATAAACACATCACACTGCCAGATATTCATCCATTGTGAATGGTCTTTCCTCTTCTGCATTGATAGGATAAAGTGGAATAAGAAATACCACAGAATGACTCTAATTCCTGATCCCAAAATTAGGAAATCCTAAGTTATAGAACCTAGATAATGAACATGTAAATGTACCATTGTGAACAACCAGAGCTAAACCAACGAAAAAACAAAAAAACTGTTTATCTATTAAAAATATCTCGATATTTTGTCATTTAAAGAGAGAGAATTTTTGGTATTCATGTCTATCACAGTGGAAGATAAGAGAATTTTTTAGAGTAGAAAAAATAATCTTTATTTAGAACAACTGACACATCTTTTCATCTTAATTTTTCCTCTGATAACTTTATTCCATAGCAGTTTTGTAATTTCCCATTCATATAAAATAACAGAAAACTTTATGAATACATTTTAAAAAGTGAAATAGAAGAAATAAAGTAAGACTGGCTGAAAGAGACTTAATTTCTTTGTTGTCCCCCCTGGAAACCTAGTACTGGAACTGGTTAAATCTTGCAGAATTCATCACAATGGGCTAACTGACATACTTTCATTCTTATCTATCATCTTACTGTTGCCTCACCAGTGTATACCAATAGATTTCATTTTCAGCCATAAAAAAAGAAGAGGAAGACAAAGAAATATTTAAACAAGTCAAAATAAAATTACTTACTTAAATTTATCTTTGGTGACATGAACCAGATAACAGTGTCCATGGAAGCTGCGGTAACCTGTTATCTCCTTGTGGCATACGACACATGTGTAGACTATCTCACTTCTCCCTGTATCATGCTTCACATAGTGGTTGTCATAATCTTTTTTATTTCCAAATGTTACATGGCAGATGTGACATAAAATGCCTCCAACTATATCAATAGTGGTCAGTTTGAGGGATTGCAGTAAATCAACCGACTGCGGGTCTGCGTCGTCCGCTCGCCCAGCCGACGTTGAGGGGGAAGCCATGGTATATGATTATTATTAGGTTTGCTCCATCTATTGTAACTGTTTCATGTCAAATGGATATTGGTGGCGCTGCTATTGTAAAAATCATAATAAAACTGTATTTCGACCTGCAGCTACATGTCTATGATGTTGTTTCGTGTCTGGAAGACAAAACATATGATAGCTTTAATGCCGGCTCGACCTTGGACGACAGGTAAAGCAATCTAGCAATCTATCGATGGTAAACATAGAATATTATGAATAATATAGTGCAATTTTAACGTGTTTGATATATCAAACATGTAATTTCAAAGTTACGAATTTATCAATATAGCCGCTTACATGTCATTGAGAAATTCATAGGTTGGTCCTGTTCAGCCATTATCGGATGCAACGTTTAGGAGTCATGAAAATACTAATAATTCATGAAAATACTTACAAAACAAATAGTAAATACTTGAAGAAATGCATCTGTTATGTATAACACTACATTTTACATCACAACAAACGAAATAAAAGATAAAAATTTCTAAAATGTAATGCCGGATAGCAAACAACGCCAAGAAAACGTGTGGAGTTTTTTTTTTTTCTGTTGTTTGACAGCAATTTGACAGCGGGTCATTATTCTACATAGATGAAAAAATACTAAAAAAACTGTACTGTTTTTAATCTATTTTAAGCACGGTATGCGGAATACTAATTGGATATTAACAAAACGTCGGAAAGATAAATTTTTTATAAATTTATTTTGCTATTTGTCATTATCATAAGATTAAAGCAGAGATTATTTTGTTTTATAACACAATGGCACCCCATCGGCATGCAAATAAGCTTTTTTTGTAATAATGTGCCTATTTTGATTTAATTTATGAAAATTGTAGGAGTCGAAAAAGAAGTAGGTAGATAATAGATACATAAAAACAATTCCAAAATCTTTAGTATATACCGTAAAAGGGGTGAATAGACACAAAATCGACCTTCACACTTTAATTTCTTCATTTTGTTAGACAAATTGTCATATTTTACGCATTCTACGTATTTCTGATTTTTTAAAGTATAAGATTAAATACACAATAATTAAAAAAATAGGCACTATTTATACTAGATCGAAGGTGAACTGGAACAGAAATGGGTGAATAGGAAAAAAGGAACGAGATTGTCAAAGACAATATTACAATTATTAAATAATTTTTATTTTACATTAAACTTGTAAAAGTTATTAGACACTATTTTTTTTAAAGAGGATTCCATTTACTAGACACAAACTATATAGAATTGTCGATTACTTAGATGTCTCTGTCGCATTCATAGTTCTACTATGCTGTATATTATTAGAAATATTAGATAAGATACGTACGACATAACACCATAGTTCTCAGAAGTGGTAAATTATGAAAATTAACATAGTCATCACAGTGTATTCAGTGATGACAATGGTACTGTAAATATGTTATAGGCGATGGTTACCACTTTTTTTTAGCTGGGCCATCAGCTTACTTGCCATTCTAAGTATTATAAAAATATTCATATTTAAAAAAAAATTAAAAAAATATGACATACATAATATATTAGCCGTACTGTCCACTGCTAGACATAAGCCTAACCTTAGAAAGGGGGGGGGAGGATTGTCAGTAGTTGCCATGCTTGGCAGTCGGATGGGCAACCGATTTTCATTAATATATGAAATCAATAATATTTATTTTCTCTACTACAAATCTCATTCGTAATTCTTCCCTATTTATAACCCGAACCCTATTCACCCCATTTTAAGTACTCTACAAAATACCCTCAGAGTCAAATTTGATAATAATTGTCGTTGTCATTTGATTTCTAGCAAGAATATATTTCTCTGTATTGTATTCTTTTATGTCATTGTCAAATTTTTGAAAAAAAAATGTAAAGTTTCAATTAACAATTACAGATATTTATTAAATTATAAGTATTTCTAATTATTTTTCTACTTTTTGGGAAGTTAATGCTTAAAATTTATAATTGCGTTGATTACTGTGCACACGTAATATTTACTATAAAATATGTATGTTATTTTGTTTAATTCTTTTACTGATAGTGGTTAAGGAATTCGAATCTTTATTTGTTGGGTAAGTATAACTCATTTCTTTTTTGTAAAGTATTTCTAAATTATGTAAATAGTGTTTTTTTAAATTCTGATTAAACACTAAACCGGAACTACTTACCAAAATTTTTTTTTCTATAATAAATAAAAATCTTCCGTTTTTCAATAAAAAACTACAATATTCATTATGTTACTATTATTTAAAAGAAATTTAATAATATGAAGCTCTAACTTTGCAATGTTTTGTATTCAAACATTATTTGGCACCGCGCCAATTCAATTCCCGAAATAGCCGGCGTTAAACGATTTACAGTGCATATACGCCATACCACCCTCTGGAACAACATATAATAGCAATTTTAAGACTATGGAACGGCAACTTCCAGTCCACTCAAGTTTCCATGGATCAATAAGAAGCAGAGACTCAACATCAACTGTAGAAAGTGACCCAAGAGAGAAAATCAAAGATTGTTTCAGAAAATTCATTGCTTTTATGTTTACTCAAGTGGGTGTCGGTGCGCTTGTAGTGTGCTATGCAATATTGGGAGCAGCAGGCTTTATGCACATTGAGAAAGACAACCCTGACTTGCAGTTGGAGGATGTGAAGAATTGGAGATTGAACTGTGCCGAGAAATTGTGGAATATTACAGTGAGCGTAAACATCTTCAATGAGACTGTATGGATGCACAAAGTAAACAATGTGTTAAAGTTATTCCAAAACAACATCACCATTGCTGTCCACACAGGTTACAGTGGGAGGACTGCTGAGGATATCTGGTCATTCCCTGCCGCTCTAATGTACTCTCTTTCTGTGTTCACCATGATTGGTTACGGGAATATAGTACCTAAGTCTGTATGGGGCAAAATTGTGACTATAGCATATGCATGTTTTGGTATACCAATCTATGTTTTGTATTTCTGTAACATGGGCAAGGTGCTTGCTAAGACTTTCAAGTGGTTATATATTACTGCACATGAATGTAGCCGTAGGGATGACCCTTTATTTGAGGATGGTGAGATACAGCCGAAAAAAAAAATAACAGTGCCGTCAACAGCTTGTCTCTGGGTCATATCATTTTACATCTTAACAGGTACCATAATGTTTGGGGCCTGGGAGAAATGGAACTATTTGGACTCAACATATTTCTGTGTTATAAGTTTATGCAAGATTGGCTTTGGAGACTTTGTACCGGGAGCGAATATATCTGATTCTGCTGGTGGTTCTCACTTGAAGTTAGTCATAAACTTCATATATGTCCTTCTTGGTATGGGCTTGGTGGCCATGTGCTACAATCTTATGTGTGAAGATGTGAGGGTCAAAGTCAGAGAGCTTAGAGAGGACTTGAAGAATTGTCTCGATGATATCACCTTGAAAATAACAGTGTGCATGAATGATACAAAATATTACCATCAGAAACAAAGTAGAAATTTAAAATGATATGGCGTTACAAGAATAAGTTGCTTGTATACTTTTTAATTCTTCAAAAGAAGTTTGATAAACTGCTTAGAACTAATAATTGAGAAGTGAACTGAAATTACCTTTAGTACAAAGTCTCTCTCTTTTTCTCTCTTATTGTTAATCAAATATTGTCACACTTTCATTGGTTAAAGCTAAGAAATGGAGGAATTTATGTAAAATTATGACATTTTAATTTGTTCTAAAGTGTACTTTTTTTTAATGAATAGAGTAAAAATTTTGCATTTCATAAAATATAAGTAATCAATGTTTAATAACTTCCTTTCTATTTTCATAGAAATAAGAAAGTGGCAGAATTGAGCAGCATTATTTGTTATCACCAAATATTTAATATATGATATGTATGGTATGGTACTATTAACTCTGTGCCAGAGTAGTTTGTAGAGAGTTTTTTTCCAGAGTCTACATGTACTCTTTCTTTTTATATTTATAAATATTTATTTAAGTTGATTATAATAAAATTGTCTTATGTTGCTTATATTGAAGCATGCATTTGTGATTTGTTATGAATACATAATTTATTTTTAATTTTTGTTTTATTATTTAAAAAGCATACTTATGAATATATATTATAGAATTATTCCATCTTATTATATTAGTTTATTCAGCATTAATCTTGATATTGTGGGCCTTGTTTTAATCATTCATAAGCATATTTTTGTTTTACTTCATAAAGGTAAATAGTGAAAAAATTCTTGGTAGGCGGAGTTTTAACCTGCGCCTTCTATTCTGCGCTTTACTACACTTTAAACACCCGTCTCGAAAATCACTAGTGGCAATTCAACTGTAAATTATAAATAGCAAATAAGCTGACGGTGGAACAAAAAATTTTTATATGAATTTACAATGTCCTCATATCATGTTCGATTCTGTACAAATGAACTCACTGATCTATATTCGTAAAGCACTCTCTTGATAATCTCTTATGGACTCCCGTGATACAGATTTACCTAGTGCCCTAGGCAACTAGACCCTCTAATAAATAAATAAAAATGAAAAGTGTGATAGATAACCTGTCCAATGAAGGTTAATTCAGGTTTTTCCTGATGAGTTCGTGACAAAACATCAACTGACCTGAATTCATTCTTCACCGGTACCCCGTCGACGTATATCCATTGCCTTACCATGCCATACGTAATTTGACTTAAAAAAAAAATACACAATGCATAAAAATACATTAAAATGAGATGCAATAACTACCAACAGAAAACCGTGAATGTGAATGTGAGAAAGACTGTTTTCCGCGCTTAGCCTCTCATTTGGGCCGTTGTGCGTGTGAGTCGTGGCTAGTACAGCCAACCTAGCTCCGCCCAGAAGCGCAGAAGCTTCCTGGGTTCTTCACAGGCTTCACGGAGCGACCTCACCGTTCCAAGGATTTCTAAACGTTGATGGGCCACAGCCTCACATTCCAGGATTACGTGAGCAGTCGTTTCTTCGGCGTCGAAACAGCCTCGACATAGAGGGCTGTCTGTGGCTCCTATTGTGTATAAATGTTTGTTTAATGGACAATGACCCGTTATTGTCCCTATCATTATTTTGAGGTTTTTTCTATTTAGATGTAATAAACGTTTTGATAGTCGTTGATTCAACGTAGGTACGGCCAATTTTGATTGTCTGCAATCAGTAGCCTGTAACAGAAAACCGTATATCTGCTATTCCTCAAGGAGACCGTGTTATATCTAAAGAGTTATGAAAATGTAAAAAGATATGCATATAAGAATAGTGGCCTTCGGCATTCCATTCTCTGTCTATCCTACAAGGAGTTTTGCTTGAAGATAATTGTATATCGCCGTGTGGGCCCCGACATAGAGTGTGCCACTCCTTCCTTTCCCGTGAATGTCGTAAGAGGCGACTAAGGGAGGGCGAGGAATGGGCAGCAGCGTTCCTCTTAAAACATCTCTAAAAGCCTCACTGCGGTTGCCAACCTGCTTGCCAAGCGTGGAAACTTTTTTTTTTACAATACAGGAGCAAACGAGCATGCGGCTCAACTGATGGTAAGTGACTACCGCCGCCCATGATCACCCACAACACCAACGGCGTTGCAAGTGTGCTGCCGGCCTTAAAAAGGAATATGCTCTTGTCTTAAAGGTTATGATGTCGTATCAGTCCGGAAATACTGCTGCTGGAAGTTGATTCAATTCTAGCCAACTGCCAAAACTCCCCTTATGGGAAAGGCTTATGTTCAGCAGCGGATAGTTAACGGCTGAAATTATAAAATGTTGTATATTTGTGTAGCGATGGCATATCCAGTGTGAAGTGGGGATGCTCCCTCTGCGGTTGCGCCGCGTCGCCGGTCACGAGGGGCGGCTCAACGACACGCTGTTCCAGCCGGCGGCGCGGCCCACGCTCGCTCCCCAGACGCTTATCTACTTCGGCGGTGATGTCCAGGTACGCACTGCACTTAGGAAGGGTAATACAATCACTTTACAAGTGTTGTATTGTCATGTAACCCACCTATTAGAAAAGGGGGAAAGTTACTGTTAGTAATGCGGACTACCAGTCTCATTGCTAGCAACATACCCCGTCAGGTCGACCTCCACGTGGTTCCTCTGGAAACCATCGTGCTAAATTCCAGGTGTATTTATCACGATAGGCTAACTGACCTGCTCTTTCATTCTCACTTATCATCCCTCACTGGTGCCCCGCCGGTGTATACCGATAGCGTGGGCGGGGTTACCATCACATTATCATCCATTAAAAAAAATCTCGCCAATTAAACTGTACTAGTCCTTTAATATTAAGATTACGACCTCGAAAATGTATTTTATTGTATTTCTTTTTTTTTGTTGTACATACTTATGATGAACGAAATGTTAAGCTCCATTTACTGAACCGATTTTGGTACGAACAAAAACACGAAATTGAGCCCGAAAATTCGGAATTTTATTTCATGGTAGACCACCTGATGCTAAGTGACTACCGCCACGCATGAGCACTCGCAAGACTAGAGGCATTGCAGGTGTGCTGCCGGCCTTTTAAAAAGGAATATGATCGTGAAGGTTGAACGATGCGATATCGATTATCGATCGAACGATGAGATTTTAATATTCATCTCTTACGACACCCACAGGAAAGGAAGGGGCCTATTCTAATCGGAATCTAATTACAATCTACTATCTAGTAGATTGTAATTATAATACATCATTTGTGTTCTGTAGGACTATCCGGAGGTTATGCAGGCTCACAGAGACAACAGGAACTATGTCAAGTGGAACTTGGAGAACACGGCTCGAATGTTGGGCCGGTACTTTCCCAACAAGCATATATTGATTGTGAGACCGTCTAGGTATGTATTCACTTTATATTACCAATTGTACAATGACGGTGCCAATCAAGCATACGTCCGCCTGATGGCATAAAACACCAGAAGCATTACTTGTGCTTTCACCTTGTAACATGATGGTTTTGAGTCCTTGATCTTAAGGATTAGGATAAGAAATTGTAAATATTACAAAGTCTCTGCTTGCTTCTGTCTGTTTATGCATATATTTCTTCTAAACCATGCAAAATATGATAATATGGTTTCTAAGGTTGTATGCATACTATATATTAAACTAGTGATCTGCTTCGAATTCATACGGATAGATAGAATATATAACAGATAAAATAAATCAGTGTTTTTTACTTTAATAGGCAAATTTTTTATATCTTAGGTTAAAAACATTATTTTAATTTTCGTAGGTATTTCGTAGGGATTCACAATTTTTTGTAAAATATATTATAGCCTATGTTATTCGCTGATAATATAGCTTTCTGTAGGTGAAAGAATTGTTAAAATCGGTTGAGTAGTTTTCGAGGCGATCTTATTGCCACGTTGTGAAGAAATGCCTCTGCGCAGCAGTAAAAAGAAGAGGGTTGGATAGACCGAGTTGCATGGTGATCGTGATAGTTTTTTTTTAATGGGTGACAATGGTATGGCAACCCCACCCGCGCTATCGGTATACACCGGCAGGACACCAGTGAAACTGATAGGTGAGGATGAAGCAGATCAGGTAGCCTATCGTGACGAACCCAACAAGAATTGTTCAAGATGGTTTCCAGGGAGAACCACATGGAGGTCGACCTAATAGGGCATATTATTATATATATGGAATATTCAAACCCCATTTCTAACAATCCCTTTTCCTCCGATCATGATCGTTTAGGTAAACTATAATAATTTACCTGTGTTTATCTAGAAGTTTCGACCAGAGGGCCTACCATGAAATGTGTTCCGAAATTTCGAAGCCAAACTAAACACAAATTTGATGTTAAAATTACATACTTAATACATGCCGTTTGGAAATATTAAAAATGCTAAAATATTGTTCCTTTGGACTTTTATGATAGGATGTATGATGAGCGAAATGTTAAACTCCATTTATTGGTCCAATTTAGGTATAAACAAAAACACGAAATTGAGTACGAAATTTCGGAATTTCATTTCATGATAGACCCGCAGGTCACAGCACCAATTGCCATCTGTTGTTAGCTGCAATGTAACGGCAGTGTGTTGCATACAGGATAGAGTACAAGAGTTTCAGCTGCTACGACAACTTCGTGCCGAGCAATAACGCGGGAGTGCCAGACCACACGCCCACGCACAGCGCCCTCCACCATCTCGAGAGGTAAGGCTACGAGCTACATCTATGTATATTGGAGGGAAGGGATTTTTAATATATATATATATATATATACCTACGTGGTTTCTAAATGCTGATAAAATATGTTTTCTGAAATTCAGATTTTTTGTAATAATAAACAAAATAAAAATAAAAAATAATAATGAAGATCTAAGAGCTTCATTGCTAGTAATATACCCTGTCAGGTCGACCTCCTCTTGGCTTCCTGGAAAATATCGTGCTGAATTCCAGGTGTATTCTTCACGGTGTGCTAACTGACCTGCCTTTTTATCCTCATTTATCATCTCTCACTGGTGCCCCGCCAGTGTCTACCGATAGCGCAGGAGGGGCTACCATGCTATTATCATCCATTAAAATAAAATACACTTTATAAAATTTCATTAAAATTAATTAAACAGTTTTTTTATACCACTGAGGTGGCAATCAAGCATACGGCCCACATGATAGTAAGTGGTTACCGTAGCCTATGAGCGCCTGCAACCATAAGAAGAAACCTCTTTACTTCATTTTGAAGATCCCCATGCTGTAGTCTCTTGTCGGCAAAATTTCTTAGATTACAATGAACAAACATCGTGATGGGATTTTTATGTAAGCATCCTGGGGGCCTACCATGAAATGAAATTCCGAAGTTTCGGACTCAATTTCGTGTTTTCGTTCATACCTAAATCGGCCCAGTAGATAAAGCTTAACATTTCGTTCGTCATAAATCCTATTATAAAAGTCCAAAATAATAATATATTAATATTTTTAATGTTTTTAAACGGTAAGTATTATGTAACTTTAACATCAAATTTGTGTTTCGTTCGGCTCCGAAATTTCGGAAAACATTTCATGGTAGGCCCTCTGAATGATTACATTGTTTATTCATATCGTGATGTTAAAATGATGCAATGTAGTGCTATGCTATTGCGATGTATCCAGTCGTCGGTTATCTACATTCCAGATTGCTACAAGGAGTAAGCAATAGATTGAAAGCCATGCCTACGTCGGAGTTGCTCGAAGCGGTCACCTCCATCAGTTTGCCGGAAGACATCGACATAGAAGATTTACACGTAAATAACACCTGCTTTTTATAATCTGTGGATTGTAATGTTGTGCTGGTGAAAGGTCACTGACACCATAATCTTACTTTTCTATCTTTTATATATATGTATGTTTTGATGTATATATGTACCACCCCTATATATAAAAAGAGCTTGACCGATTTGCATATTTTTTTTGTTCATTATTAAAAAAAAGCTGACAAAATACTAAAGTAATTTTGTATTGGATTCGCAACTTCAGATTACATTTAACAGATGGCGCTGTAGGTAATATAATGTTATATACAATATAGGCTTTTTATCGCGGTCAGTGAGCATACCCGTTTACGCGGACGAAGTCGCGGGTAAAAACTAGTACCTACAAATTAATAATACTTTTATTTATTACATTTAATTATAATCTTACAAAGCTTTAATTATATGACTGAAATATATATAATATGTACAATACAGAACGCTTCTGTACATCATGGTGAACACAGCAATTCGAACGGCTCCACCAAAAGTGATGCGGTTCCGGGCGACGCAGAGACCACAGAGTGCGAACACAAGCCGTGAGTAGGTTTAGTTCCAATGGATGTTGTGATGTAAAACTTAATTTATTTTAAATATAGTCTCTTAATATTATTCTTGTAAAGACAAACGAACAATTTACTTGCATTTGCTACTTCTATTAAAATGACTGGTTATTTAAAAAAAAAAGTTTAAAAATAAGAACTCAATTACTGAAAAGCCATGCTCTAAAATATTTATACAAGAAAATATTATCATTTAAAATTGGCATGTACTATTTAATCACCATCATCTTCTAATTCGTATACTGTTCACTGCTGAACATAGTTCTCCCTTTGGAATGAGAAGGTACTTACATCTAAACAAATTTGTAACTAGATGGTGCTATTTGTCATTTTTTTTTAATGATTGATAATGGAATGATAATGTAAATGGCCTTTGCTAACGATATACGCTGTCGGGCACCAGTGAGGGTGAGAATGAAAAGACAGGTCAGTTAGCCCACCGTAATGAATTCACTTGGAATAGAGCACGATAGTTTTTAGGGATAACCATAAGGAGGTTGACCTGACAGGGTTTTTTTTTATAGTTTGCAGTACAGTGTTAAAGACATCCTGTTCTCGCTTTTTTTTTTTTATTAGTGAAAATGGTATGGTAACCCCACCTGCGCTAACGGGATACGCTGGCGGAGCACCAGTGAAGGGTGATAGATGAGAATGAAAACAGACCAGTTAGCCCATCATGATGAATTCATCAGGCATTAACCACGATAGTTTCCAGGGAGAACCGCGAGGAGGTTCGACCTGGTTGGGTATATTGCTAGCAATGGGATTCTCAGTCTCCATTACTAACAATCCCTCTCCCCCCTGTCCTCGCTATTGGGTTTTTTTTTTTTTTTTTTTTTTTATATAACCAAACAAGCTGACGCTATTGGTAACCGTCGCCTATAGACATAAGGGGACATGACAGGAATGCCTGCCTGTACAAGAGGGTACATGGTGGGCGCAATTTAGACACTGATTGAGGAGCATGAGGATGGTAGACCTGACAGGGTATATTATTAGAGCTACTAAAGCCCATTATTAATAATCCTGTCTTTAACTTCTGTCTAATATTAGCATCAGTCTTTGTCCAGCGTAGTTTTTTTTTTACAACAGAGTGCAAACGAGCATGCGGCTTACCTGGTGGTAAATGACTACCGTCGCTCATGATCATCCACAACACTAAAGGCATTGCAGGTGTGCTGCCGGCCTTTTAAAAAAGAATACGCTCTTTTCTTGAAGGTTATGTTGTCGTATCGGTTCGAAAATACTGCTGCTTGAAGTTGATTCCAAAGAGCGGTTGTGCGTGGGAGAAAGTGCCTTGAAAAACGCACGGTGGAGGACCGCCACTCGTCCAGATGGTTGGGATGAAATTTTAGTTTATGGCGGGTAGTATGATGGTGAAAATCAGCAGCAGGTATCGAACCGAACAATTCCTCAGAGCACTCCCCATGATAAATTTGTAGTGACGTGTAAATGTTGTTGTATGAAGCGAGGAGGGCGGCGGCGCTGTGGAGCCGCTGTGGTGGCGCGAGCGGCTGGCGCTGGACGAGAGCCGGCTGGCGCTGGTCGGCTTCAGCAAGGGCTGCGTGGTCCTCAACCAACTCATATACGAGTTCCATTACACCAAGACCCTCACTCCTGGTGACGCGCATATGTTGAGGTGTTCCTTCATGCCACTTATATGTTACCTTACCTTTTATTTAGATCAGGAAGAATTTGCGGCAAAGAACTGGCTAGATTTTTTTTTCTTTTCCTACATATCGTCCGTGATAGTTCTGATAGTGACAAGTCTTTTTTTTTGCAGTTTTCAACCGACTTTAAAAATAAGGAGATTCTCAATTCGGTTGTTTGGTCTTTTTTATGGTTTGTTACCTCATATCTTTATCAGTTGCAAACCAATTTAAAAAATATTTTTTTTTATTAAAAAGGATGTACTTACAGATTGGTCCCATAGATATTTTATTCAAATAGGTTTTAGTAGTTTACTTTTTAAATAAAAATAACTGGTTTTGTCACAATTGAAATAGTTTTTTTTTTATTGTGGAAAACTGGTGAATTATCGTGTTTTGATTTGATTCGATACAATAGTGCACATCACTTGAACTTATCAGATATTTTGATGTTAAACAAAAACGTTTAACATTGATATTTATTTAACAATATGTTTTAATATATGGCAATTCGTATATTGAAACTAAATAAATACAATAGAAGTAGTTTATTCTACCCACTTCTATCTGTTCTCCTTTAACCAAAGGTTGTCTGTAAGAGATTAGCTCTAACCTAGCGATAAAACCACCTTTTGTATCTTTATGTGTATATTTAAATCTGGGGGCCTACCATGAAATGAAATTCCGAAGTTTCGGACTCAATTTCGTGTTTTCGTTCATACCTAATACGTCCCAGCAAATGGTGCTTAACATTTCGTTTGTCACAAATCCTACCATAAAAGTCCAAAGGAATAATATTTTAATATTTTTAATGTTTTTAAACGGTAAGTATTATGTAATTTTAACATCAAATTTGTGTTTCGTTCGTCTCCGAAATTTCGGAAAACATTTCATGGTAGGCCCTCTGTATTTATGTTACTGTATTTCACTTGAATTATTCACTTACCATTGTGTATTTTTGTTTTTGGTGCATTAAAGAGTTATTATTTAATAATAATTGTTATTTATTGTGGTACCGCGACGGGCAGGTTCATGGAGCGCATCTCGGAGATGTGGTGGCTGGACGGCGGCCACGCGGGCGGCAAGAACACCTGGATCACGGCACGCAGCCTGCTCGAGACCCTCACGCGGCTCGGTACGTAGCTAGCTCGCCACTCCTAGTATAATTACATCGTAACGCGGAGGGGGGGAGGGATCTTATATTCGCATATGGGGTCAGTTAAGCTGATGCACGTCGACCCATCGGGATCTTTTGTGCTTCCCCCTGCCTTATACCATCATTTCATAGATCCTTTGTGTTACCTTAACGATATCCCGCGGTTTAAGATATCTGTAGTCCCCTGGCTTTGGATAAGCCGTTTCCAGTAGCGGGGGAGGGATTGTTAGTATAGGGATTTCTTTTCCCTATAACTAGCAATGCACCCTATCAGACGGGGGGAAAGAGATTGTTAGCAATGGAGTTTGATAGCCCCATTGCTACCAATATGCTCTATTAGGTCGACCTCCACGCGACTCCCCCTGGAAACTACTGTGATTAATCCTAGTGGTATTCGTCACGATTGGCTAATTGACCTGTTTACATCCTCACCTATCATTTCTCACTGGTGCCCCGCCATTGTATACCGATAGCGCAGACAGGGTTACCATTCCATTATCACACATAAAAAAAATAACTGTATGACCATGTACGTACATTTCCCGTGTGTAAGAAAATTTGATGGGCAGTGGTCGAGGTATGGACAGCAGTGTCCCTCTTAAAACGTCACCAAAGCCTAACTGCCGTTGCCAATACGCCTGGGAAGCGTGGAAACTACCTGAAAAAGCTCCCCTTATGGGGGAGGCTAATTCACCTAGATCTCTTTTGTTGGCCAGATGTAAATATTTACATCCACGTGAGCCCGTACCAGGTGCAAGATGAGGGGCGGCCCTGGATCGGCAGAGAAGAGAAGGCGTTCACGAGTCTACTGAAGAAACTCGGCGCTAAGGTATGACAATCATATTTGTAACTCGTGCTTTTACCAACTTTATTAGAATAAAAATACTTTCTAGGATATATTAACTCTTCGACCGCTTGGATTTATAGCAGTCGCTGTGTCCTTTTATAGCGCTTAACTTTTTTTTTTTTACTATTGAAGGATCTCGCGATTGATCAATCCAATTGAAAAGTTAGACATAATTTTTGTAATATTTCTAACCATTGAAGTATTAAAGACTAGTTATATCCCGCGGCTCCGCTTGCGTAAATCAATACATAAAGTAGGTAGGTAGAATATAACCTTCGTGTGCACCAAATTTTATTCTAATCTTTTCAGTAGCTTTTAAAAGTTGCGTGAAAGAGCAACAAATATCTATCCATCGTTATAATCTTAAAATTGTGTTCGGCTGTGCCATGTTACTACAATTATAAAAACGCCTATAATGTGTTTGCGCAGGTAACCCGCTACCTACACGAACAGCCGGGCGTCGCTCATTCCCTGCAGATGCACTTCGAAGTGTTATCCAGCTTCTGGACGGCGCAGCAGACGGCCGCTGCCGCGTCAACCGCCGCTGATGTCTCCTCCGCCTCTGACGAGGAGCCCTAGCACGTTATCACGTTCTACTGAGACAAATATAGGCACCTCGATTATATGTGCCATAAATAAAATTTTAAATGCTTTTTTGCAACCGAGAGTTCACATGCACGAAACATACTTAGATGTTTACACTAAATTCTATTTCAATACAGGCCCTCTAGATAAATAGGGATAATTCATCGATGGAATTTATATCGCTAGCGATTCCGTGAGATAGAATGAGATACCAACGTCGGATGTCTCATTCTAACTCATGGACTCATTTTGAATAACGATTCCATCGATGGATTCGCTTGCCACTTGTCTGGGGGGCTGATATTATAAAGAGCAAAGGTGATTGTTTGTTACGGATAAACTAAAAAACTGCTCAACTGATTTTAAAAATCTTTCTACTGACAGAAAGCTATATAAACAACGAGTAACATAAGCTATATATTATATTTAAAACTTTTATCTACTCGTAAGAAGTCGGGCAAGATCGCCAGTAATATATTTTTTTATGCCACGAAGATTGCAAACAAGCATATAGCCTGTCTCGATGAGAAACTGTTACTTTATGTGAAGTAAGAGAAAACGGGCACTAAATTTTATGGTCACCAGAACTATGTGTCTATTATTACAATACTTATGTAACTTAAGTATTTCAATGTCAATGGTTATTTAAAAATTTAGTTTTATAGTAAGCTACAATAAGCTTATGGATCCGGTCTTACGGGTTTGAATCGTAATAAATTTACGTACTATTTATTTATACAAATTTAAGACATTCGCTTGCAAGTTGCTTATATAATTTTATAGTAGACCTAAATATTTACTTGTCAAGTAAAAATTGATCTCATTTATTATTAATATATATTTATTAATATATGGTTGTCTTGGTCACGGCACCAAATGATAACACTAACACTTGACAGTTCTAACGCGTGCATTCACATATGGCAACACCAAGTAAATAATCAAGAACCAAAAAGTGATAAAATCACTATCACTAATATTAACAAGAGTACAAATATCATAGTATTCTAAGTTTATAAATAAATTAAAAAAAAAAGTAAAAGTGTGTATGTCGTAAAATTGATGACTGTAAAAAAATAAAAGAAACCAGGTGAAAAAAATATTGATTAATTTAAATAATATATTTAAATTATAAAATGAGGGCCCTTAGGGTTCGTTTATGGAGACGCGTATGTAATTCCTTTGTGTTACATAACTAATGCCATTAATCTCCTACCGTTAATCAGCCCACGTATGGTTTGCAACACGTATACGACGATTGATAGATAATAATTGGTCATTTGCTGTTTGGACGCCGAACGTTTGACACTAAGCTCCGATTTGCTATATATTAACTAAAGATTAATGGTAAAACACGTGACGTAAAATGTGCATAGACTAAATAGCAGTCAGAGATTAAATTAGTAAATTTTTAAGTGTTGGCAAACACACACATACTAATGGAAGCGTAATTAAACAATAATTCTAATCGACTAAACGAGTACAAAATGTTAACGCAATATTTGTTAAATAGGCACTACGCATCGCCCAAAGCTTGGCGCTACCATAAACGAGACTAAGAAGTAAATCAGTATTAATTTAGGTTTAATTTCATGGAGATTTGTTTGCAGACAATATTTATTATGTACTATAAAACACTGTTTTAATAAATTATTTTCCATAAGAATAACGAGATTTCTTCCTTTATATCACGGTCAGATAAAATTAGATCTGAGTACATTATACCATTACTAAGGTTGGCTGGTAGAGAACGCCTATAGCATTATATCCGCTTTCATTTGTACTACAGTTTACTGGTCAAAAAAGTAAAAAAAAAATACAATTGATATGGCGAAATTATATTAATTTACCATAATGGAGAAGATTGTTATATTTTAAGTAATTAATTGTATTAATTTGACCGTACTTTTAAATTAGATGAGAAAATTAAATTATTTTGACATGAGTTTATTTTTCTTTTCTAGTTGTAGATACCAATAATTTTTAAGTCCACCTAAATAAGTGGTAAACAAATTTAACTTAAAGGTAGTTTTATGTTACCGTGCACATATGAGGGAACAGATGTTAGCGAAAACGCATCTAGCGAGGGGGAAGGGACTATTATTGATCGGATCTAACAGCCCCATTGCTAGCAATTTACCTCATCAGGTCGACCTCCACGCGGTTCTCCTTGGGAACCATCGTGTTAATTCTTATGGAATTCGTCACGATAAGCTGACCTGCATTTAACTTCATTTATGATCCGTTACTGATTGCATTACGCATTGACAGCGTATACCGGTAATGCAGGCGGGGTTACCATTCTATTTTTACCCATTAAAAAAAAACAAGGTAGTTTTACTGTCGCTGTATAATAGGAAAGTATATGCAGTTCTATACATACATTTTACTCTCCTATATATCGTGGTATGATATCTTGCCTAATTTTCTTATACTCATAAAATATACCAGCGGGAGACTTTGTACAAAAGTCGATTGCTTGGGTACCTCTGTCGCATTCGTGTTTGTACTGTGAAGCAGTTGTGTTTGCATGGCTGTGTTTCGGTTTAAAGAGTGGGATATAGCGTGAATTTACAGGGTACAGAGGAATAACACCTGAGTCCTCAGGAATGGCAACGCATGGGGGATATCATGGGCGAGACAGTATACTCTGTTATGTCCATGGTACTGCTCATGTCTATAGTCGACGGTTACCACTTTCCATCAGGTGGGCCGTCAGCTTGTTTGCCATTCTAAGTTGAATAAAAAAAAAAAATTTTTTTTTAATAAAAAATGTCCGTCAATGATTGTTCTTCATCGATTATTCACTCAGATCCTGGCCACAAGAGCAATAATTACACAATATCCGTTCGTAACAGTTTATTTAATTTCATCCATATTAAGACTTTATAAGTGTACGAAATTATAAAATTAGCAATACTTATACAAAAAAAAAAATTATGGCTGTGCTTTATTGTACTAACAAGACTATGAGATATAACCAGACCATAAACAATAAAACAACCATAGATAAAACGTTAACTTACCTAAGAAACTTACTAAAATTTGACATTACAAATGAAAACTTATTTTTGACAAAAAAAAAAAAACAGTTTTCAATTTTAAACAAACAAAAACATACAGAATCGTTTCACAATTTGCAGACGTTTGTCTGCATTTGATCAATTTCAATCCTATTGCTAGAAGCAAAGAGTACAAATTAAGTAATTTCACAGTTAGTTTTTTAAATTGTGTCTTATTGCTTACAGAAATTACTTCATAATGTTGCACAGCCAGTAACATTATTAGATTCACAAATCAAATGTAAAACCTTACATAATGTAAACAATATTATGTAACATACATAATACACAACCCTAAAATTATTCGACAGGGCGGGGCGTTGAGGAAAGCCATTTGGCAGTTGATATTCAATTTTTAAAAACACATTGAAGATTAATTGGTATTTTTACAAAAATAAAAATAAAATTGTAAATAAAATGTTAAGCATTAGTCCTAACCCTTAAATACCTGAAGTTTCAAATTTGATACCGGGGTTATATATCGCATTGGGCGCCTACAATCGATTTTATTTTAATATTTGGCTGTTTACATATAACCAATTTTTCTTTCAAAATAAATATATAAAAATATCGTTTTGATTTTTTTACTATTTTTCCCCATTAGTAAACACAGTAAAGGGTACACTTATATATTTTTTAATTAGATTTAAAAAATCAGGCTTTTAAGGGTTAAAGCGAATCATTTTACAGCGAGTTTGATAAAATTGTTAAGTGAATGTGTAAGTTACTAAAATACTGCACAGTATGGAGCACAGTACACGGCGATTCATTCATAGGAGAGTGAACAGTATTCTTTTATACAAGGCACATGTAGGTGGGTAGGCATTTAGTTGAAACAGTAACATGCCTGTAGTTACTCATACACGACTGATCACATTGAGAATTTTATCGACCGTGTCCTGTGCCTATGTATTTATATATAAGGGTTGAACGCAACTTGCTCAGGCATTAATCAATAAAATAATCTTTAATCAAAGCATGCGACTCGCAAGATACTTATAAAAATAAATTCGAGTCATATTTTTCCTCTAATTGGTGTGTAAGCGAGATGGAAGACATGCAATAGACTATGTTGAATACTGGGGCTGGAGTCAACACACACTTCCTAGACTGAACACTGTAAATTATATACTTAAACTATTCTGACCGCGTCAATCAGGTCGTATTTTAAATCTCTCAGTACATTTACACAAGGATTTCAAAGATACACAGCATTGGTAAGGAATAAATTGTATTAATAGTTTTACAAGGCAGGTTCAACCCTAATATAGACTTTGTACTACAAGTTACATGAATATAAATTAAGTAATCATAACACACTAAGCCGCTTTATCAGGCACAAATTCTGTTCAGATAGGAATGTTTGGACAAATAATTCTCTATCCAGCCACTGACAAGACGCTTGTGACCAACGTGGAGCGAGACTGCGGCACACGCTTCACATGTTCTCGAATTGTCCGTCCTTGTCTAACATGAGGATGTTGGGATTTTCCTTTTCGAACTCTGTCGGTTTCCGGTCTCTCTGTTGGTCGGTCCACTCGCCTTCCCCCGCGCCCCACTCTCCCACCTTCTCGCCTATTACATCCATCTCTTCTTTAGCTCTCTGCTTCTCCAACTGTATTGAAAAATGTAATGAAAGATTTAAAAAACCATTATATATAAGAAGGAAAAAAACTAGCAATAAACTTCTTACTGGTTAATCTATACTTAAATAAATCTGTAAAAAGGTCAATTCTGTACATGAAATATATTTCCAAAACAACTATCAGGGGGTGATTAGTGATCGATACTGATGCCAAAAATGCAATCAGTAAAATTTTTGTCTCTCTGTATGTTCGTTATAGAATCAAAAACTAGTCGATAGATTTTAAAGAAACTTGGTACAATTGTTTTTCATACTCTTGGGCAGGTTATAGTATACTTTTCATCACGCTATGATCAATAGGGGCAGAGCAGTGAAGGGAAATGTTAAAAATGTCCATCCGTGTGACGCCGGGACGGGCCGCTAGTGCAAAATATTTCTATTAATCCATTTAAACATAAACCACAATCATAAAATAATGGTTTAGTATCCATATGTCTGTAGAGTGTGAAAAGAGAATTGGAGCATGTGGCGTATTTTGTCTGTGTGAATACACAAGCATAATGGATTTATACAAAATGTAATTTTCAATACAATTTGTTACTTTTTCTTTTTTTTTATGATACTTAGAATGGCAAAGAAACTGACGGCTCACGTAACGGATGAGCAGTTTTTTTTAATGCATGATAATGTAATGACAACCCCACCTGTGCTAACGGTATACATTGGCGGGCTACCAGTGAGGAATAATAGGTGAGAATGAAAAGGTTACTTAGCCCATCGTAATGAATACATCAGGAATTCAGCACGAGGGTTTCCAGGAGGGTTCAGGTGGAGATCGATCTGATAGAGTATACTGCTAGCAATGGGGCTGGTAGTCTGCATTATTAACAATCCGTCCCCCTCCCCGGTTAAGTGGTAACAGGCGTAAATTTACTGGGTACAGAGGAATAACATCTGAGTCCTCAGGAATGGCAACGCATGGGGGGTATCATGGGCGAAACAGTATACTCTATTATGTCAGCTTGTTTGCCATTCTAAGTCGTATAAAAAAAAATAGACAAAAAATTACAAATTTATATACTTTCCATGTAGTATAAGACCACTTTAAACATTGTATAAGAATTGATAAAAAAATATCCAACCTAATCGAAATAAAGTTCTGAACGTCCAATTAGAATAAAAAATATAATATGGTAAATATGTAAATTATTGCAAACTGTAAGGAATTGAAATTGTAACAATAGCTTTTTGCAACTTCAATTCCTTATACATTCTGAACTGTCACATGCATGCACTAGTACTATACGCACAATAGTGTAAATACTTTTTTACTAATCTATGTGATTGCATTTCCAGTCTGTTAGTGAGTATTTTATACTACATCTATGATTAGAACAAATGTTACATCTAACTGGTAGAACATTATATTCCATTCTATTTGATCTTGTAAGTCACTTATAAATGAATGAATGAAAACTCTGTATTGTTTCCACCAAAGAATGATACAGAATACAAAGGTTAATATGTACACTAAAAAAAAAAAACTTAATTACAAAAGCACGATAAAGAGGCAGCAATCGGCTTATAACTCAATAGTGATCTCTTCCAGGCAACTTAAGGATAGAGAGGAATGATTAAATATAACTAAAAAAGAGGTAAAAGATAGATTTAAACGCAGTATGATTATAGGTATACTAATATTAAAAAAAAAAAAACACTGTGAATTTAAGATTTGTTATGTGTGTGGTGTCAAATAGATGCTTTATCTATGCGTAGCACGGTACAAGGCATGCGAACCTGTTACCTCCGTGTCCTTCTTGGCGAACTTATCGAACATGTTCGCGTACAGCTGCTTCTCTTTCTGCTTCTGCTTCTGTATGGTGGCGCGGCTCACTATCACTTGGTTGGCGGCCGCCTGCAATGATGGTGGAGTTCACGTGAGTATTACATATGATATGGCATTGAATTTAAAGGGTACAGAGGAATAACACCTAAGTCCTCAGGAATGGCATAGCACTGGTATCATGGGCGAAACAGTATACTCTATCATATCCATGGTACTGTGCATGTCTATGGGCGATGGCTACTACTTTCCATTAGGTGGACCATTTTTTTTGTATGTTGTAAAAATGTCCACCCGTGCGAAGCCGGGAAGAGCCGCTAGTGATATATAATTACCTTATTCTGTGGTTCAGCATCGACAACAGTTTGGAAATCCTTCAATGCAGCCTCCGCTTCACCTAAGCCTAATAACGCTTGGCCTCTCCTAAAGAGACCCTTCACATTCTTAGGGTCGAACTTGAGTGCCTTCGTCGCATGATCCTTTGCCTCGAAGTGATGGGCAGGTGTCACCTTTAGATACACTAGAGCGAGATTCAGATGGGCAGACAGCAGGAGATCCTTGGCTTGTGTTTTATTTTCTTCTGTTTCACTGGCGTCTTCTGGTAGATCTAAAACACGTAAAATTTTAATACATTAGTTATAATCCGCGACGTTGCTTGAGTAAATTGAAATTTTACAATGTATGTACAATTAATGAATGTTGTGAAACATTGGACGCATGTATGTATTATAGTAGGGTATCAGATCAGTATGAGGTTTACACACACACACACACACACACATATATATATATATATATATATATATATATATATATATATATATATATATATATATATATATATATATATAGTATATCGGAACAGATACGTCATTGAAACTTAGGAATAGAACACATTCCTTCAAAGGCCGTCATACACTTGCATCTTCTGAGATATAGCAAGTACCTAAGGACGGCGGTAATCACTTACTATCAGGTAAGTCCTATGCGGGCATACAGCGCACTGCGTGTTCAATACAATAATGTTTTCAGGGTGTTGTTACGGTTGCCACGTTTTAGTGCATCCACAATGTTTGCAGCGACATGGACAGATGACTTCTATGCCATCAGACGCAAACGGATCGCATCTCTTTTATACCGACTGCGTGGCAGCAGTAACGGCATTCTGTGGGCATTGTGTAATAAATACGATGGTCCGATCCTGTCATTGTGGGTCAAAATTATTACAGGGGCCATAAAATGATTTTTGTATTTTTTTTCTACTAACATGGTTTAAGTCAATTATTACTAACAAAAATGGATCTTTGTAATCTATAATAAAGAAATACTATTATTATTTTTTAAATTAAAAAAAAAAAATCTCATCTCCCCTCTTAAGGAGAGGAGATGGCAAGTAACCCCCGGCAGAGCACAGTCGGCCGAGGTTCAGGGCCCCAGGGAGAGAAACCGGCGTACAATGCGGGCAGAATCTAAGAGCACCGCTTTCTGCATCTTTCCCGGGAGTGAGCCGCCTCGGAATCCCAACCGTCTGGGATGTTGTTCCAGACTGGTTGGTATAAGACCGTTTACCGACATAACGATTGGAATGATTTCGGTGGATGTCACCCCCCACATTATTATTATTATTATTATTATGCTCGTTTACTTCACGATATAAAAAAAAATTAAAACTACCAAATGCCAACTCACCATCTACTAAAGACACTACTCTCTTGTACATTTTAATTGCTAATTGAAATTTGCTCGCTTTGAAGTAGTTAGTGCCTTTTTCTTTGAAGATCTTCGCCTGTTCCAGTTTCTCTTGACCGTCCATGGACCAACTTTCTTTTGCCTTCTCAAAGTTGACTAATTTGACCGTGTATTCCACAACAGAGTTAGGGGGCACGCCTAGTTCAGAGTTGCCTTCAGACTTGAATGCATACTTCGGTTGGATGGTTAGCCTGGACTTTTCGTCTTTAAGGAATTTCTCTAGTGCTCTCTCGATTCCTTCACATATATTGCTGTCGATGCCCTCGCCAAGAGAGAATGTGATTGTTCTATTATCAAACACTTTCCCGTCTGCTGCCAATCTACCCTCCAACTCAACTGCAAGTTTAACAATGTAATTAATACAAATATCCCTTAGCGGCTAAGGCTTAACTTATCCTTATTAATAAAAAGTTTCTAAGAATTCTTTTGAATTTTAGTTATATAATAAAATTGTAACTCGACAAAATCTGTACAAGGGAGATGTTTAAAAAATAATATGAAAGATCTTAGTAGAGGCCAAACCATTATTTTTTAGAAATATTGTCTGTCCGTTTATATGTATGTTTGTTCCGGCATCACGTAAAAATTACTGCATCAAATTAAATGCATTTTCACAGTTATATTCCTGAAGATCTATTTAAACACTGGTTTGTCTTAAAAATGTATTATCATTAATACGCTATCTAGCAGAAGTCTATTAGTTTTACTTCTGAAATCCACACGTAGGATTTATCCCAATTTAGTGGGCAAAAAAAAAAATATATATAATTCAAAAGAAAATTATAAGCCTATATTACTTTCTGACAATGTATCTTTCTATAGGTGTAAAATTTATTAAAATCGGCTGAGTAATTTTTGAGTTTATCCATTAGAAACAAACAATCAAATCCTCTCTATAATATTAAGTATTGGATGATTCTAAAAAGTTTTCGTGTCGATGGAAATGTCTGGGGAAGTCTTCCGTGATAAAAAAAATAATAATACCGTGTATGCCGGTAATATTTCAAAGACCAACTTTCAAGTTACTTTTGTTCTAAAAGTTGAAAGCATAAACAAACTGGTCTCTGACCGGCGGTGTGAGTCGACTCTGAATGAATTTAAACAACCAACATATAGCTAATAGTGTTCACGAACCACTCTCTTTCAAAAAGTATAAGTGTTAAACCTAATTTGATGTAAATTTTTAGTCAGATTATCAGAATTAAGTATGTATAAAAAAATTAAAGGAAATGTTTTGTTTATCACCAAGCTAAGGCTTTGGTATTATAGAAATTTTATCAATGACAAAATAATTAGTTTTGCCACAATAGAAATTCGTTCTTTTTATGTGGAACCAAATTTTTAACAATTTTTATATCTTGACATTTTAACAACTATTATTCATGATTGTAAACTACATACTATTTGAAATATTATATGGAGAAGAAAATAGACTCTTGATCGACTACCACATTCCGGTCGCGCGAAGTGGCGAATAAAAGCTAGTATAAATAAATATATTACCGGTAACAAGAGCGCCATCATTTGGATTCTCGAAACCACTGCCCTGTTCCAAAATATGCCTTAGGATTCCCTTGTTTTTACCAGGGCTCAAGTCTTCTACTTTCCAGTCAATCATTTCAATCTGAAAATACCAAGTTACTATACATATCTTTTAATAAATTAAAGTATAAAAAACACCATATCAAATATATAATAGATTATAATTTATACTGTTTATTATTATCAATTTATTATGTATAATGGTTCCCATGAAACCACAAAGTGTGTGAATAGATCGTGAGAATAAAACATTGACATTCATTAAACATAAAGTCATTTATCAACTATAGATACTGCGACCAATTCTGGCGCGTAATTTGTTTAAACTTATCTCTTAACCTATTTATGCTTTAATTCTTTCTACCCAAAGATTGTCTGGAAGAGATTGCTTAGCAATAAGACCGCCTTTTGTACTACACTATACGTATTGAACATTGTTTAACAAATCATGTTATGTTGGTGCAATAAAGTGTTAAATAAATAAATATATTAATTTGATAGTCTCAAAAAATATTTTTTGCCAGTATAAAACATAAAAATACATAAATTTTTACACATACATAAAAAAAATACTTTAAGCTATTACCACTTTTCATCAAGTGGGCTATCAGCTTGATTACAATGCTAAGTTGCATAGAAAAAATATACTATTAAAAATGGCAAACAAGGTAGGTACATCATGTTATGGCAATTACCAGTCATGAGATTGCTAATAATTAGTTCTTATGGTCCTGTCACGAGTAATATACCTTGTCACATGATCCCCCTGGTAATCATTGTCTATTCTTGGATAATTCACCACGATAAATCAACTCCGTGGCCTCCATCTTCACCTATCATCCTTCATATATTATGAGCAAAAACATATATCACAGATTATCTTTCTTTTATACCATGAAGGTGAAAAACAAGCATAGCCCATCTGATAGGGGGAAAGGGATTGTTAGCAATAGAGTTTGGCAACCTCATTGCTAGCAATATGCCCTATTAGGTCAACCTCCACATGGTTCCTCCTGGAAACCATTGTGAACAATTCTTTGATGAATTTGTCACGATGGGCTAACTGACCTTCTTTATTCTCACCTATCATCCTTCACTGGTGCCCTGTTGGTGTATACCAATAGCGCAGGTGGGGTTACCATTCCAATATCACCCATTAAAAAAAAGCCCATCTAATGGTAAATAATTACTGTAGCTTATGAACGCTTGCAACACTAAGGGCGTTACAGTTGGGGCAACTATTTACATTATCATTTATAAAACATGTACTCACCTCAAACTGCAGTGTGGAATTTGGTGGGATCTTAGGTGGGCTGCCGGCAGCACCGTACGCATATTCCGGAGCGCATGTGAGTACACACACCTCCCCTTTCTTCATAGTTGCCACACCAATGTCCCATGCTTTGATTACACTACCTGAAAAGTACATAATAAGTCACTTACTACTGCCTGATATATGCTAATCCTTTCTAATATTATATTCGAAAAAGAACTGGCATTACAGATGTGACACATAAAATAAAAAAGCTCAAATGGCGATGGACTGGGTACATCATGAGGTCATCAAAAAATAAATGGACCCAAGATTTAATTGAGTGGTATCCACGTGATGGAAAAAGAAATTAAGGTAAGCCAATAAGATGGGAGGATGATTTGCCTAAAGGCTGGAGACAAGCTACAAGGAATCATTACCAATGGAGAAATATGGAGGAGGCCTATGTTCTAGAATAAACTGAAAAATAAGATGTTGCTGATGTCAACATTAACTATTTAAACATATTTACAATTTAAAAAAGAATCTGTAATCCAGGAATATTTTTATTTTATTTTATTACTATTATTATAAATATAAAAGTTTGTTTGTTACTTTGAAGCATCTTAACTGCTTATGGAACATTATGAAATTTAGTATATGTATGTGTATTAACTAGACCTGCTGGTAATCTACCTCAATATTGTTAGAGTACAATTGATTGACTCTGCAAGGCTGCTAGTATGTGTGATGCAGGTTTGTCATCTAGGTAGGGTGTATTTATTAGAGAAGCGAAGAGAAGTAATTATTAAAGAATAATAATAATAAAGTTTATTCTCTTCACAATATCAGTTGTACATCTATTATATTGTAATATATTTATTTTTGGAGGTTACATAAGTTAATGTATTGTGAAGAAATAGTGTCTGAAGTAGGATAAACCTGTGTTACAGATCACCAGGTCCTCACACCACGGTGTTGGCATTATTTTACAATTTGCTCTAGTTATGATTGTATTGCAGTATAGATTAGTTTTCAGCACAATATGCATTCTCTTAGACAAGGCCAAATGGTAATCAAAGTAGAGCACAACTTATCTATCTTATCAGCCAAGACACCATGGTTAGAATAGGCTAACTTAGAATGTTCTAGAAAATGGTTAATATTGCTGTGAAGCTCCACAGACAAGCAGCAAGTGAATCTTGAAAAATGATTCTACCATTCTCATTTACAACAAGATGTTGTATGTTGAAGTCTCATTTAACCTTATAAACAACATTGAATCATCAATGGATCTGAAATGAAATCATTGCAGTTCATGTACTTGGTAGTAATAATGATTCCATCAATGGATTTGTTTGTCACACGTTTATGGTGAAGTAGGTCTCTCATAAGTTAGAGAAAGAAAAAACATGATAGATACATTATTTAATATTGGTATAAAAAAAATACTATAGACATAGAGAACACAACTTTGTAGTAGTTATCAAAAAACCCATCTCGGGTCACAAAGTGGGGTCACAGTCGGGACATAATAACTTAGTCCTCATTAATATGTAAGGTCCAAGTGAAATATAAATTTAGCAGTCTTCACTGACAATAAATTTAAAATGTAAATTTAAGCCCATGTTAAATTTATTCAAAATTCAAATACATTTACAAATATTAACATTTGAAGATTAGACTAAGTTTCAGTGATAAAATATTTTTTAAAGGTATTAAAGTAAAAAAAAAAAGGATATATAGATATCAATATGGAAAAAAACAAATATGCAAAAAAAAAAACGAAGGGGAGAGGATGGAAGAAAATTAGTAGATCCCTGAAATATGATATTTATTATGTAAATATGGACTTGTAAAATAAAGTTCACCAACAAAAAGGTGCTGGCTTTTATTTTAGGGATTTTGATTGATTTTAGGGATGTAAGTTATTTAAAAAAGGTTTAGGTGGATTTTTAAATTCACCAAAGCTATCAATAAAAAAATAAAATTGTAGCCAACAAAACTTATAGGTTTTTAATATTTCTTTTGAATTTTCTAGCTTTAAAACTACTCTAATTTTACGGCAGTATTTTTTAAGTGAAACTGAAAAAATCTTATTTGAATTTTCTATAATAAACTATATTAGAACTAGACACTATTAAACTTGCAGAAATATTAGACATTCTGATAATTGTGATAATTCTTTAATAAAGTTTATAAAAATCATAATAATGACATGTGTTGTACATGTGACTATTGATTATGCTTTTTATAAACTTTATTAACGAAACTTTTGACTCTCTTGTTTTCCAACAGCTAGAGACATAAAAAACTTAAGTTTTTTTTTATATAATTTATACAGTTACATATGTAACTAAATAACAGGAATTTAAGAACTTAGGTTATAAGTTCAATAGTTTTAGGACTTAAGAGTTCTGAGAGCTCCACTTGATAAAGAACAGGAGGGTTAAAAAGCCCATCTTACATGAATCATAATAGAGTTTGTATTGCAGACCCTGCAGTCTTTAATAGGTTTCTCACAAGTTCTAGAACTTTACGCTATTGATAAGGATAAGAAATGATTAATAAATATTTAAATAATATGAGAAATTTAATACAGTAATATAAATAACCTATAAAATAGTTATGTATAGTTAATTGGTATAAGGGTTTTAATTTTTCAAATTGTTTAATTTTTTTATATTCACAACTTACCTTTGCCCAGTTGGAATTCGAACGGCTCGTTCCTATCCTTGCTGGAGTCAAACTTAGTACCGTCTAGTAATGTGCCTGTGTAATGTACTGTAACCTGGCACCCAGGGTTGGGAGTGTCGGTGCCTTCACCCTCCTTGATGATTCGTTTCAGAACACCGCGATCGCCTGCTTTTGAAATATCTACGCCCTGATCCACAGTCATGTTTCTCAATTATTTTTAATTCGAAAAATGCCTTGAAAATCGTAAATGTTCAACAATTCCCTACAAAAGGATCGTATAGACACTTGGAACGCCGGTCAATCAATTTGTGAATTAAAAAAATTGAAAATGTGGTGTGAAGTCTATGGAATTTTCTAGATGTATAGTACAGATTACAGAGACTGGTCTAGGTGTCACGATTTGTAATAATGTCTGTACACGGTCTGCATATGTCATGACATCTGTCACTAAGATAAAAAAAAAGTTTCTGTCTCTGTCCTACAAACGGTAATAGACTTAGTAAAAGTAGTACCTACAGCAATAGACTATTTTTGATAAGTGTGATAATTGTTTGAAATAATAACTTTTAACATGCTTTAAAATATACTAGTCTGACTTTTCCAGATTTTTCTATAGAGTTTGATATCGAAATGGTTAATCGTATTTAGGTATATAAAATTAAAAATCTATTCATGCTTTAAACGTTTTAAAACATGGATAGATTTTTAAGTATGTAAACAGCATCAGTAAATTTAGGATAGAAATTCTCTAAATTAAAAATTATATATTCATTCATATCCGTCCCGTCTGCTTCTCAATGGGGTAAGCAGAAATAATAAAACGACAAATGTCAGAGCATTAAAATAGACCTCTATCGCCTCCTCTACATTCATCCATCTATTTCTACACGCACCTCAGTTACGGGTATTTTTAATATGGCCCTTCTTCAGTACGTCGCTTATTTGGTTATCTAAGACGATCTGTATCGACATGTCTATCTATTCATTCATACTTGTTAAATTTCTTTCGTATATCTTATTTTATCTGTTCTCTCTTCCTTTTTGATCGGTCGATATTACATTATTTTGTGGTAGACACACTTTTTAATCACACTAACGATTCAAATATTATGAAATGATAAAAAAAATTTGAGTCTTCCATATTAACATAAGTAATATGTAATCTAAAATGTAATACATATATATTTATCTAGCTCATGTCCGCAACTTTGTCTGCGTAGTATTTGTTATTCCTGTTTATTATGTATCGATGTATGTATCTACTTATTATGTCTAAAAATATTTGACCAAAATTAACAAATGACGTATCTTAAATGTTGAATGGGGATGTAAGGCCCATCATTCAAAATTTTATTAAAATTGGTCTAACAGTTTCGGTGATTAGCCCGAAAAAACAGAAACAAAACATTTTAAAAAAATCTGAATTTGTTTTATTTCACCTCTAACATACCCCTGACTCGGTTTTCAGCGTTTTTTTTTTTCTACGTACAGACATTCGATCTCTACAAATTTATGTATAGATGGAAGCCCAATTGTTTGGTGCTCACCGCAGGATATAAGCGGTTTTCAGCTGTGGGTAAAGACTTGTATATACCTATGCCTTATACTTGTATATACAGATACCTATGCCCCTTTTTTACTTTTTCTATCAGTAATTGTTTCTGTTAATGGCGAAGACGGTAAACATGATCTTTAGGTATTTTTATAAGTAAAAAAAAAATAAATAAATAAAAGCATCGAGTTACAACAAACAATTTTATTTCAGTCTTTTAAAATATAATATTGGATATTTAATGATTTTATAAAATACTTACAAGAAAAAAATTTTGGGATATCTTCTTGTGGTTTTACTTTTGCTTTTATAGTAGGACCAAAAGAGATTTAGGTTATGTAGATAATTTATTTATATCCAAAAAGGAAAAAAGTATATATTTAATGCAAATTTGTGTTCCATTGGGATGAATACAAAAATATGGTGAGGGTTGTTGCTTTAGTTTTCACTTCAATTGTTCATTTTCAAACCATTTTATAGCAAACAAATCGATTTTCACTACATAATATTATAAAATACAACTAATTCAAATGTTAAATCTTCTAATAGTATTTATATTTTATGTGACAGAATTTAGCATTAATGTGAAAAATCCATCTAAAATTCTAATAGTAATAGTAGTATTAATGAACTGTATAGTAGAATAAATATAAAATAGATTTTTATTATTTCATAAAATATACTTTAAGTTTTAAAATGGGTATACATAACTAAAAAAGTTTGAGAACCACTGCTGTAGTATATTTTTGTGTATTATATATACAATATTACTTTTAATATGTTGTTATATATATTTATGCTGAAGATGACAGGGATTTAAATTCATTTGTTATAAAATTTTGCTTTGGTTTATTCATTTACTACCTTATAATTGATTACTAGCTGCGTCCTGCAAGTTTACTTGCACGAATTAAGATTATAAATGTTCTATATGTTAATTCAGAATATTGTCTATTTGCATTATATTATCAAAATACATATACTTTAGTTTAGATCTTTACAACCCTTCACATTTATAATATTAGGAGTTGACTGTAGTACAATAACTATAATATTTGTCTGTAGGTAAATACTATTAATAATAAAAATTATGATATGACGATTGTGGATAGTATTTTAAAAATATAATTTTGGTTATAATTTTAGATAGAAACCAAGAAACTTCAATACATTTGTATTAAATAGAAAAAAAAAATAGTCATTTTGTACACTTTATTTAAAATAAGTGTACAAATAATATAAAAATACAATCCATAATGACCTTTTAACTACCTCAGTTGAAGTTTTTTTTTTATACAACTTAGAATGGCAAACAAGCTGACGGTCCACCTGATGGAAAGTGGTAACCGTCGCCTATAGACATGAGCAGTACCATGGACATAACAGAGTATACTGTTTCGCCCATGATACCCCCCATGCATTGCCATTCCTGAGGACTCAGGTGTTATTCCTCTGTACCCAGTAAATTCATGCCATATCCCACCCTTCAAACCGAAACACAGCCATGCAACCACAACCTTCAACAGATATCCTGTATTTTTTTTTTGTTCATTCAGCTGCCTAATATATTAAAAAATACAGGAAATAAGTTAGAATATAGAATTTTTAAATGACTTGCAAAAAACAAAGTATTTTAAAAGTGGTAGAGGGTCATGATAATTGTTACAAAACCAGGCAGTCAAAAAGTTAAGCATAACTAGAATCATAAATCTTGATTTATAAGTATAAATATTTATATATATAATTGAATCACTTCTATTTTTATTCAATTGCTATTTTCGATTAGAGAAAAACAATACAGTGCACTATTAAATATACTTTCCTTAACAATTATTTGAACACTTGGATACATAATATCTATAATGTTTAGAATCACTTTGCGATAATAGTTTTTGATCATTAGACTGACTCCATTCATCAGAACCATCACAGCAGTCACATATACCATCATTAACTTTGCTCGATGGTATTTTATGGAGTGACACAGGTTTCCCATGATACTGAGCGTCACAATAAAAAGTACCATTCACACATGCATTGGTGCTTGGTTCATCTGTAGCATCCAAACAATCACAGTAATCATCGTTTAGACGCTCATACGGGATTCGCTGTTCTGAATTCAAACATTTAAATTCGTTCGCATCAGGCCGGTATTGTGGCATTAATAGGTAATACACTCCACGAATTATTCCATTATCATTTATAAATTTGTCTGCTTCTGAGCGTAAATGTAAACCATCTAGGCCTACGTGATTTATAATCGGTATTAATTTATTTCCAGTCATAGTTTCGGAGGTTATTGTCAGAAAGAAATACAGTTGATATAAAATGAAACATACGACCATAAAAAGTGTGAGAATGATAATATTTTTCTTCTTTTTTAAACCCATTGTTAAACTACTTTATATTTCATTATTTAATTGTTCTTTTATGGATTAAAATAATTATTTAATAAAGTTGCTAATATTCAATTAAAAATAAAAAAAATACAATAATACAAGTAAATAAGGATTGCAATATACTATTATTGAAATTTTCAAACTATTGACATTTGAGGAAGTGTCAATTCTCCATTGGTCAATATTGTCAGTTTGACTGTTAAATAGACTAGAGTAGATAGAATGTAACCCAATTTTCGCCTAACAATCAATAAATGTTACTACAATATGGCTTCGTAAATGATCAACAGCTCATTTAATAGACTCATTTAATCGACTATAGAACTTCTTTACTTTATTGATGACTTTGACATATAATAAAAATTATACGAATATGACAGTTGATGATATTTTCTTTTGCTTACCAAAATTTACATATTGAATTTGAAACTAAAAATGTTTTTTTTTTTTTCCATATAAAATAACCATTTAATAAAGAATAAACTTTATTCATTATGAGTTTTTTGACTGTGGATCGCCAAACAACTATGAATATGGAAAAATCTGATGATAATTCAGACAGCAAAGATGACTTGGAGGTAAATCTAGCGTTATATTTTCGATTAATTTGTTTGTGTTTATATTTCCGTAACCCGTGAAGGATCTGGAGTGAAGAAAGACAATATAATCTATTCCCTAGAACAAAATTCAACTCATTTGACATTGATGTTGTCTAAAGATTTCAATGTAGTTCACATTTTATCTTTGATGTTTATTTTATATGTACTAGCTATTTACTGTGGCTTCGTCCATGTGAAACCTATAGTCTCCTGTTTCCAGGAATATTAATTAAAATTCTATTATTTAGATTTTAGTTATTTGTGATTATTCAGATTGTCAATAACAAGTAATTTTTAAGCTTTTATAAAAAAGTTTTGTCATTGGGTACCTTTAGTTTTTATAATTTTTCTAGTGACTTTCAAAAAGGAGCAGTTTTTAAATTCAATTGTGTTTGTTTCATAACTCATATATCTGACTCATGTATATTATGGCCTCGTAACTCTAGATGGAAAGGAATTGTTAGTAATGGAGCTGCTGCCCCATTGCCCCATTACTAGCAATACACCTTATCAGGTTATCTGCATGGTTCCTCCTGGAATCCATTGCATTTAAAGTAAAATAACTGCTTTTTTATAAAAAAATATTATATTATGTACTTTTGTACAAAAGTCTATTACTTGGGTACCTCTGTCCTATTCGTGTTTCAACCGTAAAGCAGTTGTGTTTGCATAGCTGTGTTTCGGTTTGAAGTTTATGATATGGTGTGAATTTACTGGATACGGAGGAATAACACCTGAGTCCTCAGGAATGGCAATGCATGGGGGGTATCATGGGCGAAATAGTATACTCTGTTATGTCCATGGTACTGCTCATGTCTATAGGCGACGGTTACCACTTTCCATCAGGTGGGCCATCAGCTTGTTTGCCATTCTAAGTTGTATAAAAAAAAAATCCTAGAAAGATAATAATGCTATTGCACATAAGAGATAACCATATGTGTAATGACACAAGTTGCTTTTCTTGAGTTAATAAATGTAAAAAAAAATAAAGCAAAAAAAAATATCTAATACAATAATTAGTTCTGTTAATTGAGTCTCTACTGTAGTGCACTCCAAATTTAAATATACTATTAGGACTTAACATGATTAAAAATTTTCCCAGTTAAATAATACCTACATACCTGTTTCTTTATTGCCAACATTGTGACATGGATTGCACCACTGTTGTGACCACAATGTTTCCAAATAGTGTAAATAAATTAAGTTTAAATTAGTTTAAATAAATATTAACAATGTAAAAATTTTAAATGAACGAATTTACTTCATTTTTATAATTCTTATTTGTGCAGGTGGATAATTCAAAGAGTGTTCTGCTTAAAATAGCTACCCTCTATGCCGAGCAGTTGATGAGTGACCTGACACTTCAAGTGGCTGGTGTCGAATATCCAGCTCATAGGCTCATACTGTGCGCCAGTAGTGAAGTGTTCCAGGTTAGCATGGATCATTCTTTTTAATTTTTTTTTTAAGACACATGATTTTGTAATAAGTTTATGTGACATGGAATGGTATACAAGTGTAGGTGCCCCATGTAGTTGAAAACTGAAAATCAGCGCTGAACAAACATCAGTCCAGTAAAAGCTGAATTTGTACCTATTGCCAGGCATATGGATACTGTACAATGTATTTATTAATTAATATATGTACATTATAATTTTTGTATGTTTGGCTATAAATTTATTATTATTAAAAAAAAAGTCCACCTGGAATGTGTATGATTATCAACTGTATTATTATTGCCAGAAGTCTTACAATCTTCCATATTAGCCATCAATCTCCGACTGCCACCTTGTACACTCACCTTTTACGGCATGTTTCACCTCTAAACAAGGCACCTTTAGGCAAATTATTAGATTGCTGCTTAAAGCCTAATGTCAAAGATTGGGGGGAAAGGGATTGTTAGCAATGGAGTTTGATAGCCCCATTACTAGCAATATGCCTTATTAGGTCGACCTCCACGTGGTTCTCCCTGGAAACCATCGTGAACAATTCTTGTTGAATTCATCACAATGGGCTAACTGACCTGCTTCATCCTCACCTATCATCCTTCACTGGTGCCCCGCCAGTGTATACCGATAGCGCGAGTGGGGTTACCATTCCATTATTATCCATTAAATAAAAAAAAAATGTCAAAGATTCACCACTCAAAATACGAAAAAGTTATTTTCAACTTAGTTGCCATATTTATTACCCTTTTAGTAGAGGAAAACTTTAATTCACATTGCATAGAAATAATGTATGGTAGGAATATTGCTAAATAAATGTCAAATATTTTTATTATGTTATTCTTTAAAAATTATTTAATTATAAATGTTTTAATTTTCCTTATGCATTTTATTAAAATAAATATCTTAATATTTTTTGATAGTAAATTCTTATTTTTACAGTTTATTTTAACAGTTCATATGATTTATTATATATAGTTTTGCATTCTGATTTTATATTTACATTTTTTTGTATCAAAAAACTACTTTCTAAATAAATTTAATTCTATTTTTCTGTTAATACTTGCATTTTTTTTTATTTTATGAGATACTGTACAATGACTGGGTCCAAATTTAAACTTTTCTTTGCTGACCTTTACTTCACTTTTGGTTTTTAATAAAAATTGCCTTTTTTTATTAAAGGTGATGTTGATGAATCGCGAATGGAGCGAATGGCGGGAAAGTCGCATCATTCTCCAAGAGACACCGACTGCAGCATCTGTCTTCCCACATTTCTTGAAGTACGATCACAAATAATATTATTTAAATAATTAAATATAAAGCTGTTGCTGTAAGCATAAAAATTAACACGAAAAGAAAATTATATCATTATTACAGACTAGTTGGACTAACTACATTTGAAAGGAAAAAATTATTAAAATCGGTTCAGTAGTTTAGTTTTTAAATTAAAACAACTGGTTTTGCCATGATTTTAAGTCAGTTGTTTTCTTGTGCAACACAATCTTAATTATATTATACAAAATTATTTATATAACATTTTTTTTTACAGTTTTTTTTAAGAAATATATATTGTCTTATAATATTATTAAATTCACAGGTACTTTTATACTGGCCAAATACGTATATCGCATCAGACTGTGCTTCCAGTGCTCTCGTTGGCTGATAAATATAATGTTAAGGTATATATCGCAATATTCAACCATACATATTATTTGTATTATATTTTTTTTATATATAATTTAGAATGGCCAACAAGCTGACGGCCCACCTGATAGAAAGTGGTAACCGTCGCCTATAGACATGAGCAGTACCATGAACATAACAGAGTATACTGTTTCGCCCATGATACCCCCCATGCGTTGCCATTACTGAGGACTCAGGTGTTACTCCTCTGTACTCTGTAAAGTATTGTTCTTCAAAAACAGTAACCACTTATGATCAGGCAAAAGATTCTTCTATTAACAGAATTTTTAATTTCGCTATATTATTACTTTATAGAACATCATTATTTATTTATTTATTTTACAACTTTATTGCACCATTTATAAAATAATAAATACTGAGAAGTGATACAAAAGGTGGCCTTACCGCTAAGCAATCTCTTCCAGAAAAAGTACATAATTAATATAATTATGTACTATTATTTAAAATACTTGTACACAAAACTTCATCTGGAGTTAGATGATGAACGAATGATGATGATCACGTGTGAAAATCTTATTAATATAGTAAAATTGTAACTAGACAGTGTCGTGTTATAATTTCATATTATTATTGTTTTTTATTTATTTATACAACTTAGAATGACAAACAAGCTGACGGCCCACCTGATGGAAAGTGGTAACCGTCGCCTATAGACATGAGCAGTACCATGGACATAACAGAGTGTAGTGTTTCGCCCATGATACCGCCCCCATGCATTGCCATTCTTGAGGACTCAGGTGTTATTCTTCTGTACCCAGTAAATTCACGCCATATCCTTCCTATCCCTTCAAACCGAAACACAGCTATGCAAACACAACTGCTTCACGGTAGAAACACGAATGGGTCAGAGGTACCCAAGCAATCGACTTTTGTACGAAGTCTCCCTCTGGTAAATTTTAATGGTATTTTAATGTCGTATCAAATATTTAAGAAAAAAATAATATGATGGATTTTAATAAAATGTTTAAATATTTTAAAACAATATCAACAAGATTCGTCTGTATTTTTGTTCTCACATCACTCAAAAACTACTGTACCTAATTGGACTCTGTTTTCACAATTGTGTCCCTGAAGGGTTAACTTAAAATCTTGTTTATGCATTATCTTAATTTGTTTTACTATTTCTGAAATCCACACGCAGGAATTAATGCGTTAAAAGCTAGTTAAATAATAAAGATATTTTAATAAAGACAGAGGGTCAGAATAAGTTTTTTTTTTTTTAATAAAACTTATAATTGATGTTTTATTTTTGTGACTAGGACCTAGTCTCCCTGTGCCTGGGCTATATGTCTCAACACATAGCGCAAGCCGCCAAGCGCGGCCAGCTGATAGCGTGGATGCAGTACACGATGGCTTGTGGACATAACGAGGTAGCCAAGGTTGGTAAATAATGAAATAATACAAGAAAATACATGGTCTGAAACTGTAATTTCTTACGAAGTACTAAGGGACTTTTTTTAACGGATGATGGTGGATAGACAGGCTATGCTAATGGTATACAATGGTGGGACGCCAGTGGTAGTATTTTTTTTACAATAATAATAACTTTATTGCATAACCATGATTGTAACAAACTCAGCACTGGAAATGACAGTAAAAGTAGGTATAAATTCATTACACATTTGGATCAGTTTAAACATCTGTGTCTGAACTAGGTTATAAAACCTGTATCTCAGAAAAGAAAACAAGTTAATCACTGATTATTGGTTATGACACATCGTGGCGAATTTATTAAAAAAAAATTACGGTTTCAGGGGAAATTCATCATTATTATCATAATAGCCTTTAACTATCTACTGTTTAACATAGGTCTCCCCTTGGGGGTGCTTTGTTAATAGTTGCCACGCTTGACAGGCGGATTGGCAACCATATGTTAGGCTTTGGTGACGTTTTAAGAGGGATGCTGCTGCCCATCCCTCTGCCATTAGATGAGGTATATCGTTAACAATGAAATTGCTAGACCCTATTATTAACAATCCCCTCTCCCAATTGTACATCTGTTTGTTGCGCAGGCATGCCAGAACTTCGTAAAGTGGAACCTGGAGTGGGTGTGGTCGGACAGTGAGCTGGGTGAGCTTGAGGGGGAGACGCTGGTGCATCTGCTCCAGCAGAGCGACCTGGTGCTTCACAACGAGATGAGCCTCTATGAGTTAGTCCAATAGCGATTCTTTATTTTTTATATCACGGGAAGAGTTACACATTGTACATAGTTGTTTAAACCAAAAGGCTTGGCCAACATATTGGGAGGAGATTAAATAACTATCTCCCCCCCTACCTATTGAGAGTAATCTGAACTGAGCAGGGTTTTTAATCCAATCCAGCAATTGGTTTCAATCTAGAAGAATTGACAAAATACTTCAAAGTGCCTATTTTTATATCACTTTGATTTGGGAACTATATGAAGGAAGTGTATGCTTGTTTGCCACTCGTGTAGATAAATAAAAAGATGACCCATTGTGACGAGTTATCTAGGAATTGACCACAATGGTTTTTCAAGAAGAGCTGCAAGGACATAGTTTACATAAAGTATAATACTAGTAATGTGGCCGCTAGTCCCCATTCTACCCCCATTGATAAAATTGTAAACTTTTATGTAACTTAAAACACAAGTTAGGACCACAAAATCTGTGTAGACCACTATGGTTGTACATAAAGTGTATGTTTTGTTTGTATTGTACTGGCAGAATGTGGAATGAGAGTTGATGTTAACATGGAATGTCTTCCAGATTCGTGGTGCGATGGTTGAACAAGCAACGCGAGCGGCTGAACAGCAGCGAGCTCAGTGCTTCCGAGAAGAAGCTGCACTGGGAATCTCTGGTCCCGGCGGTCTTCTCACATGTGCGGTCAGTATTCGCTAGAATAGCTGTATGGTGTTGTACATGTTTGTTATTAGCAATTTACCATCGAGTCCGCAATCAAAATTTTCAACCTTTTTTATGAATAAATTACATTTATCTAAATTGGAGTCTTAGTATTACAACACAAAGAGTCTATATGTATGTTCTTTTGGTCCTTGGAGCCGGATTTCTCAACTTTGAGGACTTTGTCCCTTACATTCTTCATATATATATTAAGTTCTAAATAACAAGGAAACAATAAAGAATCTAGTGATGATTTTTTGTTAACAATAGTATATTAAATAAAATAAGAAATTGTGTTTGTAGACATAAATTTAAACTTTTACAAAAATGTCCTCTAATAAACCTATTTTAGTGCAGTGTATTGTCTTTTTCATTTGCGCTAATTTAACCACTTTAAAGAAAGTGACAAAACAATCTTCAAACGACGAACTAATCGTAGCCTATGGTATCTTACTGCTAGTCAAAGACTTCCCCCAACTGTTTCTATCTTGCACGATTGCTGGTCAAACCGTATCAGTATTTATGGAAACAAAACAATCTTATACTAGTATAATTAAAATAAGTTTATTTGTAATTTTTATGAGTAAGAGAGACAACATTTAGTATGTGAAAAAAAGGGATCTATTTAGAAGAAAAATTACTTGAAATGGCTTGTGTGTAATAGTTTGTCTTGTCACAGGTTCCCAATGATGTGTCCGAAGCAATTGGCCAAGTTGTTGCTGTGCCCCCTCACGCAGGAGCACAAGGACTTCTTCATGGAACGCATGGCCATAGCCATGAGTTATCAGTCAGGTGATTTTATTTCTTATTTATTTATATAATAAGGTTCATCTACAACTTTTACATTTTATATGCTACTTATGGCCGTAGCTAGAGGGGTACATTGAGGGGCAATGCCCTACTTTAAAAGGCCCAATGCCCTACCCTAAAATGAAAGGCCCTCGCCTGCAACTTTTTGCGTTTTATATGCTACTTATGGCCATAGCTAGAGGTGGGCATTGAGGAGCAATGCCCTACTTTAAAAGGCCCAATGCCCTACCCTAAAATGAAAGGCCCTCGCCTACAACTTTTTGCATTTTATATGCCACTTATGGCCATAGCTAGAGGGGGGCATTGAGGGGCAATGCCCTACCTTAAAATAGGCCTCAAGAAATTTGGCAGATTCGCTTTTTCGAAGTCAATTATGGCATCTGCCTTACCAAAAAGTTCTTTTGTCGGAGCTTAAACTTGGGTCTAGTTACTAGCTAGCTATAGTATTTAATAAGTTGTATCTCTTGTTAATTGGATCCGAAATTGATGTCAATCAGACCACAGAGGCTCTAGACAAGTTGCGAGCGACTTCGTCGATAGAATCGGCATCGCTAGCGAGTCCGTGGGATAGAATGAGATAGCACTAGTAATATTATTATATATTTATTATAAAGCACTATAGCAATATTAGTTAGGATTATCAATTCAATATTCGTATTTAAATCCACAGGGCAGTACGAGCGCGTGTATGAGGTACAGCAGACAGAGGCGGGTCGCGAGTTGTTCACGCCGCGCCTGTACACCGAGGACACGTGGGGCTCGGTGCTGGCCGTCGACAACTTCCACTCGCTGCCCTGCTACCACACCAGGACCTTCATATTCTCCACGCGGCCCGCCATAGCGGACGTGGCGCCCCACGACAAGCTGCTCGAGTGGACCGTCGACCTCTACCCCAAGGGCGTGTGGTTCAGAAAGAGCTTGCTCATCGTCTGGGCGGGCACTTATGATGTGAGTGCTGTTTATTTATTTACTAGCGACCCGCCCCGGCTTCATACGGCTTATGGACTTCTGCAAGGTAACATCTAGTCCAGTAAAATATTGGAAAAAGTACTTTGCGATAATTCGATCTGATGGAATTTTAACCAACATCTTTTTGCTGTTGGTAATGACTTGGGTTCTATTGCGTTTATAATATAATATAATAGTTTTTCTTACATATCTTCCATGTACAGACAGCGACCAGTTACCATTTTATTTGATGTATTAATTGATTGATATATTATTGTAGGCTGTACACTGATTTCTTTCATCATCGCCAGGTGCCGGAAGTAGTGCTGCGGACGGTGCGCATCTCTATCACGTGCCAGAACTGCCCCGAGTCGCTGCTGGACGAGTACGGCGACAGCGACCACCTCGACGCCGACGTCAGGGTCAAGGTATTACTTAATTATTATTATTTATTCATTATGTACATATATGTGTACATGGCGGACTTAATGTTAAAAGAATTCTATACCAGTCAATCATAGGGAAGTGTCAGAATACTCGAATGTGGTATTAGTAATTATTGATATACATACATACTAAAATTTACATATATATATATATATATAGATAATAAATATTTTTACATATATAAGATATACTATATCTATTATACACGAAGTTTTTTTTATACAACTTAGAATGGCAAACAATCTGACGGCCCACCTGATGGAAAGTGGTAACTGTCGCCTATAGACGTGAGCAGTACCATGGACATAATAGAGTATATTGTTTCGCCTATGATATCCCCCTCGTGCGTTGCCATTTCTGAGGACTCGGTTGTTATTTCTCTGTGCCCTGTAAATTCACTGCCATATCTCACTCTTCAAACCGAAACACAGCCACGCAAACAGAACTGCTTCACGGTAGAAACACGAATGGGACAGAGGTACCCAAGTAAACAACTTTTATACAAAGTCTCCCTCTGATATAATAATGAGAATACTTGGTATGATTTTAATGTTAATTTATTTATTTATTTAATAAGGTTCACCTACTACTTCTACATTTTACATGCCACTTAAGCAATGACACAAAAAATAATTTTGCCTAATGTAAAAGTCTTTTACATGCGAACACCACATGCACTATTATAATTGATGATTTTATTTCTTGAACTTAAAATTAATTTTACAGGTTCAAAAGTGAAAATTTATTTTTTATATTACAGATCGGTATACTAGTGTGGGGTGTGCAGAAAGGCGTCGAACACGTGTCGTCGGTCGTGGAGAGAGTTCACCGCTTTTCATCACAGAATAGGTAAGTGTAGCCAATATTTACTCTGTTTAGATCAGCCTTTTCCAAATTGGGCGATAATGCCCCCTTGTGGGCGTTGCAGGCCTAAAGTGGGGTGGTAAGAAACCCAGAAAAAGTTTAAGTAGATGAATAAATGGCGGCGCTAAAATGTAATTTATTCTCAAAGTGGGCAGTAGACGAAATAAGTTTGGGAACCCCTGGTTTAGATCAATATATATATATATATATATATATATATATATATATATATATATAACAACCGTGAACTGTCCATAACTGTATATAGGCATGTCTCTATTTCTATATATCTGACTCTAAATTATGCTCCTGTGGGTTATTTATATTTTAGTATTTAAGTACAGTTAGGCTTTTGATGTTTTAAGCTCATGTTGCCCGCCTCTCGATCAGTAAGTTCCTTTAGTCGCCTCTTACGACACCCACAGGAAAGGATGGGCTGGCCCATTCTATTATAACCCCGCCAGCGCTATCGGTATACACTGGCGGGATCACCAGTGAGAGATGATAGGTGAGAATGAAAAAGCAGGTCAATTAGCCCATCGTGATGAATTCACTTGAAATTCAGCACGATGGTTTTCAGGGAGGACTGGTAGTCTACATAACTAACAATACCATAATAATATTAGGTTTTTTTTTTTGTGTAGGAGAACTTTTTATCAAGTAAATTTTTTAATATTTAGAAGAAAGAAAAATTAAAAATAATAAAAAGAACCTACTATTTTCAAAGTTTGATTTGTTTAGTAAAGAACGTGTAGCGTTTAGCGGTTCGATTATTAAATTTAAAGATCATTTCCACTGTTTTCGACCGAAGCGTTTGTAAGTTGCGACAGATGGCGCTATTGTACAAAACGCTAATCACATTCCAGGGTGCTGAACATCGATGGCGCGTTAGACTTCGACGAGCTGAATACGCCCCTGTACAGCCCCGCGCCGGCCGCCGACGCGGGGCCGGCCGCAGGGCCCGCGCCCGACCGTGACCGTTCTCCCACCCCGCGTCCGCACAAAGGACCTGGGTACGTTACTGTTAAGCTAGATTCACATTAAGCCATATTAATCTTTATTAATATTAGTAATGTGATACACTTTCAAATTTAACGGTTTAATCAACCATTATGAAATACTAGCGGCCCGTCCCGGCTTCGCACAGGTGGACATTTTTACAACATTTTAAAAAGTGATTATTGTGACATAACTATAATAGTTGGACATGTAGTATCGGAAAGTTATTGATATTTTCTTCAATATTGTAGAACATACTTTTGTTCTATCACCAATAGTTTCCGCAGCGCACGCGATCAAAGATATAACATTTTTTTTAACACCTCGAGTTACGTTACAAAAGTTTTAATAAGAATCCCTAATCTTTTCTAGCAATAAATATAACCTATGTTACTCAGGGTGAATGTAGCTTTCTAACGGTGAAAGAATTTTTAAAATCGGAAATGTAGTTTTTGAGTTTATTCATTACAAACATACATACACACATAAATACAAATCTTTCCTCTTTATAATATTAATTTAGATGGTATGCATATCATATCCATTTATCACAACACTAACGAATACTGACATTGAAAACAAAATAAAAATAACATACAATACAGTCGAGGGATTCCCCGTATAATGTAAACGAAAAGTATTGCCATCTTGAAAGATTTCCATTCTCTTGTTTTTTATTTAAATACAAAAATAAACAATGTACGTGACGCGTTGTTCGAAGTCCCCTTCCGCGTCTGAAACGCATTGCGACGTTTTACAACCCCCCCCCCCCCCCCCGATCACCCCCAAATTGTGTCGCGTATTACTTGAACGTCCCTCAAAGCACTACTTGAAATTTTTATCCCACTATAACTATTATTTGTTAATTTACAGGCGATGCCCGAAGTGCACTGACACCTGCGACTATCCTGAACCTAAGCACCTGTTAGGTACAAATCGGGACCAGTTACGGGTGAGTAGTATTTTATAATTTAATTTCATATTCATACTAAATCGCTTTTTTATGCAACTTAGAATGGCAAACAAGCTGACGGCCCACCTGATGGAAAGTGCTAACTGTCGCCTATAGACATGAGCAGTACCATAGACATAACAGAGTATACTGTTTCGCCCATGATACCTCCCATGTGTTGCCATTCCTGAGGACTCGTGTTATTCCTCTGTACCCAGTAATTTTACGCCATATCCCACCCTTCAAACCAAAACACAGCAATGCAAACACATTAACTGCCCACCTGATGGGAAGTGCTAACTGTCGCCTATAGACGTGAACAGCACCAAGGTCATTACAGAGTACGTACATATTATGCCCGTGGTACTCCTCATGTGTTGCCATTCTTGAGCAAACAGTATGTAGTACTAAGATAGTAAGCGACCTTGAAATTTCACAGCATTTTCCTTCAAACCAAAACAGCCGTGTAATCCTGTTGTTAATATTAAAGATTTTATTATTACTTAGTAATATAATATATTTACGTTTTTTGAGGGTAGTTGTTCAGTTTCATAAATAGATTTTCTTTTGTCACCTAAAAATCAATGTTCCATTTGTAATTTATTATAGTTTTATTTATTTAACTCTTTATTGCGCCAAAAAACATAAAAATAAACAATGGCATATAAACAATTCAAGTGAAATACAGTAGCATGGAGTACAGGTTAACATATACATATAAAGGTACAAAAGGCGGTCTTATCGCTAAGGCGATCTCTTACAGACAACCTTTTATTATTATTTTTCATATATTTTAAATACTTATTTTCAAAATTCCAAATTGTATTTTTTACAATTTCAGATACAAGTAGTAATAATGCCACTAACGGATTACTGCCACGTGGGTGTGACGGACTCTCTGCACGGATGACCACGTGCCATCCCGTTCGCACTCACAAGCGACGAGCCCGCGTAAAGTGAGACAGCACGCCCCAATGTGCCTCATATTGATGTATGCCAAAATGTTCATGAACAAGTAATAAAGGTGATTCGATAGGTTGGTTTCGATTTTACGAAAGAGCTAGATAATTGTCGTAGGTACAATGACAGTTGATTTCGCGGCAAAAAACTTCAACAAAACCATAGACATACTTGTGCAATAAAATTGTGGCATCTCATCGATCAGTTGCCTTATTTATTTTATAAAAAAAAAAGAAACAGTTCTTATTTTGAAATTTACCGCATCTATCATCTACCAGTTGCAATACTGTTTTGTGATATAAATTGAAAATAAGAAGAAGAATTGAGAAATGAGGTATTATTAAGAAAATTATTAAAAAAAAATATTATGGATTTTTTTTGTTAACTATTGTTTTAAATAGAATAGTAAATTAATATTTTTGTCTTTTGATATAGTCTTTGGTCTTTGTGTTATGTTATTATTGATTTATGTATTAATTAACATATTTTGTTTAAGAATAAACAGCCTATGAGTGGCGCCATCTGTGCTGAATGTTCAGCGGTATGACCATACAAGCCTTGCTTCCATAATCTCGGCTTCTACTAAAGTACATGTCATACACACATTTTGTGTTTCTAATATGTATTTTTATAAAAATATTTTGGCATCCATATATGCGATCATGTTTTATACATGTTTCATATGTATAAAACTTATTATAAATACTACAAATATTTTACATGTACTTCTAATATGCATTATATGTTTGATAGATTATGAGTAAGATGTTACACAGTTAAAAACATTCATACCAGAGTGTGATTTTGTACAAAAGTCGATTGCTTGGGTACCTCTGTGCCATTCGTGTTTCTACCGTGAAGCAGTTGTGTTTGCATGGCTGTCTTTCGGTTTGAAAGGTGGGATATGGCGTCAATTTACTGGGTACAGAGGAACAACACCTGAGTCCTCAGGAATGGCAACGCATGGGGGGTATCATGGGTGACACAGTATACTCTGTTATGTCCATGGTACTGCTCATGTCTATAGGCGACGGTTACCACTTTCCATCAGGTGGGCCGTCAGCTTGTTTGCCATTCTACGTTGTATAAAAAAAAATCATGCCAATGTATGGCAACATTTGAATTTATATATAATTTTCTTCTATAACTTTTAAATATTTATACCTACACAAGATCATAAAAATCGATTAAAAGGTTCCTATAACCAGACTGCTAACTTGTTATTTGGGTCATTGAAACCGAATCTGCAATCTTTTACGTTCTATTATTTCGACGTACATTGTTAAGTCCTCTAATCTTAAAAAAAAATAGTAACAGTGATGTAATCAAAATATATTAATTTTCAAGCTAAACAATTTTTATTTCGTTTCCTATTTAAGAGCTGCGCTCTTGTCGGTGGAGCTCTTGCCACTCACTACGATTTTAAGCGAGTCTCTTTACCTCTTGATACGACACGACACCAACTGCTTCCTTGATCTGCCTGATGTAACTATGGCTTGGTCTCCCCATTCCCCTCCTTCCTTCTATCTTACCATTTATTATAATAACTTCGTCGTAGGTTTACCAGAGGGAGACTTTGTACAAAAGTCGATTGCTGGGGTACCTCTGTCCCATTCGTGTTCCTACCGTGAAGCAGTTGAGTTTCGGTTTGAAGGATGGGATATGGCGTCAATTTACTGGGTACAGAGGAATAACACCTGAGTCCTCAGGAATGGCAACGCATGGGGGTATCATGGGCGAAACAGTATACTCTGTTATGTGCATGGTACTGCTCATGTCTATAGGCGACAGTTACCACTTTCCATCAGATGGGCCGTCAGCTTGTTTGCCATTCTAAGTTGTAAAAAAAAAGTTATCAAGTGTCCTAACATTTTTTCCCTTCTGACATCAATAGTTTTTATAATTTGTGTCTTTATATTAAATAGTTTGTCCCTAAGTAGGACCTCCTCATTACTAATCTGATCTTTCCAGATAATTTTCTTCATCCTTCTTTAGCCTCACATTTCAAAGGTTTTTCCTTTTTGATTAGTGTCCACATCTCACATCCATACAAAGCTATACTGCAGATATATATATATATATATACGAGGTTTGTCCGGAAAGTACGTATAAAAGTTTTTTAAAAATTTTATTTTACAATTATTCAGGTAAATCAATTTTATCCCCTTCAAAGTACTCCCCCTGTGACATAATGCACTTGTGCCAACGCCGTTTCCACTGTGAGAAGGCTCCTTGAAAGTCCTCTGGTTGTAGGTTTCTCAGCTGCCCAGTCGTAGCTTTTTTTATCTCATTTATGTCCCCCAAATGCCGCCCCCGAAGTACCAATTTGGTTTTTGGGAACAAGAAGAAGTCACACGGGGCCAAATCCGGCGAATAACCATTCTCTTCGGCTTCCAACCAGTCCTCACAGCAAGCAACTCTTCGTGATTTTTGATCCGGGGACAAAAGCTTGGGAACGATCTTGGCGCAAATTTTTTTCATTTGAAGTTCGTTTCTTAGAATTTCGTGGACCACGGTTTTGCCCAAATTAAGCTCTTCAGCCACCTGTCTGACCGTTAAACGACGGTCCCCATTAACACAAGTTCGAATTCTTTTCACGTTTTCGTCGGAATGTGAAGTGGAAGGACGTCCTGAACGTGGGTCATCTTGAACGCTTTCTCGGCCCTCTCTGAATCTTTTTAGCCACTTGTGGACGGTTGGTTCCTTCACAGCATCATCCCCATAAACTGTTCTGAGATCGGCAAAAATTTCACGGCCATTCTTGCCGAGTTTCGAGAGAAACTTGATTACGACGCGCTGCTCTTCAACGGAAGCGGGCTCCATGCCGACGGGGTTTCGTTAAGAGGTAACTTCACAGATGGCATGACAAGCCAGTTCGCACCGCACGGCGGTCAGACCAGAACTGAAGCATTGTTAGGGACATAAGGAAGGGGTCCTGCGCTTACCTGGCCTCCCCACTCCTCTTTCTCGCATTCCAGAACACTTTTATACGAACTTTCCGGACAGACCTCGTATATATATATATATATATATATATATATATATATATATATATATATATATATATATATATATATATATATATATATATATATATATATATATATATATATATATATATATAGCTCTAATAAGCTAAATTAGAAATAATCTAATATTTCTAACCTAAAATAATAGGGGGGAAAGGGATTGTTAGTAAAGGAGTTTGATAGCCCCATTGCTAGCAATATGCCTTATTAGGTTGAACTCCACCTGGTTCCTCCTGGAAACCATCGTGAACAATTCTTGTTGAATTTGTCACGATGGGCTAACTGACCTGCTTCATCCTCACCTATCATCCCTCACTGGTGCCCCGCCGGTGTATACCGGTAGCGCGGGTGGGGTTACCATTCCATTATCATCCATTAAAAAAAAACCTAAAATAATATTCAAAACGCTATCAGGTCACTTTTTTTATAATAGCTCTGTATGTGATAGTACAACAAAAATGCCTGCTTGTCAACAAACATTCACCTTTTTGAATAATCCACTATAAGTATTGAAAATTGTATGATCATTAAAAATTATAAAATCTAACAAATAATAGGGACGTTGCCTTAGCTCAGTATGAACACTTAAAATGCCAGAGTGAAATAGAATTATATCAGAAAAGGTCGGCGGTCGATTTATGAACATTAGCGTAATATTCTAAGATTATGTATATATTATAATTCGACAGAATTGATAAAACCAAAATAGTGTATGCCAAGGAAATGATGTAACAAATTTTAAAATATTGTATATATATAAAAGTTTACATTGTATTTTTTTTGTGTAAATTGTAATTGTTTTTCACAATTGGCAATATTATTCTTTGTTGATTGGAGACGGACAAGTGTATGTTTGAACATACTATGTTGTATTAAATAAGTTGGTATATGTTGTTTTTTTATTTCATTATTATACCAAATCGCCACAGTGATTTTACCAAGTGTGCGAAATAAACCGACCCCCACGCGGTCTCCTTTGAAAATCATCATGGTTAATTCTTGGTGGTCACTATGGTTTCCAACAATGTTTAACTCTTAAATACCTGAAGTTTCAAATTTGATACCGGGGTTATATATCGCATTGCAAAGACGATAAAACCAAATTAAACAATTATAGACCCATTACATTAAACTCAGTATTTTCAAAGGTATTTGAAAGATTGATGCATATTAGACTGAATAAATTTATTAATAAATTTAATATAATTAAAAAGGAACAAAATGGATTCCAAACAAATAAATCGACAACATTAGCTGCATTTTCTGTTACTCGTAATTTGACACATTATATTGACAATAAAAAGAGAGTAACAGGAATATTTTTTGACATGACTAAGGCCTTTGACAATTTAAATCATACAATATTATTAAATAAGTGCGAAAGATATGGGATTAGAGGTCCTACTCTGAAATGGATATCAAGCTTCATCTCAAACAGAAAACAATGTGTACTTATAAATAAAATTGATAATACAAACACAAACAAGTCTTTTAAGTCTAATTATCATTGTAACCTATCGGGAGTCCCACAAGGAAGTATACTAGGACCTCTATTATTCCTCCTATATATAAATGACTTGCCAGATATAATTAAATATCAATGTGTTTTATTTGCCGACGATTTATCAGTTATTATTCCTGAAAATGAAAGAATAAAATCTGACTATGAAATTACTATAAAGAACACAATAAGAGACATAGTAAACTGGTTGCAACACAACGATTTAAGTGTCAATATATCTAAGACTAAGTATATGCAATTCTTGAATTATTCCATGAAACCAATAAACATTTTTATAACATGTGATAATGAAATTGTAACCGAATGTAAAGAAATAAAGTTTCTAGGCTTTATATTGGACCAAAATTGTAATTGGAAAGGACATACAAATAATGTAAGGAAGCGTATAAACAGTTTTGTGTATGCTCTAAGAAGGTTAAAAAGAGAAGCCAATGAAACCACAGTCCTTACCGCTTACCACGGTTATGTAGGATCGATATTGAGATACGGACTTCTACTATGGGGAAATTCGGTATTAGTAAGAAAAGTTTTTATCGCGCAAAAGAAATGTATAAGAGCGATTTGTGGTGTCGGTCCAACAGAATCTTGTAAACCTCTATTTAAAAAATTAAAGCTTTTGACACTTACCTCAATGTATATTTATGAGGTGGGAATATTTGTAAAAAAACATTTGTATTTATTTACAACAATGACAGAATATAATAAATTCACACCCAGAGACCCCACACAACTGAAACTACCCACCTGTAAGTCAACGCTGCATCAACAAAATTGCGGTGTAATGGCTATTCGAATTTATAATAGGATACCAAAAAAAAATAAGAGAATTGCCATTAAATTATTTTAAATTAAAATTGAAAACATGGTTAATAGAAAATAATTTTTACAATATTAATGAGTTTTTGTAAAATATAAATGCTGTGACATTGACTTAGTTGAAATTTAAATTGTAATTTTAATTTTATTTGACATTTTTATTATTTTATTATTTGTAGTAGCTTTATTGACTGTTTGTAATGCATGACCAAAGTGACACTTCGTACTAATAGTGATTTATTGTATATGTAATTGAAAATTAAATATATGATGTACCTGTATAAAATAGAAAATGGATAAATTCAATAATTAATATTAGCATGCCATTTGATGTGGCGAAACATAATGGACATCTTATAAACTTCACAAATGCAACACCTTTTCTACAATGTTTCTAGCAAATAAATTTCATTTCATTTCATTGGGCGCCTACAATCGATTTTATTTTAATATTCGGCTGTTTACATGTTACCAAATATTTTTTTCAAAATAGATCTATAAAAATATCGTTTTGATTTTTATACTATTTTTTCCCATTAGTAAACACAATAAAGGGTAAACTTATATATTTTTTAATTTGATTTAAAAAATCAGGCATTTAAGGGTTAATATCATATTTACTAGTGTCCCGCGGTGTAGAAAAGGATTGTTAGTAATGTGGGCTGTCAGTTTCATGGTATATTACTATACTTTGTCAGGTCGACCTCCATGTGGTTTACCTCTGGAATCATCGTGCTGAACCCCAGGTTTATTCATCACGATGGGGTAACTGACCTACCTTTTCATTCTCGCCTATCATCTTTTACTGGTGTACTGCTAGCGTTACTGTTAGCACAGGCAGGTATAGTATTCTATTATCCATTAAAATAACAAAAACTAGTGTCCTGCACTGCGTTTGCTCGTACGGGGTCGCCACTCAAAAACCTTTACTCGTCATTAGTTGTCGGTTCTTCGAGCTATGTGACCAGCCCACGACCACTTCAGCTTGCTTATCCTTCGGGCTATGTCAAAATGAAATTAAAAGCAATAATTACAAATAAACTTTTTATTAAAACGTATACAGGAGCGTAGCCACTGTACTGTATACATACTTGGAACGGTATGAATTTGAATAGCTATCTAAGCATAAACAATACAATGCGCACATACACAGGAACAATTGAAAAATAATTTGTATGACTATTTCCTTCACACATTTCAAACAATATTGAGCATAAATTTCTAAAAATACAGACTACAAAACTATATCCATTAATTTTAATATAATTATCCGTAAAAGTATTATTATTGCTCGTTTAAATGAGTTATCAATAAGTGGGTTACTATTGACGAATGAAGCGACCTAATTTCGTTTACAATATTCAAACTAATTGATATTTCGCCCTGTGTTAACTACATAATATCATTGTAATATGCTGATAACTATGCAGTTTTACGTATATTATTTTTATATTCTAAGCACTCTTAATATAATACTTAAGTAAGAAACTTAGTTTCGCAATTTCAATACATGATTAGACGAATGGAAGCAGATGGTTAATGTATAAATGAGCATATTAAGACATTTGAATACGTTTCACTTAAATTTAGAATAACAAAATCGAAGATTTATAATAATTAAGTACTCTTAGATATAGTTTAAAATTTCTTATAAGAAAATTATAAAAGAATACCAAAGACATCGGGATGGAGGGAATAAGTGAATGCAGTTACAAAATGAGGCGTAGACTAATCGAATAGTTAGAAAATTTAGTCAAAGAAAAAAAAAAGCAAATCTCTAATATTGCTTTTTGGTATTCACAGTCTTCGATTCCTTATAAATATAAATTTTATTGTTTGCCGAAAAGCTCTATCAACACTTCAATTTACAAGTCCATAGAAAAATATGTGACCAAAAAACGGCGGTATTTTATTGTATCCCCTTTAGTTTATCTCACTTGTAAAAGTTATCACAGACAACACCAATAAGTGTAAAATCAATAGACATTATAATTTCGTTGTTAATCACACGTTTATAATTATTGATAATTATAAACCTTACAAGAATAACTTTTAATAATACAATGAAAACATATTTTGTTTTATAAACCAAAAATATGGGTATGCAATGGATAAATGGGGCACGTACCCCCTAAAAGATAATCATAGGTATCCTGTATGTGCTACGACTTAATAATTAATGACTCCATCCTTATTTTTTAAATAATTTACCATCAAAATATCTTTATTGTCTACATCGAGGCAATAGATATTGTGAAATTAAATTTTCCATTATAAAACTAGATATCTTCACAAAATGTCTTCAATGTTTTAGACATGGAATGTGTTTTGACTTATTTATTTCAGAAATGAAGCGGTAAAAAAAAGTAAAAAAAAAAAATATTGCGTCACAATGTTTAAATATTCTGTGTGGGAGAATATTTATGGAGTTGGTCATAGAAGAAGTTCATTTGGGAATAGATTCATAGATGCATAATCCTCTAGGACCTGAAACAATATTTTTAACTTGAGCAAATCATGTGCAAACAGGTCACAATTGGACATTAATTTTACAAAGATAAATAACTGTCACGCCTGTCTACCATTAGGGTAGGCACATACAATGGAACGCTATTCAAATAGATCTCTTTCGCTACCTCCACATTCATCAATCTTTTCATACACGCTCGCCGGTTACGGGTACTTTTAATTTGGCCCTTCTTCAGCACGTCGCCTATTTGGTCGACATACGTCCGTCTCGGGCGGCCCCTACCGACATCTCCATTCTTGCTCGATAAATCTCTTTCGTAATTCTTCTTTTATCCATCCTCTCCATATGGCTAAACCAACGCAACATTCCCTTTTCGATGTTTGTCACTACATCGTCTTTCAGTCAACAGTTCTTAGTAACTTGACATTGGCTGAATTTCGAAAAATTTCAGATTATTTTTAAACAACTTATCCCACTTATATGTATAAGTATAATTAACGGGGCGGGTGAAGAGTGACATTTTGTTAGATTCTCAATAATTTTTTTTAATAGAGAATTTTTGCAAAGAACTTTTCATCGAGGTTACTGGTGACCCAAGAGCTGGTAGCTACTTTGCCCAAAATATAAGTTTGGCAATCCAAAGATGTAATGCTGCCAGTATCTTGGGTACGCTGCCTCGGTGTGGTGCGTTGGGGGATTACTTATAATTAGTATTAGTATTTAAGGAATTTTATATTAACTTTAATTTATTGTTGTATAGTAAATAGATAAGTAAAATTTATTAAATAAAATTGTTGCTTCATAGAGAAGCAAAAGAATTAGAATATAATCGTGGCGGTGACACGAAGTGGCGACATATTATTTTATATGAGAACCGTGCTACAGACCTGCCGTAGAAGGTGAACAGTGGGCGCGGGCACTGTGGGTGGTAAGATTTCGTGCAGGCGGCTGCCGTCGAGGCAGAGGTGGCGGTTGGAGAGCGAGTCGGCGGCCGCGCTCGGCTCCAGCGGCGTGTGCTGCAGCCCGTACTGCCGGCAAATGTCCGCCCACGCAGTCAGGTGCTTGTCGTTCGCCTCCTCCGCCACCGACGCTATGTCCGTCTGTTCGTACAAATAATTATAAATACTATTGGACATAATGCAGCGTCATTCACTACCAAAGTAAGCAGAACTGTAGAGTTTGAATCTATAATAATTTGTGAAGTATTTATTAGAATAAAATATTAAATAATAGTGAATGTAATGAACACACACAATGTATTTTATCTATATTTCTTATTTCTTTTATCGCTCTTAGCGATAAGGTCGCCCGTTGTTTTCTCACTGTGATTATTTCTTGTAATTATTTATATTTATAATAAGTTTACTATTGTAATTTTTTGGAGGAAACAATAAAGTATATGATCTGGCAAATATTACATATAAAGATCCGTCAGTATTCTACGACTGTGATGATATAATTGTGCAAGTAACTTTACTCACTTAATATCTTATAGCACCTTAACGGTTTAAGTAATCACTATGAAATTTGGTGTACATATACCGACTACATGCAATGGAGAAAGCTATATGCTCCATTTTATCCTGGTCATTAAAAATATCCCAGTCAAGCGGATGAAGTCGCGGGTAAAAGCTAGTAACAAATAAATAAATAAATAAGCAATAAAAAATAACAGGTCCTCTCATTTGAGTGTAGACCGTACCTTGGCCAAAGTGGATATGGCCGTTCCATAATAGTCGTGGTTGATCTTGAATATGTCGGCGACGATGTCCGCGAGGCTGCCCTGCGTGCTGTCGGCGGTGTCGACCAGGTTGTAGACGCGGCGCGCGGCGGCCGGCGAGCGGCCCAGCGTCCACGCGGCGCGGCACACGTCCCGCACGTGCACCGTGTGCATGCGCAGCTCCGACGTCCACAGCAGCTTCATAGTTTCACCCAGGTGCTTGTAGATGGCGCCGTACAGCAGCCGCGGCGCTGCACCATGCAAATTATAATTATTTATTACTCGTCGAGTAATTAGTAGAATATAGTAGTGAAATTATTGACAACTGCGTTAATTATTATCATTAATACTCTTATCCCAATTATTATTTGGAGGCGGCGTAATATATATTGTAATTATTTATATTTATAATAAGTTTACTATTGTAATTTTTTGGAGGAAACAATAAAGAGTATTATTGAAACTTCTTTGCGGCCATGATGTAAATTTAAGTCTGGCCACATATATTTGTTGGTGTTATTTTTTTTTATATGGTTTTTGTTTCTATTCAAATGTTTGTCTCGTCTTGTATCTACACGTATTATACATATTGTTGTTCTAAAGAATATTTTCTTTCACTGTGACCCTATACAAGTATCTATCTATCTATATATGAGGACTGGTTCAATCTTAGATTAAAAATATATACATAGGTTGATAATTACCAAGAGACCAAAAAAATTAACTGAGACTTTTACTCAGATAATGAAGATATATAGATACGGAATTTTACATAATGTAATTAAAAACATATCAATGCTCGAGGAATATAGACTGTACCGACTTCTTCTTGTTATATCTCTAAATTATGCGGTTTAGATGTTAAACTGGAAATTGAACCCTTAAATACCTGAAGTTTCAAATTTGATACCGGGGTTATAAATCGCATCGGGCGCCGACAATCGATTTTATTTAATATTTGGCTGTTTACATGTTATCAAATGTTTTTTTTTTTTCAAATTAAATATATAAAAATATCGTTTTGATTCTTTTTACTATTTTTCCCCATTAGTAAACATAGTAAAGGGTACACTTACATATTTTTAATTTGATTTAAAAAATCAGGATTTTAAGGGTTAATAGCTTAGAAGTAGATTTTCAGTATTTTTATCGTAATTTTCATATTTCTCATCATCATACCTGTCATTACTGTCCAGTGCTCAATATAGGCCTCCCCCATAAAGGGGGCTTTGGTAACTGCCACGCTTAGCAGGCAGGTTGGCAATCACAGTTAGGCCTTGGATGATATTTGAAGAGAGATGCTGCTGATCATCCCTCGATCTTTGTAATTATTTGGATAATAATAACGAGATTTTGGGTTTACACGATCTTAGTGGTATACCAGTTTAATACATGTAATTAAGTTCCCTTAATCCACTGTCGCCTCTTACGACACCCACGGGAGAGGAAGGAGTGGACCAATCTATGCCGGGACTACATGGCGACTTTACTGTGTCTTAATACTTTTTTTTTACAACACAGGGGGCAAACGAGCATGCGGCTCACCTGGTGGTAAGTGACTACCACCGCCCATGATCACCCACAACACTAACGGTACTGTAGGTGTGCTGCCGGCCTTTTAAAAAGGAATATGCTCTTTTCTTGAAGGTTATGTTGTCGTGTCGGTTCGGAAATACTGCTGCTGGAAGTTGATTCCAAAGAGTGGTTGTGCGTGGAAGAAAGTGCCTTAATACTTACTCAGGCTTCTCCTGTCACCGATGCCGTATACGATCGCCGGCCGCAGTATGGTGTAGTTTAATTCTGGCTCCAATTTCTTCAGCTCTTGTTCCACCTTCGCTTTCATTATGGCTTCTATCGTCCATGGATTAACTGGGTCAGTTTCCTTGTGTGGCTAAAACATAGATTAATATTTTTTTTAATATTACAAATACATTATTATACAATGTTTAAAAGTTAAATGAATATTAATGCGGTACATAACACATCTTAACAGGCAGACCGACAACTTGCTTGATATTCTAAGCTTATAAAAAACATTACCATCAATTATTTAACTCAATGATACTTGAAATGAATAGTACAGTATTTGTCTAATTCTTAAAAAAAAAATGTGTTTAGTAATTTTTTTTTAATGGGTGAAAATGGTATGGTAACCCCGCCTGCGCTTACGGGATACGCTGGCGGAGCTCCAGTGAAGGGTGATAGATGAGAATGAAAACAGGCCAGTTAGCCCATCATGATGAATTCATCAGGAATTAACCATGATAGTGTCCAGGGAGAACCGCGAGGAGATAGACCTGGTTGGGTATATTGCTAGCAATGGGATTCTCAGTCTCCATTACTAACAATCCCTTTCCCCCTGTGTTTGGTGGATGAAATATTTCTTCTTTACGTTTCAGAGATGATGTCGCATTTAAATTACATTATATCGAAAAATTTATGCTATATTTCTAAGGGATAGGTAACATAAGTGAAAATGTACGGAATAACAATACAGAAAGAAAAACAATATGTATACAATAAATATAAATGCAACACCTTTTCTACAATATTTCTAGCAAATAAATTTCATTTCATTTCATTTTTTTTTACAACTTAGAATGGCAAACAAGCTGACGGCCCACCTGATGGAAAGTGGTAACCGTCGCCTATAGACATGAGCAGTACCATGGACATAACAGAGTATACTGTTTCGCCCATGATACCCCCCATGCGTTGCCATTCCTGAGGACTCAGGTGTTATTCCTCTGTACCCAGTAAATTCACGCCATATCCCACCCTTCAAACCAAAACACAGCCATGCAAACACAACTGCTTCACGGTAGAAACACGAATGGGACAGAGGTACCCAAGCAATCGACTTTTGTACAAAGGCTCCCTCTGGTTATATATTATATTATATATTAAGAGTAATCGAAAGATACGAAAATTAAAGACACACCTTATCCTTACTGCTCATATATCCACTGGATATTTCGACGAGCCTGGCAATTTTTTGTTTGGCGCATTCCCTGGCCACGTTGCAGCTCAAGGTGTAGATACCCTCCGAGTACACGGCCTCCGACTGGCCCACCCTGGTCTCCCCTGCGCAGTTCACCACCAGGCCCCACGGCTCGGCGGTGCCGGTGTCTAGTGCGGCGGCGCATGATGCTGTCAAGCATTATCACTATTATTTGATGTAAAAGAAAATTCACTGTCCCCAGTTTAAGAAGTTGATGTAATTTTATAAGCTTTTTATTCAGTTGACATTGTTTTGTTTTATACAACTTAGAATGGCAAACAAGCTGACGGCCCACCTGATGGTAAGTGGTAACCGTCGCCTATAGACATGAGCAGTACCATGGACATAACAGAATATAGATATATAACTAGATCCAATTAATGAATAGAGTATATCTTTTTTTTTATTTTTGTTTGTATTATTGTTCCTTTTTAGTCTAATGACGTGACAAGTTTATATTTTACTGTCCTATTTAATTATTATATTAACATGTATTCAAGTGCTTGGTATTATGTACAAAACATAGAAAATTCTTGGTGACAATTAACAAAAATATATTTTATTACAAATGAATAAAATGCATATTGTGTGATAAGTGTTATGGTTACATGTGACTTTGTTTTCCGGTATACATTATGTATCCTGGTGTTGACTCTAGTAACAACATGATAAGTTATCAAGGCTGTGATGAATCATTTCCATTTATTCTTAGCTACAAATTAAAATATGCATGTAGCTACATTATTTTATAAACATGTATTTTTGTCCTTTGTTAATTAATGACATATAAAATTATATTTCTTAGCAATTTGGTGGTAATTATAGGTGATGGTTACTACTTTTCATTGGTGGTCTGTTAGCTTGTTTATCATTTTAAATATCATAAAAAAATACTAGGTTTATTTAACTGTATATTTGTTTATGTATTAATAGTTGTAGCACTTCAGCTGCCAGCTAATGAAATGCTTTCTTACTGTACTGGGTTGACTGACAGAGATTGTCAGAGATAAGTCCACCCTTGCTCACAACATTTTTGAATAGATTATTTTATATGTAACTTACCAGTGCAATAAAGAATATATATAGGTTAGAAATAAACAATAAGTAAGGTCAGGTTTGATATAGTCAATAGAAAATTTTCATCTTTGTTTTACTTTGCAAAAAATAAAGCCAAGCACTAGTAAATGATGAATGAAGGAATGAGTGGTTTATCCAAATAAATGACCTGAATAAAATTTTTGTAGTTTACATGTATTAGAATCATCCGATTACATCAGGTGGGCCATCAGCTTGTTTCTGATTCTAAATTATATAAAATAAAAAAAATAAAAAATAAAAATATAGAAAACATTCATATGATGAAAAGTTCAAACTGAGGTATAATCATTTTTCTATCAATAGTTGTAAATAGTTTCATTTACTAAACTGCCCAGTTTTGTTATTATAAGTACAGTATTGGCATTTTAATAAATTTTCTGAAAATATTTATAAATTGTTCATTTCATCATGTGGACATTTTGTAGATAATTAGTTTCAACTTTTCCTAAAGTATGCAGTCTAGTAATTCTAATCTGTATTTAAAATAGAAGATCTAAGTATATTGTTTGTTAAAAATCATAATTGTATAAAGTAGTTAACTTGTGTTTTAAATTATATTTAACAGGAATATAAAATATACATTTTACACAACAAAGTTACATTCTAGAATTATGAATATGAACTCTGTTTAATAAATATATATGCATGTTGATGTGCAATTGTTATCACTTGGATAAGGAAATTAAACCTTGACCCTGTTACTAAGGAATTTGAAAGGTTTCACATTAATAGTGAATTAATCGAATTATAGCAACTTATATTTAGAATTAAAAGGCTTTAACTAAAATACACTTACTAGGATTTATTAGGTTGGCACTCTTATATTCTACGCGGGGGTCTTCAAATACTTTAGTATGGGCAGGATTCAGGAAAGCCAATTGAGGAGGAGTCTTATCCACCACACGGACCCCGCTCACCAGATCGTTGGTTATGAGATAATCCACGAGGTTCCGGCCAATAAAACCGCAACCTAAAATAAAACAGCGGTTAGATACGAAAAATATTAACTCATTTGATGACTAACACAGACTTTCCAAAGACCGTTACGAGGCGAAAAGAAAAGTTATTTCTTAAACTATTCGAATGTTGTTAGATTATTTTATGCATTTTATACGAAGGGACTTTAATGCTACTGTAATAAATTACCTCCTAGAACCGCAACTCGTGGTTTTAAAATATCACCGGCGGAATCACACATTTCGATATCGGTGCCTATAACAAAATGTGAAATTGATTTTTTTTTTTTTTTTTTAGTACGTTTGTTCCGTTTGGAACAGGCTAAGGTCGGAGACCATGCTGCCTAGTCTTCAAAAAGATAATTTGTCTGGAATTTTATTTTTCTAATGTCGCTTCAATTATTGTCATAATCTTCAATATTTCATTTGTCAAATCCGGTAAGTACATTTTTAAATATCTTTTCTTGAGTTTTCTTAAACCAGTGGATTTATCAAATTAAAAATAAATAATTATAAAAAATCATTGTCTTGCAATTCAATAAAAGTATTCTTATAGCTCCTTGAATGTTGTAGTAATATAAGTGAAAATAGCTTTGAAACAAGAAGGAAATCTTAAGAGAAGCGGGATTGAGTGCGGTATATTTTCGGGTTTTTTGAAGATAATCCTAATTTCGTCAAACATAATGTGTCTTTGAATGACAAATTCAGAGCAATCAAAAAAAAAAAGGTGATGTAGAGATTGGGCTGTATTTGAGTTACACCATGTGCATGATGGATATATAATTCTAGGTGTTCGTTGAAATGTCCGTGGCCGATTCGTAATCTAAAATATTGGTGTAAAATTTTCTGTTTGTGTCCTTTCCTTTGCAGAACCACGGTTTTCCAATACGCCAATTAATTTTGCGGTTTTGCCTTTATTTTTATTTGTATTATTTAGTTGTAACGATTTTATGTATTCCAATACTACAATCTGAGTAACAAAGGGTAAATCTTGAACACGAGCAGCACTTGAATTAATAATTTTAGCCAAAGTGTCTACTTGTTCATTCCCAAACACTCCAATATGTGAAGGGGTCCAGATGAAGATAATATCTATATATAGTACAGAGATGATAATATTTATTACGAATTTCTTGAATTAAGTAGTTTGATGATGAAATGAATGTGTTATTTTTTAATGCCATAAGAACACTCATACTATCTGTAATTATAATCCATTTCGAATATAGTACCTGTTTTTCTATGTATTCTAATGCTAAAAATATAGTTTTTGCTTCTGCTGTGTAAATACTAGCAAATTGAAATTTTATAACCGTGACCAAATCTATTGTCGTAAAAAGCCATGAAGTGCTAAGTGCATTTTTGGAACCATCTGTATATATCTTTGTTAAATTCTGATAAAGTCTCATTACATATCGTGCTTTTCTTTTATGTCTTTACGTATAACAATTTTGATCTTACAGAACTTACTGATAAGTTATAACAAGGAAGTATCTTACTACTATAGGTGTTATATTCATCTCGAATCAAATCATTGACAATAGTTTTATTCAAAAACATAGAAATGGGGCAATTTAATAATTTGAGTATGAGTGGGTTATAAACAAAAAACTTTGAAGAGAAATTTGAGTATAAACGAAGAAGGATGTTACATTTTTGTCCTAATTGTTAATTAAAATAAGTCTTAAATTCATATTTTGAATTTTTCGAGTTTTTCTACTAATTTATGTTCTGAGGAATAACAAAAGAAAGCGTAATCAAAATTACTTCTAACAAGAGATTTGTAAAGTAAAAGGATAATTTTAGGATCATGGTTACGACCAATTACAGATCTTATTATATTAGTGGCTCTGTTCTACTAAGCAATCAACGTGTTTATCATTTTAAATATCATAAAAAAATAACTAGGTTTATTATTATATATAATATTCATTAATGGAACATATTTATGAACTTGATGAAAAACAACTACTTTACTTTTGGTTAAACTAATATCGAGGGAAAGAAGAGAAAAATATTTCTCAAGTCTTTTTAATGACTCAATTAACACTAATTGCATATCAATAATATTCTTTCCTTTTATATAAATTAATAAATCATCGGCAAATTGCAAGTTGACTGACAGAGAATTAAGTTTATAGATATATAAAATATATAGTAGCGGGCTTAAAATACCACCTTGACATACTCCTTTAACATTTTTAATTTACTATTTATTTTATACACTTCTCTATTACTAAGAAAATTATAAATCCATTCGATAAGTTTCAAAGAATATATATAGAACTGTTAAATTTACATTGTTAAACAATCTAAAAAAACAGATAGAACATATTCATCGTTATTCAAAGATATAGTCACATAGAAAATTTTCGCGCGCTTGTTCCACGGCGACTTTGATTCAAAAAAATAAAGAACTCTAAACGCTGTTTAATTAATTGTAAATGATGAATAAATAGGAATGAAATTTGTAGGATCTTTATCCAATTATAATCAAACACCATTTTCCATTCTGGTGAATAAAAAATTTTTTGTAGTTTACATGTATTTTATTCAGAATCATCCATATTGTATGTTAAGCGATCAGGTAGGTATCTTTTCTAGATTTTACTGCTTGTTTTCATCAATTGATTCTAAATTATATAAAATTAAAAAATAAAAAAAATCAAATATATTTGAAAAAATCATTCATATATCTTTAAAATGATTTTGAAAAGTTCTCATATTTTGCCAAACAGTGAAATTGGTAATCTAAAATTTGGAACAAAATTTTTTGTCTTATCAATTTTTAACAGTTGAACTCTTTTAAAATTTATGTAATTATCATTTAAACTAAACTGCCATTTTTGTTATTCCACCAAGGTACTGCAATATGTTTGTGCATCTTTAATAACCGCTATTTGATAAGTTCCTACGAACGGAATATTTATAAATATTGTAATTGTTTATTTCATCATACTCGAAATCCAAAAGTGGAATCGATTAACAGTTTCAGTAAAGAATTAACGAGACGTAGGTTTATACGATTTAACAAAAGTTTATTAACTTCATCTATAAGTATGTTGTTCAGTACGGATTGATGAATCTTTGTGTTTATTTAAAATAGAAGGATCATCAGAATATTTTAATTTGGATGGGGATAAAAATCATAATTGTATAAAGTAGTTAACTTGTGTTTTAAATTATATTCATCTAAACAATCAAGAATGTCTTTAATATAAAATATATGATGTGCATTTAAATCTCCAGATATGATAGTGGGTTTAGGAAGAGACTCCAAAAGAACTTAAATTTGGCTTTAGTAAAACTAGGTGTACTATTGGTAGGACAGTAAATACTGGCAACTGAATACCAAGAATTATTAACTTCAATACTAATAGCTATAGTTTGCAAAGAATTGTCGAAAAAAGAGTGAAGTTTTTTATATCTAATACTATTATGTATAATAATCGCTACTCCATATACCACAATCATTTCGTTCTATACAATAATCTTTAATTTTTAATTTGTAATGTGGTTTTAGCCAAGTTTCTGAGATGAGATGTGAATATGATGTTCATTTAAAAATTGTGTAAAAATATGTCGATTGCCTTGACCACTGTTGATAGTTAATTGGTCTCGAAATTTTGAAATAGGTCTATTACCAAAAGTATCATATAAAAACACTTTTAGTGTTAATTAGATGTGTTCTTTGTGTTATGTAGTGAAATAAGTTTGATTATGCTTTCTATTAAAAGTGATAAACTTTTATCAAATTTAGAATAAATTAGGTCTACATTTTTTTTAGGATTTGTTACCCAGTTTAGGAAATATTTAGTGCTAAGTATATCTCCAAAAGAAGCAGGTCTGAATTTAGATCTATTTTCAGCAATTTTCTTTTGTTTAACAGGGCATTGCGGTGATACACTTGTGTGATTTCCATTGCAGTGTACAAAATAGATTCCAGTTGTACAAGTTTTATAATTATGCTCACCACAGATGCTGACCCTTACAGAATTTAGCTAAATGTCCATACCTCAGATCGTTTAACTGGTGGTATATATGGAGTGACATTGTGGCGCCAATCCACAGGTAATACAGATGCAGCAAAAGTAATTGTCACAATAAACATATCCATGAGTCAACCTTAAAATAATAGCAATAATTTTCTTAGCGGTTAGATATATTTTTTTAAATATATTTGTAGGTACATTTCTATTTGATTCTGTTGAAGAAGCAGGACTTTCCAAAGACCGTTAAAATGGTAGTCATTTAAAAAAGTTTTATTATTTAAAAAAGCATTGGCTAAGTCTATTTTTAAACTATACTCCGTTTTGAGATTTATTTATAGATCTAAGATAAGTTTATTAAAACGAAACAGGGAGAGTGAGAGCTCTTCCAATGGTTTTCTGACTATCTGAATAAAAGACAACAAATTCTGTCCCAGGGGATTCCTCTATCTTCTAATATAATCTGTGACGTAGTACTTATCGCAATTCGATGGTTTTAATATATATCCTTGTCATTACAAGGTTCATGGACATCACAATCGTCATCTTTTTTTTTCCTTTTTCTACAACTGATATCGGTTTAGCAATAATAAGAATATAGAATAGTTTTAATAAATTAATAAAAAAAATTTAAAAAACCCGCTTGTTCTTATTCGAGTTTCCCGCCTTTTTCTGTGAAATTGAAAAGAAATTGTCATTATGTGACATGACATCTGATGTTAATTTGTCAATGGCTTGCTGTCATTGTCAACTATTACATTGACAGTTGAAAGTTTGACATTTTGTATTTGTTGTGTAGCACTAACATTTGAAGTGCAGCAGCAAAGGTTCAAATATGGGTTAAACCTTTGGTTATAACAAAGATTTCGGACTTGTTCTTAGGGTTCAAAGCTAAACAGCCACATATTATTGACAGTTGTATTTGCTTAGTGCATAAATAATTGAGATAAATAATTTTAGCACAGAATAAAGAAGTACAGAAGGCTGTTTATGGGAATTGGGGAAGGCCAATGCTCAGCGGTGGATAGATAATGGATGATAAAGATGAAAAACGGTGTTTACACTGTGACTTTAATAAGGAAATATTTTTTTAGATCTCAATATTAGAGTCATCGTCAGAGTCAGCCACAATATTATTACAACGTGAGTCCGTTTCAAAAATTTTGGAATTTCTTGTTCTTAGGTGAGTTTTAAGCGTAGACGTAGCTCATTCCACATCACCTATAATCCCTCACTGGTGCCTCGCCAGCGTATACCAATAGCGCAGGCGAGGTTATTATTCCATCATCACCCATTTAAAAAAATGTGTAAACGTAATATAATGTATCCCATATATGTATCCTTAGATAAAGAACTTAATATATCTAAAAGATTTGTACAATTCAATGATTTTTATATTAAGTAGATATATATCATTACAACTGCATTATATTTGTTTTTGATTGGCAGGTACTATTCTTAATCTACGTATTTGCATATTTTTCCTTTTCTCCTAGGTAGTTTTACCCAGTATTAAATGATAACAAATCGGATCAGGTAATGCACTTATGTATAAAATTTAAAAGATTAATATAAAAAGACTGTATTAGTATTTGCTAAATATTTTCAGTATTGTAGTTATATAAAAATAGCTAAATTTGTAGCTGTGATCTAGTTTACAAAATTTCCTCTATTAGAATATAAAAAGGGTTATAATAAGTATACATAAGACTGTATATTAGTATGCTAGTTAATTTGAAAAAATTCGCAATGTGTTCTTGTCTTCTGAACAACTTGTTCATTACGCTCGTTTGATCCGGCTTGAAGGACCAAAATGCAACGTTTTCTTACTATATAACGTGACATTATTATATATGTAAACGGAAAGTACCAAGTTCATCATTTCAAAACAAAAAATCTACTGCAGCTAGCTAGATTTTGCAAAACTAGTAAATCTAATTTAAAAGCTTAAAGATTAGAAACTACTTATTAACTCGTCGTTACAATTCCTAAACAAGCTGCTATTTCAGAACGAAGGTGATGAAAGGAGATGCATATGCACTTATGATCCACCTTGTATTCCTTGAATTTTATAAATCAATAATCTCTTTTAACATTCTGCTGTCCTGGTATTTGTATCTAAAATGGCGGATCCGTCAACCGTTCGTCGACAACTTTACTTTCAGGAATTAATAATGAAATTTGCTATAATTATTTTTATAAAAGAATAGTCATAAAACAAATTACATTATTTTAGATTTTGAAATTAATATTTACTTTGTTCATTAGTGGAATAAACAAATATAAAAGAACAACAATAAACAAGTTCCGTCCAGAGTCAGTCGTTTATGCAATTTCTTGGAAAATTGCTCGAGATTCTATTCAGACAAGTTTCCACGACATCTAAGTTACTAGGAGAACAGAAAATAAAAGATGTCTGCAGTAGAGAAAATTTATTATCCATTAAGTATAGAAGTCGCTGTGTCATGAACATAGACGTAGTATAACGTGCTTGCGTACGTCATGAGCGTAGTAAACGTGGCACCAAAGAGTAAAGCAATATCAGGGTGATGGTACCTGATTACAATTTTTTAATACAATCATGAATTCAATTTTGAAATTATTTGTTTCAGCCACTGCAAAAATTACATTAAAAATTATATACCTACACAATTCGTCTTATAATTTGAACAATTTCATTGTATTATTAGTGCTTGTAGGTATTTAAAAAAAATTAAAAAGATATTATGTATGTAAAAAATGTTGGCGATTATTTTATTTAACTAAGTTTTAAATTTTTTACTTATCAAGTAAGTAGGTACCTAATTCAAGTACATAGAGTGTGGAAAAATCAATAATGTTACGCATGCGTATATTGTTATGTGAACGGTATATCTCTTAATATCTTTGGTTCCCTGGTATTGCCGCCCACAATACTGAAATTTTCCTGCCCTCCTTCGGGTTTCCCGGAAATAGAAATTTTCTATTTCCGGCGTGTAGGGCAGCCGGAAGATATTTCCGTTCTCATGAAATAATTTTCATTGCTGAAATTCGGGTTCTTGGTTATGAATGAAGAAAGATGTTATATAGATAGAGCAAAGTAGAGAAAGGGTAGAGATAGAAGCAATGCGCGGTTTACTGCGCAAAGGTAACTAACTGAAGTTAGCAATGTAATAAAAATACTAAAACCAAAGATTTTGGAATTTAATGTTTTTAGACTAAAACACTTCTTTAGAGTGCATTAACCTCTTAATTCTATTATAAGTATGTAGAAAACAAAAATTTTTTAGGAAATTTATTATAAAAAACTAGGTATTGCTGGAAAAGTTTTACCCTTAAATTTAAAACTGGAGTAAATGCAGTGTTTTATTTATTTATAGATATATTTACAACAATACATTTCACATAAAAATAGTTTCTACTCAATCTCTTGTAGGAATATTATTTATATACATAATTTAATTGTTTTTAATTTGTACATAAATTATTATGTAACTTTGGCACAAATTTATTTAAGACAAATTCGTTTAACGTCTTACGTATAATTGATTCACAACTCATAACCCTCTTTCGCTTTCTTCATACTCATTTATATGTTTAAAAACTGCTTAATGGTTTTGACTTCGAAAGTAGGCATCTGTTCCTTTAATCCAGTTACGGTCACTTCATACTGGTTCGTGAGTCTCGTTTTGTGTTGCTTCAGCCGCTATTTCCTTTGTGGGTGTCTTGTCTTTTTTCTTTTTGGGCAAGGTCAGGCAAAATAAGGAATTCACTGCAAAAAAAAAAGAAGACATAAATATCTGTCATGTCTTTCTCCCATTAGGGCCTACCCTAGAAACAATGGAACGCCAAATGCTTCGATTCAAACAAGCCTCTTTCGCTTCCTCCACATTCATCAATCTTTTTACACATGCACGCCGGTTACGGGTACTTTTAATTTGGCCCTTCTTCAACACGTCGCCTTATTTGGTCGACATATGTCCGTCTAGGGCGGCCCCTACCGATATCTTCATTCATTCGTACTCGATAAATCTCTTTCGTAATTCTTCTTTCATCCATCCTTATCAATAAAAATGTAAAAGAAGGGTTTACGTGAATTATTTAAAACACTCGCGTTAATTCTTTTGTAAGTGTATACCCTTTATTTTAAAGTACGATTATAAAAAAATAGTAAATATGTTTATTCAAAGCATATATGTACTTTTAGACATGTCTGAACGAAGCTTTGCTCGTGTCCTGGGGCGGGCACTACACGATTTTAAGGTGGGCAGGATTCACCCTGCCCTTCTTCTAAATACGCTTATGGTTATTAAAAGATAATTTTAAATATATTAACGTGTCTTACATATGATAATTCCGCCAAAGAGATAGAAGCTGACCCCGCAGTTCGTTTGCAGGAACACCCCAATTAGGTTGGAGCCCATCATGGAACCGACACGGCCCATCATCATAGACAGACACAGCGCCATTGCTCTGTTGAAATTGAAAATTTTTAACACTTTAATAATATAAATCGACTTCAATTCTGACAACACCAGTTATTTTGACTTCAAAACTAAAAAACTGAACCCATTTTGGTATATTTTTTATTAGATGATGGATCCAAGATCCAAGTGTAAGATAAAAAAAGAATTTTTCATATCTATTTACAACTGATGGATTTATGAATAAAAAATATAAAAAAATTCAACCGAGTTAAGGACCTCTTTTTTTTAAATTGGCTGAAAAGATATAAATGAGCAACAAAACTGAAATAGACAGTATGCTGCAGTAACATTAAATACAATACAGGCAAAATTTTATAAAATGATGTTACAGTCGTGACATGGTACTCGTATATGTGATTTTACGCAAAAACTAGCCCATAACCTGTGATTTTACGAAATAATACAATAAAGAAATATTTCCGTATCAACGTATATTCGATACAAATTTTAGACAACTGAAAAACAATAGAAGAACTATATTCGAATTTCTTTTTCAGTATAAACAATAAAATTATAAAATTTTTTATACGGTATGTATAGTCCAAAAAGCTGATAGCCCACTTGATGGAAAGTAGTAACCGTAAATCTAAACGTACATATACCTACATAACGGAATAAAGTGGACGCTATGCCCTTCATGACAAATACATGTGCAAATATAGGGATATTTTATAAATTCACTTCTGCATTTTAATCGTGAAATAGTGTGACAAAACGGTACTCACCTAAATTTAGTAGGGAACATCTCTACAGCCACGGCCGTCATCAGTCCAATGCAAGCTCCAGACATCTGGAACACGGCAAAGAGTACCACGGCCAGTTGCTTGTTGTACGCGAACTGTGCACAGATTCCGCACACTCCGGTGGAGAACAGCAACACGACTAGGATTAATTTCTTGCCAACGAAGTCAACGAGAAAGCCGACGATCAGGTACATAGAGCTGAACACCAGCCCGATGTAGATCGAATTTTGGAAGGTGGCTGTGTTCATTGTGTCATTGCATTCGATCTGGAAGTTAAATAATAAAACATTACGGATCAGTGCCCGAATTCTGTTGTTATTCCTGAGTTCACAGATTACGTTGATGATTTTTTCATATGGTGAATTGCTTATAGTGCTATGTCTAATATGTCTCTGCTATTTTTCGTCATCAGAATGAGGACTGGTAGAGTAAAATACAATTCATCAGTGCAAGGGAAGATAAATTCTATCGATCTTCAATCCCAGGTCTTTGTAAGGATCCAAGGACGGTGTAGATACTGAGAACTTTGATCAGGTATCAAAGGTCTTACACACAAAAGAAGGATCATATTGGTATAAAATTCTGTACTTCGCACCTAGCTCCTCTAGATAAGGGACAAACTAATCTATCGATTCCCTTAGCATACGATGAGGGAGAACAAGACATCGGACGTGGATGTTTTGTTCGATCTTGTCATATTGATAATGTGTTTCTTAATAGATTCGTTTGCCACTTGTCTAGGGGAGTTGGATAAAGCGGCAATATCAAAAAGATTTAATAATAATTTATGGACTCCGTAAGCAGCGGCTTGTAGTTCGGTGTAAAACGCTACGATGTAAGCACAGCACTCACCCTGAAGAAGATTTTTTGATGAAATCGAAATAATGTCCGAAACAACAAACCTAGTAAGTTCATGTAATTTCTATTATCCAATTATATTTGTGTATGTCCCGGAATAGAATAGGCCACCCCTTCCTTTCCTGTGGTTAACATAAGAGACTAAGGGAGCTTATGGTCTAGAGATGGGCAGCAGCGTTCCTCTTAAAACATCGCCAAAAACTAAGCTGCGGTTGTTAACTCGCCTGCCAAACGTGGTTATTTTAGAAAAGGATTTTGCCTTTATGGAGGAGGCTATGTCCAGCAATGGGCAATTAACGATACAATATTCAATTATATAAATAAAAGTTAGGATTACTGAAATCCACTTTTTTTTTAAATTTCATTATCAGACTAAACCATTTATGGCAATTAAACTGACAAGCTACATTCACAAAATCCTGTAGATTTGTTCTGAATGACTTTTCAAATCTGTTATTTGTATTATAAATAATTGCTTCAACTAGTGCTGATCTGGCTTATTATTATTATAAAAATACTTACGTCTGTACTATTATTGGAGTTAACATCGGAACTCGACGAGAGGATATCGCAGATCCTCATCGGTCCTCCGTCATGGTTCACCACCGCGTTCAGGATGGTTGGAAACCAAACGTAAAAGCCATTTGTGCTAAAAATTAACAGAAATAAAAGTTATAATCATAATTTTTAAATGTTCCTTGATAGTTCATCTTTGGGCGTGTGATTTCAACTTTTTATTTTGCATAAATGTCTCCCTATAATGTGTGTATTACTATAATATTGTTACTCTAAGTTTAATTTAGTTGATTCTAAGTATTAGCGATGTCATGTGCAACTAATGCAAAATCTTGTTTTTATTTATCAAAACTTGGCTTTTTGTCTTTACTGTTTTTTTTTCTTATTATGTAATTTTCTAGCTGTTTGTTTTCTTTAATAAAAAAAAAAAAAAAAAAAAAATAATTTGCAAGGTTTACTAATCATATTGTTGAGATTGAGATTATTCCCCATTGCTATCAATATACCCCATCAGGTCGACCTCCACGCGGTTCTCCCTGGAAATCATCATGACTAATTTATCGTTGAATTTGTCACGATGGGCTAACTGACCTGCCTTTACATCCTCACCAATCATCCCTCACTGGTGCCCCGCCAGTGTATACCAATAGCACAGGCGGGGTTAACATTCCATTATCATCCTTTAAAAAAAAAATTCATATTGTTGATATGTATTTTGTTTGAAATTAATTCGTAGCACGTTTAAGACGAGATACTAGTTCTCAAATGTGCTCAAAGAATATCTAAAGGTGATATTTACGTGTGAAAACAAAAAGTATGTACTGAACTTACGTTGCAAATATTCCAAATTGCACGAAACATGTGAGACAAGTCCACGGCAGTAGCGGCGGTTTGAACAGGGGCACGGTTTGTTCACGCATCGAAGAGAATATTGCTTTGATGCCTTTGTTTTTGGGATCCTTTTCCGTCTGAGTTTCTACTATTATCGATTCGACCTGTTCGAAGATGTCAGATTGAAAAATTGGTTTAAATTTGTTTTTTTTATTTTATTTTATACAACTTAGAATGGCAAACAAGCTGACGGCCCACCTGATGGAAAGTGGTAACCGTCGCCTATAGACATGAGCAGTACCATGGACATAACAGAGTATACTGTTTCACCCATGATACCCCCCATGCGTTGTCATTTCTGAGGACTCGGGTGTTATTCCTCTGTACCCTGTAAATTCACGCCATATCCCACCCTTCAAACCGAAACACAGCCATGCAAACATAACTGCTTCACGGTTGAAACACGAATGGGACAGAGGTACCCAAGCAATCGAATTTGTACAAAGTCTCCCCCTGGTTCTACCTTTCTACCTTTTATTGAAATCTGACCACTGCCTAAGTCAATAACCAAATTATACATCTATTTCATTTTTATATAGATCAATGTGAACCTTTTTTCTGCAGTTGGTATTTTTATATACAATTTTTATATTTATTTCCCGTGGATTTACTCGTGTGAATCACTATATAAAGTAGGCCGTGTATCAAGTAAGGATATAATATATCCGTGTACCAATTTTAATTCAAATCCGAAAGAAGTTAGACCTTCAGACATATAATAGTGAGTGTGTCTTTTCTTGCTCTTATTAGGGCCTCCCATATGAATTTTTCTTAAATGTATGCCAATCCGTTTGCCAAGCGTGGCAACTACTGGCAAAACCCGCCAAGGGAGCGGCTTGTGTTCAGCAGTGGACATTTAAAGGCTGGTATGATGATAATGATATCCCATGTACAGACATAATCTAGTTACAATTTTATTATATTAGTAAAATGAACATTATAATAGAAGGTAAGATAGAAGGAAGGAGGGGGAGAGGGAGACCGAGACATAGTTACATCAGGCAGATCAAGGAATGAGTTGGTGTCGTGTCGTATTAAGAGGTGAAGAGACTCACTGAAAATCATAGTGAGTGGCAAAAGCTCCACCAACAAGAGCGCTCTTAAATAGATAGATAGAAAGTAAAATGAAGTACTTACAGGAAATGATTTCTTATGCTGTCTGCGATTCACAGAATATATATTCTTTACCACATTCAATACTTTGTCTTTTTGGCCAGTAGCACTCAGGAACTTGGGGCTCTCAGGTGTGAAGAGAAGCAGCACCGAGCTAATCATGTAGGGCACCGCACAGGCCACCACCAGCAGCCGCCACGGTCGATAGAAAATATCCAGGAATGGAATGTAGAACGAAAATTCCAGTGGTAATATGAGCCAGCAAATTGCTAGAATACAACATGTAAATTTTTTTAGTATCTTGCTTGTGGTTTTGTTAAAATTAGGTATTGCATTTCATCATTGTCATCATTTCAACCTATCGCGAGAGGTCGCCCACTCTGCGCTTGCCTGTACGGGGTTACCACTCGAGAACCTGTCTTCCTCATCAATTATCCAATCTACCTAGTCCAGCCATAAGTTCTGTTACAAATGTATTTATTTATGAATTAATGTAACATTACTAAAATTTATATACCTACATATTTATTAAAGTGTCAGCGAAAAATAAAAAAAAAATATTCGAAATGGCTACCTTTGCCTATAATAGTTATTTAAGTCTGCAGCTTAAGTTCGAGCTTCATGATATGTTACTGGAAAATTAGAAATGCTTAAAATATTCTTTCATCAGTGATTATTATATTAAGGAAGGCAACGCGCACGTGACACCCCTAGTGTTGCAGGCGTCCATAGGCTACAGTGACAATTTACCATCAGACGGGCTATATGCTTGTTTGCCACTTTTGTAGTATAAAAAAGAAATATTATATGATTGTCATCTCTTATTTACTAGTACTAGCGTATTACTTAGCGTTTCATTTACATACATACATATCTGTCACGCCTGTCTCCCATTAGGGTAGGCAGAAACAATGGAACGCCAAATGCTTCGACTCAAACAAACCTCCCTCGCCTCTTCCACATTCATCAATCTTTACAATTATATTAGTATAATTGTTTTAATGGCATCCTCTGTCACTTTATATTTAATTTGACACATATATACCAATTGTCTTTATAAAAATAATTAAATTACCAGGTAATACGACTGTTCCGATTCCGACGAAGGAAGATCCGAACGCAACCATCTTGTCTCTGTGTTGGTTACAATTAAATTCACCAATGAACGTGTAAACCACTGCTGAAGGTCCGGACATACTGGAAGATATCAAGAAATCTATGATATTTGTGTAGGACTTACGTATATAGGGCAGAAGGAGCTCCTAACTAATTGATCACAGGGGGGGAAAGGGATTGTTAGCAATGGAGTTTGACAGCCCGATTGCTAGCAATATGCCTTATTAGGTCGACCTCCACGTGGTTCCCCTTGGAAACCATCGCGAACAATTCTTGTTGAATTCGTCACGATGGGTTAACTGACCCGCTTCATCCTCACCTATCATTCTTCACTGGTGCCCCGCCGGTGTATACCGATAGCGCGGGTGGGGTTACCATTCCATTATCACCCATTAAAAAAAAAAAAACTAATTGATTAAAGATATGTACTCAAGAATGATTTTTATGGGGCTGCAAGAAATGCAATTAGCAGCGGGCGATAGCTAAATTGACGTGAATTGAAATTTGGCCTTTATAAATAAATAAATAGTAAATAAATACCATTAAACTACATTATACAACATTATATAAGGTTATTTTTTGCCAATATTCCTTCATATTTGATATAATATATACATAGAAAACGTCTTTACTATCTGGGCTACTCTCATCTTTGATTTATGATACGGTAACATTATAATAAAATAAAAAAAAAGTAAAAAATAAAAAAGTATACATTGACGCTTATCTGTGAGAGCTGTATACATCTCTAATTGATATGTTCATATGGCCTTAAGCTTGGTAGTGAGGAGTGAGATGTTTTTGTTCAAGTGAACTTAGATTTAAGCATTTTGAATAGTAGTTTTTCTCTTTTACTTACTAATAACATTGTATATTGTCTGCTTAATTGTTGTGAGCATATTGTTGGTGTGTCTTTTATAAATAAATAAATAAACAACAAGACGTCTAGAATAATCTAGATATGAACATACTGATTCAAAAAATAAATAAATAATTATTACAATATGATTCCCGTATTTTTTTTTACAACACAAGAGATTAAACGAGCATGCGGCACCCTGATGGTAAGTGACTACTGCCGCCTATGATCACCCACAACACTAAAGGCATTGCAGGTGTGCTGCCGGTCTTTTAAAAAGGAATATGCTCTTTTCTTGAAGGTTATAATGTCGTATTAGTTCTGAAATACTGCTGCGGGAAGTTGATTCCGAAGAGTCGTTGTGTGTGAAAGAAAGAAGGAAAGAACGTACGGTGTATTAAAAAAAAACACAAATATGTACTAACAATACAGAGGAAAAGAACTGGAGTATTGCGAAGCTGATAAGGTCAGGCGCGAAGCTGGTGAGCACGGAGAAGACCACGTTGGCGAGCATGGAGAAGAGCATCACTGGTCTCCGGCCGCGGGTGTCCGCCAGCCAGCCCCAGAAGTACGACATTAGTATTATAGCTGCAAAAAAACAAACTCGTTTACATAGATGCAAGTAATGCATTAAGCTTTTCATCATCATTACCAGCTAAACATAGGTCTCCCCCATAATGGAGGGTTTATGCAGTAGTCGCTACACTGGTTAAGCGGGTAGGCAACTGTTGCACATAGCTCGACCATTAACTTCGCTGTGAAAAGTGGTAACCATTGCCTATAGACATGAGCAGTACTATGGACATAACAGAGTATACTGTTTCGCCCATGATACCCCCCATGCGTTGCCATTCCTGAGGACTTAGGTGTTATTCCTCTGTACCCACCAAACCACCCTTCAAACCGAAACACAGCCATGCAAACACAACTGCTTCACGGTTAAAATATGAATGGGACAGAGGTACTCAAGCAATCGACTTTTGTACAAAGTCTCCCTCTGGTAACTGTCCACTGCTGAACATAAGTCTTCCCCTGAAGGGGAGTTTTGCTAGTAGTTACTACGCTTGGCAGGCGGATTGGCAACCTAAGGCTTTTAGTGATGTTTTAAGTAGGATGCTGCTGCCCATTCCTCGCCCTCCTTTAGTCGCCTATTACGATACTCACGGGAAAGAAAGGAATGACCCATATGCCGGGACCTATATTGCGAGCTACAAGCTTTTCATACTGTATGTTAATTTGAGTGTAAAAATCAGATTTAGTTAACCAATACGATAATTGTACAATTGTAGATAAACGAGAGCTAAAACCCTTAAAGAAAACAAGGAAGTAGAAAGGTCAAAGCATACCAACTACCTAAATATATTCTATAATATACGATTTATTTATAAAATGTCCAATTTTTTTCAGAGTTCTCTCTTTTAATGTTAATAACATTAAATTTTGACTTACCCAAAAATGGTATAGCTGCTAGCCACCCTCGCTGCTGCAGTGTAAGCTGCAGGTCGCACTGCGCTGCCGGCATCACGTACCCGAGGGCCAGGCTCTGCATGATCACACCCAGTAGGATGACGCCGCACAGTAGCATGTGTAAGATGTTGTATATGCCCAATCCTTTAACCACAGATAATGTTTCAATAATGCCCCGGTTTTGTAGTTCATCGAGAATGGTCGCCGAAGTGCATGTTGATTGTTTTTACGCTACTATGCGAAAACGGTGCACGTCTCTGATGCGTAGGGTCCGGGCCAGCTCTGACGCTATCGTAAGGGTATTTGTGGACCGTCCAGACTGCCAGTATTTGTATCCTTATAGTATGATTTATATGCTGATTAATAAAAAAAAGTAGGTTTATTTTAATTAATTTTTAAATGGATGATAATGGAATGGTAACCCCACCCGCGCTATCGGTATACACCGGCGGGGCACCAGTGAAGAATGATCGTGACGAATTCAACAAGAATTGTTCACGATGGTTTCCAGGGGGAACCACGTGGAGGTCGACCTAATAAGGTATATTGCTAGCAATGAGGCTGTCAAACTCCATTGCTAACAATCCTTTTCTCCCCAAAAAAAAGTAGGTTGGGTCATTGTTGTTTATAAACTACCAGGAAAGACTTTGTACAAAAGTCGATTGCTGGGACACCTTTGTCTCATTCGTGTTTCTATAGTGAAGCAGTTGTGTTTGCATGGCTTTGTATCGGTTTGAAGGATATGGCAGTGAATTTATAGGGGACAGTGGAATAACATCTGAGTCCTCAGGAATGGCAACGCATGGGAGGTATCATGGGCGAAGCAGTATACTCTGTTATGTCCACGGTACTGTTTGTAGTGATAAATTTAAATAAGCATTACCTAATGTGGGTATGCTGCATTGTATGTATTACCTTATAATATTGTTTTTATTATTGTATTACCTTATAATATTGTTTTTATTATTGTATTACCTTATAATATTGTTTTTATTATTGTATTACCTTATAATATTGTTTTTATTATTGTATTACCTTATAATATTGTTTTTATTATTGTATTACCTTATAATAAATAAATCAGTTCGAGAATCATCTGACGTTTTATAATACTGTTCATGTGTATAGCCGATGAAACAGTAAAACAAATAAAAAGTAAATTTGGAACAATCAAACAAATCCTATTGTATGTGTTATAATTTTTTTTTCACCGCATAATAAAATTTTTGTTTTGCCAAAGGTTGGCTGGGAGGGAATGCTATATAGTATTAAGTCCGCCTTTTGTACTTGACATTTTTTTGTAATGTGGCTAATAAAGAATAAATAAATAAATAAATCAAACAAATTCGCTTTTAAAGATACATGCTAACTTTCACCTGCGACTTCGTCCGTGTGATCGGGATTTGTTTCACTGACTGGGAAAAAAATATAAACTATATTCTTAATACCATCTCATTAAGTACGTATATACCAAAGTTAAGGCGCTAAGAGGTAACAAACAAACAAACACCGTTTCATATTTGTAATATTAATAAGGATAAAGATATTAACATTATCAGATAATATTAGGTCATTAAAGTAATTCATGAATGTAAATGTATAAACAACGCAGAATCAGTACTTATTTTTGTATAAACTGATTTATCACGAGGAGAATCTACTAGAAATATCTAATTATTCTTGTTATGGTAATTCTAAAAATAATATAATTTTTATAACTTACAATCTACGAGAATTAGTATTATGAAGTCATAAACTGAAGGACTAATATTTACATAATGGGGGGAAAGGGATTGTTAGTAATGGAGACTAAGAATCCCATTGCTAACTATATACCCAAACAGGTCGACCTACTCGTGGTTCCCCCTGGAAACTATAATGGTTAATTCCTGATGGGCTAACTGGCCTGTTTTCATTCTCATCTATCACCCTTCACTGGTGCTCCGCCAGCGTATCCGAGGCGCAGGCGAGGTTGCCATTCCATTTTCACCCATCATAAAAAAAAAATTACATAATATAAAATAAGGTCGCTTCCCGTCTGTACGCTTAGATTTTTTAAACTACGCAACGGATTTTAATGCGATTTTTATCATATATAGAGCGATTCAGAAGAAAGATTTATACACATACATATATATAGAGAAGAAAGAAGAAGAAGAAATTGGATTATGGAATAAAAAAAAATGGTCAAGATAATACACTTAATAGTATTAAAAAAATATTTTTATTTTTTCTTTTGGTTTGAGTATCATATATTTTTACTAATACTTGTGTTAGGTATGGATCTACACTTTAGATACTAAATAATATGATATAATGACGTTCATGATTGCATTTTGTTAATTAAATAATTATTGTATATTTATGTCACTCATGATGCCGCTGGGTTACAAATTATCTTGAGGTCTTGCACTCAGATTTGACTTGCAACTAGCATAAGTACAGATATTAGACGCTGATGCAATCAGTACTAAGAATTTATTTTATGATTTAATTTAATATAATGCTATGTATATTTTTAATTTATGTGGAACAGCAAAAGCCGCCTAGTGATCTTCGTAGTAACAATACACCATACGGCCCGCCTGATAGAGATTTATTATTATTATTTCAGTCGTTAATTATTCCAGCAGTACATACTGATACAAACAATACCAAATACTAAGAATTTACTTAATGATTTAATTTTTTTTTATACAATTTAGAATGGCAAACAAGCATACGGCCCACCTGATAGTAAGTGGTTACCGTAACTTATGAATATTTGCAATACCAGAGGCTAATAATAAAAGGCTAATAATGGCTGCATAAAACTTTCGATATTGAAACTGATTTAAAAAGTAATATTCTATCTCGCTGTATGTGCCTCGGCATAGAGTGGGCCACCCCTTCCTTTCCCGTAGGTGTCGTAAAAGGGGACTAAGGGAAGACGAGAGATGGGCAGCCGCGTCCCTCTTAAAATATTTCTAAAAGCCTAACTGCAATATATATATATATATATATATATATATATATATATATATATATATATATATATATATATATATATATATATATATATATATATATATATATAATATCTCAAGATGCTTATTAATTTGGAATGTTCCATTTTTGCTATTCCGTTTATTATAGATATGAAATGTGGGTTCGTTATATTTATGTAACTTAGCAAATTGGTAAACAATCTGACGGCTCACCTCATGGAAAGTGGTAACCATCACCTATAGACATGAACAGACAAAAGGATTTTCTTTATTAAATTGGCACGGGCTACGTCGCGGGCTTAGATAACATAGTTAAAATGTCTTCATAGAAATGCTTCGAGAAAAACGGGTCAACTTTTTCATAAAAGTTTGTGTGATAAATAGTTATGAGTGATTCCTTTATAACTTCTACATTTATTTTGTATTATAATTTATGCATCTTTTTAATTTGCATAAACACTCATTTTATTTATTAAATAATACGTCAAGATACATTATGTGCGTAAGAGCACTGATAAAAAAAACAAGTCAGCTAATTTGACGATTAGTTGACAAAAACTTGACCCGTTTTTGAGCTTCGATGCACTATCTATATATAATCTACGATTGCGAGACTCGAGTATTAAAAAAAAATTAACATAATACCTGCTAGTGTCATGGCTTCGTCGAGTGTAGCTGCCGGGATCTTGTCATGTTTGGGGTCTTCCTTTGCCACGGTCCCGTTGGCAACCATTTTGAAATCCTGATGGAATAAAATAATCTAATTATTACAGTATAGCAGTTATAGCTTTAATAATATTTTTTATTCTGATTCTAGATTCTAGATTTGCATCTAGTGTAATTTTAAGATTTAAATGCTTCTCTATTAAAATATTAATAACGCCTAACTGCGGTTGCCAACTCGCCTGCTATGCCTGACAACTATTGGTAAAACTTCCCTGTTAATGATGTCCGTTTGCGTTTTGATGATGAACGAATGATATGATGATGATGATGATGAATAAATACACCTAGTATTTGAAGCGGTTTAACTAGGGTAAATAAAAAATAAATAATTTCGAAGCGTTGTATTGAATATAAAATTGATGTAATGCGTTGAAGTTTTGTTTTGCAAGTAAGTTACAGTTTGAAACCTGAAAGGTCATGTAGTTTTCTCCTGCGTTATGATTGGCGTTCTCGTGATGTCGTGATGAGCGACTCTTGTGACTGGTTGATGTTGTGGGTGATTATTTATTAATAACTTAGCAGTCGTCTATTGGCTTTACCGCTGAAGACGCTTCACTCCAGCGTATGAGTGATGAATATTCACACTTCCTATAGGGGAAGGCCGAGGGAAAGAGATTGTTAGCAATAGAGTTAGACAGCTCCATTGCCAGCAATATGCCTTATTAGGTCGACCTCCACGTGGTTCCCCCTGGAAACCATCGTGAACAATTCTTGTTGAATTCGTCACAACGGGCTAACTGACCTGCTTCATCCTCACCTATCATCCTTCACTGGTGCCCCGCCTGTGTATACCGATAGCGTGGGTGGGGTCCATTCCATTATCACCCATTAAAAATGAGGAAAGGCCTATGTTCAGCAGTGGACCTTTAACGGCTGATATGAATGGATTAAAGTTTAATTGTAAATTAATTTTTATACAACTTAGAATGGCAAACAAGCTGACGGCCCACCTAATGAAAAGTGTTAACCGTCGCCTATAGACATGAGCAGTACCATGGAAATAACAGAGTATACTGTTTCGCCCATGATACCCCCCATGCGTTGCCATTCCTGAGGACTCAGGTGTTATTCCTTTGTACCCTGTAAATTCATGCCATATCCCACCCTTCAAACCGAAACACAGCCATGCAAACACAACTGCTTCACGGTTGAAACACGAACGGGACAGAGGTACCCAAGCAATCGACTTTTGTACAAACTCTCCCTCTGGTATTTAGTTTAGAAGTGTTTACAATTATTGCAACCTACCAACTTTTAATAAATTTATAGTAATAATAACGTTGCAGTAGAATATGTTTAAAATACATTGACAGTATTCGAACTAAGAGCTATGTATGTGTAGCAAGGCTACTGGCTCTCGGTTTTTACACAGTTACCGTGTATATATATATATATATATATATATATATATATATATGTATATATATATATATATATATATATATATATATATATGTATATGTATATATATTGATAAACAATATTTAAAAATACGACTGCATAAAATAGGTTTTTCATTTTCAACATTTTCACAGAGGAAAAACCTAGGTTTTTCCTGAAAATGTTTGTATGAATGCGTAATTACTTAATCAGCCAACTTTGCCTTGGAATTATACAGAATTTTTTTTATTATATGAATTATGATTATGATAAGACGATATCGCATTTTATAATCGATGGCAATAAACTATGCCACCCCACGTGTAGTTACAGTGTAGGAATCCTGATAAAATATGTAGAACACGTAGAATATTCCATGGCGTTACGTTTTACAACATATTTATTAATAATGACGTTGTAAATATCATCTAATGATATTATAGCCGTAAAGCGATAACTCCTGATCCTATATGTCTGTTATAATAAGTTTTTGCCTAAGCCTGATTTTTTTTTATGTGTGAAAATGGTATGGTAACCCCGCCTGCGCTAACGGGATACGCTGGCGGAGCACCAGTGAAGGGTGATAGATGAGAATGAAAACAGGCCAGTTATGTTAGCCCATCATGATGAATTCATCAGGAATTAATCATGATAGTTGCCAGGGAGAACCGCGAGGAGGTCCAACTTCAACCAGGTCGGTTGGGTATATTGCTAGCAATGGGCTTCTCAGTCTCTATTACTAACAATCCCTTTCCCCCCGCCTAAACCTGATTGGCAAATATGATTTTTTGCCTAATATGATTCAGCCGTGCTAAAGCTAAACAACAGGGGCGAAAGGGATTGTTAATAATGGGGTCTAATGAACCCATTGCTAGCAATATACCCTATCAGGTCGACCTCCATACGGTTCCCCCTGGAAACCATCATGGTTAAATCTAAAAGTATTCGTCACGATGGGATCCTCGTCTATTATTCCTCGCTGGTACCCCGCCAGTGTATACCAATAGCGCAGGCGGGGTTACCATTCCATTATCATCCATTAAAAAAAACTAAATAACATGTTTTTTATATACAAAAGACGAGAGGGAAAAGGTTTATGAAGTTTATCATCTTAAATCATTAACAATCAATAAAATATTTTATTTACTATATATATATCGTCATAGTCGTAGAATACCGACGGATCTGACAAAGATTACATATAAAGATCCGTCAGTATTCTACGACTATGACGATATATGTGTTGCAAAGATGGTGCATAATTAAAAACGTTAGTCCCTTTATATTCTGTTCAATATTGGCGGGAAAATTATTTTAATAATAACCTATAAAAGTAACATTAAAACGATAAGATTGGCAACCAGTTTACAATTAAGTACAGCATTATTACTGGGAATATATTTTCTCAATCAGATAACTGTTTATGTCATAATAATTTTTATACTGTAGAAATTTTTTATTATCATTTCAGCCATTATCCGTCCATTGCTGGACATAAATCTCCTCAATAGACTGCCATAAAGAACGGTCCTGAGCCACCTGCATCCATCGACTTCCTGCAATGCATTTCAAGTCGTCACTCTATATAATAATATTATAATGTGATTTATATATTAGGCTTTCGTACTAGAAAGGTAAAAAGGAACCCTAATAGTGCGGTATTGTTCGTTCGTCCATCCGTCCGTCAGCAGTTCGGCTGTCTGCCACAGTTTTATATTTAAGTAATTAAAAATGTTGTCGATTTGACATGTTCAAATCTTACATATTCATGACCCAGATATATTGCAATATAAACATTTGAAAAATTATTTTTAGTTTAGGAAGGGATATTGAAATTTTCAAAATTGAATACTATTAATATTCCAAGTAAAATATATGAAATATGTAGTGGAATTTGTAGATTTTAAAAATGATTTTTATTTATTTTTATGCACTTTTTTAATTATGATCGAAAATGTTAGAAACAATACCATTCCTTCAGCATATCCAAAATTTCTTTGAAGTATTTGGAATAATTATAATACATATATATATAAGTGTATATGAATATTACAGGAAAGATAAAGCAATGTTTCTAATTAGCGTCGTTTTTGAGAAATTAATAAATAACTCTCAATGTTCTCTACCCAAAGGCTGTCTGGAAGAGATTGCTTAGCGATAAGGGCGCCTTTTGTATCATTTCTTATTACAGTTAAATGTGTTTACTATTTTATAAATGGTGCAATAAAGTGTACATAAATAAATAAATAACTTTCAAAAACAAACTTAGTTATGCGGTCCAGTTTTTAACGAAGTTTTGAATAGTAGTATTATAATAGGTAATATCTATTAAATGTCTATTTCGTACAAGAAATGCAATGAAGATCACTTTTTATATGCTCCTATTTTAATGTATTGAACCTTTAGCATGTGAGTTCAACTCACATATAATTGGTTTTATTTTTAATCATATTTTATGTGGTCGCCGTTATACTTATTATTTGCATAAAAGTAGAGCATTGTTTTTTATATCGCTTAATTGTATGCACTTGTATGCACATGTACAACAAATATATTTTCAGTTTTTTTTTTATTATTTATAAGGGCTTTAACCTTCTCCAGATATATCAGCCCTGAACTGATTTCTCAAATAAAGCTTTATCTATTTTCCCTAGACACGGAAAGAGAGGAATTAATGGGCATCAATAATTTATAGAGATGTTCAAAATTTCTGGTTTAAGTTCAGCTAACATAGATTGAATAAGATCAACATTAAATTTATTTCAGTTAAAGTGGCGCATGAGTTCTCTTTGTTTTGTGTTTGTATGACACTAAAATTCAAATACATAGCCGCTCAATTATCAATAGGTAATAAATCTTCTATAGATAATAACTAAAACATGATTATTAGTGGCTGTGAGATGAGGTCATTTTTATCAATGTACACTGCAGTGTCATAAAGTTTGCGATTGATATAAGTATTCAAACGGATGTACAAAATTATCTATAACTTTCTTCTTATCTATATATATATATATATATATATATATATATATATATATATATATATATATATATATATATATATATATATTTATACAACATAGAATGGCAAACAAGCTGACGGCCCACCTGATGGAAAGTGGTAACCGTCGCCTATAGACATGACCAGTACCATGGACATAACAGAGTATACTGTTTCGCCCATGATACCCCCCATGCGTTGCCATTCCTGAGGACTCAGATGTTATTCCTCTGTACCCAGTAAATTCACGCCATATCCCACCCTTCAAACCGAAACACAGCCATGCAAACACAGTTGCTTCACGGTTGAAACAGGAATGGGACAGAGGTGCTCAAGCAATCGACTTTTGTACAAAGTCTCCCTCTGGTGAGTCAAAAGTCTCTCTCTATATATCCGTGTGTGGTAAAAATATATATAAATATATAGAAAATAGCTGTTTCATTAATTCAAAATTAATAAATTTTATACCAACAATTATACAATAAATATTATATACAACAAAAAGCGTAGTATAGGACGAGCCCCCAGTAGATGGAGTGACGACCTAAAATGCATTGCAGGGAGTCAGTGGATGCAGGTGGCTCAGGACCGTTCCTTGAGAGAGGCTCATGTCCAGCAGTTGACTGATAATGGCTGAAATGATGATGAAGATACTGACAATTTATAAATTATAAAAACCATTTCATTTGGCTGAAATATTAATCTTAGATTATTGGTATCGCGCACTTTTTTGTAAAGCTTTGCAGTGTAATGAATATATTTGCTATTATATTATAGATTTTATTTCTTTATTTAATTTTTTTTTTTTAAATAAAGAATTTCGTGCACTTTATATTATAGAATTTCTGCGGAATTATATAACATTTATTGTGATTAATTATTGATATATTATCAGAGATAATACACCTTCATAACAGTGAATGATTTTTCAAAATCGGGTCAGAAGTACCAGAGATTATTTCAAATATTTAAACACACAAATTTATCTCTTTATAATATTAGTATAGATGTCGCAAAACATGGCACAGAAAAACAAACGAATCAAAACGATAACCTCTTTCCTTTTTTAACCGGTTTAAAAATAATATTTTGGTATAGACCTTTGAAGTCATTCAGAGGTCCATAGACTCATTGAACCCAGGCACGTATAATATGGCAGCTCGTCAGTTTCTGTAACATTCCTTGTAGCATAAAAAAAAAAAACAGAACTCACCTAAGTAAGTACTTGGAAATATTTCTAATATGTATTTAATATTCTTGTCCTAATAATTTTACTATCACAACGCAGTTTTGTAAACGAACGATCGACCACTACTGATTAGTTTTGAAGGGTATAGTCTCGTTATATCTCCGCTGAGGCATCTCTATACTGCTTCGTTTGTTTATTAGATACCAAGATAATTGGTGGCTTGTGCGGCGTTTGTGTTCATGTTGGACCAATTAAATGACAGTTTGGATGCAATTCTCGGTCGGACTAATTTATTTTATTTTATTTATTTATTCATTAGAACAAATATGTGTACATGGCGGACTTATTTTCTCCGGAAACCATTGCGGTTAATTCTTGTTTTGCTATCATCCTCACATATCATCTCTCACTGGTGCTCTGCTGGCGTAAACTGATAGTGCAGGCGGAGTTACCATTTCATTTTCCTCTATCAAGATTTTAGAGTAAGTTTACGAAAATATGTACAAGATCTAATATATGATATACTAACATCATATAAATCAAAAATGTATATTGCATGGGTAATATAGATACCGACACGATCTATATCGACATCGATCATCTATATATTGGGTTCCTCCGGACATCGATGGCGAAAAAAATGTCATCACCCATTTCGATATCGCCCATATTGGTCGGATATCTATTTTCGAACATGTTAAAAATCTTTTTACAATATTATTTTATGGATACCAGACTTTTGACATATTCGTTATTGGGTGATATTTTATCGTTATTATAACTAAATATTGTATCAAAAATATATAGGTATATATTCTATATATTACCCACCTCTAGTTTTTGGTTCTCATATACGAGTATTAAAAGAAAAATAAATAAAGTATATTCTGGAAAATCCACTATATTGTTCATATATAGGCGATATTTACTACTGTCTGTCAGATGGGACATCAGAACCTTTTCATTTAAAATTCAAGATTATAGTCGTATGGTTTCAAACAAGAAAAGTATTGAATATCCTGATAAAATTTACACTATGTTACTAATACATAAGATATTTGAACTTAAAAAAATAGAAGAAGTGATATATATATAGATAAGAAGATATATATATATATATATATAATATTTTGGTATAGATTTTGAAGTCATTTAGAGGTCCATAGACTCATTGAGCCGAGACACGTATAACCGATATATATATATATATATATATATATATATATATATATATATATATATATATATATATATATATATATATATATATATATATATATATACTTAATATACTTATATATATTAAGATTAGATAACTTATGTAATATTATATAAGATTAAATTATGATTATTTAATTGGTTGGAATAACGTCACATTTTTAACGATGCATGCAATATTCCGTCTACATTTATGCTATAATTATCTGCTAATTATAATTCTGATCTCCGTGGTGCAGTGATTAAATGCAAAACGTTAAATTGAATATAAATTACAATGATATCGACCATGTGTTTATAATTTACCTGAGATAAATGAGTTTAGACTTTCACGCATGATTTATGGTTTTCTAGTCGTATCCTGCGACTTTACTCCTGTAAATCAGTGTATAAAGCAACTTATTTATTTATTTTTACTTATTTATTCTTTAATCACCATATTACAAAAAAAATATCTGCTACAAAAGGCGGACTTAATACTATATAGTATTCTCTCCCAGTCAACCTTTTTTTTTAATGGGTAAAAATGGAATGGTAACCCCGCCCGTGCTATCGGTAAACACCGAGAGGTGAGAATAAATGCAGGTCAGTTGGCCCACCATGATTAATTCGACAAGAATTAAACATGATGGTTTCCAGGGGGAACGGCGAGGAAGTCGACCTGGTTGGGTATATTGCTAGCAATGGGATTTTTAGTCTCCGTTACTAACAATCCCTTTCCCCCCGCAGTCAACCTTTGGCAAAACAGAAATGTAATTATGCGGTGAAAAAAATTTAAAATTGTGTTATATTGTGAAAGTTATGAGTTAAGTTAGTATTTAAACTATTTTTGTAACAAATTTCATTCAAATCCGTTCAGTAGTTATTGCTTAAAAGAGTGACAAACATACATCTAAATATTCTCACAAATATACTCATTTATAATATACTATGTCCTTAATAGCTACTAATAATTTATTATTTATCGTACAATTTTTTCACCATATATGTTACGCTTTATATATAAATAAACTGTATAGACACTTTCTTCTTTCGGGTTCTGAAGGTAGAAGGAAGAAGAAGAAATCCCTTTAATGGATAAGTCCGCCTGTGTAAATTTTTGTTATAACCTAATATATATACTATAGATGAATGTACAAAAGCATATATAAAGAAATAACACGATTTATAATCATAATAATTATTATATTATATTATTATATAATAGTATATGTATGATAATAGAGTAAAAGGCGGGAATTAATGCAGAAAAATAAAATATTATGATAATAAAATTTACCTGGGTATTCTCGACGTGGCGACCAGGTTACACCTTCCGTGGTCACGAGTTGACTGAATTATTAAATTACTTAATAAATAATTATAATCATAGCCATATTAGTCGTTCACTGTCCACTGCTGGACATAAACCTTCCCATAAGGGTGGGTTTTGCCAGTAGTTGCCACGCTTGGCAAACGGGTTGGTAACTGCAGGTTTTAGAGATGTTTTAAAAGAGCTATAATAATAATATAATTTATTTGCTGAAAAACACGGTATACATATGTTAACAATAATATGTTAGAAACAGGCGTGTTTTGCCAAAACAATGGCATGCAAAATTTTAATATTTATGGTATTTTCTTTTCTACTAAATACTACTACTACTAATACTATCAACAAAATATTATTTATGTGCTTATAAAGTAGAATTATTCTTTAGTCCAACAAGTCCTTAATTGAGTAATAACATTTGTCCAAAAGCCATTTGTACAGTGTGTTCTTAAATTTTGTCAGTGCTTTTGCCTATCCCTCACCCTCCCTTAGTCGATTCTTACAACACACACAGGAAAGGAAGGGGTGGTTTATTTTATGCCGGGACCACACGGCATCACAATGATAATATGTATTAATTATTGTTATTAAAAATTCAATATTTCACACCTCCACAATCAGCTTTATACTGAACTAGCGACCCGCCCCGGCTTCGCACGGGTGCAATGCTGATACTCAATGTATTAAATTAATGCTGTATTGCTTAAGATCACTTCGTAAATAAGCCATTTTTTCCCGTAAAATGTAAATGATAAAAAAATGGTTATGGTGGTTTATCCTTAAGAGATAGACATAAACCATCGCGGACTTTTTGTTGACCTTTTTAAGGTGTACAATACATTATTTTGATTTATCTCGTGGGGTTCATCCAGCGCTTGCGTGTGTGTTTATTTACGACAAATATGTTTATTTACGACATCACATTAGAAACATCTAAATTTATCAGTGTTTCTCTACAATATTATGTGTATATTATACATATAAACCTTCCTCGTGAATCACTCTATTTATTAAAAAAAAACGCTTCAAAATCCGTTGCGTTGATTTAAAGATTTAGGCGTACATAGGGACGTACAGACAGCGACAGCGACTTTGTTTTATACTATGTAGTGATGATGATGATGATGATGATGTGGCCATTATTTATAAATAATGGAAATATACTAATAATATTATATTTAAAAATATACGTGTTTCAACCGTGAAAGAGAGACTGTGTTTGCATGGCTGTGTTGTTTTTTAAATAGATAAAATATAACACACAAGGCTTTAAATGATCAAATTAGCTTCCGTCTCTCATAAACTATATATATGTTAGGTTTATACAAACTCTGGGTTATGTAAACTTTTTTTAATGCATGAAGATAGAATGGTGTACCTATCTATACTAATTGTAATAACTGCGGAGCAAAAATAGCGGATAAAACGTTGAGGACAAAGTCAGTTGGCCCATTCTGACTAATACGAACATCATCATTTCATTGTTCCTAAGGATTTTGCAATTTTTATTTCACGTGAGCGCACTGTATAATCATTTAATTATTTAAATTAATTTAAATTAAAAAAAAAATTAATTATTCTAGCAAACGTATATTAAAATTTTAATCGATGTTCTTCAACACCGGTGTGATTACGATATCTTAATTCAGAGGAAATGAACATTTTTATTTATTTATCTCTTCATTGTATCAAAAACATAAGAAAAACAAAAAGTTGAGCGTGAATTTACTGTCAAAAAACACCTTTAAATTCACACAAAGTCTTTGGTGTCGGTTAGATTGGAACTCATGGCGTTAGCGGTCTCTAAGTCAAAGTTCTATTCTGATAATGTTATTTATTATTTCCTATAACAGTTAGTAGGTAACTGCGGTTACAGATGCGGCAATGTGTTTGTAATATATACGACTGGAATCTAACCACCAATGAATGTAACTTCCGCACTGTAATTAATACTCATGATAAAAAAAAGAAATAAATATATTCATACAAATTAAAGTAAAATATATTTTTTTTATTATTATGATATAATACAAATACACCCACCTGATGGAAAAATCTTCACATATCTAATAATAGGACATAACAGAGTGTATGTGTCGCCCAAAACCCCCATTGTTGCCATTCCTGAGGACTCAATGTTATTCCTCTGTGCCCTAGTAATCGACCTTCACGCAAAACACAGCCATGGAAACACAACTGCTTCATGGTAGAAACACGAATGAGACAAAAGTACCAAAGCAAACGACTTTTGTACAAAATTCCCCTCTGGTAATGTAGAACTTTAAAAATGTAGAACTTCAGCCATTCAATAAATCCCCTAATCCTATTATTTAGTTCAAACTAGTTGTATGTCGCGGCTTTGACTGCATGCACCAATAAATAAAGTATCTTACAGGTATGTTAAGTTTAAGGTATATCCTACCCGTGTACCAAATTTCACTCAAATCCGTTTAATTGTTTAAATATTATTGAGTTCATCATCTCTCACTGGTGCCAATCTGCTTACCGTTAGCATGGCGGACTTACTGCATTATCACCTTTAAAAAATAGACCTGCTTTCATTTCAGCATTTTTTATTGATGTTAACGGCTGGAACGTATGTAACGATATAATTTTTCATGATGGTGTTACCACTTGCATTCTCATTCATTAAAACAAAAGAGTTACTTAAATATTGGGCTCGATTCTGAAGCGTTATTTCTCTAAACCTACTTCTTATTCTAATATTTGAATTTGATAGTTTAGCGAAATTATTGATTTATAGATCGTTAAAAACAATTTTTTTTTTAATTGTTGGTTTATCGAGTTTTTGGATAGGTAAAGAGAATAACAGCTAATAATGTATACCTATACAAAATAAATAATACATACATAAATAAAGAAATATGTATAAAATAAATAAATAAATAAAGCCTTTAATTTCTTGCATTATTACAATATTATCTTATTTCTACTAGGTATGTTAGTAAGTTAGTTAAATTAAATTAATTGTTAGTTAATTATTTTTTATGTATATATAGAAATATAATATTCTCTCTATGCAAAAACCCCAGATTGGGTAAAGGCCTCCTCCAAAGATTCACATTTATATCCAGCGCCATTTGGACCCAGTTAGGGCTGGCTGTTCTTTTGATCTCATCTTCCCATCGTGACAGTGCTCTCCCCTTACCTCTCTTCATAGTGTTACTTTTACAGTCTTACAGAATATGCATATATGTTTACAAATATATATATATATATATATATATATATATATATATATATATATATATATATATAAAATATAAAAAATGATGATTAGCTACTATTGTTGTAAAGAGTTCATCAAAGTGAGCATATCCAAATAATAATTGTAAAACTAAATAAAATTATAAGTCTGAAACGAACCTAGACTGGAAAGTCAAATAGCACGTTTACAGCGCCTTCCTTCTCGTCTTCTCTTATCTGTGAAATTATTATATTTATAGATAACATCATTTTATATAGCGTTACGAGATATAATTAAAGGTGATGGTAAATTTGTTTAAGATTATTGGGGAAGACCCAGTTTTCTGTGTTGTCTTGTTTCACGGTGATGGGTGGTCGACTTATCAGATATTGTTAGGCATATTATGACATTAATTAAGCACAGTTACTAAAAATATTTGTACAACGCAATAAATACACATATGTACATATATGTACGTAAATATACATATATGTACGTCCTTATGCAAAATAAATCACGTATTTTATTTATAACTCACAGTAAAATATGAGATAATTTGATATATTATTTTTTTACTATTTATGTGATTTTTTTTTTAAATTGACTGTTTTAGTAACATCGTAAAATTGCTAGAAATTTGATATGAATATAAGCGATTGAAGAAACTTGCAAATTGTATAAATTTCATTTCAATTTAATTTATATTATTCCGTTCACTGTATTTCACTTGAATTATTCACTTGTCATTGTATATTTTTATTTATGGTGCAATAAAGAGTTAAATAAATAAATAAATGCTATTTATCTACATAAATTATATTATAATGATTATTATATTATTGAACTATATTTTTAGTTATATAAATTTAAAACTTTACTTGTTTAGCTAAGCTTGTTACTCATTAAATGGTTATTGACAAAAGAAAATTGCCGCTAGATTGGTCATGAACGTGATAAATATATTCAATTTATTAGACATGCACATGAAGTACATGTCTAATTAATAATTAATCAAGAAAAAAGTTGTCGACATTGAAGAAACCTCTTTACCCTCCTTTTGAAGTTTGTTTCCAATTATTTAAAGAAGACTACAAATAATTTATTGTTAAAAATTAGCTTTTTAGTAGGTTTAGTTATATAGTTATATTATATATATATATAACTATATATAATATAACTATATAACCTATAGTTTTTATTGTTGTTGCTTAGTTCATAAAATAAATCTTATACTGTTGATGTTTCAAGAGGGACGCTGTTGCTCATGCCTCGTCCACCCTTAGTCGACTTTTACGACACCCACGGGAAAGGAAGGGGTGGCCTATTCTATGCCGGGACTACACGACGACAATTGGTACTACAAAAATGAAACACACTATAAGAAAGATGAGTGAATTAGGTACTTGTGTAGAATACTGACGGATCTGACAAATATAACATATAAAGATCCGTCAGTATTCTACGACTATGACGATATGCATATATGAATATGGTCGTATTAGTGAATAGAAAAAAAATTCCAAACATATTACATTATATATTTTTATTTGATTAAATAATATCTTACATTTAGCTTAAAACTAAATTAAATTAACACCTAAGTAAATTTAATTAATTTCAGGTACAGAAACGTTTCGAAATAATTGTTTACAATTATTTATACATGTTTATTCTTGTAAAGAAATTTAATTTATACAATATAATTTAATTTAGTTGATAATTTCGTTTTTATAATAATACTCTTTCTGTGTTATAGTTTGCATTCTTCTATACATTTTGTACAATAACTGGATTGTAATAAATTATTATTGTATAGTATAAATTAATAAAGTATAAATAATCCAGACTATATTTAATATCAATTTACATTGTTTTTATGCAACTTAGAATGGCAAACAAGCTGACGGTCCACCTGATGGAAAGTGGTAACCGTCGCCTATTTACATGAGCAGTACCATGGACACAACAGAGTATACTGTTTCGCCCACGGTACCCGCCCATGCGTTGCCATTCCTGAGGACTCAGATGTTATTCTTCTGTACCCTGTAAATTCACTGCCATATCCCACCTTTCAAACCGAAACACAACCATTAACTATATGTGGTATTTCTTATATCACTAGGTACTTATATCGTCATAGTCGTAGAATACTGACGGATCTTTTTTTATATGTAATCTTTGTCAGATCCGTCAGTATTCTACGACTATGACGATATATGTAAGTAATATCATTTAAATTGTAAACTGAATTCTGATTCTCTTGTAATTTTTTTAATAGGTTCTTCTTAAGCAGTTAACTAATTTACCTGGGACAACAGGATCACAAAGAGGTGACAAAGATATCGAAGGTAATTATATTTCACTTTTATATCCCGTGGCTTTGTCATCGTAGATCAGGATGAAAAACATATGCCTTTTGTTGAACACAAATCAAGGACATTGTGCAAGATCCAATAAAAAAGCTCCGTTCTTAAAGTTCAAGTGGATGCAGTCTAATTTTGAGACGGTTACATTTTTAATTCAGTCTTATAAGTATTATTTATAACTTAAATTAGTTTATTTCTCTTCGGTTGCGTCTTTCGGCAGAAACCAAGCGATGACTATAGCGCCTGTGAAAGGAATTGAGATTATTGGTACTTACAGTAACACGATGTCTTTAGAATTTTTACTAAAATACTATGTTACCCAGTCGTGGGTTTTTTTTTCTTCAATGGATGATAATGGAGTGGTAACCCTGCCTGCGATATTCTATGTAAGTTTATTTAAGTCAAATTTTTTTATACCACTGAGGTGGTAAACAAACATACGGCCGTCCTGATGGTAAGCGGTTACCGTAGTCTATGAACGCCTGCAATACCAGAGGTATTACGCGCCCGTTGCCGACCCTGATAAAACCTCTTTATCCCCCTTTTGAAGAACCCTATGCTGTAGTCTCTTGGGAAACTACGGCAGGAATTTCAATTTAACTTGCAAGATTTGAAAATAAATATAAACACTTATAAATAAAATTATATCAGCTTCTTTAACTGGGGGCTTCATCCAGTTTTGTCATCTTGGGTCTCTGACGGGTTTGGTCCGTATCAAATATGGGCTTTAGCCCAATATAACTTTAATAAAAGGTTCATAGTGGTACCTTTCTAGGCAAGTCACAACATATTAAAGTTCAGGATATTAAAAGCTTTCTCTAAGTTTTTGATATTTACACGTAGGTATATACGTTTTTAGTTGCACATAGTTATTACAGTATACTTACTCAGTAGAAGTAGAGACCACATGTAAAATGTGACTTCGCAATTCACGGAGATCAGGTATCCGATTGCGTTGACGCCCAAAAACGCACTCGACCTGCCTAGCATCACTGACAGGCATGACGCCATCCCCCTGTTGCGATATTTACTTAGTTTTATATATCAAAATGTTTCTGTTTCCTTGGGAGACTAAAATGAAACTGATCAAACTATAAACATCTAATCTATTTAGTGTAATTTGTAATATAAAATAAGTGCATGCGTGATTGCGTGGGTGCGTGCGTGTGTGTGTGCGTGGCTGCGTGCGTGTGTGCGTGCGTGCGTGCGCGTGTGAGTGCGCGTGTGAGTACGTGCATGCGTGCGTGCGAGCGTACATGCGTGCGTGCGAGCGTGCGTGCGTGCATGCGTGTGTGTGTGTATGTTTGTCTTTTTTAATGTATTATTATTATTCCAATATTTATATGTTTACAGGGTTTACGTATTTTGTGTAATAAGTATATAGTTTGTATTATTCTTTATATATACTTATCTTACGAATATGCTTATGCAATGTACACAAATCGTGTGACTACCTTTTTTATTTTTAAATAGCAATTCAATTCACTTGAAAAGGTTTCCATGACACTAACCGAATTTAACTAGCCTAACTTAGCCTTTGTTATATAATCTTTTTTTCTACGTTTTTTTTAAATATTGTTATTACTTTTAATCTAAGTGTTTATAAGTGTTTTGGATTATTGAAATAAATTTTCATTAATTCATATATCTAACGTTCAAACCAAAAACTGTTGCTTGGCGCCAGAAACATTAGTATAACATTGATAATGGCTATTACCACACATACCTTAAGGAAGTTGGGTATAGCTCCACAAAATAGACGCTCAAGATGCCCATCGTGAGTGCGCACAGCAAGAAGAAGAAAAAGAATATCCCTCCTGCGATTGGTATAGCCACCAGGTTGATGAGTATAGCCGCTGCTGCGGAGGAGGCTAGGATGCCCATCATTGCCATGCGTTTCCTGCTGCCACAAGTCAGTGAGAGCACCAAGTTGCTGGAGCTGGCGAGAGCGCCATAAGTCATTGCTGACAATAGAGTTGTCTCTTGTATTGTATCATCGCACATCTCTGTAATTACCTAAAAGCCAGTCCAATCTAGTTCAATGGCGGTAAAATATGTCTAATTTTTTTATGCAACTCAGAACGGCAAACATGCTGTCGGCCCACCTAATGGAACACAGCCATGCAAACACAATTGCTTCACGGTAGAAATACGAATGGGGTAGAGGTGCTCAAGCAAATGACTTTTGTACAAAGTCTCCCTCTGATAAAATGATAGTCAAATATGGAAATTACAGTATTATGTTATGTTGTGTTCTTGGACAAAAAGCATAGATATTTTTATACTGTAGAGTAGATATCGAGCATATGATGAGCTTATGGTATTAGATTTACCATAGCATCACTTGCAGGTTGAAATTTAAAAACTATTATCTTACAAGCTTTGGTCACTTTCCACATAATATAGGGTGAAAGTATTTTTGGAGGTGTAGGTAATTCATCTATCGAAGTCTTGCCTTGTTTTTGACACAGTGGGATTTCTCTTTCGACATTTTTTTTTATACTACCTTAGAATGACTCAGGTGTTATTCCTGAACATAACAGAGTATACTATTTCGCCCATGATACCCCCCATGCGTTGCCATTCCTGAGAACTCAGGTGTTATTCCTCCAGTAAATTCACGCCATATTCCACCGTTCAAACCGAAACACAGCCATGCAAACACAGCTGCCTCACGGTTGAAACAAGAATATTTGAGCGTGGTGCTATTAAAATTATTTTTTAGAGCATATACTTCAATGTGACGTCATTTAGGATATTAAAAATAAAACTAACAGTTCCATTTTCCGCTGCAACATACTGGTCTTCAGTGGAATATCTGATGATAGTGCAAAGGTTCATGCCTTGGCCAGCGCCACTTTCCAAAACCGAGAACAGATTGTTCATAATGAATGGAAGCCACAGGATGAAACCACTGCCACTGTAAATAACAGATTTTTTTTTATTTATTTATTTATATAGGATGAAGCGGGTAACCAACATAAGATTGTTCACGATAAATCATTTCAATACAATACACTTGCTAACAATACCTAACAGATTTATTTATTTATTCATTAATTTATAGGATTACCAACATAAGATACCTACAGCAAATCATTTCAATACAATACACTGGTAGATTAGATCTAACTGTTCTTACATTTATAGGCGACCACAGCGTGCCTTGTGTTTGATAAACATTAAAATGGAATTAAAATACGAAATGTCATTAAATGAACAATTATTAAATAATCATGAATAATAACACAATATAAATAATAAATTATAAAAATATAATGTAATGGCGAGGCACATCAACTTTCAATTTAGCCATGAGTACAGAGTGACTATCGTTGTGAATGTCAAGTTCAGGCTTGGCTTTTACAATATCGTTATACAGACGTGTCATGCGGACGATAGGTGATTCGCGGCCCAAGTTTGTTCCGCAAGCTGCATTTTTAAATAGATTGCGAGGATGCCGCGGCACTCTAGTAGGTACATTATATTCAAGTTTCTCCAGTAGAGATAATTTATTTGGTTTAGGACCAACTGCAGTTGTTCTTGCATAATTTCTTTCAATTAACTTTTGAACGCATTAAATAATAAGAAATAGAATAAAGAAGCAATGTACTATTTATTATCAAGTATATTTTTGTATAATGTTGTAATTTTGTATTGAATTAGCCATTAACTGTCCACTGCTGAACATAGCTTCCCCCATAAAGGGGGGTTTTGCTAGTAATTGCCATGGTTGGTAGGCGGATTGGCAATCGCAGTTTTGTTTTTGGTGATGATTTAAAAGGGACGATGATGTCCATCCCATATTATATGTTGGGGTAAATGTTAATTTAATTCTTACGTCATGTATACGATGATGACCAAGTAAAAAAGCATCAAGGTTTTTTTTAACAGTGGGAACTGGAACAGTGGAACCGTTTGATGCCATAGAGACTTCAAGAAAGATCCTTGGACAATCGTAGTTTTTTCATCCTCTTCCAATAGTTTTGTTATCTAAAACAGAAGAAAATATTACCGTAATAAGAAAATATTAAAGTAGTACCGCATTCGAGTATTCTGACACTTCCCTATGGTTGACTGGGAGAGAATGCTTTTAGCATTAAGTCCGCCATGTACACATATATACATAATGAATAAATAAATAAATAAAAAAAAAATATAATTGTTATATTTTTCGGTGTCGATGTTATGAATGAATGAATGAATATTCATTTACAAGACATGGTAAGTATATAGATGGTAACAATAAGTGTAAGTTCACATATTTCGCCATAACTAGGCATACAAAAAAAGCAGAACGTAGATCATTCCCATCAGATGCTAGAATATGGCAGAAATTAGTTTGAACATAGTCTCACCAGAGGGAGACTTTGTACAAAAGTCGATTGCTTGGCTACCTCTGTTCCATTCGTGTTTCAACCGTGAAGCAGTTGTGTTTGCATGGCTGTGTTTCGGTTTGAAGAATGGGATATGGCGTGAATTTACTGGGTACAGAGGAATAACATCTGAGTCCTTAGAAATGGCAACGCATGGGGGGTATAATGGGCGAAACAGTATACTCTGTTATGTCCATGGTACTGCTCATGTCTATAGGCGATGGTTACCACTTTCCATCAGATGGGCCGTCAACTTGTTTGCCATTCTAAGTTGTATATAAAAAAAAAAAAATATTGTAATAATGTTAATTTTAAACAGATGTAATTTGTTAGTAAAGTTGTAAGCTATGGGTTTTTTTTTTCTAATAAATAAATATAATAAAATTATATGGCAGTTCTTCATTTTTCAACATTTTTTTTTAGTTCTAAATAACAAAATATTTTTAACCTCTCGTATAATCATTGTAAAACACCCATAAATATATGCTATTGAAATTATTAACAATTTTCTTTTTATCTGTTGAAGGATTAGCAGGAATAATATTGAAAAAAGAAACATGATAAAAAGGTCTTTATTTTCTTTCCTCTTTAGTAATTGAAAAAACTACAGGAATACAAACCGGATAATTGTCGCCACTCTTCCCTGTGTTGCAAGCGTAGATATTTTTCAGTACACTGAGGGCTTCTTTGTATTTTCCTTGCGTTGCGAGAAACTTGGGGCTCTCGTGGAACAGCTGGAGAAGACAGGCAGTCGCAGCACAAGGTATGGCCATCACCAGAGCCAGCAGACGCCAGGGACGGTAATTAATTCCGAGGAAATCGATCCAGTATGTGAAATCCAGTGGAAGAATAGGATAAGCTAATACTGTAAAAGAAATATTTTTAAATAATTTATTTTTTTATTTCAGCCGTTAACTGTCCACTGCTGGACATAAGCCTTCCCCATAAGAAGAGTCTTGCTAGCAGTTGCTACACTTGGCAGGGGGGTTGGCAACCGCAGTTAGGCTTTTAGAGATGTTTCAAGAGGGACGCTATTGCTCATCCCTCGCCCTTTCTTAATCGACTCTTACGACACTCACGAGAAAGGAGGGGGTGGCTAATTCTATGCCGGGACCGCGCAGATAATTTATTATATGCAGTTAAACATACTAAAACTCATTCAAGCGAAATAAACAAGTGAATAAATGTTATTTTATTTTATATCAATTTTTTCTTGGTGTTTTTATTGCTAGCAATTTATATTATTCGCCTATTTATAAAGCAGTTATATAAAATGCTGAAGAATTTATTATTGAACAATTTTGCGGATTTATAATGTTTATCATCTAATCAAACATAAACAAATAGACAAAGAATAAATCACACAATAAATACGAGTAGGTACTTAGACTCATTTTTTACCAGAGGGAGACTTTGTACAAAAATCGATTGCTTCGGTACCTCTGTCCCATTCGTGTTTCAACCGTGAAGCAGTTGTGTTTGCATGGTTGTGTTTCGGTTTGAAGGATGGGATATGGCGTGAATTTACAGGGTACAGAGGAATAGTACCTGAGTCCTCAGGAATGGCAACGCATGGGGGGTATCATGGGCGAAACAGTATACTCTGTTATGTCCATGGTACTGCTCATGTCTATAGGCGACGGTTACCATTTTCCATCAGGTGGGCCGTCAGCTTGTTTGCCATTCTAAGTTGTATAAAAATAATGCAACATTAAAAAAGTAAAAAGTTTAAGCTGTAACAGATATGTACTTTGATAGATAATTGAGACATTCCTGCACTTAAATAAGCTGAAGTATGAATGCCTTTAATATTAATATAGTATTTAAGCCATATGGTCCCGGCATAGAATAGTCCACCCCTTCCTTTCCTATGTGTGTCGTAAGAGGCGACTAAGGGAACTTAATGGTCGAGGGATGGGCAGCAGCGTCCTTAAAACATATCTAAAAGCCTAACTGCGTTTGCCAACTCGCCTGTCTAGCGTGGCAACTACTGGCAAAACTCCCCTTATGGGGAAGGCTTACGTTCAGCAGTTATTGGCTGAAATGACGTTGACAGTATTTAACAGAATACCTACCAGCTACGACAGCCTGTGAGCACATGAGTGAACAGTTGCATAACAACATAGACCGACCGCGCGCATGCGCCGAGCAACTCTCTCCCAACAGTGTATACGCGGCCGAATTGCTCGCTGATGTACTGAAATACAAGGTGTACATTTCTATGTAGTGATGAATACATACTAAATATATTTAATAACCTCCCGAGACAAATGGGAAACGAATCTATCGACAGAATTGTTATCGCTACCGAATCTATGCAATAGAAAGAGATGCCAACTTTAGTTTATTTGTTTATTTATTTAATACAAAAAGCGACAGCTCTTAAAAAATAACTTACATGCTAAGTCTTTTATAAATACAGCCAATAACGGATTTTAATTATATAAACGAAAATTATAACTCTAAAGCAAGGTTTTTTTTTATACAACTTAGAATGGCAAACAAGCTGACGGCCCACCTGATGGGAAGTGGTAACCGTCGCCTATACACATGAGCAGTACTATGGACATAACAGATTATACTTTTTCGCCCATGATATCCCCCATGCGTTGCCATTCCTGAGGACTCAGGTGTTATTCCTCTGTACGATAGAGTCCTAGCGGGAATTTTCATTTCTCGTGATAAGATTTTTTGCTTCCTAATGGGGTTTCGACGAATACTAACTTTAACAGCATTAACAGCCTTTGTAGTTCTTACAGCACTAGGCCGCCCCGATCTTTTCTGGTTTTCAACAGAGGAAGTGTTTTTATATCTGTTGATAGTACGATATACGAATATACGGCTGATACCAAGCTTTTGAAGTGTCTGGAATATAACCGACAGCTCTATACCCACTTTGTGCAAGGCGATCACTGCAATCCTATTTTCTTTAACACCCCATTCCATATTGTAATTTGATAATGAACATGAAAAATATGTGAAATGGCGCGAAATCGAAAGAAGTTTCTAAAATAATAAACGTGTTCCAAATTTAAAAATAATTAAAAAGTTGAAAAAAGGACAAGTTTTTATGTAACAGTATTTATGGCCAGACTAGTTATAAACAAGAATAAAATAAAACATAATTTGAAAAGAAAATTTACAATATATGTATGTATATATTTTTTTACGAGTATATAACAAATCCTATAAAAATCCCATAAAAAACAATAATAAATATTTATAGAATTATCAAATGTATGCCTTTGCTCACGACGGGGGTAATATTATCGTATGATAACGAAATTCCATAGTTAGCAACAATAATAATTTCATATTATCTTGTTTATTTGCATAAAACTGATAACGATGTTTGACTATTCTGAGACGTAACGCAGTTGGAAAAGTAACCTGTTATTATTTAGTAGTATTGCATTTATTTATAATAGTTAATATGACGTTTTATGAGTGTACAATATTACATCATGTACCCTTGCGACAACTATATTCAGTTGTTTATTTATTTATTTAGAAAGAAAGAAAACATTTATTGTCAATAACAAAAAGAGTTATTTACATTCTATTGCACCATTTAAAAAAATACAGTAAATTTTAATAATAAATGCAAAGCAATTTCTTTCAGACAAACTGGGTAAGGCCATTGAGAAAAAGACAAAGGGTATATATATATATATATATATATATATATATATATATATATATATATACTTACATATATGTATATATATACTTACATAAAGTGCTAGTGAGTCTTTGAACATTCACTTATTTCATTCAATATATGTAGTAGCGGAAATAAATCTCTGATAAAAGAATTTAAAAGTAAAAAGTTAAAAAAAAAAAAACATAAGGATGAAGTCTGGTCATTTGGCCCATCGTGCCGAATTTACCCGGAATTAAACACAACGTTAGCCAGAGGGAGCCACATGGATAATCTGATAGGGTATTGTCATGGTATTTAGAATCGTAAATAAGTTGACGGCCCACTTGATGGAATGCGGTGCTGTCGTCTATAAACATGAATAGCATTATGGATGTCACAGAATAAACTGTGGTATCCATGGTATCTCTTTTGGATTATCAATCTGGAGGATTATGGTGGTTTTTTAATGTGTGAAAATAAAATGGTAACCTCGCCTACGCTATCGATATACGGGGCACCAATGTTAGATGATAGATGAGGAAGGAGGCAGGTCAATCGGTCCATCGTGAAGAATTCAACAAGAATTAAATAGTGACGCTGGTTCTATTACTAACAATCTCTAAAATAAGTGGTCTATTGATAGGATAACTCATACATACAAAGTGGACGAAAGAAACTTCAGTAAAGCCATGGTCCTCCAATCCGGGGCGAAGCTGCTGAGAGCGGCAAACACGAAGCCAACAGACATAGAGAGCACCAGCGTTAGCCGCCGACCCTTCGTGTCCGAGACGTAACCCCACAGTTGAGCGCCGGCCACTACGCCTAAATGCACACAATGATTTATAATAGGCGTTAACGTTACTCGTTGTTATAAATCTAACAAATATATTTACTAATTGCCACTTTTGTTTTGCAGTAAAACTTTGTAAAATTTCACGAAATATGTATGTTACTGCATTTTACTAGTGAGCTTTTTTTTTCAAACTACTTTCACCTGATAACTAGTAAACCATTTGTTCTCTTTAATGCTATTATGTTTTTAATAGTCATTTGTAACGGGTGGCGGTAGAAACTTACCATTAGATAAATTGTTTGTTCCTTTGTCTTCTGTTAGGTATAAAAAAATTTTTTTAATATATTGAAATGTAAATCTGTTTTTTTTTTTATTAATGAAATTAAAATTGTAAAACCTAATAATTTAGATTTTACAAAATAGCGTTTAATGCCTTAATATCATTAATTTTTTTTTCTTTTTATACAACTTAGAATGACAAACAAGCTGACGGCCCACCTGATGGAAAGTGGTAACCGTCGCCTATAGACATGAGTAGTAACATGGACGTAACAGAGTATACTGTTTCGCCCATGATACCCCCCCCCCCCATGTTGCCATTCCTGAGGACTCGGGTGTTATTTCTCTGCACCCAGTAAATTCACGCCATATCCCACCCTTCAAACCGAAACACAGCCATGCAAACACAACTGCTTCACGATTACTATAAGTAGTTATTTGTTAAATTATTGTAACATACACATTAATGTCAACGAACCTACAAGAGGCATTGCAGTCAACAGTGCTCGTTGTTGCATGTTCAACTCGAGATCGCACACTGCAGCGGCCACCACGAAGCTGGTGCCGAAGAGGTCCATCCCCATAGCTTGTAGGGTCCAGCTGCATACCAAAAGTAGCCCGAAGTTATATTTCCCAAAACCTTAAAATAAATATATTTTTTAATGGATGATAGTGGAGTGGTAACACCACGTGCGCTATCGATGTACACTGACGGTGCACCAGTGATGGATTATAGAATTAATCATAATGTTTCCAGGGGGAACCACCTGGAGATCCACCTAACAGAGTATTTTGTTAGCGATGGAGCCGTTAGTCCCCTTTTTCAACAATCTATTTCTAACTGTGAAAATGTGCGTGTTCTGATAGTTTGTAAAGAGAACTGTGAAATTTATATCTATCTATCTATCCCATTTAAGAGCTGCGCTCTTGTTCTTGCCACTCACTACGATTTTCAGCGAGTCTCTTCACCTTTTGATACGACACGACACCAACACCTTCCTTGATGTGCCTGATGTAATTATGTCTCGGTCTCCGTCTTCCCCTCCTTCCTTCTACCTTACCTTCTATTATAATATTCATAAGTTCGTCGTGTCGTATCAAGTGTTCTAACATTTTTCCCCTTCTGTCCTCAATAGTTCTTATAATTTGTCTTTTTTCCTTAACCCTAAGCAGGACCTCCTCATTGCTAATTCGATCCGTCCAGCTAATTTTCTCCATCCTTCTCCAGCACCATATTTCAAATTGTAATGTGAAATTTATAATAACATGAAAATAAAATGTAATAAAATAAGATCATCTACTTTAAACCAAATATTTGAGATAACAACCATGAGTTACTGGCGGGTATATAAAAAATTTACCTACTTTCCGCTTATGGAGAACACTATTAGCAGAGATTAGCGTCTCTCTATCTTCGGTATCATATATATATTCCGGAAAAATGTAGACAATTTTAATATGTTATTCAACACAATGTAAATCCTTACTAATATTATAAATGTAAACCTATTACATGGGATGGAGAAGGACATAGGCTACTTTTTATTTCAGTGATACCAGTTTTACCAGAGGGAAACTTTGTACAAAAGTCGATTGCTTGGGTACCTCTGTCTCATTTGTGTTTCAACCGTGAAGCAGTTGTGTTTGCATGGCTGTGTTTCGGTTTGAAGGGTGGGATATGGCGTGAATTTACTGGGTACAGAGGAATAACACCTGAGTCCTCAGGAATGGCAACGCATGGGGGATATCATGGGATAAAACAGTATACTCTGTTATGTCCACGGTACTGCTCATGTCTATAGGCGACGGTTACCACTTTCCATCAGGTGGGCCGTCAGCTTGTTTGCCATTCTAAGTTGTATAAAAAAAAAGTTATTGACATATACCGGCCACGCGAATTAACTTGTAGATACATAAATGTTACTGAAAATTTTCAACGTCTAACAAAATAAAATTAGATTGAGAACAACTCAATAGGAAACCGTGACAATTGCAAAAAGAATAATCGCAATCAGTGTAGAATTAGGGAAAATATCACATAATATATACATAAAATATAACAGTCGAACTGAGAATCTAAAAGCCATTTTTAAAATCACCTCTTCCTCCTACTTTGGCACTACCAACTATGAGGCTATATCGTCATAGTCGTAGAATACTAACGGATCTTTATATGTAACATTTGTCAGATCCGTCAGTATTCTACAACTATGATGATATTATTAAATGATCCAAAAAGGCTAAATATTTATAACAATTTATAATAAAACTATTTACTAAATATTAGCTGTATGCCGTGATTTTAACTGTGTGAATTATTACATAAAGTATCAAATTCCATTTAAATTCGTACAAAAGTTTTTAGGTGAAGCAGTAACAAATATCCATTCATTCATTCACCCATCGTTACAAATTTTCTCATTTATTATATTACTAGGATTTTGCAATGACCTTTGGAAACTTTATTTAAATATGTCTAATAATGTATATGAACGATAGGGGCTTCTATTTAAAAAAAAAAATACTTATGTTAAACCGATAACATTAGTGCCAACAGAGATGCTGGCACATTGACAAGTTATGCCATTTGTAATACAGGTATCTGGTCCATTTGCCTAGAAGCTATGATGCTAAACTACGATACGTGTTTGTATGTTGAATTTGCAGCCTTTAAAATGAATTCTTTTTGAGTGTCGGAAGTTATAAAGGGCGATAATCCAACGAAACAATGAATACCCGATGCGTGCCCTCCACATACATATCTGTCACGCTTGTCTCCCATAACGGTAGGAAAAAATAATGGATCGCCAAATTCGATTTTTGTCACTACATCGACTTCCAGTCGATATCTCTCTCCTACCTACCTGATGGAAAGTGGTAACCGTCACCTATAGACATGAGCAGTACCATGGACATAACAGAGTATACTGTTTCGCCCATGATACCCTCCATACGTTGCCATTTCTGAGGGACTCAGGTTTTATTCCACTGTACCCTGTAAATTCACGCCATATCCCATCCTTCAAACCGAAACACAGCCATGCAAACACAATTACTTTACGGTTGAAACACGAATGGGACAGAGGTACCAATGTTTTTTGCAAGCCAAGACTTTTGTACAAAGTCTCTCTCTGGTATCCAATTCCTTTATTTGTCTCTTACGACACCCATGGAAAAGTAAAAGGCGATCCATTCTATAACGGGACCACACGTATATATATATATATATATATATATATATATATATATATATATATATATATATATATATATATATATATATAATGTATTTATTTAGATAATACATAAGACTAATATAAATAGAATGTATTTCCTTAGATAATTTTTAAACTAATATAATTAAGAGGTAACATTTTTATGTTTGTAATAGATAAACTAAAAAAAAAAGATCACATATGTATCTTTTTTTTTGTACACATGAGTGATATACTGATTTAAAAAAAATCGTTCTCCTATAATACGTTACATTATCAGCAAGTTAGACGGATTGTGATTTATTAAAAAAAAAACCGTTCGAAGCTTGAGCAGGTCGCTATGTTTTATATGTATACGAGCTGGTCCATTTTTAACCGACTTCGAAAGTATGAGGTTTTCAATTCGATTGTATTTTTTCATGTTTGTTACCTTATAACTCCGTTAGTTATAAACCGATTTGTATTTTTTTTTATCTTTTACAGTCTGGTCTCGTAGAAATTTTATCAAAATCAGTACAGTAGTTTAGTTTTGAAATTATTTATTTATTTATTCTTTATTGTACACAAAAAATTACAACATAAAATATATATAAAATAAAGATGTACAACCAAGCTGACGGCTCACCTGATAGAAAGTGCTAACCGTCGCCTATAGACATGAGCAGTACATTGGACATAACAGAGTTAACTGTTTGGCCCATGATACCCCCCATGCGTTGCCATTCCTGAGGACTCAGATGTTATTCCTCTGTACCCAGTAAATTCACGCCATATCCCACCCTTCAAACCGAAACACAGCTATGCAAACACAACTACTTCACGGTTGAAACACGAATGGGACAGGTACCTCTGTCCCAAGCAATCGACTTTTGTACAAAGTCTCCCTCTGGTAAATACACATTAAGATTTGGTACCTGTGAGTGTTAAAGCCTCCTCAACATCGGCTGTGTGCGGTGACGTCTTCTCTACGTTTACAACAGCCATTTTTTGTTTCATTTTCAAACTGAAAATATATAATTTATTAGGTATTTATGTTCTACCAGGTTTTTTTTTGGGATCTAGGGACCAACCGTATCCCTAGTCGTATGAGTCCTTAGTACGACGCAAATGGGATACATCGCATTCGTGTTTTTCAAGGTTGGCAACGCAACACTCCTATTGCATAGAATAGGGTGACGTTTAGCATTACATTTAGCTTGTTTTCTACATTTGTAGTATAAAAAAATAAGCATGATTTAAATAAATGTTACTAGTGACAAATAAAACGTAGATTTTTTAAATGGCAAATAAGCTAACGATTAATTAATGAAAAATGGTAAGCGTCACCTATAGACATAAACAGTGCTATGGACATAACAGAGTGTACTGTGTCGCCCATGGTAACCCTCATCCATTGCCATTGCTGAGGATTAAGGTGTTACGCCTCTGTGCCCTGTAATTTTATTGCCATATTCCACCCTTCAAATTAAATCACATCATGTGTCGATCCCATATTTACTGTTTTTATAATAAAAATAGTTTTTTAGAATAATAACATCTAATTACTTTTTAAAAATAGTGTTGAAAAATTCATATACCAAATTCGAATCAGTAGGAGTAATAATTTCTGGTATTTTTCTGTCTTATTTTTTTTAAACTGCTGTTTAAATTTATCATCATTTGTATTACGGTTATATATATATATATATATATATATATATATATATATATATATATATATATATATATATATATATATATATATATATATATATATTTATTTTATTATATATATACATATATTTTTATTTTATTTTTCCGTTTGCGTCGTGGTTCCCTGGTAGAGAACGCCATCAGGTGTTAAGTCTACCATATGTACACTTACTTATATAATTGTGCATTAAAATTTAAATAAATAAATTTCTTACCTTTTTTTATATTTTTACCAATGATAACTTCTTATTAAAAATAAGAGGTATAACTAAAGTAAAGGATTGTTATATTGTATAGCAGTGAACAGTGTTCCGATATCTCATTTAGAGCCTATATTTTTTATCAATGGCTCGTTTAGAACGCTTTCTCTTATATACACACGGGAGGGCCGCGTCACAGCCACATCACCATAGTCATGGTTTGACGGCATATTAATCAACATTAGGTACGAGGAGGCTTTGTTATTATGTTTGATTAGTTATATTTGTACAAATTTTCCCGAAGCATCTGAAAATAGCATCAGATAACCGTTCCGCAAATTTATTTTAGTTTATTTTTTTATTTTTATGGTAAAACCAAATATTTTTTATTCGATTTTAAATGGCAATAATAGATGACCATCCATCTATTGGAAGGCTATAATTGTCGCTTATAGGTTTGAGTAGCAAGATAGCTGTTGCGAAATATACTGTGACATCTATGTTAGCTCTCATTTGTCGGTATTTTAGGGGACTAAAATTTATAATACATAATTTAATCTATATAAATTGAAATTTACTGCGTTATAGCATCTTTCGAACCAATGGACACATTACCATGTAAGCACTGCTGACTGCTGATTTGCGACGTAAATGAAAGTGGATATGAAATACCTATGTGGAAAGTTGTATGTTCTTATCTATTTTCTCAGAGCATCAGAGAGAGAGAGAGAGAGAGATAGAAACAGGTAAAATATTCTGCAAACTGTTTTCAATTACTTGATTTTTTACAGTAACACCGAATACATATATAATGTATGCGTGGTCCCGACATAGAATGGGCCACCCTCTCCTTTCTCGTGGGTGTCGTAAGAGACAGCAAAGGAAACTTAATGATCAAAGAATGGGCAATAGTATCGCACTTTAAAACATCACCAAAGCCTAACCAATTCGCCTGCCAATCGTGGCAATTACTGGCAAAACTTCCCAATAAGGGGAGGCCTATGTTAAGCAGTGGACAGTTAATGATTGATATGTTATCATGAACACCGAATACAGTGGTCGTAAATTTTAATTTAGACTTACATAGGTACCAGTATAATAGTGTTATTGTTAAATAAATAGTGCCATCAACATTTTGTGTTAGACACTTTACGTCAGTGGCGTTACCATATCATCTAAGACCCGTGGTAATTTCACCAGTCGGGGCCTACACTTTATCTAAAAAAATATTACTTTATCTAATAAGTATTATAATATATCACTAAATAAATATTCGTAATTACTACTTACACTATTACAATAGACGTGTCTATTTTCGGTTAACACCTTGTTGAAAATTTGATAATTTATTTGCACAATTCGTGTGTGTTCTTGAGTTCTTAAATTTTTAGCCCCTTTTTTATAGAAGAAAATGGAATGGTAACCCCGCCCGCGCTATCAGAATATACTGACAGGGCATCCCTTTCCCCCATTATATTCATAGAAATGTTAAACCTGTCATAAACCTATTTTAATTATTAAACTGTTTTGTTTTTGTCTGTGTTTTTTGTTAAATTCGCCATTTTAAAGTGGCAATATAGTTTAATAGTTAAAATAGGTTCTAGTTTTTATGAATAAAGGGATTAGACTTTAATTCTTACATCGACTAAATACCATTTTTTTTACAAAAGTTATGTTTTTTTTTATACTTCTTAGAATGGTTAACATGCTAACGGCCCATTTGATGGAAAGTGGTAACCGTCGCCTATAGACATGAGCAGTATCATGGACATAACAGAGTATGCTGTTTCGCCCGTGATACCCCCCATGCGTTGCCATTCCTGAGGACTCAGATGTTATTTCTCTGTACCCAGTAAATTCACGCCATATCCCACCGTTCAAACCGAAACACAGCCATGCAAACACAACTGCTTCGCGGTTGAAACACGAATGGGACCCAAGCTACCCAAGCAGTCGACTTTTGTACAAAGTCTCCCACTGGTAATAAATGTTAGATTTTTCCTGTGCTCATTTATTTATTTATAAATTGCTCACTACACTTACAGTATCCCAAAACGTGTAGTGAGCCATAGGTTTATTTTACAAACTTAAAAATTTTAAACAACATTTAAAAAATATATCTAATTTGTCATTAAATATATCAATATCTGGCTGCTGAGCAATCAGAGAATTGAGCAGAGAAATAGCCTGATAAGTGGGAGAAAACTGAGCAGTACAGGTGCGTACCGGCGGTACCAATAATAATCGACAAGCATGCAATCGCATGCGGTGTTGAGGTGCATACAAAGAACTCATTGGTCATTCGAAGCATGGGTCCTCTCAGACCTGGCCTGTGGGGATTCGTGGCATTTTACCCATTCTGTCACCCTACTGCTACACCACTGCTTTAGGTCCAGTGTTTGATTCTCGATCACGCTAATTCAGAAAACAAACTATTATAGATAGGCTAGAGCTTGAATATTCTGATTTGCCTCGTCGTCTAATTTCTTATAAGTACCTTTAACTTATTTATATGAAATATAATAAATAATATTCAGTAAAAAGTATCTCTAAATACAATCTCTTTCTTTTTTTCCCGCTTACGTCTTCTAAATCACGTGACGCATTTTGATACGGGTTTCACTAACAAAAAAAAAAATTTGGAGTAGGTCACCCTTATCATTGAGGGGTATGAAAAATAGATGTTGGCCGATTCTCAGACCTACCCAATATGCACACAAAATTTCATAAAAATTGGTAAAGCCGTTTCGGAGGAGTTTGGTAACAAACACCGCGACATGAGAATTTTATATATTAGATTTTATTACAAAAAGTAATGTAAAATTGAACGTTTTTTTGTATTAGTTGATAAAATATAAAACCGTGTGAAGACGGGGTGAGTCGCTAGTTATTATTAAAATAATCACAATCTATTATGAGCAATTCAGAAATATCTAATAATGACGGAAAAGCCTATGATGAGATATCTAAGATAAATAGACACAAATGATTAACAAACTACAAACAAACTTGCAACTTTCCATTATTTACAGCGGAAAATAGTTGTAGTTTTCTTGCTGGTATTTGTAATAGTAAAACTGTAGTCTAACTATAGTAAAAAAAAAAAGTTATTCAAAAGCAAAATGGAATATTTTCAACAAACTTAAACAGAAGGAGCTTCGTTACCTTAATATCATAACTCCGTTATTTGTAAACCGATTTGGGAAATTCTTTTTTGTCTGAAAATATATATTTACAGAAATTTTATCAAAATCGGTTTACTAGTTTAGATTTTTTCTGGAACACAATTTAGTTATAATATGATGTCTTTTAAGTTTAGTGTGAAAATTTATATTTAATTTAGCTATAACTAATGTATAGAGTGTTACGTCCATGATACTGTTCAAGTTGACTGCATTTCCTGTAGATACTCACGCATTTAGCAGATCAGTCGTCTCGCTCGACGTTAATGTTTTTAGATTTATTTTCCATTTTTGTTCGCGCCTTCGTATTTTGGGAGTAGGAAAAACAAATAAGAGTATCAACAGTAGCAGCATACGTGTACAGGGACAAGGATTTCCAGTTCGACCTTTTAAAACAACCATTGAAACAGAATCCAATTTGGTACAGAATTTAAATTTATTCTGTATTTTTTTTAGTTTTTACGTGAACACGGGACAAATATGCGGGTAAAGAAATTAAAATTTTTTTTGGGTTAACTTCTACCGCTTTTATTAAGAACCCTCATATTTTTTTTTCTTAACCCTTAAAAGCCTGATTTTTTAAATCAAATTAAAAAATATATAAGTGTACCCTTCACTATTTACTAATGGGGAAAAATAGTAAAAAAAATCAAAACGATATTTTTATATATTTATTTTGAAAAAAAAAAAACATTTGGTAACATGTAAACAGCCAAATATTAAAATAAAATCGATTGTAGGCGCCCAATGCGATTTATAACCCCGGTATCAAATTTGAAATTTCAGGTATTTAAGGGTTAAATACCCCTTAGGTACAGATATCGTTAAGGCGCCTTTTCTGTGAATGTCGTAAGGCAACTAAACAATCTTTACTATTATTATAAATGTGAAAGTGTTTGTTACTTTACAACAATTTAACGGCTTAATCAATCTCAATGAAATTTGGTATACACGTATTATATGGGATGCAGACGGATATATGCTACTTTTTATTCCGTTTAATAAATATATTCCAATTAGGCAGATGAAGTCGCGGGTAAAATCTAGTCTAAACACACATTATAAGTGTAAGATAGGTAGGTAACGAATATGGGAATTTAGTGGTCGAGGGATGGACAGCAGCTGTCCTGTCCTGTTCTGCGAGAGAATGTTTTTAGCATTAAGTCCGCCATGTACACATATATGTATTAATGAATGAATAAATAAAAATATAGGAAGTTGTAAAACAAATGTAAATAAATAAGTACTTGTAAGCGTCGTGTAAATAATCAATTAATGTAATCATTAGATAATTATACATAAATAGAGAGCGTATAAATGCTAACAATCCGATTTATAAATCCGATTTATAATTTATAAAATGTGTATACACAGGATGCGATTGCATATTTGCGCCTCGTGTTACACACGTGGCCTTGTTTTCTTTAACATTGTAATAAATTAATCGAAATGGATATAAATCGAAACAGTGTAATATTTTGTTTTTTTTATGAGTGAAAATGGTATGGGAACCTGCGCTAACGGGATACGCTGGCGGAGCACCAGTAAAAGGTGATAGATGAGAATGAAAACAGGCCAGTTAGCCCATCATGATGAATTCATCAGGAATTAACCATGATAGTTTCTAGAGAGAACCGCGAGGAGGTCGACCTGGTTGGGTATATTGCTAGCAATGGGATTTTTAGTCTCCATTACTAACAATTCCTTTCGCCCCTGTAATAATTATTTATGGAACTAAACATGTGTGTGTGTGTGTGTGTAAAATTCCCAACTCTACTTAGTTCTTTTTATATCAACCATTAATTGACTACTGTTGAACAAAGGCCTCCTCCATAAATGGGGTTCCCCCATAGTTAAAAGTCGTTTCATGTCGTTTACTCGGCTACCTCTGTCCCATTCGTGTTTCAATCGTGAAGCAGTTGTGTTTGCATGGCTGTGTTTCGGTATGAAGGGTGGGATATGGCGTGAATTTACTGGGTACAGAGGAATAATACCTGAGTCCTCAGGAATGGCAACGCATGGGGGGTATCATGGGCGAAACAGTATACTCTGTTATGTCCATGGTACCGCTCATGTCTATAGGCGACGGTTACCACTTTCCATCAGGTGGGCCATTAGCTTGTTTGCCATTCTAAGTTGTATAAAAAAAAAGAATTTGTTTGATTCGCATGATATGACACTGACATGGTACGCATTTCTTTAATTATTATTATGATACTCAATTAAACAATTAACCAATTTTAGGGTTCCGTATATGATACAAACGAACAGTTCTGGTGAGTCTTTGCTCTATTCCAAAATTTAAAGCCATGACATTAGTAGGTACTTGCTAAAATGTAGCGCTGTAACAGACAAACTAACAAACAGACAGTCGTACCATAAGGGCATTTGTACGTTTTTATTACGGAAACGTAAACATTGATTCATTAAGGCAATTAATTTATTAATAGCTAACTATGTTGCTAGTTGATCAAAACGCAAGCACCTGTACAGGTGAAGATGACGGATATCAGCCGATTTCACCCGAAGGTTTCCGAACGCGTTCTTCCTTACCTTAACTTCAGCCAGCAGCCGAGTGCTCAATGCAGCTAATACCTTCGAAAATATGGTATAGAAGCACGCTGCCACTACGTAGTCGACCTCTCGCCCGTAACTTGGTGCTTATGAAATATTACCTGTATCAAATGAACAAGAGTTTCGGACAGTTTCAAAATTTAATATTCGTAAATAAACGTAAATAAATATTACAATTTAAAATCGGTTTTGTTTTTATTTTGTTATGTTTATATATAGTTTTACTAAGTACATAAATATATGAAATGGACAGCAATGATTTGAAAAAAATAAATATAATAAAAGGAGATTGTATATTATTTTAGTAAAATATATACAAGTTCGTTTATTAATCAATAGAATTAAGTATAATTAATAAATATCTACGCAATACGCGATGATTTCGGAAAATGTGAACAGTGAAAAAGTGCCTTTTGAAGTTGCCATCGACAAAACAGGTAAGATTTAATAACGATTTCCCATTTACGTTACGTTTTATAAAATGTATGAGTGTTGGTCATTTTCAATTTCTTAAGAGTGGTTTTTATAAGACCTGTAATGTCGTACAAGCTGACAATTCACCTTATAAAAGGATAAATATTATACCTATTTTCCTGAGTTCTTTCTTCATCTTTCTATTCATTCCTCTGTCCCATTCGTGTTTCTACCATGAAGCAGTTGTATTTGCATGGCTGTGTTTCGATTTGAAGGGTGGGTTATGGCAGTGAATTTACTGGGTACAGAGGAATAACACCCGAGTTCTCAGGAATGGCAATGCATGGGGGGGTATCATGGGCGAAACAGTATACTCCGTTATGTCCATGGTACTGCTCATGTCTATAGGCGACGGTTACCACTACCCATCAGGTGGACCGTCAGCTTGTTTGTCATTCTATATTGTATAAAAAAACATACATATTTGTCACATCTGTCTCCCATTAGGATAGGCATAAATTATACATGTACAAATTGGAATAGCAACCAGGAGCGCTCCATGGGTGCTCATAGACTCCAGCACCTACGAGGGGTGAATAGTGGGTGCGAAGCACCCATGACACTAAACATCCTCAGCCCTTACTTGTCCACTGTTAAACGTAATCCTTCCAGTTTTGGTTGCCAGTAGTTGCCACGCTTGGCAGGCGAATTGGTTACTGCAGTTAGACTTTGTTTTTTAACTGAAATGAATTTATTGTGCTAGAATATAGGTAGTTTTAGATGAAAGAGGTTTACATTTCCCTTATACATTCTGCCTTTACAATGTCGGTGTGCAAATTATTAATAATAAAAGAAATTTACATATATTCTACATTATATTTCTTTTCATTAATCATATAATACATACATAATGTATTAGAGTCAACAGAAAATAAAATCCTGTACAGCAGTTGTCCAAATTGATAAATAGTTTAACAAACTTTGAGAGCGTATTGTTTATAATGAATGAATGAATGAATTTTATTGCAAAAAATCTTATACAATAAGGTCATATGGTAGTTTTATAATGGTTTCACACATTTTTTCATTACATACTTACATTAGAGCAAAAGTATCAATTACATCTCCAATATAGGTTGTTAAGTACATTTGTTTCTTTTATTAAAATATTAATGGTGTAAAACTTTTTACATAACAGCCAATTCTTAAGTTTACGTTTAAACACTGTATGAGATGTTACTTTTTTGATGTAATTTGGTAGATGTTTTTTTTTTTGTAATGGATGATAATGAAATGGTAACCTCGCTTGCACTAACGGTATACGTTGGCAAGGTACCAGTGAGGGACGATAGGTGAGAATGAAAATGCAGGTCAGTTAGCCCATCATGATGAATACGATGGTTTCCAGGAGATTTGGTAGATGGTTGTAAACTTTAATAGCCATACAGTATGCATTTCTTTTATGTAAATCTAACCTACACTTAGGTACATATTATTAGTTATTTGGTCCGGTTATACGCGTTCTCGAGTCCGATACTCTTTTGAAATAGCCAGCATGTTTCCTTACAAATGTACTCTCTCTCTCTAATGTACAATATATACATGGCAATGAGAGAGTATGTATTTAATTTCTTAAAAAAAGGGCAACTATTAATTTTTAAATTATTACCATGTAACCATTTTGTTTTTGGAGATGTTTTAAGAGGGACGCTGCCCATCCCTCGTTCTCCCTAAGTCGCTAGATTATAACTAAAATAATCCTTATTACTTGCGTTGCGTTTGCTTGTCCAGTAAGCATTGTCCGTTTTTCAGCTGAAATAATGATATTAGTACCTAGTTATTGAAAGAAGAACGCCTGACAGCAACTCAGATGCCTTAAGTTTTAATTCAAACATTTCAAGTATTTTGTTCACGACAAGTGCACCTCTAGCACCCTGCTGTCGGCGTATATATATATATATATATATATATATATATATATATATATATATATATATATATATATATATATATATATATATATATATATATATATATATATATACATATATATAGGTACTATATATACTATACATAGATAATCGTATACAATAAAAAAATAAAAGAACTTATATACAAAAAAAAAACAGCAAAATACATAAAGAAGTAACATTTGTTTCTTTTCATACATATGTCATAGTAATATCGAAATATTAACTGGAAAGTTATTTCTTTATAAGAGCATCATTTTTGGAAATTGTTGTTTCGAAACAACCCAGCCGCGAGTATCAGCCATCTAGCTTCTTAATTTAAAATCCTGTCCTTGTAATTTAAAATTATGTTCTATCCAGGTTTTGGTTTGTACAGCTACATACTGGCAGCCCTCACAGGGCTGGTGATCGTCTCTTATGGATGTATAGGATACGGTAGCACCATCATCGTGCCATCCAGCGCCTGTGAGTTGAACACCACGAGTGCTCAGCAAGGGCTACTGGTATCTGCACCCATAATTGGTTTGTTTTTCATAATTGTATAGTTAATAATGTTAAGATGAAAATATAAGACGTATTATTTAATTATATAGTTTTGTAACAGCTTTATTATAAAAATTATGGTAAATTGATAATCGATCAAGATTAAGATAAATAGATTGACGTAAGAATCATCAAAGACGATCATTTGTCGTTGACGATTAGTCGTTAGAGCGCCACAAAGGAATAAACATGCATATACTCGTATATATATATATATATATATATATATATATATATATATATATATATATATATATATATATACATTGACAATATATCTTTTGGAAAAACTTCGACGGAGAGCACATTCCTTAACCTGAGTTTTCGTGGGAGGAAAAATCTCTGAAACCGCACTGTACGCGACCATCTAAGATCTAAGGTATGGTGCTGAACTCCCTGTCGATGGCGAGCTGATCGACCTAAATTGAGTTTTTTCACAAAACTCTTGATAATGATAAAATTATGTCATTTAATAATTTATTTGCAGGTGCAATAATAGGCGCCATATTATGGGGCTACGTGGCGGACAGGCACGGGCGGCGTTCCATGTTGCTGGTATCTCTTCTCTCCAGCTCTGCTATAAATGCAGTTGCTAGCTTGTCCGTTAACTGGATCATGCTGCTGATACTACAATTCATTGCGACTTTATCGTAAGTAAATTTGGACAATGTCCCTCTTAAAACATCTTGAAAAGCCCAACTGCGGTACGGTAACAAATCCAACAAATTATAAATTATCAAAATCAGATGAATTTAAATCTATTTATCAAATAAGTGGAAGAGGAAAGATCATTGATGATACAGGGCAGTGTGTAAAGAATACGCATGTCTCTGCGGTTTCGAATGGTCAATCATGTACATATGTATATATTTATTTACTTATTAACATCTGAAATGTTTTCAGATCATCTGGCCAGTACACGATATCGATGACAATTCTTTGCGAGAGCGTTCCAATGGCCAAACGGAACACCGTGTTACTACTGGTCACTAGCATATTTCTGATGGCGCAAGGAATTATGGCAGGTACCTAATTTTCCAATAACGAGACCAATTAGATAAAGTCTCACGATATTCACTTTGTACAAAATTCGCCTGAATGCGTACCTCTGTTCTATCCGTGTTTCTGACGAGAAACAACGTTTACCCCTGCAAAACCATCTTGCTGAATTACAGATGTAATCACCAAAATGGACCAACTGACCTGCATTCATATTTACCTATCATCTTCACTGGTACTTTGCCAGTATATATCGATAATGTAAGCGGGACTACCATTCCGTTTCCACCTTTCAAAAAGGCTTTGATCGTCTAGTGACTTATCACTTTACCTTCGTGATCGTGAGTTCAATCCCTATACAATACAATTATTTGTATTGATCTGTGTGTGTTTTTAGTACAATGTGTATTTATTTGAAAAAAATGCCTAATATGTTGCATTGCTATTTATTATTTATTCAATTACGTTTCTAATTTATATATATATTCAATTCTTTTTCAGCTTTGGCAATGCCGGTGATTCCTTTAACATTCTCGTACCATCTATCAAGCCTCGGAATCTATTGGAACTCTTGGCGTACACTTATATTAGTGTACAGCATACCGAGCCTTGTCTGTGCTGCGTGGCTCATGTTTATGCAGGAAAGTCCCAAATACACATTAGCTCAAGGAGACGAGGAACGCACAATTCAAATATTGAGACTCATACATAGAATAAATAATAGAAATACCAATGAAGAACTTCAGGTAAGGTTTTGGGTTGGCACTCTTTATAAACTGTCATTCCTGCATCAGAGTTGCTAATTTTTTCTTGATGATGAGCAACAATTGAACATCGTCATCTGCTTCTACCCTAATAAACCTCTTTTGTATCTTTTATTTTGCCACAGTAGCTTTTTAGGAATACCAATTAAATAGACAACTTCTAACGATGTATATAAAACATACACCAGATTTTAAGTTGTTCTAACTTCTTAGGAATACAACTGTAGAAACCGCATCCAATTTGGTGCACTCGTTTTTGCATGATGTCGAAACAAATGTACAGATAAATGGACAAACAGACCGACAAAGTTTCTAAAAAATATTTTTTTTTATTTTCTATTGCTTTTATTAAGACTCCTCTTATAATTTTTCTTAAATATCTATCATATATTTGTCGTGTGGTCCCGGCCGTAGGCCACACCTTCCTTTCCCGTGGTTGTCGTAAGAATCGACTAAGGAAAGGCGAAGGGTGGACAGCAGTGTCCCTCTTAAAACATCTCTAAACGCCACGCTTGGTAGGCGGATTGGCAATCGCATTTAGCCTTTAGTGATATTTTAAGAGGGACGCTGCTGCTCATCCTTCGATCATTGAGTACCGTTAATCGTTTCTTACAACACCCACGGGAAAGGAAGAGGTTATTATACGGTTGGGGAAGTTGTTTTTTTTTTATACAACTTAGAATGGCAAACAAGCTGACGGCCCACCTGATGGAAACTGGTAACCGTCGCCTATAGACATGAGCAGTGCTATGGACATAACAGAGTATACTGTTTCGCCCATGATACCTCCCATACGTTGCCATTCCTGAGGACTCAGATGTTATTCCTCTGTACCCAGTAAATTCACGTTATATTCCACCCTTCAAACCGAAACACAGCCATGCAAACACAACTGCTTCACGGTAGAAACTCGAATGGGACAGAGGTACCCAAGCAATCGACTTTTGTACAAAGTCTCCCTCTGTCTTCATATTATAAGCAAAGATGTCTGGGTTTTCTGGGACATTTCAGATAAATATTATATATAAAAACAAGTAACATCTGAGAATACATATTTAACGTATATTTTTCGTCTGATGTTATTTATTATTATAGTATATATGTATGTGTAATGTAAAATATATGATGTATAACGTCATTGTTTCAATTTAATATTGTTTATTACATTGCACGGTCAATTATATTTTCTGTTATTTCTGTCTAAGGTCGACTGGCAGATAACGTCATATGTTTTTAAGTCCGCCATTTACTTTCTAGGTGTATTAAAGTTTAACAAATAAATAATTACATATCCCTAGACGTTCCTTGTCATATTTAAGGACTAGCTTTTTGCCTGTTATTTCATATCCATGGGTTTTTAGATTTAGGACAACTATTTTTTTTTATACAACTTAGAATGGCAAACAAGCTGACGGCACACCTGATGGAAAGTGGTAACCGTCTATACCCCCCCATGCGTTGCCATTCCTGAGGACTCAGGTGTTATCAAATAAGGTCACTTTTAGGTAGCATATCAGTTTAAAACATACCAGATTTTTAGTTAAACCTTCAGAGACATAACTGTAAAAACTACATCCCATCTAGTGTAGTAGTTTTTGCATGATACCGAAACCAACATATAGATAGATAGACAAACATTCTAATTAATATTGTTTTGGCATTGATTAGTCACATAAGACCCATTATATAATTTTTTGTTAAATATTTCCTATGTAAAGACATAATCTAGTTACAATTTCATTATAAGGTCCTTACATATGAAATTGGCATTTTGTACGGGAGGAATATATTTTTTTTTTTTTGTAAAATATATATATATTTTTTTAATCTTTTTTATTTAGAGGCTTTTATCCTATAAAGATATGTCAGCCTCATCATACCCTAATTTTATAAAATACGTCACATACTTAAAACATTGATACATAAATAAATAATACATAATATTATTGATACAAAAATATAGTAATTAAAGATTTTGCCATTCCGGAATGTCGTTCTGCGAGTATATTTGAAAATAATCCAATCTCCTGTCTATTGAGATTATATTTCTGTATCAATACTTCCCCTTGTGTTTTGTATTTCGTACATTCGGATATCATATGGTGAACATCATCCAATGTGTTACAAACATCACAATTCGGATTATTAACTTTTTTCATAAGAAAAGCGAATTTTACATTTGGGTAATGTCCTGAGCGTAATCTAAGAGTTGTAACAACGAAATATAAATTAATCAAAGTATGCACAGTTGTTATCTATGCACTTTTGTAATCTCATAGGTAGTTCATTGATCCCTTTACTAAAAAAAACCATGGGGGCGAGAATCAATAAACTCTTTGAAGGCGGTTTGGACTGCCACATCGGAGTTGATATTTTTTCCTTATAAGAAATTGTCCAAATTCCAGAAAAAATGGTAATCTGTTGGAGCAAGGTCCAGGGAGTACGGTGGATGTCGCAGACATTCCAATTGTAGCTCATCTAACTTTGTGGTTGTTTGTTGTTGTTTGTTGTACAGTGTAATATATTAGTAAGAAGCAAATCCTCCCCCCCCCCCCTCTATAGTGGAGGCCTATGTTCAGCAGTGGACTGATAATGGCTAGGATGATGATGATGTAGGAAGTAAGATACGATTTGGCAATAAATGTGATCATATAGTATTTATGTATTTATTATTAAATATAAACAAGTCTATGGAGAACAAACTCTTAGAGTATTTTTTTATTACAACACAGGGGACAACCGAGCATGCGGCTCACCTGATGGTAAGTGACTACCGCCGCCCATGATCACCCACAACACCAAAGCTATTGCAGGTGTGCTGCCGGCCTTATAAAAAGGAATATGCTCTTTTCTTGAAGGTTATGATGTCGTATCGGTTCGGAAATACTGCTGCTGGAAGTCGATTCTAAGGAACTTCGAGGTTGTGCGTGGAAGAAAGTGCCATTAGATAAAGATGACTAGATATCTGCTAATTACTTTCTTTATTTTACTTACACGTTCTAGCATATCGAGTGTGCATGCTTCATGTTCACAATTGCATTTCAGGTTAAAGGTATCCTGCAAGAATCATTACAAGTGAAGACTTCAACGAAAAACCAAATACTCCCACTGTTCAAGCGTCCCCTTGTCAAGTATACACTGATTATGACGATCCTGTCTGTATTTCATCAGTAAGCTGATTTACTTACATAATCTATCGTCATCACCATTTCAACCTGTACCGATCCACTGCTTCTAACTTTTCACACTAGGGGCTACACATTATTGGTCTACACTACAACCAGAGGGAGACTTTGTACAAAATTCGATTGCTTGGGTACCTCTGTCCCATTCGTGTTTCAACCGTGAAGCAGTTGTGTTTGCATGACTGTGTTTCTGTTTGAAGGGTGGGATATGGCGTGAATTTATTGGGTACAGAGGAATAACACCTGAGTCCTCAGGAATGGCAATGCATGGGGGGTATCATGGGCGAAACAGTATACTCTGTTATGTCCATGGTACTGGTCATGTCTATAGGCGACGGTTACCACTTTCCATCAGGTGGGCCGTCAGACGTCAGCCGTGGGACTGCTAATCTGCATTACTAACAATCTTTTCCCCCCACAAGTATGTACTAGTCGAATTTAGAGAAAAATCTTTTTCTCATTCCTATTGCTCATTCCTTGAGAAACGTTATGGGCTGTTCAATATTACGCGGAAAGCCGCGAGATAATATTGGTACTAAATGATTTCAATAAAGCTTTTGTTTAAAAAAACATTAAAACCTAAATAATTGGTATGGAATTAAATTCACTTACATTTGTTCTTGCAGCAAACGTCCATTCATTATTCATTTATATGGAAAATATATGTAAATAAACCGATAAAACAATATACAATACATCCATTCTTTTGCAATATTTCCGTTTAGCGTGTTATTTTAGTACATTTCGTAGGTATCTTATACATATAGGCACTCGCTGTTTCGCTTACAATGTTCATAACTTTTAAACAACGTCTAAAAGCAGGAGATTCTCAATTTACCTTTAGTTATTTTTTATCTGTACCTGTGTAACGTGATGTTTTCAAAGATTTTGAATAGATTTTATAAATTTTTAATTTTTTAACTGCTTTATACGTTTTGATTTCAGCTGTAGGAAAAACAAGTTAAATACAAGAAATGCCCTTTTTGTATTTACATTATTTTTAGAAAATTTTTTTTTTAAGTTTCTTCAAGGTCGAAACAGCTAACACTATAAGTGTGTTTTGTTTTAATTGAAAGAGGAATGAAAATTGGAATTAAAGTATACTTATTTTTATGTTAATAAATTATTCAAAATAACAAATACATATTAAATTACAATTCTTGATAGCTATCTATACATCAATAATATTTTTTTTTATATTTCTACTAATAATTATGACAATTAAAAAATAAATAAAGATTAATCTCTCAGGGGGAACCACGTGGAGTGTACAATATTTTTGGTCACATTCTTTAGCAATACAAATAATCTGAAAGACCACATTACTGGCAATCTCTTTATGATGTTGCAGGGGTCCGTAAATCTAAGTCACCGTCTACCATCAGTTTGGCCTTGTATGGTTGTTTGACTTATTGATCGTCATAAAAATGCCAATCTACATTGCTTTAAATGCGTGTGTGTATCAATTGAATCTGTGTAATTGTATTCTATATCTAACTACAATTTATTTATTATAACGTTTTTCATTATCTGCTTTTTTTTTTAATGTATGCAATGAGCCCACTTTGTGATAAACTTAGTCTTTGATTTTGAACGTAGAATTAAATTTTTGACCGTTTGCAGCAATATTTTGAATTATTTCTGTTGCTCAAATCTATATTTAAGTGTATGACAATGCGGCCATGCCTTGTCCAAAGTACCAATGATCACATAATATCAACTTAAAAATAATAATAAATTCATTATGAGAATAAAATTAACAATGGAACGCCAAAAGTTAAAATGATTTAAACAAACAGTCACTGCTATGATCGTGACATTAAAACATAAAAAATAATTTGAAAACTGTATAGCCGAGAGAACGGGTACTTTTAATTTCATCCTTCTTCAGCACGATCGATTGGTATTTGGTCGACATCGTCCGTCTAGGTTGACGATTAATTTAAATGGAGAAAAAAGATATAATGAATGAAAATTCTTGACTATACATGATAATATCTCTTTCTACAAGTATTATTTTCGATTCATCCATCCTCTTTTCCAATATAAAAATCCTCATTAAAAATTCACTGGTTGATCGCCAAAGTGTAAAAACTTGAAGCGGGGTGTATTTTTCATCATCATCCATTAAAAAAAATACATTTATGTACATAATATACTCGTAGAGTTGTTACAATGTTCTTATGATGAGTAAGTACATGAAACCCTGATATGTGAGTACAAAATTATAAACATCGGTAAAGCTCTCGGAATAGGTAGAAACATGCATTTATGTCAATTTTATATATTATATTATAAGATATGACTGTGCCACGTCTATTTATTAGATCACATTGAAATTTAAGTGTCTATTTATCTCTCAATAATATAATTATTATGAACTTAAATTTATATTAACTTCGTCATCAACTAAATAAACAGATAAATTTTAATGCAAAAATTAATAATTAAATATTTAATTACAGAGTAACAGCGTTCGGTGTATGGCTGCCAACAATTGCGAATAAGTACGTCAAATTATTGCAAACTGGTCAAGGGTCTGACCTAACACTGTGCGGCATTTACAACGCCGACATAGAGATTGCTGAAGATGTAAATAATTTGTTTCTTATATCTTTCTAAAGATTTACTAAAATAGTGTCAAAGAAAGTATATACCTGGTCTGCCTTTTGAAACCAATTTCAATCGACTTTAGAAAAAGACTCGGATTTTCAATTTGGTTGTATTGTTTTACCTCATAACTTGATCAGACTTTGTACAAAAGTCGATTGCTTGGGTACCTCTGTCCCACTCGTGTTTCAACCGTAAAGCAGTTGTGTTTGCATGGCTGCGTTTCGGTTTGAAGGGTGGGATATGGCGTGAATTTAATGGGTACAGAGGAATAACACCTGAGTCCTGAGGAATGGCAACGCATGGGGGGTATCATCATGGGCGAGTAACTCTGTTACAATATAATCTGTTATGTCCATGGTACCGCTCATGTCTATAGGCGACGGTTACCACTTTCCATCAGGTGGGCTGTCAGTTTGTTTGCCATTCTAAGTTGTATAAAAAAAAATCATTGGTAAACCGATTTGGAAAATTCTTTTTCATCTGAAAAGATATATTTTCATATTTTCAGATTGGTTTTATAAAATTTTTATCAAAATCAGTTTAGTAGTTTCTAGTTTCGTGAACCGAAATAACTGCTTTTGCCACGATTTATAGGGTTTTTATTTGGAAAATTTATTTGCCGTTTGTTTTTCATAAAAAAGTTAATTCACTCAGAAATCAAATTGAGTAACCTTTAGGAGTTGAATTTTTATTATAAGTATAATTATTTTTATTATATTTATTATAAGAGGGAGACAAAAGTCGATTGATTGGGTACCTCTGTCCCATTCGTGTTTCAACCGTAAAGCAGTTGTGTTTGCATGGCTGCGTTTCGGTTTGAAGGGTGGGATATGGCGTGAATTTACTGGGTACAGAGGAATAACACCTGAGTCCTCAGGAATGGCAACGCATGGGGGATATCATGGGCGAAACAGTATACTCTGTTATGTCCATGCTACTGCTCATGTCTATAGGCGACGATTACCACTTTCCATCAGGTGGGCCGTCAGCTTGTTTGCCATTCTAAGTTGTATAAAAAAAATATATTATAAGTGAAAATGAAGTCACGATGCCGTCTGATATACTCTTCCTCTGACTGCCTTTATAGGGCAATGTGATTGAAGTTTTACTAAAGTAAAAATTTCTAAAGTAAATTTTACAGACAAATCTAGGGAATAGCGCCTGTGAATCGACATACATAATTGTCTCTGATTATTCTGTACATTATGAAGAAAATAACACATATTTTCGTGATGTCTTCCATTTCTTAAATTTTATTTATTAATTAGCGGTCCGTCTCGGCGTCACACGGGTGGACATTTTTAACATACTCCTTCACTGCTCTGCTCCTATTGATTGTAGCGTGATGAAATTGAAATTGTACCTGGCCAGGAGTATGAAGAATAATTGTACCAAGTTTCGTTAAAATCTGTCAAGTAGTTTTTGTTTCTATAACGAACATACAGACAGAGGCAGACAGACAAAAATTTTACTGATTGCATTTTTGGCATCAGTATCGATCACTAATCACCGCCTGATAGTTATTTTGGAAATATATTTCATGTACAGAATTGATCTCTCTACAGATTTATTATAAGTATAGATTTATTGCTACTTATTGGTGTGATCACAATGATATGATGTTATATTATTATTCATGTACTTTTATTATTTACATATGTAAGTATATACAGCTGTTTTTATTGTATTATATATTAAATTTTTTACTGGGTATTATTTAGTTTATCTTTAATTGTACATTCCCTTGTACATTCTACAGTTTTCTTTCAGCTTCTCAAAGGTTGACTGTAAGAGATCCCTTTATGGGATAAGTCCGCCATTGTATATTAAATCATTTATCAGTGTTCAATGTGAATTATGTACAGTAATGATTTTACAATACAATACAATATGATGATGATGATGTTAACACGATATAAAGTGTACACAATTAATATTTGACAAAACAATACAATGGACGATTTATTTCAGGCCGACGCTGTACCGTGTGCATTGAACATAACAGCCCTAGTGATCGTGTTGGGCGTTGGTGCTTTGAATTCTATCATCAACATATTGATTAGCGTGGTAAGCGTCTACATAGTAATTTTATATAAATAATTATCAATTGTAGCTTACAACCGCGATTTTTCTTTTATTTATAAATTCCTCATTATACTTACAGTTTCCCAAAACGTGTAGTGCGCCATAGGTTTATTTTACAAACTTAAAAATTTTAAACAACATCTAGAAAATCTATCTAATTTATTATTAAATATATCAATATTTTTTTTGATGGATGAAAATTAAGTAACCCCGCATGCACTAACGGGATACGCTGACGGAGCACCAGTGAAGAGTGATAGATGAGAATGAAAATAAGCCAGTTAGCTCATCATGACGAATTCACAAGTAATTAACCATGATAGTTTCCAGGGAGAACAGCGAGGAGGTCGACCTGGTTGGGTATATTGCTAGCAATAGGATTCTCAGTCTCCATTACTAACAATCCCTTTCCCCCGATACTTAGGATTAGGGTTATGATAAGGATAATCTTTCCCGGAATTCAACGGAAAATAAACCTAGGACCTTATTTACGCAAAGCAACGTGCCCACCCCTGTTCCACGGATCATCAATGCATTGCACAAACATTAGCCTCTGGTGTTAAGCGAATATGGAATACGATGCTCGCTTTACATTAGACGAACCGTACCTATACGTAATTTCCTATGTTTTTTTTTTAAATAAACAGACTGTTCGTATAATCTTGACAGATAGTCGTCTACACTGGTCGCCGCAACACCGTGATAGTGATCGCAGCATTCAGCGGGACAAGTGGAACCCTCATCAACCTGGTGCCCAACGCCATCGTCAGTCTTGTGCTTTTTGGGATTTACCTGATGGCTATGATGCTGATAGGGCTCTACACGGCTATCAGTGTAGCACTCTTTCCCACAAACTTGAGGTATATCTACGATCTTCGAAATGCACAAAGGGTATTCTAAGATCTGCAGGGTTTAGCATTTGTAGACCACTAAGAGTTAAATGTAAAGTAGCTAGATAATTTTGTTTTACAAATTTATTTTATAATTTAATACTGTTATTTTTCCCCCTATAATGAAGTACGTCTTTATGATTCACTGATCATCCCAAAGATTGAATGCTAATAGGTTTAAGTCCGCTATTTGTACCACATTTTCTTTCGGTCAATAAAGTTATTAAAAATGTCACTTTAATGCCAAAGTAAAGGTTTGGTTTTAAACATAAAATACAAAATTTATTTCGGTGTCAGCTACTGAAATGAGTAACATAAAGCTCGGAAAAGGAGCTAAAAAATCTGGAATTTATTACAATAGTGTGTCCTAATCTGTACTGTAGAACACACTTTATCTTTTCTACGAGTAGATAAAATATTAGGATTATATGTTAAATTTCATCACCTTTGTACTAATGTCGGTCTCTATAATTCAACCAATAAGTATTAATATTGTGTCCAATACAATACTGTCTAACTGTTAATACAGATAAGGGATACAGAGGATACAGAGTCATAACACCATAGTCCTCAGGAATGGCAACGCGTTAGGATACCATAAGCATGACAGTATACTCTTGTGATGTACATACATAGTACTGCTTATGTTTATATGTAACGATAATTTTTTGTCTTTATGTAGGCCATCAGCTTGTTTCCTATTCTAAGTTTCATAAAAAATCTATTTTTCTTTTCGTACCGTTATTGCTGTTGGCCGCAGATGGCCTTTACAGCTTCACCGAGCGCGTATGCAGGGGCGAGTGCAGAACTCTAGACTCTAGACTAAACTCTAGTGTACTACTCTACTCTTCTCTTCTTCTCTCAGAGAGAGAAGAAGAGGCACTCCAAGCCTGCGAGAGGGGAGCGACGTTAAGCGTCAGCTCTTACAGATGGACTGCGGTGTTTGCGCCCGAGGGCGCCCTAATGGCTCGAACCTTGACTCAGGCCATCGCACTTCGGCCCCCGTCAGGACAGGGGTCGGTATATCGAGGGGGGGGGGGGTCGCCGCCGGCGACGTTGGCGGACGAGATAGACGAAATACGTTCGGGCAGATATCTGCTCGATCGATGACGCGAACCGGGTGTTCTTGGTCTTCCGCCGGCGGAGACGGTGTAAAAAATCTATTTACCATTATATTTCAGAGCCCTAGCGGTGTCTCTAACAATGACTGGCGTTCGAATTGGAAGCTTCGCGTCCATACAGATTCTCAAGTTTTTACTCGTTAATAACTGTGAAGTTGGCTTTTATGTCTATGCCTCCATACTGACTTGTAAGTAACATTTGTTTATAGTCTTTAGCTCTGCAATCGAAGATGAGCAAAAAGAATGTGCATGTAATTAGTAAATTTTTTTTTATTTAAATTCTGCAATTTTGACAAAATTAATATGGTACGGTAGGGGGGAAAGAGAATGTTAGTAATGGAGACTAAAAAATCCCTTTGCTAGCAATATACCCAACCAGGTCGACCTCCTCGCCGTACCCCCTGGAAACTATCATGATTAATTCCAGATGAATTCATCATGATGGGCTAACTGGCCTGTTTTCATTCTCATCGATCACGCTGGGTAAATCCTTCACTGGTGCCCCGCCAGCGTATACCGTTAGCGCAGGCGGGGTTACCATTCCATTTTCATCCAATAAAAAAAAATGGTACGGTACCATATGGTATATGACAATATGGTCCGTGAAATTTGGGAATAGAATGGGCCACTCCCTCCTTTCGCGTGTCGTAAGAGGCGACTAAAACATCACCAAAGCCTAATTGCGGTTGCCAACCTACCTACCAACCAAGCAAGGCAACTACCAGCAAACTCTACGCTCGTTTCTAAACTTTTTTTTATACAACTTAGAATGGCAAACAAGCTGACAACCTGATGGAAAATGGTAACCGTCGCCTTATAGACATGAAAGTACCGTTAAAAATAACAGAAATTATACTGTTTCGCCTATGATACCCCCAAACTTTCTTCGTTGCCATTCCTTCTGAAAAAGACTCAGGTTTGTTATTCCTCCGTACCCAGTAAATTCACGCCATATCTCTCCCTTCAAACCGAAACACAGCCATGCAAACACAACTGCTTCACGGTTGAAACACAAATGGAACAGAGGTACCCAAGCAATATTTTATCCACGACAAAAACAAAGATGTTGCTACAATCAACATTATGGATAAAATACTATTAAAAATACATAAATTAAACTCTTCAAATAATATAAGCTTTTTAATTTTAAAAAGTATCAAAATCGTCTCACAGTTAGCTTACTGCTTGTATAACAATGTTTACGTTTAATATACAAACACACAAATATACAAAAACACTCTTAATTAAAGTCTGTTCAAAATGTATTTAATCCATTTTACAGTAAACTGCTCTGTCAACCTTAATACTTGATTACGGCGGTAAGGTTTGCAGAATTTAAATTAAACTCACTACATATAATTTTTATATATTTTTAATTCACAAAAGATGCTTTTTTAATTATAAAGCACTATGATACCTACTTGTACTCGTACAACAATTAGTCCATTGCCTTAAGGTTGTCTTGAAAAGATTGCTCTCAGCAATAAGACCGCCTCACTGTACTTATACAATTGTATCGTTGTGTTTGTAAATTGTCTTGTTTATTTCCTATATTGTATAATGCAAATAAAGTATACTCATTCATTCATTCATTCATTAATATCCTTTCATATTTTAACAATATGCTTTCTATTCCACTAAGAACAATTTCATACATTTCGTCATTCACATTAAATGTATTTAATACATTTTACAATATACCTACTGCTTTGCCAATCTTAATACTTGAATTTAAATTAAGATTAAATTAAGATTGCGAATTTAAATATAAAAAAATATGTATTAATTGATTGCAGTCGTACATTTATTTATTTTGTTTTAATTTTTGGTATATTTTTTCTTTGTATCATTTCAGTGTCGGCGGTGGTGGCATCATTCTTGCCAAACGATAGATTATTGATGCAACAGAAGGAAGTCAGTGAATAAATTAAAAAGTGTTGTATCATACTATTTATTTATTAAAAATAAATAAGCAATATGTGCCTAATCTTACATAGTTTTTAATTTCACTCATATTTCCTAACTTTTCATCCGGCTCGAAGGACCATTCAATTGATCTTTAATCTCGTTTCTTTAAGGTATATTTATTCTGAAAATATGTCAATTCCATACCTTCAAACACTGAAATAAACCAATGTTCAACAGCCGACATGAGCGCATCCCCTAGACGCCTCATAGTCCACAGTAATGATGCTTAGCTATAAACATAATACATACAAATTTAATAATAATAATAATAAACTCTTTATTGCGCACAGTAGAGATGTATACAAGGAGTGTTTATACAGAATGTGCATATGCAAAAGGCGGCCTTATCGCTAAAAGCAATCTCTTACAGACAACAACAAATTTACTTATTTATTTGCCTAAATTATATTCTATTTATAATAAATAATTATTAATTATTCAATGAATTTATATAGCTAGCTAAGGTGTTTCTGTCCATAACAGTAACACCAACCAAATATAAACCGTCAACTTTATTTTTAGTTTAAAATTAGTACTTTGGAACGTGTTTCTCTTTTACTGATAGAACAAATTATAATATTGAGGGAGTCCCCTTAAAATGACTAGATTACTCACTCTTGACAATTTTTAACATACATATTTCATTTTACACAGAAAAATTACAGCTACTTACATTAATAATCAGATTCTTATTGAAATCAATTTTCAATTAAAGGGTATTATGAGATTTTTAAAATACTAATCATTCATTATGCTAAAACTTTGATTTACTAAAAATAAATAATTATTTTCATCCACATAATAATTCAGTAAACGGAACGATAAGACTGTCATTCTGTCAGTTTGTTGCTAAGAGGTACGCTGTCAGTCAGAGTTGAGTTATCAAATCAAAACTAATCATGATAACGATCCTGCCTTTCGCTACATTACTGAACTACTAAGTTTACTCACTAGTGATACAACTAAAATAAATACGATTTTCGAGCTTTGAACCTTCCGTTCAACGTCCAAGGACAGGCTTCGCTAATATTTAAGGTAATATACCAACTGACTGTTGCCCAATCATGTATATCTATTTGCTAATGTTCTGTACCGCATTGATTTTTCTATAAAATAGGCCAGTAAATATTGGTCCAGCATCATTGGGCCGTAGACGTGCAGTGTTTCAAAGGTTATTCTTGCCGGTCGCTTAAGCGTACTGTGATGAAATGTATTTCTTTTAATGATAATACCTTTAATTCCTATTAATAGAGATACTAAATGTTTAATGTAATTAATATTAAATGTATGTTTTTTTTTTTATTAATGATAAATATATTTAAAATTGTGACTGACAAGGTTTAAATGTAACCATTCAACAAGTGAACAATTGTAGTACAATTTGATTATTAAGTGGGGTTAGTTACCATTTGCATTACTTTATTACATACATGATGCTTTATTTTACTGCAACTTTAGTTAACTTGTTTGCAAATTAGTTTTATGAAAATAACTTTTTTAAACAAATGTATGAGTGTAACCACTGACCATATTATTGTGTCTTTTCAACTAATTTCAAAAAGAAAAAAGTTCTCAATTTAATTTTTTTTTTTTACCTTGTAACTCTATCAGTTGTAAAATAATTTAGAAATTTGTTTTTTTTTTTCATCTATAAGGCTATACTTACAGCTTGGCCCCATAGAAATTTTATCAAAAATGATTCAGTAATGTTTTGAAATTAATATACTTATTTTTTCAAACACACTCTTTAATTCATTAATCTAACATATATATATATATATATATATATATATATATATATATATATATATATATATATATATATATATATATATATATATATATATATATATATATATATATGAGACAACATTACTGGTCCTGCTACAAATGAAGTCAGTTTTTTTTTATGAAATACTGTTTAATTATTATTTTTCTCCAATGCAAATTTTTATTTTACAACTTACCAGTTAATATGGTTACAATTTCTATTCACTTCCTCTTGCCAACCTTCTGTTTTTATTATCAGTTACATTTTTATTTATTTATTTATAAAAGACACACCAACAATATGTTCACAATAATTAAGCAGACAATATACAATGTTATTAGTAAGTAAAAGAGAAAAACTACTATTACAAAATGCTTAAATCTAAGTTTGAACAAACATCTCACTGCTCACTACCAAGCTTAAGGCCATATGAACACCTCAATTAAAGCTGTATACAGCTCTCACAGATAAGCGTCAATGTATACTAAGTAACAATTATACAATTAGAGAAGACCTAACTACCAATCCGTATTATTAATAAGCCTAGTAAACTGCACTAAAGAATTTCCATCTTTATGCTATTAATCACTCATCATAATTATTAGTTAGTTGATTTTAAATGACATTTAATACAAAAAAATCATAGTCTGTTAGATTAACACACATGTTACTATTTGTTCTGTCTAACATAGTCTAAGTTGCATACAACTATAAATAATTAATGATAGAAAGTTATCAATTAAAAAAAAAACAAAAAGTAATATTCATTAAATTGATTTTTTATTTATTTATTTGATTCTTTATTGACTACATTATTTAAAAATGTTTGATATGAAATACAGTCTTAATGTTATATGACATTCCCTCCATGTCAAACTTTAGAAAACTAAAATCTAATTGTCCAGTGAAAAGTATTAGAAATTTCAAATTTCCCCCAATGTTGCTTTCTTGTAATTGTTTATATTTATAATAGGTTAACTATTGTAATCTTTTGGAGGAAATAATAATGAGTATCTATCTATCTATCTATCTATACCTTTAATGAAAATTTATGTTATAATATAGTTTATTGGTTTTTCTACAGGAACTGCGCTACCATAATGGCGAGCGGTTCCTGGGAGGAGTTCTTCGCTGTCCATCTCCCGCCTACTGACTTTGAAGACAACCGCACACTACTCAAAGAGTTCTGTGAACGTCATGACAAATATGGAAATAAAATAGTGCTTGTAACTGTAAGTGAGTCTTGATACAATTATACTTAAACAGTATGCATGAAGAAAATATGAACAACTACATTAAATTACATAAAATTAAAATAAAACATATAGAAACAAAAAAATTGTTAAAACCATTTTTTTTTAATGGATGAATGGTAGCCCCACCCGTGCTATCGGTATACACCGGCCGGGCACTAGTGAAGGATGATAGGTGAGGATGAAGTAGGTTAGTTAGCCCATCGTGACGAATTTAACAAGAATTGTTCACGATCGTTTCCAAGGGGAAACACATGGAGGTCAACCTAATAAGGCATATTGCTAGCAATGGAGCTGTCAAACTCCATTGCTAACAATCCCTTCTCCCCCTAGCCTTTTAGACTTCTGTTAAAACCATTAAATTAATTTGGATTTTAATTAGAATTTAATTACATTGATGAAATTTAAACTATATTATTTAATTTTTGAAATCTTTATGAAAATTTAAGGATCGACTCGCTTCTAATTGCTGTGCCTGACAGGGTCTACAATGTACTATATCAATTATTAATATCTTTTATAATAATACTAGCTGACTCGGTAAACGTTGTTTTACCATATACGTTATTTCTAGAACTATATGTACATGAAAATATATCGTACTACAACTATTATATTCGATTGCCATTATGCAAGTCTATTGCGGCATATAAAAATTGCAATTAAACAACAGGGTTTGATCGTAAAAGCGTGAAAATTTGAAGTTGTATGTATTTTTCAATGCTAAATCATATTTCAATAAAAATAAAAATTTTGTCAAAAAAATAAAAAAAAATCTTTTAGGGGTGGGTCACCCTTATCATTGAGGGGTTGGGACCTACCCAATATGCACACAAAATTTCAAGAAAATCGGTAAAACCGTTTCAGAGGAGTTTGGTAACAAACACCGTGACACGAGAATTTTATATATAATAAATAAATTGTATTGAATATGTTTAATTTTTTTTTTTTTACTGTGACATTAATTTGCAGTCAGAATTCATAATTCCTTTTCAGTCATTTGTTATAACGTTTTTGAGTGGGGTAATTGTTTGAGCCACTTTAGACTGTTTAATGTATAATGTAGTAAATCTATTTAATCTTGTGTTTTGTTTAATCAATTTTTAAATCTAATAAACAGGGGTCATACTGCAGTGTCCCTCCCCTTTCCTATCCCCACATATGTCCCTTATTCTTCTTATTTACCAATTTCCTTTACGCATTTCCAACTTTCCCTTCCTTTTCTTCTCAATCCTTCCCTCCATACTGTAGGTGGTGGAAACCACCAACAAAGGCATTCCTAAAGAGGGTTGACGTCAGGCAGGCCTGGTCGTAAAACCAAGCCAAATCTTTTTGTAATATGAATAAAAAATATATTACACGGATCCCATATAATAATTTGAATAAGGATAGGAAGATAGAAGAAGAAGATGAAACAGAGCCCATAAATATTATGATTTTTTTAAGTCTTCCCTGTGAAATCTGTGAAATCAGCTTAGAAATTAACTTGGGAAATTTCTCTTTTTATTACAGTCGGGTGGTACTACAGTCCCCCTTGAACACAACACAGTCCGTTTCGTTGACAACTTCAGTGCTGGCACACGTGGTTCAGCATCAGCCGAGTACTTCTTGGAACATGGCTATGCAGTGATCTTCATGCATCGCCAGAAATCCCTCGAACCATTCACCAGACACTTCAGTGGACAGAAACTGCTTGATATGTTGGAGATACAGGAGCGAGGACCTAATACTACCATCACTGGTGAGTTAATCAATTTAATTATTTTTTTTACAGCACATTTGCCCCCAAACGAGTATGCGGCTCGCCTGATGGTAAATGACTACCGCCGCCCATGATCACCCACAACACTAACGGCATTGCAGGTGTGCTGCCGGCCTTTTAAATAGGAATATACTCATTTCTTGAAGGTTATGATGTCGTATTGGTTCGGAAATACTGCTGCTGGAAGTTGATTCCAAAGAGTGGTTGTGCGTGAAAAAAAATGCCTTGTAAAACGCACGGTGGAAGACCACCATTCGTCCAGATGGTTGAGATGAAATTTTAATTTATGGTGGGTTTTATTTTTTTCTTTTCATGTGTGAAAATGGTATGGTAACCCCGCCTGCGCTAACGGGATACGCTGGCGGGGCACCAGTGAAGGGCGATCGATGAGAATGAAAACAGGCCAGTTAGCCCATCATGACGAATTCACAAGGAATTAACTATGATAGTTTCCAGGGGGAATCGCGTGGAGGTCGACCTGGTTGTGTATATTGGTAGCAGTGGGATTCTTAGTCTCCAATACTCCCCCCGGACTAACTGACTTGACTTCTCATCCTCACCAATGAACCCTCACTGGTGGGACACCAGTGACTGACAGTCCGCTTCACTAACAATCGCACCTGGCCTGTCCATTACGGCGACGGTGGCGTGTCGCGTGCAGTGCGGCCGGACAGCGTGGACGTGCTGGCGCCGGTGCTGGTGCGGTACAAGGCGGCGCTGGCGGCGGGCGCGGTGCTGCAGGTGGCGTTCACGTCCGTGTCCGAGTACTTCTGGCTGCTGCGCGCCGCCTGCGAGTGCCTGGCGCGCCTCGGCCCGCGCGCGCTGCTCTACCTCGCCGCCGCCGTCTCCGACTTCTACATCCCCAAGGACCGCGTGGTGACTATTGTCTTGACATATTTTTGGCAACTTAGAATGGCAAACAAGCTGACGGTCCACCTGATGGAAAGTGGTAACCGTCGCCTATAGACGTGAGCAGTACCATGGACATAACAGAGTATACTGTTTCGCCCATGACACCCCCCATGCGTTGCCATTTCTTAGGGCTCAGGTGTTATTCCTCTGTACCCTGTAAATTCACGCCGTATCCCGCTCTTCAAACCGAAACACAGCCATGCAAACACAGCTGCGTCACGGTAAAAAAACGAATAGCTAAATAAATTAATGCATATCATTCCAAAAGTTTATTTTGCTAAACGTATATACGAGGGTAGGCTGAAAAGTTTTCGGTTTGACAATGAAAGACTGTGAGTTTCAGTAAAAAAATATTTTGATTTTTTAATTTTATTTACCTTATACCTTTTTACCCAACCTTATACATTTTCTGTACTAAATTACTAATTATTTTCTCTCTAACTGCATTGGGTTGGCTGGAAGAGATTCTCTCTATCTCTTTTAGAGATAAGTCCAACCTTGCTAACAAGTTATTAAACTAATAACTGTATAAAATAAATGTATATAATATATATTATTTATTACGTTTTTAAGCATATATATATATATATATTTATATAGATGAGCTTTATAGTCTTCCAATACGCTCACCCAGGAAAGCATGAGTACAATAACATATAAAAAGGAATATCACACAAAAATATTAAACAAAAAATTCTTTGAAACAAAAAACGTCTGAACACAAATACTCTGTGGTCACTCGACGAAACTCCAGCACGTTGAAGGCAAATACATCCAATTGCGGATACTGGCTCAAAATATCATTGAGTAGTTTCAATGCAAGAGATAGGGGAGCCTGCATAGCGAACTCTGTTCTTCGTAATGGAACATCGAATAAGTGCCGTCGACGTGCTCGCACGTAGTTACTGGGCGCTCCTATTGATATTGATTCCAGTACAGTTTGGTTACATTTTTATGTATATGTATATATCTAACGCCACACCAGCATATACCACGCTTATGGGGGTTAACAATCCTTTTTTATCCTATTAAAACTAATATATAAAATGATGTCATCCCTCAGCCGACCCACAAAATGCAATCTGAGAGCGGCGCGCCCGTGATCCAGCTGCAGCTGGTACCGAAAATGCTGGCGCCGCTCGTCAACCTGTGGGTGCCGGCTGCCTACGTCGTCTCCTTCAAGCTGGAGACCGATGAAAGTTTGCTCATACCCAAGGCGAGGGCTGCCTTGGAAAAATATAAACATAAGGTATGTCACCATCATAAGGATTCATTAATGTTCCACTGCCAAGCATTGTTCTAATTAAAAATGGGTAATATATAGCAATATATGTATACAGATATTGTGACTACAGTATATAGTTATTGTATCTGTTTATTGGCCAAATTAAAAATATATTAAATATCGGTTATTCAAATATAGAAATTAAGCACCCAATTAAAATGAATATAAACATCCGACTGATATGGGCGATATTGAAATGGTAGATGCTCTTTTTTCCCGCCATCAGTGTTCAGAAGGACCCAATATCATCATCATCATATTGATCATTCTGGAGATCGTAATATCTTTATAATCCTATGGGCTATATGTTTTGTTCTAGATGGTCGTTGCAAATATGCTGCAGAGCAGGCATCATCGAGTGATCCTGGTATCCCCTGAGGCCAGTCAGGAGATAGTCCTGACAAGGGAGGACATACATGCAGGTAATATGATATGCATTAGCCATTGAACTTTTCATCAATCTTTTACAATTAGGCTTTTTTTTTATACTGCTGAGGTGGCAAATAAGCATACGGGTCTCCTGATGTTGTGTGATAATGGAATGGTAACCGGTATGAAACCAGTGAAGGATAAGAATGCCTGCAATACCAGGGGGGAATATTTTTTTAATATGATAGTTTCCAACGGGAGAACCAGTGAAGGGTGTGAGATGAGAATGAAAACAGGCCAGTTAGCCCATCATGATGAATTCATCACCATGGTTGGATTGGTTGGGTATATTGCTAGCAATGGGATTCTCAGTCTCCATTACTAACAATCCCTTTCCTCCCTGCTAGCAATGGGACTAGTAATATTGCTAGTAATGTGGTTACTAGACGTCATTATTGACAGACTCTTCCTCCTTCCTAACCTTTGTGTTTATGTTCAGGCGTGGACATAGAGTCGGCGATAGTGAGCGAGATCGTGCGGCTGCACGCGGAGCACCTGGCGGGCGGCGGCGCGGGCGCGGCGCTGCCGGCGGGCGCGGGCGCCGCCGCCGCCGCCGCCGCCGCCGCCGCCGGCTGGCCGCCGCGCTCGCCGCGCTGATCCTCGCGCGTCCGCCGCCGCCTCTACCTCACGCCCGAGTAGGCGGCGCGCACGGACGCCACGCTGTTCCTATCGTAAGCTCACTATGGACTTTCAATATATTCACTCATGTTTACGTCTATATAAAGGTCAGTGCACACCGACGAAGTAATGGCGAAAATGCAAATACAACGGTGAAAAAAAATGGGAATTCAATATGGCTTATATACGACGGATAAGTACATAGTTTTATTTGATGCCAGAACGAAAGCCGAATTTGAAAATAATCTTACAGGACGCAAATGCTTGAATTGTTTATCCAACATGTAAAAGATAGGAAATTCAATATGGAGATGGATAAACACACAGTTGGTGATTTTATTTGGTGCCAGAAAGGAAGTCGAACTATAGAATAATAGTGTCTAAATTAAAAAAAAAAATAACCTTTGGCAATACAGGTATAAAAGTTACTAAAAACGTTTAACAATATGAAAGTCGACTTCTACTTAAGTTTATGTCCGAAATGGATAAAACATATTAATCAGCAGCGATGCGCACGAAAGTCGCGACAGCGTAACGAGAACTGCGCATCGTTCAGTGTGCCTTGTAAGGAAAGGATCACAGCTCTTCGCCGCTATTCCGTTGGTCTGCACTGGCCCTAACTGCGCAAGGATCGTTTGGTACAAGTCAGAACTATTCGATACTTTGTTAAGCGCACTAGTGTTGTGTACAGTCGGCCTATAAAATCATTGTACATCAACTTTTTTATATTACACGATTTTATATTGTATAGGAGTAAATTTTAAATATCTTGTAGGCCGAATGTCTCTGACATAAGCTGATAAACTGTACAATTTTAACAAAATATCATCTCGTATAATATACATTTTTATTTATTTCCTTATAGAAAATATCGCTATCCAAAATTAGTTTTTTTTTTTTTATAATCAATAATTCTCTTTAAAACGTAACTCTGTTTTGGACATACCGTTCAAGACAGTAGAACGCTTAAACCATTGTGGTACTCAGTTTTCTATATTTAAATGATAATTATCTAATAAATTGATATTAGAAAAGACTCGAGGATCATACAAAGACAAATCTTTGACGATCTTTTAAATGTTTGTATTGAAAACAATCTGTATTAACGTCGACTGTACGTAAGGGATGCCCGAGTAGTTATTTAAAATACATGTATATACTATCTATATATTACAATGCATAAGTAACTATCAATCGTGTGCCCCATTATTATATTATTACTACCATGTATTATATATTGGGTGTTGTGTAAATCTGTTGTATGCGGTTCTACCAAACAATAATTCACATTTATTTAATTAAACTATAGTTTGTTACAATATAACTTATTGATAATGTAAATAAACAAAAAAGATATTGATTCGACCATAAAACAGTCTGTTAATATCCAATAGTAGCTCCCTACCAAGGTTTTCCCTAGGCTCTACAGTATGGGGTTCTTCAAATAGGGTGTGTTAAGGTTTCTTCAGGGTCGGCAACGTACACGTGACACCCCTAGTGTTGCAGGCGTCTATAGGCTACAGCGACCGCTTACCATCAGACAGGCTGTATGCTTGTTTGCCGACTAAGTGGTATAAAAAAACTACAAATGTATTAACAAATTAATAGTTAATTGTTTCTATTTGTTTGCTCTTTTCATTTAGAGTTTTTTTTTTTGTTTGAAAAAGCTTGTTTACTTTTTCATTAAGTTTCATTGAAACAGACTAATAGATATTGTCAAAAAATACAAAAGTAATGGCATATTATTGTATGTGACTTTTCTTTTTATACAACTTAGAATGGCAAACAAGCTGACGGCCCACCTGATGGAAAGTGGTAACCGTCGCCTATAGACATGAGCAGTACCATGGACATAACAGAGTATACTGTTACGCCCATGATACCCTCCATGCGTTGCCAATATTCTTTGTAATAGTATAATTTATATTATACTATTCATGTACATGAGGTTACTTAAGAATTCAATAATTAAAAAATATTTATCATTCCTGGTTTTTTTTTTGATGGGTGTAAGTGGTATGGTAACCCCGCCTGCGCTAACGGGATACGCTGGCGGAGCACCAGTGAAAGGTGATAGATGAGAATGAAAACAGGCCAGTTAGCCCATCATGATGAATTCATCAGGAATTAACCATGATAGTTTCCTGGGAGAACCGCGAGTAGGTCGACCTGGTTGGGTATATTGCTAGCAATGGGATTATCAGTCTCCATTACTAACAATCCCTTTCCCCTCTACCTCATTCCTGGTTGGGATATGAGCATATCCCAGATATAAGACTATTTACAATTGGCGATATAACAATTTACTTTAGCCCCCAACTTCGTCTGTATTAAATGTTAATTAACTCACAGGAACAAATAGGATATTGTCTGTCTGTGTGCCAAATTATATCCAATTGTTTTCATCTATTTATATTTTACGGTCTCTTACAAAAGAACTTAATGGGAATGTAAATAAAGTAATCATTGACCTGACCATAATACAGTATGTTAATGTCCAATAATAATTCGAATAATCATTTTTTTTTTATACAATTTAGAATGGCAAACAAGCTGACGGCCCACCTGATGTAAAGTGGTAACCGTCGCCTATACACATGAGCAGTACCATGGACATAACAGAATATACTCTTTCGCCCATGATACCCCCCATGCGTTGCCATTCCTGAGCACTCAGATGTTCTTCCTCCGTACCCAGTAAATTCACGTCATATCCCACCCTTCAAACCGAAACACAGCCATGTAAACACAACTACTTCACGGTTGAAACACGAATGGGACAGAGGTACCTAAGCAATCGACTTTTGTACAAAGTCTCCCTCTGATATCTATATATTCTCTCTATATTAATGGCGACAATAAAAGTCATCGCCCATTTCGATATCGTCTGTATCAGTCGGTAGTATCAATATTTATTTCGATCAGGTTTTGCATTTCAATATTATCAATTCAATATATCCGTTATTGCGCCAATATATCCCCTTCTTTGCATGATTAATGTGATATAATTCATGTTCAAAATTAAAGGAAAAATGGTTAAAAAATTAAATTTTACAGCTTTTTTTTTTTCTGCAATACACATTAAAAAGGTGTTCAGACACGATCAACTTAAAGTGAACTTGTTCTTTTATATAATTTTTGGGCATTCAATGTTATGATGGAAATTTCCACCAGTACGCAAAGAAGGTATATAGATAATGTAACTATAATATGTAAATATTACAATATGTTACCCATCCCTATTTTTCATTAAGTTCTATTGAAAGAGATTTAAGATATGAAATTGAATATTATAAATGAATCTCGCTATCGGTTTGTAATGGAGCTTCAATAAAAGACCGTAATATCACAGTGTAAAGAACAAGCAGTGGTCCAACGCAGTATCCCGAACGATTATATGACATTCGGGATGTATTGCTCTGTTTAGACGTATTTATTGGATGACTGGTAGGAAAGAGTATAAAGGTAATATGGATGTAAAAACAGTTTACTGATCTCTCAATTTAGTAATAAATCAGTCGACTACATTTATATTGACTGTACAGTAGAATCTCGATTATCCGAATATTCGATTATCCGGACTTATACTTCACAGCTCTAATTATCGATTTAGAAATGCTATTATTTATTGGATAGATAGGTATTATGTAAACCATTATCTTTATAGCTCGTAATTTTTTACATATATAAAACCCTTTACATAATAAAAAAAATAATAATTATATATTGTTTGATTCGATTTTGATATCGATTATCCGGATTTTCGATTATACGGAATAATCCGGGTTTTATTTGTTTCGGATAATCGAGATTCTACTGTATGTAATTGTTGTAAAAATTATTTATCGTATACCTATGTGTGTCTTAATATTCTCGAATTATCTTAATAAGGACCATGGCTAGTTACAACTTCTATTGTACTGTTCAGTTCATAATAATATAGGATATTTCCAAAAATAACCCCTCATAAAATAAGACAGGGTTACCACTAAAAAGTTAAACTTGCCATAGACAAGTGCTCGATACATCTTTAGACGTCTTACTACAAAAGAGTCTTACTGTTTATGTCTAAACAAAACAGTTTATTTTAAAAATACAAAATAAAGGTGTTTAAAATAATAAGTTTTATTATTATATAGATTTTGTTTTGTTATAAAGATTATATATATATATATATAATTATATTCGAAAATTATCAATAAACATTACAACACTGATTAAACATTATTTAAGGACTTAGATACAGTTTTGTTAAACAATGAAATTAGAAATAGCCCAAACATTGGGATTTTCAAAACACGTCTGAAGAATTATTACCTCTCACAATGCTGATGTACGTACTTATTATATTTATGTATTATATATAATATATATATATATATATATATATATATATATATATATATATATATATATATATATATCACTTTTCTCATATGGGTTTTACTTATATATATATATATATATATATATATATATATATATACCTACATTTCAATAACCTTTTGTGTACAATAAAGAATAAAGATATTTTATTTTAAATATTTTTTTAACTAAACAATATAAATAATTGGTACACATGTATGACTGTAGCTACTAAAAAATGAACTGTACATTTTACTTTTCTCATATTGGGACATTGCTTAGAAGAAATCTCTATAATAAGTTAAATATTATCACTATAAGTCTCTATATTATTTATTTTTTACATATTTCAATTTTTAACCTTTTGTGTATAATAAAGAATAAAGAATGTTTACCAGTGTCTTAAATATTTTTTTTTGTACTAAGACCGAATATAAATAAGGGGGGTAGCTAAATAGTTTTCTAGAGTTTAGCTAAATAAAAAAATTACACAATTTTAATACATTTTAATGTTCGATTGTTCTATAAGATTGGGATATTGTTTAGTATTATGTGTTGGTTAAATGTCAGTGTAATAGAACTTCTAGTATTAAAAGTTAAATATTATCACTAATAAATCAAAACTATAAAGTTATTTATTTTTACTTATTTCGAATTTTTATTTCTATGAAAAAAAAATTTTTTTTTCTTTTCCGTTATGCCAATATAGATGTTTATCTAAAGTTTTTACATATCATGCGAAAAGAAATATAATTGTGCAATTTGTTTAAAAGGCCAATGTTTTAATTGAATATTTTATACATTTACTAATGTAACGAACGTTGCCTTTATCGACTACATGTTTGACTGAAAATGTTTTTGAGCCAAATTAGATTTATTCAACTTTTATAATTGTTTTAATGTTTTACAGAAATTGTTCTATAAGAGCATATAGATGTTGCGTTGCTACGAATTATGTGTTGGTTAAATGTCAAACTCGACTACTAGGTATGATATCTTTATAATTAAAAAAGCATCTTTTGCAAATTAAAAATATATAAAAATTATATACACACATATATACATACATATACAAATACATATATATACATACACATACACACACATATATATATATACACATACATATATACATCGTTTTTATATAATTGGACGTGTGGTCCCGTTGTAGAATAGGCAACCCCTTCCTTTCCCGTGGGTGTTGTAAGGTGACGTTTTAAGGGATGGCGTCTCTCTTAAAACATCTCTAAAGCCTGGCTGTGGTTGTCAACCCGCCTGCCAAGCATGGCAACTACTGGCAAAACTCTCCTTATGGGGAAGCCTTATGTCCAGCAGTGGACAGTTAACGGCTGAAATAATAATAATAAACTAAATATCAGTCGATTGGTGTTAAAAAAAAATTAATCGACGAACAGCTGGACGTTTCTTAAAAAGGATGTTTGTCTCAATTTATCTCGAATTTTGTAAAAAAGACGTTTTATTTTAACAAATAAAATACCTATAGTGAGAGTTTGACATCGGCCAATATGCCTCGCGCCCCTATATAGATTTTAAAGCTATTTGAATATAAAATTATTTGGTGTTCTTGATACTTCCGTATTTTAATGTTAAGTTTTAGATATTATTGACGTGTTGGAATTAAAGGGTATTTATTGTGTGTGTACGTTGTTTGTATCTACTATATTGTATCAAACAGTATCAAGTACATCGTAATAAAATATATGTAGATATACTTGGTTTAATTGTGAAATGTTTGTACGTATTGCCTTGGGTAATATGGGTTTCGTAGGAAAGAACAAGATATAATACATTTATAAGAATATCCAGACACTCGTTTCATTGTTCGTTGTATTATTGTCGTTTATATCGAGCCATTGGTAACTTCAATAGACAAAGATACTTCCCCTTATTCATAAAAACGTCAAACTTCCATTGAAACTTGTTAATTTTATTGTCTTTTTCTTTTTCACTAAATTATCAGTTTGAAAGAAAGAGACAACATTATAATATTTAATACGAGTTTGTTTTAAAGTTTTAATTTTTATGAATACGGGCGACGGTGTATAAGTATGGATTTTATAATGTAAAAACTTGAACACAATAGAGATTTTAAGATTTAAAACGTTTTAAAAAAAATATATATATAGTTTTTCGCCTGTATAAATACAGTCTGAATTTATCCATTTACCACGCAGCCATATATGTCTCCTATTGAAGTTATATTAAGCACGTTGACATATTTCTACTCGCAATTACTGTGTATCTCATGTGTAAAATAAATAACATTTTTATACTCTATTTGTACACATTTTTTTTTTAATTACACAGAATTCGTGGTGGTATAGTAAACTTCATTATTTGGTTACGGATTTAAATGTAAATTTCGATTCTCAATTCAATTTTATATCATCATGATAATAATCCAAAGTGATGAGCGTACAAATTGTTTCTAACACAGTACAGTTATTATATGAACTGTACTGTAAAATGTTTGTGTGAGATCACGTTGAATAACATTGCAATACATAGCATTTATCTTCAAACAATCATTACGAATTGTACAAAAAAGACGCTGTTCTATATGTAATGAAATAAAAATGCAAGCATGTTATCGCTAATCCAATGCATACACGCACTCAAAATATGCGAACACGCCTGTTAGTGAACGCATTCTATTGTTAATCCAAAGCGTGCATGCACTCAAAATATGCGAACACGCCTGTTAATGAACGCGTGCTATTCTTAATCCAAAGCGTGCATGAACTCAAAATATGCGAACACGCCTGTTAGTGAACGTGTGCTATTGTTAATATAAAGCGTGCACGAACTCAAAATATGCGAACACGCCTGTTAGTGAACGCGTGCTATTGTTAATACAAAGCGTGCACGAACTCAAAATATGCGAACACGCCTGTTAGTGAATACGTGCTATTGTTAATCCAATGCGTGCACGAATTCAAAATATGCGCACAACACGCGTATTAGTGAGTGCGTGAACTCGTCGAATAAGTCATTTAAGTTGACGCTACGAGTATCTAATCTATATGCAAACTACTCCGGCTATTTTTTTTTCTTTTCAATTTTTCTAATATTTATTTTATTCACAGTTTGTTAAAATTTTTATCAATCGTTTAATGTTTTCTGTTTAAATTGTTAAATAAAAAAATCTTACGATTGAAATGTATTGCAGTTATTATTCAGTGTGACCTGATAGACTATTCACTATGTATGTAAGAGGCTCAGAACCAAAAACAGTTGATACTTAATATAATTGAAACGGACAAACATATATCCATACATGAATCTTTTTTTCGATCAATTCTCTAACCTTGACAACTCGAATCAGCATGCTGACTTGACACAATCGAATTCAGATTAAATCGATATCCAATTCAATAAGTTTTTTTTTTTATTTCAAGGGCTTTTACCTTCTTCAGGTATATCAGACGTTAAATGGACCTAATAATAACGTCTATTTGACTTTTTTAATCGCGATTCAATTGTGAAAGTCAGCCAGCAGTATTCATCGGCTATCCTGAGTGGAATTCCAGTCAATTCACGAAAGAGTATGGTACAAGAGGAGGAATTTTTCAATCTGAATAAAACTGCTATGGTTCTGGCTCTGACCTATTCACATTTACAACATATGTTTGTTACAAACATGGGTATCTATCGTTGTGATATTTGTAACCTACTACTGACGCTGTAGCCGTAGGTTGATATTTTACTAGACGTGAATTAAATAGTTTGTCATATTTTAATGTAACGTGTTTGTTTCATTTATTACTAAATAACCCATTTTGAAGTATCCCATACAGGAGTCTCTAGGGTTAACATCGGCAGGAAGCTCATCACACAACCTGAGCGTTTTGAGTAAAATCCCAAAGGATTTGGAATTAAATGGTCACGTAAAATGCAATGTCAAAACATTGCATTTTACGTGACCATTTAGGTTCAAGCCTGTCAAGATTATCTGTAAATGGTGAGCGGTGCAATGATAAAAGGTGGTTGTAGACATCATTCCAAATAATTCTTTGAATAATATTTCTAAGTTATCTCTTGCATTGTTCAAATTCGTGTCAAAATTGTGTCAGTTTATGTAATCGATGACTTAAGAAAATGTTGTGTACATCTGTAATTGGTGTAAATGCAAGATGCAAGTCCTGTATATCATTTAAATTTAATGTCTGTATTTACACTGTTGATGTACCTTTTAAAAATAAATAAATAAATAAATTCGATATCTGAATTTTCACTGCACAAGCAAAACACACTTCACTCTTGAATACAAATTTTGTAAAATTTTTAATTTCTACATGTATTTAATTAGTGTGTTCTAAAAAAACTAGCTTTAATTGTGGTTAAAACCAGTTATTTCAATTTCACAACTAATCAATTAAAACGATCTTGATAAAATTTCTATAGTACAAATCTGAATGTATCTCCTTTCAGATAAAAAAGAATTTTCCAAATCTGTATATAATCGACTGATTTAAGAGGTAACAAATATAAAAAAATATAGCTGAATTGACAACCTTCTTTTCGAAGCCGGTTAACAATTAAAAACTTCACGTGACAACATCCGAGTTCATAATTGTCATGACCTGTCAGAATTGCACTGAAATATTTTAAATACGTAAGAGTACATGAGGCAGTGGTTGCACTATATTCAGGCATTTTAATTTATAATATTTTTTTTTTCTAAATTACGTAATTATGGTAAGTATTAATATCAATATAAATTCAAATTGAAATATTATTATTCTCAAGAAAGACGGGAATATCCCTAACAAGTAAGAGTTACCGCCTGATTAAACTATATCAGATTCGAAATGTGAAAATCATATTGTATTAAAAAAATTCGAAGCGTACAAAATATAATTATATAAATAATATAATACAACATACCTATACTGTTCAGCAGTGGAGAGTTAAGGGCTGAAATGATAATAACAATATCAAATACTTTGCCTTTTTTATATTTATATTGCCTTGCAGGATGACGAAATTGAAGACATAGTGGGTGATATTAAATACACAGATTCCCAAAAAAGTGTAGCCGCTTCTAACGTGTACTCTCTTGATTTTACCGACAATAGTTCAGACAAAAATAACTCTTTTGGTAAAGATACATATGTTATAGAATGCGACGACAGCGACGATATAGACAGTATGAAAACATTTCAACTGCACAACAATAAAAGCATTATTGATTTGAAAAACTATTCTATGAAAATAAATCAAGATACCGACGCACAATGTGAAGATAATGTAAAGATTAATAAATCAGCATCTACAAGTCTCCATAAATGTTGTATCCTATCTCAAGAGACCTTCACTCAAACAAGTAAAACAATAATAGAGCTAGCCGAAACAGAAAATAGTGGAAGAAAAATTGTAAACCAATCATTAGAAACACAGACTTCTTTGATATCTATTATTGAAAATAAAACTGTAGAATATAAAATAGAGGTTTCAGACGCTCATACAAATTTCATAAAAAATAAAGTCATGAATCATAATAATGATCACAATGTAAATAGTCTATATGCCATCGCGTGTGATCAAGTATTTATTAGTTCTCTGGATGATGGGTCTTCAAAATTTCCTATTTCAGAAATAGAAATAGAAAAAACTGTGGATGACGAAAGCGGTGGTGGGAGTTCAACTGGTGAAATAATAAAAATTATAAATGACGATTCAAACGAAACTATTTTAAATGAGGAACAAAATGAAATCCGTTACGAGAACAACAGTGATTTTCGTGCGTCATCAGATTCTAGTATGGATGTTGAGGAGTATTCATTTGACAATAAATGTCAAACAATAAACAATAATCAGGACAGTATCAGTGATGTTAGCGAAGTTCCAACCTCGCTTGACAACGATGTTGAAGATTTATATAAAAAAATAACTAGTAATATAGAACTCCATCAAATTGAGAGAGCATGTGAACCAGAAGCTCGTTATGTAGGCATTCTGACACCATTAACTGAAGAATCTACAACTAAAAAACAAAGTTTAATGGATTTAACACCAAACGTTAATAACTTAACAGATGACGGAACAGAAAGTGATGTAATTTTCACAAATAATGCAGGAATTAAAATTAAAATTCTTCCTTCGAATGACGCCAAAAAAGAATCCTTCAGATTACCATCTATTCCAAATACCGAATCTTGTCCCAACAGTCCACACTTTTACTTGTTTTCTATTAACTCTTCGTATAAAGCTCAAAACAAAAGTAACAATTGTCCACTTGGAGGACAAAAAGATCGATGGGAAATTGAATCTAAAGAATTAGCATCAGGTGAAGGCACTCTTATTAACGGACGAAATGGTAAGATTAAAGAATTATTAAAGATAGTTATATAATTAATATTAAACGTTCTTTAATCAAATGTAATCGAAGACTCTTTACTCCAGATTTATTACAAGGCTGGGATCAATGTATCCAACTGCCTCCTATTCATTTAGAAGGTCATGGTATAAAGAAAAATCAAATTAAACATGACACTTCTTTGAATCCAAAGTGTGCAACATTTATTACACCCACAGAATTGTTACAAGATTCTATTAGCATAAAAGGCAGGATTAAAGAATTAAAAACTACTAACAAGAAGGCGAAGGAGTGGACACGTCCTAAATATTTACCGTGTGTATATAAAGATTTTGGTTGTACTAGTTCAAAAACATATATAAATAATTTTCATAATATTTTAAACGGACTTCAAAATGAAAGGATCCAATACCATTGTATTTTTTTTATGTTTGTTACCTCATAATTCTGTCAGTTATAAATTGTTTTGAACAATTTTTTTTTATATAAAAAGATATACAGGTTGGTACTGTATAAATTTTATCAAAATTGAGATAGTAAATCAAAATAAATTGTTTTGCTACAATTTATTATTGTGGTAATATATAATTAATTTATTATTGGTACTGTAATCCTGACAGATAATGCTACGTCTGTGGAAAATCGTCCCAATTTTATACCTTTTTTTATACAACTTAGAATGGCAAACAAACTGACGGTCCACCTGATGGAAAGTGGTAACCGTCGCCTATAGACATGAGCAGTACCATGGACATAACAGAATATACTGTTTCGCCCATGATACCCCTCATGCGTTGCCATTCCTGAGCACTCGGGTGTTATTCCTCTGTACCCTGTAAATTCACGCCATATCCCACCCTTCAAACCGAAACACAGCCATGCAAACACAACTGCTTTACGGTTTAAACACGAATGGGACAGAGGTACCCAAGCAAACGACTTTTGTACAAAGTTACTCTCTGGTAAATACCTTATATTTTATTACAATAGGACAACAGAAAGTAAGACAAGCAGAAGTGTATCACCAAACAGCCTCTCGCCCGACGACAGCAGACTTGGCGACGTAGCTGAACGGGGGTGCGAGGCACTCTGTGTCGAGTTGATAAGGAGACTAAGATCCAGTTCTTGGTAAATTAAAAGAATATTAAGATTAGATAGATAGATAAGTAGATATTATTGTTGCTTCCATAAAATTACAATAGTAAACTTATTATAAATACAAACAATTACAAGAAAATATTATACTAAGAAAACAATGGACGGATTAATTTTTTTATGCAAATTAGAATGCCAAATAAGCTGTCGTCCCTTGTTTTTTTTTTTATAAAACTTAAAATGGCATACAAGCTGACGGCCCACCTGATGGAAAGTGGTAACCGTCGTCCATAGACATACAACAGTATCGTGGACATAACAAACCATACTGAGTTGCCCATGATACTTTTCACGGGGTACTATTTCTGATGACTAAAGACTAATCTAAAAACTTTTTTTTTATACCACTGAGGTGGCAAACAAGCGTACGGCCCACCTGATTTCCAAATACCATAATGCATTATGCTTTTAGTAGCAAAAGATTTCAACGGGTTTTATTTGCGTGCAGGTACTATTTATTATTAGGTTTATTAGTTATTATTAAGTTATTGCGTGTATTTATCTAATTTAAATATATAGGCATGTAGACTAATACAGTGTAGTTCTAAAAAATAATTTAAAAAAAACCAGGTTATTTATTCTTATCTGAGTTACTCGTGTTGATGGAATAAGGACATAAGGACAGAATAAGGATGTCCTTTCATTTCTTGGGTGTCGTAAAGAGCGTAGAGTAACGAGTAAGGGAACAGCATAGAATATTAATACAAGAGATCATTCTCTTGTAAATTCGATATAAAACATAATTCATCTTATGTAAGAAGTCTATTCTACGTCGTCGGTGATGATTTTGCATATCCGAGTAAGGACCATAATTTCTAAACGACGATTCTTTTAAACGCTACACTTTATTTTATTTCAATTTTCAAATAAAAAAAGCAAAAGCCAAGATGTCATCCAAAATCACACATTTTTATTATTTACAATTTTTATTGTATTATATATTCAATTTTTTACTGGGTATTATTTAGTTTATCTTTAATTGCACGCTTATTACCCTTGTACATTCTACAGTTTTCTTTCAGCTTCTCAAAGGTTGACTGTAAGAGATCCCTTTATGGGATAAGTCCGCCATTGTATATTAAATCATTTATCAGTGTTCAATGTGAATTATGTACAATAAAGATTTTACAATACAATTTTTAACCGACTTCAAAAAAGAGGTTCTAAATTCGGTTATATTATTTTTTTATGTTTGCTACCTCATAACTGCGTCTGTTGTAAACCGATTTAGAAACTTCTTTTTTCTTATCTGAAAGAATATACTAACATATTGGTCCTATAGAAATTTTATCAGAATTGGTTTATTTTTTTAAATCAAAATAACTGGTTTAACTACATATGAAGTCTGTTTCTTTTTTTTTATTGTGGAACACAATTTTAAATTATTTACAATTATGTATTAGGAATGGGGCGACAACACTAGTAACGAGTGAATAGCAATGATTTATTTTTTTATTTTTTATTTTAATGCACAGTGTAAATTTATATACATTTGACGGACTTAATACTTAATGGTGTTCTCTACCAATCAACCATTAGGCAAACAGAGAAATCATTTATTCCGATGATTTGAATCCCTAAGAATCTTCTACTTAGATGTCTTATAAGTCTTTAAAGGTATTGTACGTAATACCGTTTGCAGGTTAGAAGTGGCAGACACGTTGCAAGACACGTCTATATTATTGGAAAAGTTTTGGGGTGTGATAACAGAGAATCGAATAGCAGATCTAATAAGACATGTGAGTGCATTACACATTATACTAACTAGGATTATAACGGCCTTTATTTTGTCGTACAACCATGGATATGCTAAACGTATGTAAAAGAAATGGAACCTAATAACATTAAAATAAAGGTTCAATTTTAAACATCTCATTTATGTTAAGTCCAACCTGTATTATGGATAATGCAGAATATCGTACAACCATGGATATGCCAGACGTATGTAAATGAAATGGAACCCAATAACATTAAACTAAAGGTTAAATTTTAAATGTAGTCATCTCATTTAAATCCAAAAAGTTCCCTGAAATGTAAAAAGTTTATTCCACAGTAATACAATGTTCCTTTTGCAGGTAAGCGTGCACGTTGACTCGCCACGCACACAATTAGCTCGCTCCGCTTGCAACACATTGGCTTCCATCATTAAAAATACCAACTACACGAAGAAGCCGGTAAATATCTTATCTCGTCTTCATTCGGTAATATTAATATGAATAACTTTTGCCAAGAAGTTTTTTTTTATAGACAACTTAGAATGGCAAACAAGCTGACGGCCCACCTGATGGAAAGTGGTAACAGTCGCCTATAGACATGAGCAGTACCATGGACATAACAGAGTATACTGTTTCGCCCATGATACCCCCCATGTGTTGCCATTCCTGAGGACTCAGGTGTTATTCCTCTGTACCCAGTAAATTCCCGCCATATCCCACCCTTCAAACCGAAACAGCCATGCAAAAACAACTGCTTCACGGTTAAAACACGAATGGGACAGAGGTACCCAAGCAATCGACTTTTGTACAAAGTCTCCCTCTGGTATGTCAACATTGAAAAATATTTTAATTAATCACCGGATTTCAGCTTTGTTTGAGGTAAACGTGTGATGTGACAAAAATAAATAAAATAGTAAATGAGTATATTTCAATGTAGCGTCAGTAACAGAAAAGTTGAGAAGTAATTGTTAGTCGTGGTATAGGCATGTAATGTGCAGGGAACAAAATACATAAATACTGTTTATTGTTCTCTCCAAAACATTACAATAACAAACTTATTATAAATACAATTACAAAAATAAATACACTGAGAAAACAATGGGTGGTCTTATCGCTAAATGCGAACTCTTCTAAAACCTTTGGATGGAAAAGAGTAATTATAAATAGTTTGACCGGAGGCACGAAACGAGAGAGAGATCGGGGGAAAGTACATATCAGTGTAGAATAAGTGCAAAGGAAGACCTGGAAAGAGACTGTGTGAAAGTTGGCATGGGTAGAAAGAGAGTGAATAGCAAGATAACGAATAAAGATAAATGAAAGAAAAACCGTATTACGCCGATCCAAAACAGATAGGAAAAACGGCAGGACGAAGATCGGGTTTCAACTTTGCATACCTATTGTAATTAATCCTATATTGTTATACGTATAACAAAGTTTTTTCAAAAATTAGAATTTTTACGAGGCGATGACCGCGCTGCTGGCAAAAACCGGCAGTTTCAGTCGACCGGTGCGGCGCGCCGCCAATATGGCGCTCGACGACGTCGTCTGCGGCGTCGAGTTCTCACACGCTGTCACTGCACTCTGCGTACATGGTACCAGGTACAATTATTTTTATTGTATTTTCACAAGGACAAAATAAGAACAAAACCAATACGGGAAGTAGCACTTTTTAAATAAAAACAGTTAATAATTGGTTGAAATATTGTGTAACGTAAAAAGAATACAGTCACATTGAGAACTTCCTTTCTAAAATTTTTTTTAGAAAGGAAGAAGAAAAGAGAAGAAGAAATACTGTTTTAGTCATAAATTCCAAGCTGAAATCCTGTAATAGTACCTATTCATAAAACAATAAACTAATTCGCAATCTCATAAACAATCCATACAATAAACCACATGCTCTCGAGATTGATTTAGTGCGAAATATTGAAAAATGTTTTAGATTATAACTGATCTTTTGTGGCATGATATGCCTTTTTATGAGTTTTTATTATATTACTAGCTGACCCCGTAAACGTTGTTTTACCACTAATTGTGAAATATAAAAATCGCAATTAAAATACCCCCTGTATTTTAATTTATTTGATATTTATTTGATCGTAAAACGATGAAAACTTGATGTTGTATGTATTTTTCAATGCTAAATTATAATAAAATAAAAATAAATGTCAAAAAATTAAAAAAAATTTTGGTGTGAGTCACCCTTATCATTGGAGGGGTATGAAAAATAGATATTGGCCGATTCTCAGACTTACCCAATATGCACACAAAATTTCATAAAAATCGGTAAAGCTGTTTCGGAGGAGTTTGGTAACAAACACCGTGCCACGAGAATTTTATATATAAGATTATACTATGACACTTATCTGACTTTTTATAACATCGATACATTATATTGAATTTGGTAGTGCTATAAGGCTTCATGATGATCAGCATGTTTCAAAATTTTTTGTTATTAACTCCTGTTTCCTTAGGAAAAAATCACTGGTAAAATAGATACACCCTTCAAAAGGAAGTATTAGATAATTAGGAATTTCATGGTGTACAGTCACAAAAGTCCGCTGGTCCGTTGCGCGGCGGCGCGCCTGCTGGTGGTGTGCTGCGCGCTCGGCGGCGGCGGCCGCGAGCTGCTGCGCGCGCGGCCCGCCGCCGCCGCCGCCGCGCGCCGCCGCGCGCTGCGCTCGCTCGCCGCCCTACTCGACGACAACAACATCGGCGCCAGGTACCATCGTCATTTTAACCAGTCATTATCCATTTATTAACATGCACCTCCTCATTGACTGCCATTTGGAACAGTCACAAGATTATTTTGTAATAGATTAAAATGGAATGATAACGCCGTCTGTACTATTGGTATATACATTTACGAGGTCTGTCCGGAAAGTTCGTATAAAAGTGTTCTGGAATGCGAGAAAGAGGAGTGGGGAGGCCAGGTAAGCGCAGGACCCCTTCCTTATGTACCTAACAATGCTTCAGTTCTGGTCTGACCGCCGTGCGGTGCGAACTGGCTTGTCACGCCATCTGTGAAGTTACCTCTTAACGAAACCCCGTCGGCATGGAGCCCGCTTCCGTTGAAGAGCAGCGCGTCGTAATCAAGTTTCTCTCGAAACTCGGCAAGAATGGCCGTGAAAGCAAAGAGTGGAAGACATCCGGGGAACCACGAACAAAAAAATCAAGAAAATCCCGCTATGTCAAGACAATGTTGATTGTTTTTTTCGATGTTCGGGGGATTGTCCATCAAGAATTCGTCCCTCCAGGCCAGACAGTTGATGGAAAATTCTACGTCGATGTGCTCAGACGCCTCAAAGCTCGTGTGGCACGAGTTCGTCCAGAATTGGCGCGAGAGGGGCGTTGGATTCTTCACCACGACAATGCCCCTAGTTTTTGAGTAAAAATTCCATTACGGTGACCGAACACCCCCCTATTCGTCGGATTTGGCCCCGTGTGACTTCTTCTTGTTCCCAAAAACCAAATTGGTACTTCGGGGGCGGCATTTGGGGGACATAAATGAGATAAAAAAAGCTACGACGGGGCAGCTGAGAAACCTACAACCAGGGAGCCTTCCCCGTTGGCACAAGTGCATTATGTCACAGGGGGAAAAAATAAAATTTTTAAAAAACTTTTATACGTACTTTCCGGACAAACCTGTCGTAGTTAATTCTCGAGTGTCCTCATCTGTCATCTCTAACTGGTGCCCCGCCAGCGTATACCGATAGCGGGGTTACCATTCCATTATCGCCCATTAAAAAATACCGGAACCATAGTACCATTGAGATGAGATGAGATTAATATCAGTTCAGTTGACCTATCGTAATGAATTCACCATGTTTTCCAAATGATATCGTGTGGAAATCCAATGACTACGAAATTTTATATACACGTACTATATGGGATGGGTAAACATATTGTCTACTTTGATCTCAGTGAATAACATATCCCCGGTCACGCGGACGAAGTCGCGGGTAAAAGCTAGTAATCGATATATTTTACTAAAAAGTAAAAATGTTATTAACAAAGTATATTTGTACAAGTACAAAGTTTAACATTGATACTTATTAATTTCGACTACCAAGCGGGTGAAGTCATGTGGGCATCGCTTGTCTATTTCTAATACATAATTACGTATCGATGCATGCGGCTGATTTTTTTTAATGGATGATTATGGAATGGTAACCCCACCTGCGCTATCGGTATACACCGGCGGGGCACCAGTGAAGGATGATAGGTGAGGATGAAGCAGGTCAGTTAGCCCATCGTGACGAATTCAACGAGAATTGTTCACGATAGTTTCCAGGGGGAACCACGTGGAGATCGAACTAATAGGGTATGTAGGGGGAAAGGGATTGTTAGTAATGGAGACTGAGAATCCCATTGCTAGCAATATACCCAACCAGGTCGAACTCCTCGCGGTTCTCCCTGTAAACTATCATGGTTAATTCCTGATGAATTCATCATGATGGGCTAACTGGCCTGTTTTCATTCTCATCTATCACCCTTCACTGGTGCTCCGCCAGCGTATCCCGTTAGCGCAGGCGGGATTACCATACCATTTTCACCCATAAAAAAAAATAGGGTATGTTGCTAGCAATGGGGCTGTCAAACTCCATTGCTAACAATCCCTTTCCCCCGCATGCGGCCAGTTGCTACAGTAACTACGTGACCTGTTCACCGTGAACGCACCCGTGCCTACAGTAAGCCTAGTTACACATATCATACCTAAATGGATCGTACGAGACTAATTTATTATATTCTAACATCTGATTGGTTGTTCCATTTGTAGCGTTAGCGTTAACATGACGTTAGTATATTAACTGTTTATTATATATATAAATCTATTTGAACCATGAAGGTAGAGTACGTACGATACCAGTATCTATGTACGTAGATACGATAGTATCTGCATGTGCATAATGTAATTTGCGTAATCAAACTATAAAATTGCAACAAACACACTGTCTCGTGCAAGCCGCGTCATACCGTTGTAGAATATATATATATATTTTATATTACAGCAAAAAACTATATTTGTGGTCCTTTTTAATGATCAGCCACTATAATTTTTTATAATTTCTCATTTTTGCCACTCTGGGCAAGGAACAATCATCGTAATAATTTTGTTAAGCTGTTCACGAACGGTATATGAAACCAGAGGGAGACTTCGTACAAAAATCGATTGCATGGACACCTCTGTCCTATTCATGTTTCAACCGTAAAGCAGTTGTGTTTGCATGGCTGTGTTTCGGTTTGAAGGGTGGGATATGGCGTGAATTTACTGGGTACAGAGGAATAACACCGAGTCCTCAGGAATGGCAACGCATGGGGGGTATCATGGGCGAAACAGTATACTCTGTTATATCCATGGTACTGCTCATGTCTATAGGCGACGGTTACAACTTTCCATCAGGTGGGCCGTCAGCTCGTTTTCCATTCTAAGTTGTATAAAAAAAAAAAAATCAAATAAAATATTTATTTATTTTAATCAGACATTTAACGTAATAAAGGCCACGTGACAGACCTTTTTAACATCTGTTTAATTGCCTTTAAAATTGTAGGTATTGAAATTTAATGTATTAATTACATAAGGATATAGCATTAATGTTGTTAATTTTTTTTTTTTTTTTTTTACAACACAGGGGGCAAACGAGCATGCGGCTCAATAAGATTATAGAAAAAAAGATTATAGAAAAAAACTATTTTAAATCGAACCAATCAATTGGAACAGGTACATAGATGTCCAATATAGTCAAATTAGATTAATTAATATATTTATTTGTTTATTTATATGCTTTTGTACATTCATTTATAGTATAGATATTAGGTTATAACAAAAATGTGCACAGGCGGACTTATCCATTGAAGGATTATAGTGTCTATAGGGTTTATAAAGCATAACATATATGGTGCATAACATATATATATATAATATGATAAATAATAAGTTATTAGTAAGATTACAATACTTTACCTACTTCGCGTACCATTCTGTATACATATCCGGAATGGTACGAGACGTACGAAATAACAGGTAATTAACTTTATACAGAAAATACGCCGAGCGACTGTACTCCATGCTGCGTCCGCTGAGTAACTTCGAAGCCTACTACCTGACGGACGTAGATGTAGAACTAGCTTCCCGCCAAATGAAGAAATACGACCAGATATTACTCTGTGGACCACGCAAAGAAATAAGGTGATACACAGCTGTTGCATTTAATTCGATATCAACAATGTTTAAATATTGCTATTCTATTGAATAAAATTTGCCATGAATGGCACAGTGGTACTTATATCTATTATAAATATATTTTTTACGAAAATGACGCAATATTATAATAGCGTATATTTTAACTGGCGATAAAATGTAAATAAAGCTCACTAATAACTCACAGACAAAGTGGGCGTTATAAAGTTGGGCCATTTGCCGCGTCCTCCTTTTTAAAAATATAATATGTCAGTTTTTTTCACCAGGATATATAAATATTATTTTAACACTGTCATTTTTTTTTTTTAATATAATTAGTGATGTAGATTTATTATTGTGCGATCCTCGATATTTTTGAAAGACTCAAACAACGAACGAAAAAATTAATTCGCAAACAATTAAACATAGATCTATTAGTACTTTTATGACTGGAGAACATTGTTAACTATAAAAAATATTGATTACATAAAAATATTGTTATCAAACTTTTGTTTAAGATCTTTCATAATATTATTGTCCAGCATTATCTGTTATCGCCACAAGTAGCGATTAATATTTACGTTAATGTATGTATTTATATACGATTCGAACTACCTAGCTACCAAAAGTTACGCAAACACTGCGGAAGGCCGGGGTTATAATCATGTTTTGTTTTCTCTATTTTTTGCCAACATTTGTTTTTACTAAATAATGTAAAATGTTCAAAATAACATGATACAGTAAAACGTAAAGATAAATCTGTTTTTGTTTTATTTATAAATAAATGCATTTACTTGCGTCAATTATTTTTTATATAGGAAATATTCTTAATATAACTTCCATGCCACATTAGCTCTATGTAAATGAGGTTTTGAATTTGATTCTCGATCAGGTCAATTTACGAAATGTAGTTTTATAATTTTATAAAGTTTAATCCTACAATACATGTACATGAAAAAACTCATCTTCGTGCCACAATAGATACTCTGAGAAAAAATGAATTAAAAGACTAGAAAATATTAATTTTGGATGCACATCGAATAATACCCAGACCTTAAGCAGTTTAGAAAAGTTCATTTCCTTAAAGGTCCTGACAAAGAATCGAAACTCATTTACTCAAAGTAAAGCACTAACGCACTGTGCAGTGGATCGTCCATCATATAGTTAGCATTTGTAGTAAGTTACTAACGGAGTGTTTTTAGGGAGGGGGGGGGGTGTTAGTACTGATATCTCTTAGTTCCACTGCAGCAATTCTATCAGGTAGTCCTCCATTCGATTTCCCCTGGACTGGACTCTGGATAAGCCAACCTGCTTTCATCCTGACCATTTTCACCCATAAAAGAAACAATTCTTTATAGCAGCTTGATATGTGTGAGTTCTATGGAGATTGTATTTTCACTACATCACTACATGGATATTTTTAACATAGACTTGTAAAGGGGGAAAGGATCAGGTCGACTTCCACGCGGTCCCCCCAGGACCATCGTGGTTAATTTTAGTCGAAATCGTCACGATGGGCTAACTGACCTGCTTTCATCGTCACCTATCATCCCTTACTGGTGCCCCGCCGGTGTATATCGATACCGCGGGCGAGGTTAACATTTCATTATCTCCCATTAAAAAAAAAACATAGATTTGTAAAGTGTAGATGGAGACTTGTACTTTGTACTTACAGTCTCATGATAAGTGGCAGGTAACGTTGTAATGACTCTGCTTTACTTTGGTAGACACTCGTCTACAAGATAATCTGCTTAGTCGCTTATCGAGGAATGCATGTATCACATTGGTAGCATTGCCATCGTACGATACTATCACACTACACAATGTTACGTAACAAGTAAGGTTGCTAAACAGACTCGTCTAAGAAAATATACCTATAATTGTTAATTTGAGACTGTACAAAAGTCGATTGCTTGACCTCTGTTCTATTCGTGTTTCAACCGTGAAGCAGCTGTGTTTGCATGGCTGTGTTTCGGTTTGAAGGGTGGAATATGACGTGAATTTACTGGGCATATTCTTAACAAATGTTTAAATGTCTAACAAAATAATGCCTGTAAAGAAGTTAAAATATATTCATTTATTTTATTTTATGCAACTTAAAATGGCAAACAAGCTGACAGTCCATCTGAAGGAAAGTGGTGATTGTCGCTTACAGACATGTACATGACAATACCATGGACATAACAAAATATACTGTGTCGCCCGTGATACCCTTCATGCGTTGCCATACCTAAGGATTTTTTTTTATACAACTTAGAATGGCAAACAACCTGCAGTCCACCTGATGGAAAGTAATAACCGTAGCCTATAGACATGAGCAGTACCATGAACATAACAGAGTATACTGTTTCGCCCATGATACCCCACATGCGTTGCCATTCCTGAGGACTCGGGTGTTATTCCTCTGTACCCAGTAAATTCATGCCATATCCCACCCTTCAAACCGAAACACAGCACTGCTTCACGGTTGAAACACGAACGGGACAGAGTTACCCAAACAATCAACTTTTGTACAAAGTCTCCCTCTAGTAAAGGATTAAGATATTATGCCTCTGATCCTACAATTTTATTGCCATATTCCATCCTTCAAACCGCAAAACAGTCATGCAAACAACTTTACAGCAGAAACACGATACCCAAGCAGACGACTTGTACAAAGTCTTCCTGTGGTAAATTGTAATTTGGTTACATTAACATCACGCTATACTATCATACTACATGATAGACGATATGTAACAAATAACTCATCCATCCAAAGTTCTTAACCGACTGATCTATCTAGGCATAATGATCTCTGACTTTTGGTAAGCAGGTGATAAAAATAGTTGTTAGGTATTCGAAATGTACGATTACTTAACATCGTACGATGTTATCATACATGACGGGCGCCATGTCACAAACGAGACTGATGATCTGTATGGAAAGTGACAAACTTAAGGCAACATTTAACTCTTCTTTGCATGATTTTTTTATTGGTGAAATAAATCACAGTGATATAATTCATGTTCAAAATTAAAGGAAAAATGGTAAAAAAATAAATTTGACAACTATGGTTTTTTTTTCTGCAATACACATTAAAAAGGTATCCAGACACGATCAACTTAAAGTGAAATTGTTCTTTTGTATAATTTTTAGGCATTCAATGTTATAATGGAAATTTCCATCATTATGCAAAGAAGGATTAAATTATTCACTCGAATTATTGACGATCAGCGCCTTACTGTCCGACTCAATCTATTGAAACTGCGTAGAGATTTCACATCTCTGTGCATTTTCTACCAATTTTATCATGTGGAATGCTCTCAGGAATTGTTCGGATTGATAACTGCTGCTGATTTTCACCACCGTACAACCCGCCACAAACTAAAGTTCCATCCCAACCATCTGGATGAATGGCAATCCTCCACCGTGCATTTTTCAAGGCACTTTTCTTCCACGCACAACCACTGTTTGGAATCAACTTCCAGCAGCAGTATTTCCAAACCGATACGATATCATAACCTTCAAGAAAAGAACATATTCCTTTTTAAAAGGCCGGCAGCATACCTGCCATGCCTCTGGGGTTGCGGATGATCATGGGCGGCGGTGGTCACTTACCATCAGGTGAACCGCATGCTTGTTTGCCCTGTGTGTTAAAAAAAAAAAACATTCAAATAAAAATAATCACTACATTTAACTATAATCACTATAATCAACTCTAGAGATCCGGCCCACACTACACGGGTAGATAAAATTTTCGAAAATAGTATATGTTACTCGCTGATAATGTAGCTTCTAGGGGTGAAAGATTTTTTTAAATCGATTGAGTGGTTTTTGTGTTTATCCATTACAAACAAACAAGCAAATATTTCCTCTTTATAATATTAGAATAAATTACTTAAAGATTTAAGATTGTCTTAAACTCTGTCTAAAAATGTAATATTATTTATTAGGTATATTTTTTTAATAAATTTCTATTTATACTGGTCTTACAATGAAGATGTTGCGGGAATATTAAGTGATAGTGTTGTTTTTAGAGTTTCCGTGTGGTTCCGACATAGATTAGGCCACCGCTTCCTTTGCCGTGGTTGTCAAAAGAGGCGACTAAGGAAGAGCAAGGGATGGTTAGTAGCATCCCTTTTAAAACATCTCCAAAGCCTAACTGCGGTTGCTTATCCGCCTGCAAACGTGGCAACTACTGGCAAATCCCCCGAGGGGGAGACTTATGTTCAGCAGTGAACAGTTAAAGGCTGATATGACGACGATGATTGATTTTAGAGACGGACTTAGAAAATTGTGATACAATTTTTTTTATACAACTTAGAATGGCAAACAAGCTGACGGCCCGATGATGACGGTCTGATGGAAAGTGAAACACGAATGGAACATAAACAAATACCATTTTTTTGATGAGTGAAAATGGTATGGTAACCCCGCCTGCGCTAACGGGATACGCTGGCGGAGCACCAGTGAAGGGTGATAGATGAGAATAAAAACAGGCCAGTTAGCCCATCATGATGAATTCATCAGGAATTAACCATGATAGTTTCCAGGGGGTACCGCGTGGAGGTCGACCTGGTTGGGTATATTGTTAGCAATGGGATTCTCAGTCTCCATTACTAACAATCCCTTTCCCCCCAAACAAATACCATTGTCACTAAAACAATATCCACGTCGCTTATCAACATTTAGTTATGTACATATATAAACTAAACTAAACATCGTACGATGTGATGACTAAACGTTATCAGTGCGTAAACTGGCATCTGCTCACGTCCATATAATAAGTGCATAATCTGATAAATAAACAAACGAAGTTACATACACAATTAATAGATATTTTCAATAACAACATACACAAAGTACCTACGTAATTCCTTTGATCTCACTTAAACCTTTTTTTTAAATGGATGATAATGGAATGGTAACCCCACCCGCGCTATCGGTATACACCGGCGGGACACCAGTGAAGAATGGTAAGTGAGGATGGAGTAGGTCAGTTAGCCCATCGTGACGAATTCAACAAGAATTGTACACGATGGTTTCCAGGGGGAACCACGTGGAGGTTGACCTAATAAGGTATATTGCTAGCAATGGGGCTGTCAAACTCCATTGCTAACAATCCTTTTCCACCCTGTGTTTGCAGTTATAAATGCTTATATATCGTAATATTTAAACTAAATACTAACTTTTTGTTTATAAAGAAGTACTCTATTATAATCGTCATCATATCAATCTATTATCTTATTAATTGGCTTACCCTTCATACTGTTATAAGGAAAGGGGCTGTTCCATATGGCAGTTTACAATTAGGCTGGATTAGGGGGGAAAGGGATTGTTAGTAATGGAGACTGAGAATCCCATTGCTAGCAATATACCTAACCAGGTCGACCTCCTCGCGGTTCCCCCTGGAAACTATCATGGTTAATTCCTGATGAATTCATCATGATAGGCTAACTGACCTGTTTTCATTCTCATCTATCATCCTTCACTGGTGCTCCGCCAGCGTATCCCGTTAGCGCAGGCGGAGTTACCATACCATTTTCTCCCATCAAAAAAAAAGGCGGGATTTGCCAGTATTTGCCACGTTTGGCAAGCGAGTTTGCAACTGTAGTTTGGCTTTTAGTGATGTTTTGAAGAGGGACGCTGCTGCCCATCAATAGACCATTAAACAGCCTATGTTTTTCTCCAAAGTTCTAACTATTAAATCTCCAATCCAATCTATAAAAACTAGTCTATGCCCTTATCCAAAACCCAATCTATCTATATTCCAAAATTC